TATTATTATTATTATTATTTGTACCCATAATCGATGTCGCTGTTGATGATGTAGTAGCACCCATCATCATATTACCATACCATCCACCATTATTACCGGCAACAATACCGGATGCACAAATATTATGTAAAGCATTCTGTAACTGATGATGAATATTCATTGATAAAGCTTGTGTCGTTGGCATTGTTGTTGTTGTTGTTGCAGTTGTTGGTGTAGTTCTTTGTTGTTGTTGTTGTTGTTGAAACGTTTTTGGTTGCTGTTGTGTTAATTCATCTAGATTATTTATTTGATCAAAAAATGATTTACTACCACCATTCGGTAATAGACCATGAAGTGATGATGCTAAATTTGGTGTGGCAGGAAAAAATCCTGGTATTGAACCACCAAATAGGCTACGATATCCTACTAGTGAATCAAATATTTGTCTAGTCATAGCCGGTAATTGTAATGATGATGATGACGATGATGATGATGGTGTGGCTGGTAATGGTAAATTATTACCATCATCCATCATATTCAATTTGGCTAGATTTGATGAAAAAATGATGATGATGCTGCTGCTGCTGTGGCTGTTGCTGGCGATGACGATGATGATGATGATGATTGTGGTGGCGGCGGTGGTGGTGGTGGTGCTGGTACGGGATGAAATATCGACAAATCATTCAAATTAATACCACCGATCGAGGATGGTATCGTATTAGTATCGACTATTCCACGTGGATGTATATCGGTATTAAAATTTGTCATCAATGCAGGATTCAATTGTAGATTATTGTTGGTCATTGGTGAATGTTGTTGTTTTGTTGAAAATGATAATGGTTCAGGACCATTATTGAACATGAATTGATTGATATCCTGTGTACCGAAATGCGATGATTCTAGCGGCAAACAACCTGTGCCTAATGAATTTGTTTCAAACAATTGTTTGGCAATTGGAACAATTTCATGCTGTTGCTGCTGCTGCTGCTGTTGATTATGATTATGGTGATTATGGCCACGTATTGTCATTGCTTTTTCATAATTTGCTTTATGTCGTACAAATGAATTTTTTGGTTTTTTCTTATTCAAACCAAATTTTTTACGTATTTCACTAAAATCCGTTTCAATCGGTACTTTAATCGTCATCATTCTTTGTATCATAGTTTCAGTATCAAATTTTGTTAAATCATTTTGTGATGAAGATTCTTGTATCAATACATCAATCGTTTTCAATATATCACCATTACAATTGTTCAATGTTGTTTCCAAATGATGATCATTGATTTTTGGAAATATTTTCTCCAATATTTTGATTACATTCATCGATTCTTGTTGCTGTTGCTGCTGCTGTTGTTGTTGTTGTTGTTGCTGCTGCTGCTGTTTTTGTGACTCTACACGTGCCTGTTTTTTTCGACCATTTGTCATCATCATCATCATCATATCATTGGTCGAAGAAGATGAAGAAAAATTTGTTGCTGCTGCTGATCTTTTTGCCGTTGTTGTTGTTGCCAATCGTCGGATTGTTCCATTTATCGTTGATGATGATGACGATGATCGTTGTTGTTGTTGTTGATGATTTATCGTTGCTGCTGATTCATCTTTTGTTTCAATAGTGGTAGCTGTGAATTAATAAAAGAAAAAACAAAAGTCAAATTCAAAAAAAAAATTTCAATAACGAACAAGAAAAAAAAAGGTTGCAAACATCCCCAATCATAATCATAATCCCAAATAATGTTTGACATTCCAATGACACGCTCAATTATTATTATTTCCAATTTCCATTATTTATCCGATCGGTGTGTTATATTAATTTAATTAAATTTGATTAATCTCTCACTTTTTTTTGTTGTTCACTTCATTGTCATTTATATGATGTGTGAAAATAACCACCATCACCACCACCATCACCACCATAATTCCCCCCACCACCACTGTTATTGTCATAATAATAATAATAATTCTCGGCTTCATCATTCATTCATTTCTATATGGAAAAGCATCCAATTTTTTTCGATTCTGTGTGCGATTCGATTTGGCTATTTCGTTTTTTTTTTTTATTATTCATTGTGTGTATTTGGATGTGTGTGTGTGATGCGTTATTATTAAAATATTCTATACATTTTTTTTCTCTCTGGCTAAAATATTTCTATTTTTCATTTTCTCTGGTTGTAGTTTTTTTTTTTTAGAAAGAATTTTTTTCCCTCCATCATCATCATCATCATTGGATTCATGATGATGTATTAAATTGACTCGAAAGGAATTTTTTGTTTTGTTTTGTTTTGCCTCTCTCGCTCTTCTTTTTCTTTTATTGTGGATTTAATATTTGAAATTATTATCACGGTTGTGTGTGTGTGTGTGTGTGTATGTGTTCCAGAATCAACACAGAACCTTCGAATATTTTTGTTTGTTTGTTTGTGTGACAATGACAGTTTTATGAGTTTTCATTTATTCACTCTCTATTTCTGCGTTTTATATTTGGACTGGTTTCATTTATCGTTTCGAATGAATAAATGAAAATAAAAATGTAGAAAAATATGGAATTTGACATTTTTTTTCCATTTCATTTTTGCAATTTTTCATTCATTTATTCATCGATTATGGTGATGATGATGATGATGATGATGATACACTTTGAAAATGTTTTAAAAATTTAAAATAACACACACACACACACGTGTGTTTGCATTATTTTTGTATTGAAAAAGTAGATGAAAAATCAATCTATAGGTCACACACACACACATTTTATTTCATTTCATTTTGTATTGATTGATTGATTGTTTTTAATGCATTATTTTGTTGTTGTTGTTTTGGTTAAAATATAACTTATTTTTGTTCATTCGAAAACAATGGGCCATTTTGACCAAATTTGAGCTTTTTGTGTGTAAATGTTTTTTTTTCATTTCATTTTTTTGTGGCATGATCATCATTCGAACATTTTGCCTTAAATGTAAATATTTTTTTGTTTGTTGTTGTTGTTATTGTTATTTTTTGTTGTTTTTTTTCTTCGTAGATCAACACAAATAGATCCATTATTTAAATAATATATATATATACATTCGTCACTCTATATTTCTGGCTATACGACACCTTCAATTTGTTTTTTTTTCACGCTCTCTCTCTTTCTTGCTCTTGGTTTTTATCACTTAGCGTGTTTGCAAATGAATTTGTTTCGAAACAACGAAAAAAAAACTCTATCTGATGGTGGCGGGGGTAAGTTAGACCAATATTGAATTATTGAATTGAAAAAAAAATCCTAAATGGATTTGTCTCGATTCGCTGTTAAGCCAATTTTATTTGTGTGTTTGTGTGTGTGTGTAACAATAAACAACACACAAACACAGTGAGTGAATATTGATGTAAATATAAAATGTGAATGTGAATGAATCGAATTGAATTGAATTGATGAATGCAAAATGTATTTTTGCACGTTTGTTTCTGATTTATCAAGATGTGTGTGTGTGTGTGTACGAGTGTGTTAATGGAACTATTGTTTGGGTCCGGAAAAGCCTATTTAGTGTTTTCATAATAATAATAATAATAATATTTTCTGGAACGATTTCGTTTTTTTTTTTGGTTTTGACATTTCAAACTCCAAAAAGTAAAATCAAAATCATAAATGTATGGATTGTATTGATCTTCTCCAGTGTTCAAATATTCAAACACACACACACACAGTCACACACATACAAATAAATTTACTGTATTGATGATGATAATGATGATTGTTTCAAGCAGACATTGTTGTTGTTGTTGTGTTCGTAACAATTAGAAATGACACACACACACACAAACAATCTCTTTTTCTGCGTTTGACATACGCAAGATGAAACTTTTTATTTTTATTATCATTTTGCCTATTTGTAACACAAGTAGTAGGTAGTGTTTCAATTGGAACCCAAAGAAACAAACATAACAATGACCATTGGTCATTTGCCAGTCCTTATATTTTTTTTTTTTTTTTTTTTTTTTTTGGGTGACAAAGTTGATTTTTGTTGTTGTTGTTGTTGTCGTTGTTGTTGTTATTGTCACTTTTAGGAAGTGTCAAAGAATTTTTTTTTTCTACGACACACTCAAGTAAAAATGTCACTCCCATTCATTCACATTAATTCACTCACGAAAAGATTTGAATCAATCAACAGAAAAATCAATCAAAATCAATGGATAGTTTTTGCAAAAAAAATTTTCTTTTCATCTTAAGTTTTATTTTTGAATGATGATTTGCCCTCATTCGTAAAGTTTTTTTGTTTGTTTGTCGATAATCAATATTATAAGTGGCTGTCATCATCATCATCATCGATGGATCGATCGATCGATTTTTGGTTTATTTTTTTTTTCACCCACTATTGTCATCTATTTGTTGTCTTGATCAATCAATCAATACAAGAGAATGAAAATGAAAAAAAAAATTCATCATCATCATCATCAGAGGTCAGAGGTCTTTTTGGTTCAAAAAAAATGTTCCGATTTTAATTAGATCAAATTTGTCAAACATTTTTTTTCTTCTTCTCTAAACGGCTGAAGCCATTGCTTGTCTTACACGAGATCAAATAAAAAAAAAATTTGAAAATGGAGATTTCTTGAAAGTTTCCAACAATTTTCATTCATTTTATTGTTTCTGGTTAAATGTGAAAATATGAAATTTTTCGCTCTCATATTCTATTGTTTGTCATCATCAAGATCCTTAGACACACACACACATACATAAATCTTAAGTACGACGATGACGACGACAACGACTACGACTTAATCACCGAAATAATAAGGTCGGGTCCGGTTTTTTTTATTACTATTTTGGATCAAACTCTCTAAATGTCTGTTATTGACATGTTTAGATCAGTGTGTGTGTGTGTGTTGTAATAGTAAACATACAGTTTAGCAGACACAATGCAATGTTACCAGATGTATATCTACGATTTTTTTTTTCAGGTTTCCAAAATTGTCATTGTCAGTGTGTGTGTGTGTGTGTGTGTGGCACATTGATTGGATATTATTATTATTATTATTTAGAAACCTAAAGTTTAGGTCCTAAACAATTGAAAATATTTTCAACCATCAAAAAAAAATAATAAAAAAAATGGAACAAAAAATGATTTTATCAACGGATTTTCATCGAATGAAATGAAAAACAAAATTGAATTAAACACATCCATTCATCGACAAAGAAACAGTGGTTTTTTTCTCTTTCCAACACATAATCGAATCAAAATTGATTGAGAAAAAAAACAATAACAAATGTTTATCATCCATCAAGCCTCCATTTTTTTCATTCATTGAAAAAAAAAATTTATGTGAAAAACATATTTACCTGATGATGATGATGATGATGATGATGATGATGATAATGATTGTGTCATATTGGCCGTAGTTGTAACATATTGTTGTTGTTGTTGTTGTTGGTGACGATGCTGATGATGATGATGAGAATTTTGTTCTGATAAAATCTCTTGATGATGATCACCTGCCATTGTCAATGATTGGTCATTGATTTTTTCTTCATTTTCATTTTCATTTTCATTTGTTATGGATAAAAATGTCCCATCATCGTCATCATCATCATTGTCTTCATTTTGTTCGCCGCTTGTAATCATTAGATTTGTTGATGTAACACCTTGATCGATATCTTTCAATTCTGTTGCTGTTGTTGTTGTTGCTGTTGTTTGATGTTGCATTAATTGTGCCATTGCTGCTGATAATGTTAATCCAGCTTTATGCATAGCAACCAGACCATCTTGACATCCGTATAGGATTCCCATTTCATGTGCTTCATTTTCTTCTTGTGCCTGTTTGTTTTTAGAATTTTCAATAGAATTTTGTGTTATTATTTCTGGCAATGAAATTTTTACCTTCCAAAAACAAAAAACAAAAAAAAAATTTACCTGTTGACGACGTAATGCTACCTGTGCAGCCATAACCCGTTGTCTTTCGGCAATCAATGTACATTTTGCACACATACAATCTTTCCAACGGCAAAATCTTTTATGACCTTTTAATGCCGATACAACACCATGATTACGACAACGTGCACATTTTGGTGTACGTTGATATCGATCATTATTATTAGCCATCAATAATGCAGTCGATGGTGATGTTGATGATGATGATGATGATTTTCGTTTCATAATTGAAGACGGTGATGATGATGATGATAATGATGATAATGATTCTGGTGGTTGTGATAATGGTGATATAATCATTGATTCATCATTTGAATCAATATCGGCAGATAATTTTCTTTGATGATTACGATGATGATGATGATCAGTAGTTATGGCCAAAATATTATGGCTATTATTATCCATAATTTTTGAAACAAAAAAAAATTCAAAATTTTCGATACATCACACACACACTGAAACACTTTTCACTTTGAAATGACAATCCAGTTGTGCGTGTTGATTAGCAAAAAAAAATCATTGATCTGTTTGGAACATGCTCAAAAAACTTGGAAAATTGGTAACTTGATAATAAAAATAACAATAACAATAACGGACCAATCGATTCATTCAACATATAATGATGATGATAACTGAATATACAAGAGATGGTAATCGTGAAAAAAAGGCGGGTATTTGTCCAAAAAAAAAACTTTTTTTCTTGCATTGAATAATGTATCCCGATTTGGGTGTGTTTATGTGTGTGTGTGTGTGTGTGTGCGTGAATTTGTAACTGTACAATTTACAATATCAAATTTTTTCATTCATTCATTCATTCATTCGATGAGAAAACAAGAATCAAAATAAAAAATGGTAATAAATCGTATCGCTATTGGCTATATATTTATAGTCTGGACACACACACTCATACACACAACATCAGCTAAATATATAGATAAGGAGTAGGGAGAAGAAGGTAGGTAGGTAAGTAAGTAAGTAACAGTGTACAGTAATAATAATAATATTTCCGATTTTCTGTAACGAAACATTTTTCTTGTTCTTGTTCTTGTTTGTTATATATATATATAATTTTGGGGTTGTAACCAAAACGGGTGGAGACACAAATCGTTTGTTGTTGTTGTTGTTGTTTGTCTCTATATTTGTAAATTGTGTAACTGTTATGTATGTGTGTATGTTTGTTTGTGTATCATGAATGTTTTGTATTTTTTTTTCCTGTTATATACAAGTCATTGTGTTACACAATTGAAAATTTTTTTGTTTTGTTTTGTTCGTATGCGCAAACACATCTAGACTTTATAAAATTGGTGAGAATGACTATCTATCTATCTATCTATCTATGATCATCATCAGCCTATATTCATTCGTTGATGGATGGATGGATGGATTGAATGAATGAATGAATGAATCGGGCGTCATGATTCGTCAATTCTCACAATATTTGTGGGTGGGAACAATTCATATCACACAAGCATACACAATTTTTATTTGAAATCAAAAGTATCGTCCCATTTTCTTTTAATGATTCAGTTTTTTTTTGTATGGTGGCTCCCAATTTTTTTTTTCTTTAGATCTGTACACGGGGGTGGATGGTGGAAGAAATATTTGATGAAAAATGTGAACAAAAAAGTAAGAAAAAAAAAACCATTTGTGTCTGCATGGTGGTGAATGGTTCCAACAACAATGATAATAATGAAAAAAAAATTCTGGAATGAATAATGAATCTTGAAACTTTTTTTTTTCTTAAACAACACACACACACACACATTCCTTACATTCCAATTGAGACTTAATATCGATTGATTTTGGATCATTTCATTTTTTTGATATGATCATCAATATATAATACCCATGTGTACAATGATTCGAATTTTTTTTTATATATATGAAAACAATATACATACGCCATCTGTTGAAGATGATCGATATTAAAAAAAAATATTCGAAATATTGCCCATTTTTTGTTTTTGAATGTTTTGTCCACTAATCACATTGTTGTGTTGATCATGATCATTCATGAATCATGATTATTGAAATTTTTGATTTACATGAAATATTGCAATGACAGAAACAAAAAAAAACATGTACACAACGAGTACATCGATCATCATCGTCATTATCATTGAATCTTATCAAATCAACAGACAAACAAACATGATCAATATGTGTTGCATGCCCATAAATGTATGTATGTGCGTGTGTGTGTCTGTGTTTTTTTGAATCAAACACCGCCATCAAGGTAACCGAGACGACCAGTTTGTTATTTTTTTTTTCTCAATCACAGCCATAAGAAGATATATTGAATCATCATCACTGTTGTGTATTCATCAGTTTTACGCTGATTTTTTTTTGATCATCATCATTGGAAAAAAACATCGTCAACATGCTCACATCTTCTTTTTATCGATTGGACCAAAAGAAAAAAAAATTCTACTCAACTTCACTTGACCTTTTCATTTAATTAAATTCGATTTAATGGATTTATCATTGAAATCATATGGTATTGACAATAATTTTGTCCAAATAATCATCAATTGTTTTTTCAATCAATTTTCATTTTTTTATTAAAATCATCAAAATCAGGTGAGTTTCTTTTTTTTTGTTTATAATTCTGTATTTTTCTTTCTGTTTGTTGAAATACCGTCATTATTTAGATTGACCTTAAGTGATATCGTGTGTGAGTGTAGGTGTTATGTTTGTTTTTTTTTGTCATCAAAATTATGATGATTTATGTGTACCTCGGTTATGTGTGTGGTTATGGTTTTTTTTCACATGATTTATATGATGTGATGTGATTTTTGTGTATGTATTTTTTTTTTTGTTGTCAAATAAATTTTAACCAGTGATATTTCAAAACTGAGCAACAGGATTTTAGATTTTTTTTTTTTTTTTGAATGTCAAGATAAAAAATGTGGTGTGAGTGAAAGACAGCAAAAAAAAACCAGAATTGCGAAATTTTTTTTTTTTTTCACTGCAGTGAATCATGATTTATTTCTCAATTTCACCATCATCAATCTCGTGTATTTGATCGATCGAAACGAATTGGTGAATTTTTCAAATGAAAAAAAAATCGATCGATTGATTTATCGGCTTTTTTTTCTTTTCCTTGTTTCTTAATAATTCTTTTATATATTCATCAATAAGATTTAACATATTCAATTGGTGAATTTTGATTTTTTTAAATAAACATATCGATTCCCGAAAAAGTTTTTCCTTTTTTTTCATTGTGTGTGTTTATACGCTTTTTTCTCCTTCAAAGTGATTAATCGAATTTGATTCCGGATTTATTTGGAAACATTCAAAAGAGAGAGAGAGAGAGAGAAATGGCAAATATAATGGATAATCTTTCAAGATTTTAATAAGTCAGTTTTGTCGTCACACCATGCATGCATGCATGCATGCAATTCATCAATGATGTGTGGTTCAAACCGAATCGAATAATGCTGGATGATGACTAAATTCTTTTGATTTATTTCGTCATTAAAATTTATAATAATACTGCTCATTTCGGTTGGCAACATAGACATACACATGCACAATGATGATGATTGATTGATTTGTTTGAAAAAAAAGAAGTTGATGTTAATAAAAATAACAGTTATTCAATCAAAATAGAAAAAAAATCTTTTCTTTCTTTCTTTTTTTTTCTTGTTGAAAATCAATGACAAAAACCTTGAATTCTCCAATCTCTCTAAATCATTTTCCAATTCGACCTATAGATTATTGTTTGATTGATGTTGTCCATCCATTCTTCTACATTCAAATTTTTTTTTGCATATATATCTGCGATTTCAAACGCACGCACAATAAAAAGCATCATTTAGAGCCGCACCACGACAACCAATTTTTTTTCGTTTAGCCTCTAGAATGTTATTGTTGTTTAAATGATCATCGGCGTTTATTGTTGTTGTTGTTGTCGTTGATGTTGATGATGATGATGGCTGCCACTAATTTGTCGACAATCATCAACATCAACAGCAACAACAACAACAACTATCGAATGTGAAACCGAATAGTGTGTGTGTATATATCATCAAAGCTTCTTCTGCGAATGTTTTTTTTCCATGCACCAAAATTTTATAATAACGGCCCAATGGTGTAGTGTTTTCTGGTTTTTTTTCTGGTCGATGTTTGTGCATGTTGTGATGAATCGAATCGAATTGAATTGAATCAAATCACAGATTTATGTTCGTGTGTATGTGCATGTGTTTCTGTCTGTTGTTTTGTATATGCATTCATTCGTAATAAAAAAAAATTATTATTATTTCCAATGATGATGATGTCGATCAATTTCCTTTTTGTCACCAACAAATAAACATATATAAAAAATATATTTTCCTCTGATTTTCAACACTGTATTATAATCCATCATCATCATAATAATTTTTTTTTGTTTAATTCCTTTTCGTATTCTTTCTTCTTTAGTGCCAAATCAACTTCAACGAATGGACCAATAATAATTCAATTTTTATTGTTATTGTTGTTGTTCACTTCCTTTCATCCATTATCATTTTTTTTCATTTTTACTCATTAAAATTGTTTTACAGGACAATTGAATATAATGTCTAATAATCGTAATCATTCACCATCATCATCATTATCAAATACATTAACATCGGAATTTACAACATCCGAATCTGATGATGGTAGCAGTACTAATAGTTGGAATTCAAATTCTTTGCGTCCATTTCAACGAAATGGTGCATTCAAAAAGAAAGAATATTCATTAGTTCTTGATCATCGATTTCATCCACGTTACTTTAAACAGCCAACATTCTGCAGTCATTGTCGAGAATTTATTTGGGGTTTTCTAAATAAACAAGGCTATCAATGTGAGGTAATTTTGGTTTTTTGTTTTTGATTCATTTTTCCTATTATATTTTTTTTAATAATTAAAAAAATTCATACTCAATACACAGGTTTGCTCACTAGTTGTACATAAACGATGTCATGAATTGGTCACATTTAAATGTCCTGGTGCCGATAAAGTTATCGATACCGATCCACGTAAAGTACATCAATTTCAGTTACATACCTATGCGACACCAACTTTTTGTGATCATTGTGGTTCTATGCTTTATGGTCTTTATAAACAAGGCTATCAATGTCGATCATGTTTAATGAATTTTCATAAACGTTGCCGTTCAAATGTTCCCAATCTATGTGGATGTGATGCAGTAGAAAAACGAGGCCGTATTGAATTGAGAATTCAAGTGAATACATTCGATGATGACAATAATGATAATAATGATTTTCATTTTGAAAACAACAACAAAAACCTTAGTGTTAATGTTAACAATGATAGCAAAATGGTCATCTGTTGTGATATACGAAAAGCAAAAAATCTTTGCATAATGGATCCAAATGGACTATCGGATCCATATGTTAAAGTAAGACTTTTATCAAGCAATCAACAATCGTTAAACAATAATCGTTCATCAATGACAAAATATAAAACAAAAATCATACGTAATACATTGAATCCAGAATGGAATGAACGTATTTGTATTGAGATTGGACCACAAGATCGTGATAAACGACTTTTAATCAGTGTTTGGGATTGGGATCGTACATCACGTAATGATTTTATTGGTTCATTATCATTTGGTGTATCGGAATTGATGAAACAATCCGTAGAAGGATGGTATAAACTGTTGAATCAAGAAGAAGGTGCCTATTACAATGAACCATTGCCACCACCTGGAGAGAATCTAATCGATTATCTACAAAAGCTACATATAAATGTACAACAAGAACAACAAATACGGAGAGCCGTTTCTGAAAAAAATCATGATGACAACAATCGTTATGATACATCAAAAGATGCCTTATTCCATTCTCTTACAAGACATAAAGATTTCAAATTATATGGTTTTGATTCATTTAATATATTGAAAATATTGGGAAAAGGTAGTTTTGGAAAAGTATTGTTAGCTGAATCGAAAAAATTTCCGATCAATTGTATGCAATCAAAGTGTTGAAAAAAGATGTTCTTGTCATGGCTGATGATATTGAAAGTGCAATGATTGAAAAACGTGTACTCGCCTTGAATGATAAGCCGCCATTTTTGCTTGGATTACATTCCTGTTTTCAGGACCGAGAACGTTTATATTTTGTTATGGAATATGTTACCGGTGGTGATCTTATGTTTCAGATACAGAAATTCCGTAAATTTAAAGAACCTATTGCTTGTTTTTATGCTGCCGAAATTGCAATCGGTTTATTTTTCCTACATGGACGTGGTATTGTTTATCGTGATTTAAAATTGGATAATGTTCTACTTGATTCCGATGGACATATAAAAATTGGTGATTTTGGTATGTGTAAAGAAGGTATTTTCGGTTCGAAAACAGCACATACATTCTGTGGTACACCGGATTATATTGCTCCTGAAATCATTAAAAGTATTCCTTATTCAAAATCTGTTGATTGGTATGTATGAAAATGCCTATTTTGTACATTTTTAATATTAATTCATACAATTGATTCACAGGTGGTCATACGGTGTCCTTCTGTACGAAATGTTAACCGGTCAGGCACCATTCGATGGTGAAGATGAAGATGAATTATTTCAGAATATTCTTGATCATAATGTTTTATATCCAAAATTCATTTCCAAAGAGGCAAAAGATTTATGTAAAGCTTTCCTTGTGAAAGATCCACAACAACGTCTTGGCTCCGGTATCAATGATGAGATAAAAATCAAAGATCATCCATTCTTTCGTCGTATTGATTGGATTAAAATTAAAAACAAAGAAATACAACCACCATATAAACCACATATAACAGATGATCGTTTGGTGGAAAATTTTGATCCAAATTTTACACAAGCAAAATTAAGTATGACACCTAGTGATAAATCAGTAATTGCTAACCTGAATGGCAATGAATTTGAAGGTTTTTCCTATGTTAATCCACGATATATATGATGATGATCATTTAGACAATCCACAATGTATTTGGCATTTTCGGGTAATTGTTATTATGGTTATAATTTTCATTTTGTTTTATTTTTTTTTTACTTGTTGCATAATAAAAGTTTTTGTTTGTTTTAAAATATCTACAATTAACAATATTATTTTTTAAAAGATTATTCATCATCCATCAATGATGATGGTAATTGATTTTCAATCTCAAAATGTACAAATAATGGCCACCACCAGAAATATTTAATGAAATTTTTTGATGAATTATTATTATCATTATTGACGTCAGAATCGACATTAAATGTATGATCAAGAATAATATTCTTGAATCTGCTAACATGAGAACGACGAGTAGTAGTAGTAGTTTTTAATTTTTGAAAAAATTCTTTTTCCATACACAATGAATGATAAGTCCAAAAAATTTGTGTACAAACATAAACACTTGCAATTATATCGATTGTATAATGTTGATGTGATATGATCAAACTTGTTATGGCTACAGTACTTAATAACCAATGAATTGTTTTCATCAAAAAATATCCACATTTAACACCATAATAAGTATTTAAAGCTACTGGATAATAATAGGTATCGATAAATAAATGAACCATAATGATAATGATTGTATGGCCAGAAAATATTTGATCACCACAAAGACTAATTTTTCTTTGTGTTACAAAACCAAATGTTTGTGAAAATTCAACCATACGATCGATGATTGCCATTGAAAATTCACCAATAGTAATGTTGGATGAAAATTTTGGTGAACAAGAATTACAAATACTTGGTGGTAATGTTGTACTGGGGAAAAATAATGATCGTACCATATAAGCTAATCCAGTGATGATTGTAAATCGACGAAATATTCGTTCACGATCCAAATGGAAAAATAAAACAATTAAAAATGAAAGATTCTGTATAGTTATATATAGTTCACAGAATACGATTAAATCATCGATTCGTGGTAATAAATCAAATCCAACATCTGGTAATGGTTTCATTTGTATTGGTACTCTTTCATGTGTCAACGAAAGCATCAATGAATTCAATAACATTCCTGTTGCCATGAATATTAATGCCATTAAATTGATTGAATGTCGTTGCCATAAAGTGTTGATAATTTCTTTGGCTTGTAGCATTTCAAAAAATAAGAATAAATTTTCATTTTTGGATTGTTTATTACAATTATATATAACAATCGAATTTTGATTTTAGAATATTAATAATGTATAATTGATTGATGATCGGATTCGAAAAAAACCAATAATGACCACCACCAAAATCGATTAAACATATTTCCATTGGATGGATATTGAAACGATTCATTCATACAAATTGTATGATAGATGTTAAATGTTCGTGTACAGATATAATATGCGAATAAAATATCGACCAAATAATTCGTACGAGATACTATTATCAATAGAATCGATAACCAACAATTGTAAAGTAAAAGTTTATCGAATATCCATCTTATTTGAAAACGATTAGATTTGAAATATGTCGTTAGAAATTGATAAGCCAAAATAATATGAATCGCACGAATATTATCAATATTGCTACCACAGAAATTTCGTTGATCATCGTCATTCAAATAGAACACAAAGAAACGAAACAATTCTTGCCATGATCGTTTCGTTAGTTCCCAAATAAACTGGCAATTGGTAACATTCGTTGGAATTCGTTCATGACAATAATTTCTGTTATTAGAAACTGGTAATTGTGTAGCCGCCAAACAAACTGCATGAGTGAATATTGTAATACCGGTAATTATACAAAAACGTCTAGCGATTAGCCAACCAAATTGATTTGTAATGAAAACAATCATCAACGCTATTCCAAGAAACAATGAATGAAATTTTACTAAATATATGGCATAACGACGATATGGCAAAAATTCGAATCCAATATCAGGCAATGGATATTCCTGTAATGGTAATCGTTCATTGAAAATGACAATTAAAACAGAATTTAGATATAAATTGGCCAAATAGAATATGAATGCAAAAACTGTTTTACAAACAACAATTCGATTCATGATGATTTTAGGCGTAAATAATAAATTAATAGGAATTATTTGGGTTGGGAATTAAAATATTTAATTAATTTTCAAAATAATTTAATATAAAATTTTTTTCAGTTACTACCATTATGAATAGATCTTTACCAGTGGGGTCACATGACTAAATTTATTCGAAAATTCGATCGATTCATTCAATTTTTATTTTTCTAATGGCTACAGCTACTAATAATTTTAGTGATAAAATCGATCAATCCCAGTCTATTACCAATCCATTACCATCGTTAGAAGATTATTCCAATAATGTCGAGAATATCATTCAAAGAGTTAATTATCGATTTGCAAAAAATCAATCAAATTGTCATACTATACTTTATTATGGACATGATACTGATCGTTTACGACTAGTTGAATTTTTGTTTGGTCAACATATTGTATCCAAATCTAAATGGGATGTTCATCTGATACGTACGAATCTTTTACCGAATCTTTTTGATCATCAACAGGCTCGAGAATTGATTCGAACAACCAAACAAATGAATGATTTATGTTTTTTGAAGATTTACTATTTAGAGAATCGTAAATCGCTACTTGATCATTTGTCGAATATAAGTGCTAGTAACCGAAAACAATTACTACCTAAAGCTTTCATTATTGATGATATAATGGCATATGTGGTTGATTCATCATTAACTGATCAAACAAGCAATGAACATCGACAATCAACCGTTGATACAACAGAAACAACAGATCCCGAACCTCAAAGAAAACGGTTTCGAACAAATTCCTGGAATCGATTGGAAGAAAAATTTCAAAGTCTAATTCGTATTATAAGTGGTTCAATTGATACTCTTGAGTATTGTGCACAACGATTACAACGTACAACATATTTAATAGTCAAAATTGATCTGCATACATTTTATCCAGCCGATCCATCACTACAAAAAGATTTATTGTTTAAATTAAATCGATCTCATTTTAAACATAAAATTAATGTCGATAAAATACCTTTTGAAATGGATTAATTCGAATTATTCCAATTTTATTTTATTTTTTTAAATACCTTAGTCTTTATTAAAAATAAGATTTTATTCATAGTTAACAGTTTAAATGCCATGTCATCCATATATTATGGGTGATTTAAAGTGTTAAAATTACCGGCAAAATTTTAACTGGAAAACTTTCCGAAATGTTTTTAAAATTTAATAAAAAAGAATATTTCCGAAATGAGTCCGAGTTCACCTTTGTTGAGATTTGTTTTGTGTTTTTCTGTTCACACATTTTTACTTGTGGTCACCGAAGAAAAAAGTGTCTAAATTTTTTTTTACCAATCGAATCAAAACTTTTCATTTGATAAACAAAAAAATGTTGATCAAAACTATTAGCAGCAATCTACGATCGGTGATTTCATCACGATATGGACGTAAGTATATAATTTTGTATTCGATAATTTTGATCAAACAATAAAATTTCAATGAAATAGAATTGTCTCAGCTACGATCTATGTCATCTCAAGTGGAAAATATGGGTCTTGCTGAACCTAAACATGGTCGTAAAGAAACCGATGAACAATTCGATCAGCGTTACATTCAATATTTCAGCCGACCAGATATTGATAATTGGGAATTGAGAAAAGGTATCAATGATCTACATGGTATGGATTTGATTCCTGAACCATCGATTATTATCGCTGCACTTGAAGCTGCACGTCGATTGAATGATCATTCGATTTGTGTACGATTTTTGGAAGCCTTACGATGGAAAAGCCGTTTCGATAAAAACATTTATCCATATTTGATTCAAGAGATTCGTCCAACATTGGATAAATTGGGCATCAGTACACCAGAAGAACTTGGCTATCATGAACCTGAATTAGTGATCGAGGATTGTTTTGATAAATAATTTTCATTCAAATGATTGATGATTAATTGTAAAATGTATTTCGCGCTTTTGTGTGCTTAATCATAAAATATAGCTTATATTCGTAAATCAAATTGAATAATGTTTTGAGGTAGTGTATTCAATGATTTCATTTTTAAAGAAGTGATCAAATTTTGTCCCAATCCTGTTGTTGATCAGTACCGAATATCGTAAAAATTATATCGCCAAACAAATATATAGCTATTGTTATGTAAAATACAAAATTCCATTTATCTATCGGTGTATCACCACCATATGAATCAGACCGTTCGAATACTGAACCAACAAGCCATGGACCAATGATACCCATAAGAAATGCCAATGAATGTGCGAAACCAACAATAGAACCAGCATAATTTCGTGCATAATCCGAAACGATAGTCCATTCACCACTGGTAAAGAATCCATGCAAAAACATAGCTATGATCATTAAAGTAAATACGATTTCTTTGCTACATTGTTGTTCATGATGATAATAAGTGATTCCAAGCAAACAGATAGCCGGTCCAATCATGGCAATATTTTGTGATATTTTACGTGTCAATAATGGTGACATTTGAAAATGTTTGATTAAATAATTACAGATAATTGGACTTAGAAATGATCCGATACCAAAAGCTGCAACAACTAAGCCGCTCATTAGACCATTCTGTTCAATTGTCAAATGGAATATGATTGCAAAATAGGAAGGCATTTTGTTCAAGATTAGAAAAAATCCAAAAGCACAGCACATTTTACAGATGACCGATGACCATACAACCGGTGAAACAAGAATTCTTAACCATGGTGTGCGAATTTCGCTTTTCTATTCGAAAATTATCATTGACATTGATGAATTGAATAAATGTTTCGCTACATACCTTTGAAAGTGTTGATGGTTTTATTGTCATGACATTTTGTTGTTGTTGTTCCCGTTCTATAAATTGTAATTCCATATCAGAAATTCGTTTGTTGGCGTGTGGATCATCTGATCCATACCAAAGCCATAAAACTATCCAAGGTATATGGATAGCTGCCATTACATAGAATATCATATGCCAACCTATCGTCGTCGAAAATGTACAAAGATGTCCAGCCAAAAGATACATTCCAGAACAACCTATTGCATTGCCGATTTGCATCCATGAATTTGCACGTGTACGTTCATCACCATAAAACCATCTGCTAAACAATGAAAACCATGCTGGATATGTGAATCCATGAAATCCACCAATCATTATTTGAATAATTATCAAGGCAATATCTTGATAATAATCTATTGCTAATGGAGCTATTGCCGATAGTATACATGGACCAAGTACACCAATGAATGCAAACCATTGTCCACCATAACGATCAGTGAAACTGCCTATTATCGTGGGTAAACACCAATATAGATAGAATGATGCTCCAATTATAGTGCCCTGAAATATAGGATACCAATTTACCATTCATTGATTTCACTATTGAATTGACCATACTTGCTTATTCTGGTTCCAATCAAAATATCGATTTTCAGCCGATAGTGTTCGATTCGATGATGATGATGATGATGAAGACGATTTCATTTGAGTCATATAGACCAATGCTACACTAACACCGGCACGATACATGAATAATAAGGCACATGCATACATTCCTAACATTCCAATAATCAATCGGGTCGACATTTTTTTTTTTTGTTTTGTTTTTTTTTGGATCGGTTATTTTCGTCAGTTGTCGGTAAACCGAATGAAAAAATATCCGTATACTTATCCGTTAATTATAATTTTTTTCCCTAGTTCTTATGACCTTTTTTTCCCATTTCAAACCATTTTTTTTATGACCAAACAAATGTCAACAAACTGAAAATAATTTTATTTTTGCCGACCGATTTCATGTTCAATTTTTTTTTTGTTTGTTTGTACAGATTTTGTGGAGATGGGAGATTTTTTTTTAAATAATGTTAATAAACTCAACTCTAAATTTTTTTGTTTTGAAATAATGATTAAATCTTAATAAAATTGTTTTTCATAATTTTGTATTCATTAATTCATTAATTGATTATAATTTGATAAAAAGCAAACAAAGTACAAACATCAACCAGTAGTAGTAAACATCATCATAAAACTATTTTGCAGAATGAGCACCAATATGGCCTTGATTGATATTCACTGTTTTTTGATTGATGACAACAATCATCATCATCATCATCATCATCAAAAAAGTGATTCAATTGAATAGCGGATGATGATGTACCCATGTACACTGACTACTCTCGCTCTCTCTCTCTCTCTCTCTCTCTCTCCTCTCTCTATTAAATTACAACAATTTATCATTCAATATATTTTAAATGAATCAAGGATACAGCTGACAAAAACAAGAAACAACTACGTAATCAATTGGCAAAAACCAGTGATTTCGTTCAATCATTCCAGAAATTTATTGCATTGGATTGATGGTGAATAATTCATTTTTTTTTACAGCTCAATCAAATTATTTGTCATCGATTTTTCGGTATTATTTTATCATCATGTAAAAAACACACACATACTTGTGAGATTAAATCAGGAAAAAAATATTAAATTAGTCTATATGACTATATGATTTGAGTCCATTCGATACAGATACTTTATATTGTGGTTCCCATAGTGATTAACTAATTGTTTTTTTTTAAATAGATTATAATGTTTCCAGGCTATAAAATCTCCTTACAAATATCGAAGTAACATAATGGTGGATAATGATAATCTAGACACAATGTTGCGAAGAGAGAACAACAAAAATAATGGAACGGATATTAGTGTGGATGATGAACAGAAATTTGCTGCAAAGTACAAGATCGATCATAAACGACGATATTATCCATTCACAATAGTATGGACACCTGTTCCGATTATTTCATGGCTATTTCCACATGCTGGACATCTAGGTATTGGTAAATCCGATGGTAGTGTAAAAGATTTTGGCCGACCATATAAGATTCTTACCGATAGTTTACAATTTGGACGTCCACTCAAATATTGGATACTCGATCCTCGATTAGCCAAAAATGGCATCAAAGGTTGGGATGATGGTATCGATGATGCAGGAAACGTCTTCTGTAAACGAATGGTATGTTGAAAATGGACAATTCATTCATTCATTCATTCATTGTGATTGTTTTTTTTCTGTTACCATTACAGAATTATGTATTGGTTTCGAATTGTCATTCACATGTATCAACAGCATTGAATCATATGCAATATAATGGCCGTAATGATTATAATGAACATAAATTATTCTGGTTGTTCAATAAAAATTGTCATTATGTTAGGTAGGTTTTTTTTTGAATTTCGTCCCAACATTTGTTATTCATTCATTCATTCATCAATTGTATGATTCATAGCAAATGGACATTCATTCGAACATGGTTACCATTGACATTGATCGTATCGATAATCACCATTATTGTTCTTTATTTTCGAACCAATGTATTTGATGATTTGTTTGATTAAATAAATAAAATAAAAAAAAAATTTTTTTGTTTTTGTTTTATTATAATAAAACTGGAATGGAAAAACTTGAATTTTTCTAAACAACTCAAAGATGGCGTGACAAATCATTTGATATTTTTTTTTTTTTTTTTTTGAAAATTTTCATTCCCGCTGTTCGCAAATCAAATCATGGCCATGAATGTTTTTTTTTCACCATTCATGCAACACATTAAGATTATCATCATCATCATCATCATCATAATCATCACAATCATTTGTCAATCGACTTGTGCAAATATTATTTTCATTAAAATTTTTATTTTTATTAGTAGTAAAAAAATTCGTATCGAATCATTATCGGAATGTGTTGAATACGAACCGAACAAATTCATGGTGTGAATCGAAATGTAGAATAAACAAAACTGATTTTAAAAAATTTCATTTTCAAATTGCAATTCTATTGTATTATCGATTGATTGATTTTTTTTCTGTTTTGTTTTGTTAACATATATTTGTTATAAGAACAAAACCAAAACAGTTCGATTATTGATTCAATGATGACTGATGATTGAAAAACAATAAAATTACATATGTGTTATTATCATTGTCATGTTGTTTTTTTTATCCACATCGGCAAAATTTCTATTTTAACATCGTGTTAATAAAAAAAAAAAAGAAAACATAGTGTTAATTAAATTCTTTACGTCAATAACAACCACATATAACCATTCTAAATCATTCGATCATCATTTGATGATGAGATTGTTGTTTCTAAATATAACTTTCCATTATGTTAATCAAGAGATTGATTGATTTCGATTCTTATCGATCTTTAAATTGTTGTTGTATGTAAATATTTATTCATTCATGAATAAACAAATGTGTTTTTTTCCACAATACAAAAAAAACATCATCATCATCATCACCTGATGAGCGGATATTATTATTATATATTTGAATTTAAGAAAGATGGCCTGTTATGTTAGCCCACACTTGGTACTTAAAGTGTTTATATATATATCATATATCATATCTGTACGGTATTTCGAATTTAATTTATAATAAAACCATAATTATATGATGACGAGAATGACGATAATGATAAGAATTTTTATTTTATTTTATTTTATAATTCATGATGATTCCAAAATGCTTGTTGTTTATTATTATTATTATTATTTGTCACTATCTAAATTAAATCAGTCAAACATATAGATAAAACACACACACACACACACACACACATTCTAAGTTATAAACCTTGAATATTAAACATCATCATCATCATCAACAACAACAAAATGATAAACACCCTTTGGCGACATAATATTTTTTTTTTTGTTTTTATTTCAACAGGTCAGATGTTGTTTTTTTCAAATTCTGCTAAGATTATCATGAGATGTTTGATAATGTTGAAATTATTATTTGTGTAACCATGGTTACAACTATGGATGTGTGTGTGTGTGTGAAGCACCACCTTCTTAAATTTTCAAAAAAACGTTAGGGTATGCCTATTTTGAGAAAAGAGTCATATACCATTCCATACATACTTTTATCTTGTCTGTTTGAATTTATTGGAATTCGCATTCATTGCTGTTTATTTTTTTTTTAACACTTTCAAAATTTTTCGGAATTTTAATTCGCAATCATCATAGGGTATATAAATACCAAAACCATTTTCCAGTCCTATGCCGTTCATTCAAACATTTAGACAACCAAAAATCGAGGTACCACTTTTTGTAGTTCTTTCGTGTTTTTTTTTCTTGTATCCAAGTGTGTGTGTGTGTTGAAAACAAAATGTTGAATCAATTGATAGCCATAAATCATGTTAACCAATATACAATTGGTACAAATAATGATGAAGATGAACATTTGAAAATTAATCATATCAATGATCGATGGGATCATGTACATCTTTATAATGGGCTTAAGCAATATAATATTGATCCAGATAATCGACGTTATCCATGTTGTTTAGTATGGACACCATTACCATTGATTCATTGGATTTTACCGCCAATCGCTTTTATTGGCCATCTAGGCATCGGACGTTCCGATGGTGCTGTACTGGATTTTGCTCGGCCATATCGTGTATCAAGAGATTCGAAAAAATATGGTCGAAGATTAAAAATTCTTCCATTGAATCCTAAATTAGCAAATGGTGGTACCATAGAATCTTGGGATAATGGTATTGAACAAGCTGCGAAGATATTTGCTAAAAAACCGGTAAGTTTTTTTTTTTGTTGTTCGATTAATCGATTAATTGATTGGATCAATAATAACTTACCACATTTGTATTTGTGTTTAGCATCTAGTCTTATTCAGTAATTGTTATACATTCGTTGCATTGGCATTAAATATAATGGAATATAATGGACGTTCTGATTATAGTGGATTAGAATTATTTTGGTTATTACATAATCATTCAGATTATCTTGAGTAAGTGGTTGATGAATCCAAAAAATCCAATCTAACCATATATTATTTTGAATTTCTTTTCATTTCCAACACACCCACACCCACACACCCACACGCACAGTACAAGAGCATTCGTTCGTACTTGGGCACCATATGCTGTGATCATTTTAGTTGCATTGTTTTTACATTTTCTATTCACAAATTTGATTACACTTTAAAAAATTTTTTTTTAAATAGATAGATTTTGGAAATTTTTTGGTTAAATTATCCAAGAATCTCATGATCATTCACGATGATCATTTCATGATCATGGTGATTTGTTAATCACACACATGACAATCTTTTTTATTCATTTTTTGTATCAATTATTGGAATAATTATTGTTCTAGTATATTGAATTTCATAATAAAATAAAATAAAATTAATCAATTTTATATTACAATCCAATGTTTATAAAAATTTCGAAATAAAAACCATGGTGATTAGAGCGCCATCCTACTGGAGTATATCACACACACACACACACACACACACACACACACACACACATTTTGTGAAAATTTTTTTTTTTTTTTTTGAAACACGTACGCATGTACCGATTATATCGATTGGTTTCAAATCATCTGATTAAAATGAATAAACCGAATGATAATACAAAAATGAAGATTACACATATTTTGTTCGATTTTGATGGAACATTGGTCAACACTATTGATACAATTGTCAATATTGTTGAACGAATTGTTACCGAACGCAATAGACAAATGACCAATGAAATAAGAGGTAAATTTCAATCAAAAAAAAAAAAAAAAAAAAAAATGTGTAAAATTGTAATTATATTGTCTTGTAGATTTCATTCCAAATATGACCAGTTATCGATCATTATTGAATGTTATCAATGAAGAATTAAATCTACAGATAACACTGGATGAATTCAAAGTAGATATGCTTCAAAAACATCTGGATGCCGATATAAAATTAATGCCAGGTGTTAAACAATTGGTTGAACATTTATATCATTGTCATATTCCAATGGCTATTGCTACAGGAAATTCAAAGTATAGATTGATGAGTCATTTTTTCTGGTATTTAATTTGAATGAATTTACTTTTTCAGATCATTCTACGAAGTGATTTCGGCTAAATTTGGTAATTTTTTTCCAAAACATTTTCATCATTGTGTATGTGCATATGATGATCAAGAAGTGGCCAATCAAAAACCAAGTCCAGATGTTTATTATATAGCTGCCAAACGATTTCCACAACCACCAGTTAGTATGGAAAATGTTTTGATTTTTGAAGATTCAATGACTGGTTTAAAAGGTGCTATAGCTTCTGGTGCTCATACGGTGTTTGTTACGAAAAATTCCAGCCAAATTCAAACCAAAGAACACAATGAATTAGTGAAAAAAACTGATTTACGGCTGGAAACATTGGAACAATTTGATCCAAAGAAATTTAATCTCCATTCATCAGAATGATGATTCTGGTGATGAATTAGAAAATATAGCCAAATTTAAATGCTCAGATACGTCCTATCTGAATAGAATAGAATTTTTAGGTTTATGTTTTAAGAATTTTGACGTAAATAATTTTTTTTTTATTATGTATACGTTTCGTTAAACGTGATATAAAGAAAATAAATTTGCAAATTTTTAATTAATAAATTGGTGCTAAATGGTGTTTATTGTCTAAAATAAAATTTTTTCATTCATTGTGCCATCATTTGCGTATATTCTATTGTCTTAATTGATTATTTGAACAACAAACAGATGGTATGATGCCTCCGAATGAATCGACATTCGGTTCGTCAGAACGAAAATTTCTCGATGAATTACAACATAATTTTAATCAATTAGCCAGTGAGGCTAAGAAAAAATTTCCACATGTCAAAGAGGTATGCTAATCATGAATAAATCATCGGAATAATAATTGTTTGTGTAAATTTTTTTTTGTTTCAGGCATGTGAAACCGGTATTATACGTGTCCGTAATGTAGCATCATCTGCAGTAGCATCGACCACATTCAAAGATTTACTTGCAAATGAAAGTGCACAATTAATGGAACCATTTTTTATGGGTTGTGATACACGATGGCCAAAATTAGTACAGATCAGTTTAAATGCAATACAAAAATCTATATTATTCGAATGTCTTAATAAACAAGCAGCCGAAAATTTAATCAATTGCCTATGGAATCTTATGGAACATGGCCTAGAAGAAGTGAAAGTTTTACAAACAATCACATTATTGATAACAACCAATCAATTAATACAGGATGAACAATTGGCTAAAATAATATCTTTATGTTTTCGTTTATATAATGCAAAAAATTCTACAACAGCCAATACAGCATCGGCTACAATTCGACAATTAATAACGGCCATATTCGAAAGAGTTGTCAATATTGACAACACAGCAAGCAATAACAATAATAATCAGCAGCAATCTACGGTGGATAAAACAAAACTTTTCGAAATTATTGTTTCAAATGATACAAAAACACAGGATTCTTGTCATCGATATATACCGATACGATTTAAAACGAAACCGTTATGTATGGATGCTTATAACGTAATGCAAGATCTCATACAGATAATAAATGGTGAAACAACATTTTGGCTTAAAATGCCTCATATTGATATTGACAAATTGTTTGCATTAGAATTATTGGAATTAATCATTAATCAATATCCATCCATTTTCTATAATCATGATGAATTTATTTTCATACTTAAAGATAAAGTATGTCAAGTGGTGATCAAATTATTTGCTCCGAATCTTAAATTCATTCGAAATAATCATCGCCATCATCATAATCATCAATTATCATTTAATCCATTGCTTCAAAAATCTAGTAACAATGATGATTCGATCAATGATTCTACTGGCAATTCATCTGTCCAAACTGTACAGATTAGCCCACCACAATGGCCAACAACCGTCCGTTTGATGCGAATCGTTTCAGTTTTGATCAAAAATTTCTTTCAATTATTAATAACCGAAAGTGAAATATTCCTAACACAATTAATTCGATCATTGGAAGTTGATAAACTTAATTGGCAACGTTTGATTGCGTTGGAAGCATTGTTTAAAATTTTGGACGCACAGACATTAGCTGCTCTTTGTCAATATTATGATTCTTCAATGCAAAGCTCAAAAATTCTTCGTGATATTGTTAATGCATTATGCATTTTTATTCAGTCACAATTTCAGATAGTCGATTCATCATCGACACAGAGTCTAATTGCTTCATTAGTCAATAATAATAGTGGCAATGTTAATGGAAATTTTTCCGGCAGTTCATCCGTTGCAAATAATAATAGTTTGAATCAATCGATTAATCGAACAAATACTAATGTTCCTTGTGATCAATTTCCGACATTCAATTTACGAAACATAACGACAACCTTATTATTCATACCATTGGATAATAGTTACCGTTATAAAACGTTTTATATTGATCAATTGGATAAACAAGAACCACCACAAGCACCTAATGGTCACGGTCTAAGTACTGGTATTGCTTGTGTATTTGAAGTGGCCGATTCTTTGTTGAAAATTATCGAAACTTATCTAGAGATTACGATCGATACAAAATTGACCAATAATATTAATTGTGGTGATGTTAAATCGGCAATTCAAAAACGTTTTGTACATCAAACATCAGAGGCTGTTGACTTTTTTCAATTACATCGACAATTAATGTTATCTACCTATACGGGATTGATTGGATCATTCTGTTTATTACTTGATGCTTCTGCCGATGAAAAATGTACCGAATTAATTCTGGACCAAATGCAAAAATTAATCATAATCTATGGCATGTACGATGTTGATGTAGCACGTGATTCATTGTTCATATCATTATGTAAATCGGCATTACCTTCAAATTATTGTTCATTACGTGCATTGAATCCAGATAATATTATTTCGGCTGATGATGATTGCCAGACGAACAAATCGAATGAAACAAACTCAACTTTGTTGTCCACAAATACAAATGCATCATCTATGGCGGCCAATCTTTATTCATCATCGTCAAGCTTATTAAGTAATTCTTCAATTAATCTAACTAATCTTCTTCAACAACAAAATAATCATCCACAGCCAATGAATTCGAATAAATCAACGTTAGAATCGTCGACAAATAATTCATCATTGAATTATCAACATGAATATAATCAACAAGTGATCGCTGTTGGAACACCATTACCTGTGAATAATGATTCAACATTTTCTAACAATTCTACTGTTCAATCTCAACAACACCAACAACAACAGAATAGTGGTCCAGTCATGTTGACTGCCAAGAATCTTCAATGTATGCGTTCGATTATGCATTTATCAATGACTTATGGTGGTTTGTATCGTGAACAATCATGGCATATTGTTTTCACTACACTACAACATTTAGTATGGATTCTAGGCATAAAACCGAATAATTCCCGTGCTTATAAATTAAGTAATTATTATCAAGCTAGCAATTGTAATGTTCAATCAATACAACCAGATCAGCAACTGCAGTCACAACAATCTTTGAATGCCGAACAGATTGTTGGTTCAACAGTGAATGATTTGCCAGTTTTAACTGCAATGCTTTCACGATTATTCGAATGTACACAGTAAGTTCCTTTTTTTCGTTGATTTTCGTTTCAATTCCTTTTTGCCATAATTGCTTCCGCTTCTTGAAAAATATTCTATTTCAATGCTACTACTACTACTACTACTATCTTCTTTATTATATTTTCTGCTTCTATTTGAAGTTACGACACCATTTCGGAGAATTTATCTTCGATATTTTTCAATACTCAGTAAGTTCTATGAATTTATTCTTGATTTTTTCTTTATTCAAGTTTGCTAGAAGTTTTTGTTTCTTTATTTGTCCGCTTTTTATTTTTGCATTTCGTTTTTTTTCTTATCACACATCTCATTGTAAATTTTTTGTTTTATATTCTCAGAAACATTCCTGATGATTCTTTATTGACCATGATGAAAGCCTTGATGACCATATCGAATGAAGCAATGGAAATTGCCTATAATAATCGTGAACCATCATTGGTAAGTTGTGTCGATATTCCGGATGTTTTTACTATTTCATTTTTTTTACAGTTTGCTGTTGTCAAGATTCATGAATCAGCTTTAGTCAATATGACTCGGATAGATTTATTCTGGGATCTAATCACCAATCATTTAATTCAAGGTATTTTAATTATACTTTCTGAATAATAATCTGTTTTCGATAATTAATGTTGATTTTTACATCGTTTAGTTTCATCACATCCTTATAATAAACTGCGTGAAAGTGCTGTCGAGGTTGTTTGTAATCTCGTACAATCAGTGCTAAATTATCGTTTCATGAAACAAAAGAATCATGATGATAAAAATTCTTCCTTATCACCTGAATCTTGTTATTTATTGGCATTACAATCATTATCACAGATTAAATTTATCGACATTAAACAGAAACAAATTGAATGTTTATTACGAATCTTACAATCGAATGGTGAAGATATTACTGTTGGTTGGCCAATATTGTTTAATATTATTGAATCGGCATGCCTTCCCCAGAATGATAAACTAGTTGTTCATTCATTTCAATGTTATGAATTCATTGTGTCCAATCTTTTGCGTTACATACCATCGATACATTTAATTCATTGTATCAATGCTGCCGTCGCGTTTGGATCACAAGTGCAAGAGCTAAATGTTTCATTATCAGCAGTGGGTCTGGTTTGGAATGTAGCCGATTTTCTTCATTCGAATCATGATCAAATACAATCTTTGATTGATAATTTCATTCTGAAAGGCCATAAATTTGTTAGCATTGATCTGCCGTTTTGTGAAGATCTTACCCCGGTACAAAGTTTGTGGATTTCATTATTCAAAAATTTGAGCAACCTTTGTACAGATGCTCGACTTTCTGTCCGGAAAAGTTCAGTTCAAACTTTAATGTCAACACTGTCGAAACATGGACAAACATTGGATTACAATACATGGAAAGCAATCTTTTTCTACATACTTTTTCCACTAGTCGACAGTGTACGTACATTATGCAGTCTGGCGTCGAATGAAAAGATCACACAATCTGAATCTTCTAAACCAAATTCTTATGGTGATGATTCCGATTCCTATATGATACATTATTCCAGGAATACGGCATTCAAACAATGGTGTGAAACACAAGTATCCGTTATTAATGGTGTTTCTCGAATCATAAGCATCAAATTAGATATGTTAATTGAACATAGTATGGCAAAACCAATTCAATCGAATAATGAACCCAACGAATTGAATAACAGCAACAACAGTGAAACAATTTTATTGAATATTTGGACATTATTTTTTGAATTTATTTTTTCATCATCCACATGCACAAATGAAGAAGTATCAATGTCGGCAATCAAATGTTTTAATGAAATTGTCAGCTTTCTCAATGATTACCAAGCAAATAATAATGATGCTGGTGGCGATGATGATTATATAAATCGATTAATTAGTCTTATATGGAAAAATGTTTGGAAAACCTGGTGTAATATTGGACATCATATTGCGGCCAACAATAATGTGTTTCCATCATCAACAACAAGTGAAAATAGTTGTTTCGATTCTGAACAACAACAACAACAACGGTTGAATAACAATGAAGAAACGACGAATTTTTTACCATCACAATCCTATTTATGTTCGTTTATCCAGTCATTAAATATAATTTTATCCAAATATATCCATCATTTAACCGAAAGGTATGTTCATGTGGCTGCATTTTTTTTTTGATTGTTTTAATTGTTTTTAATTTTGTTAAAAAGTGACTTTAAAAACATGTCTCACATATTACAAAATGTAATGACCATACCATTTGATGTTATAACTGAAACTTATCATCATTCAGCATCTTATCGCAATCATTATCATCACCATCACCACCATCATCATCATAATCATCCGATTATGCAAACATCGGATAATTCATCTTCATCTTCATTATTGACGAGCCTTCAACATGAAATCCTGATGACAATGGAGAAAATTCAAACAGAAGTTGTCTCAAATTTGACTACGTTGAATCATTTGTTGCCATTAATTTATTATCAATATCTTACATTTTCATTATATGCTGTTAATATTGGTAAATATTGTTATAATAGAATCTTTCCAAGAATTTTATTGCAACCATTTTTCCATTATAAATAGTGCCACCAAATCTGAATGTATTCATTAGTTCACAATTTCAACATCGTTTTCTACCCGGTGAATTGACCACATTCAAATCAGCCACATTCTATATATTTGGTGAATTGGCCCTACGAAATGCTTTCAATTTATACATGTGTACTTATATGGAATCGATTGTCATTAAATCCCATATTTTACATTCATTAATTAAGGTATATATCAATATCAATGGTCTTATGATGAAACTACTTACTAATATAGCATTTATGTCGGTTTAGGCTTATAAAATTCCATTATGTTTCAAATATTCTTGCCCCTTGCAAACAACATGGAAATATGCTGTCAATTATTTTATCAAAACACTGGAACTTGGTTTGCCATTAGCTCGTCGTTATCGTAAGTGAAATCAATTATGTTTTTATTCATTTTCTGGTTCTGATCATTTTTGATATCAATAATAGCCGCCGATTTCATTAGTATTTGGGCAGATCTTGCATTAACATTTGAAGGTTTTCTATTCCCTTCTAATAAACCACCATCAAATCAAAAATTAGAAGAACAACAAATGGATGAATCACTTGATGTCAAAGTGGTGGAATTAATACGCGATCATATAATGATACATGCACAGAAAATACCTAAAGAATTTCTTTTACAAATTGTTTCAATTTTGAATCGTGGATCAATTCATTCACCATCGATCACTTCGATAGAAACAGAAATGAATCGTAAACTACGAGAGGATTTTGCTAGAATTTGTTTTCAAACTTTGTTACAATTTTCATTTTTTGGCCCAAAAGGAAATCCTGATTTATTTATTCAATCCTCAAAAACAAATTTAAATGTTGAAAATATTGGTCAATCATCTGCTGAACAGACCATTGGTATTGTTAACAAATTGGCCGTAGCATCAATTCTGAAACGATTTAATGATGTAATTATTAAATATGTTGAAGATGAACAACTGTGTCCTTGTCCATTGCCACGACATCGTTTAAGTGAAATATCATTTGTATTGAAAGCATTGGCTACATTGATTGCATCATTGAAGGAAGCACCACCTGCTGCCGTCGAGAATCATGTATGGCAACAACTTATACAACTGTATCCACGTATTGTTGATTGTACAATGTCTAATTCACCACAGGTGAATAATTCTATACGTGAAGTATTACATCAATATGCCTATCTTTTACAAAGTCCTGTGGTTTCTCCACTGTCGACACCGTTAGCCGCTAACAAACAACAATTTGAACCGAATGGAAATATTTATCCTCATCATCATCATAATCATCATAATCATAATCATCAACAACAACAACAACAACAACAACAACAACATACAGCACTTACAAAATTACTGCCAACAGCTACTAAAACTGTGGATAATAATACTACGATCAAATCAATTACTGAAAAAAATTTTCAACGAAATGTAGGCAAAAATGCAGAAATTAATATTTAAAATTAATTTTTTTTCACAAATCACACACATAACCCAATGATTTTATCAAAAATAAAAATAAAAAATAAAATTTTTTTAAAAATCAAAATTTAAAACTCAATTCATTGGGATAAATGTATGTCTCTTCATTGGTCAAATTAGTTGGTTGCATCAACGTGGAATCGGCATTTTTGTTATCGATTTTTTTCAACTCTGCATCCACCATTTCGATCTGCTGATTATCACCAAACAGTAAAGTTTCATTTTCATTTTGATCTGTAGTAAGATTTTGTTCATTCAATGTGCAAACATTATGATTTTTAACAACCAATATTTGTGGACGAAAATCTAGACGAAAATTTTTCATCATTTCTTCAAGATTTCCATCACATTGATTCAATAATTGAATGAAATGTTCAAAATTTAATCCGGTATCATCTATTTTAATGCCAAAACTATTGTTGATGTGTTGTCGAATAAATTCCTGAAAATCATTGAATAATTTTGAATAGTTTGTATCCGAACAGATTTCATAGAAAATTTCTTCATCACCACTATCTGCTTTTTTTGTTGTTTGTTCTAATCTCTTGCCATCTTTTTTTGAACGATGATAATCTGCCACAATTTTCTCTTCGAATTTATTCTTCATTTTTTTCACTTGATTACGTATTGGTTTCGAATTTTTTGGCTTCATATTTTTTTTCAACGAAATTCCTATAAACAAACAAAAATTAAACTAAACTAAACAAAGTTTTCGATCGAAGTCTAAATATATCTTGGCTATTTGATCATATATAATTTGATTAATTTGGCTGCAATTGTTGCCCGGGAAAAAAATTCGAAAATTTTAATTACGTACATTCTGAATGAACAACTGAACATGCTGAATTCCAGCTGGAATATTCGAATTCAAAATATTGATTGAATTTTTTTTTTACAAAATGTCAATAATGTTACGGATAACTAATTTTACATCGAAAATGTCATTGATTACGAAACGATATCGTAATTTTACATTACTGCCTGAACGTTTAAAAGGTGGAATAATTGAAAATTCTATCAATTATTTACGTAACGTTGGTAATGATTATAAAAATGTTTATTTGGAAACCATTCAAGATATTCGTAAACGTCCATTAAAAGCTTCAATTATTGGTGCAATTTTAATATCCGGTGGTTATTGTATCCAACATAATCCTTCATTTGATGATTTTCAAACGCAATTAATCGATTCAAATAATCGTCTTTCACGTGTTCCACAATCGATACGTAATCAAACATCTTGTCAATATGTTCATCGTTTGTTTCGTATGAATGATAAACAATTATTACGACATCAATCATTCGGTTTATTCTCAATCATTTACATTTCCAATCATTCATCTGGAAATTCTTTATTTCAATATCAATGTAAATATTTGAAACCGGAATGGCGTACCACCATTTCTCAACGAATTATTGATATAGGTTTCATTGATCGATTTCATTTTCTGTATCATAAAATGAACGATTATGATGTTAATCATAAAGAATTTGATAAATTAATTGAATAAAAAATTTATTGTATTAAATATTTTTAAATAATTATCATGATTCACATATATTTTATTGAAAGTTTATTCATCAATGTTAACATTGGGCATATTTTCAATAAATAAATTGTTCAATAATGTTCGATTAGAGCCCAAACGAATTTCACGTAGATATCGATTTGATTTGAAATGGAAATCAGTCATTGGAAAATAATCAACCATATTTCGAATGTTGAATTCGGTGAGCCGTGTGTTGGTTATTTCAATCTGATTGAAACGATTGAATAAACGTTTTAGGCTTGGCAATCTTTTCACATGATGTTCGAATCGTTTAAGTGATCTATCTGAAACGAAAAAACCGGAACAAGTCAATCGATTTGGTTGTTGTGATCGACAATCACAAGGCCATAACATCATTTTGATGAGCAAAGTATCACAAAGATCAACATGTCGACAATCGATTGATTCTATAAGAAAAATAGAACCAAAACAAAAGAAAAAAGTAATCAATTTTAGTGTCGACATTATTGCGTTTGTTCGTGTGTGTATTGTTGTTTGACCAGCACTAAACCTTAGTAATAATTTTGTACTTTTTTTGACCAGCAATGTATCGACATTGACTTTGATAATGTGATTATTATATATGTGACACTTGAAATCCATGTGATTGTGACATAATGAGAATAGATAAATTGATTACTAAACCTTAGTAATAATTTTGTACAAATGCTCTGCCTAATCATTTAAAAACGTGATCATCCGACAACACCGAATGCTGAAAGTGTCGAAAACATTATCAATGCGCTGAATATCACATTTGGACCGATCGACAACAATCAAACATTGGACATAGTCGAACGTTTTAACCCTGGTTCAAAACACCATTATCATCGACAACAGGCAAATTGTGTGCTCTTTATTATTTTTTATTCAAGAAGAAAATACTGGATGATTTGAACACAATCACTAAATTAATGTATCGACATTGACTTTGATAATGTGATTTTTATATATAGGATATATGTGACACTTGAAATCCATGTGATTGTGACATAATGAGAATAGATAAATTGATTACCTTATTTAGATTAGATTTTTTGATTAATATTGACCTGATGGTACATTTATTATTATGTTAATAAATTGAAACGTTTTCTACATTATTATTAAACACAAATTCAATCTATAGATCGATAGAGGGCGTTCAAATAAATTTTTAATTCAAATTCATTAAATGGGCGCCATCTATGGGTCAGTGTGTCTGTGTGTGTGTGCGTCTGAGGTTCATTTCTTATAATAAAACCTCATATACATTGCCATACAAAAACATGCATTATGAATGTGACTCAGCATGTCATTGTCAACCATCAATCACCACTACCACACATACTATAAAAGAGAAAATTACCCAAAAAAAAAAAATTTTTAGACTAAAAAAAAAAGAATCCCGGTTTTTTACTTGAATAGAATATTGCCACTACTATAGTATCAAACACATGTGAATATATTATTTTATGCTACTACTACTACTACTACTACTACTGAAGTAAAAAAAATCGCAATAGTAGTGGCAATAGTAATGGTAATCTATCTTTGAGTTTTATTGTTTTTTTTTTGACGATATTTCTGGCTCAATCTCTATCTATTTTCTATTCTGTATATATCAAATGTATCGGCAGCAGCAGCAGCAGCAGCAGTGCAACAGTAGTAGCAGTAGTAAACATCAAAAAAAAAAAAATCCAGCATTGCTTCAAAACCAAACACTTTCGATTTGTACGTATTATAATACCACACCACATTGTGTGTATGTATGAAAGAAAGAGAGATGTATGTGGTTTTTTAGATTTTTGGTTCGATAATAAATACATATAATACATACATGTATATGGTTGCTGCGATTGTGTGTGTGTGTGTTTTTTTTTTTGTATGTGCGTGAATTTTTGATCCAATTTTTCTCTCATTATTGAATGCAAAAAGAAAAATTAAAATCACATTTTTTTTAATTTTTTTTCATGTGTATAAATAATAATAATATATATTATTATTATCTCATCTAATGTATAATTGAATTCATGTTCCATCATCAATAATAATATTTTGACAAGTTTTTTTTTTGTTAGAATTCATCAGAAAAAAAACAAATCATTTTAACACACCAATTTCCGTATTAAACGCTTGTGTGTGTGTGTGTATGTTGTATGTGTAATCTGCTGATTTTTTTTTAGTTGAAAATACAAAAAAAAAATTCAGCAGTAAATGATGGAAGCTTCATACGGAATTGGTGTTCACAATCGTTATGCATTATTTCTTGAAGATGGCGAAGATGATTCTGTCGATCCATATTCGTTGATGAATGCTTCCGGTATTGGTGGTGGTGGTGGTGTGGCTATTGATCATCAAACTGGTGGCGATTCATTGAAAAAGGTTCGACAACAACATCGGCAACAGCTAAATTAAGTAGCAATCAAAAAGGCCATCAACAACAACAGCAGCAACAACAATCAATTAAATCATCTTCAGCTGCAAATGTCAACAATAAACAATCCTCTGGAACATTGACTGAATCGAAACAACAGAATGTCATGACCAATGTAAAATCTGATTCAGGTAAAATTGCCATTTATAATCATTGTGAATTTTGGATTACAATTTACTTTATAGATTATAGATATCTAAATTTCTCCAAAACTTTTCATTTTTAAATGACTTAACAATTCGAATTATTCTTTTTATACTTTCTTATTTTGTCAAATTCATTATTTATTAATCGATTCCTATTCAAAGATCATATACATCAATATATAATTAGACACTCATACACAAAACAGCATGCTTCCTTTTGTGTGTGTGTGTGAGCGTGATTATAACGTACGAGCACGCCATAGCTATGGTGTGTGTATATTTTTGTGTGCAAAGTGAATGGATAGAGAAGAGAGTGCAGGCTAAGAGTTTCATGTCTGTCTGTCTGTTTCCTCTAAGCTTACTTTTGTTCATCATTCGTTGATAGTGTGTTGCAATGAACTAATTGGCAGACTACAGCAGCAGCCATCAACGTTGCACGCTACAATTGTGTGTATCTCATCAAAGCGTGCACATTTTTTTTGTGTTTGATTTAAATCTTTTGTCATATTTACCGCGCTAGTTTCAAATTTTAATCGAATATTTTTAATTATTTTTATTCATTTATTTATTTATATAAGGTCGTCCCAATCGTAATCGTCAACAAGGTCAACGTAGTGGTGGTGCTGTTGGTAACAATCGTGAAAATCAAGAAAACCGAAACCAACGATCTCCACGAAACTTTGAATCAAAAGAAGAGGGTGGTGATTACAAATTATCTAAAGAATTGAGGTATGACATCTGTTGATTTTTATTATTATTTATCCTAATAAAATTCATAATTATGATTCTGGATTTTTAATTCAAGAAACGATAAAGACAATCGTCGATTACCACGTGGTGGTGGTTCTCGTGGTGGTGGCCGTGGTGGTGGCAGCAGATTTGGTAAACGAGAATTTAATCGTCATTCTGGATCAGATCGATCTGGTGTCAAATCTATTGATAAACGCGAAGGTGGTGGTTCCCATAATTGGGGTAAAATCGATGATTTTTCTGAACAACCATTGGAAAATGAAGAAATGGTCAATGGCGAAAAATCGACTGAAAATGAAAAGCCAGCAGCTGAAGATGGCCAAAATGCTGAGGAAACTAGTGGTGGTGAAGGAGGTGAACAATCGGCTGGAGAAGCTGAACCGAAAAATGACGAACCTCAATTCAAAACATTGGATGAATATAAACGAGAAATGGAAGAGAAACGAATGCATACACAATTCAATATTAGAAAACCAGGTGAAGGAGAAGATAAATCAAAATGGAAAAAAACCTACGTACTTAAGAAAAAACCAGTAGCCGAAGAAGAGGAAGTTGAATATGAAGAAATCGAAGTGGTGAGTATTTGGATTTTTATATTGATTGATTAATTTTCGGAATCCGCCAATTAAGCCGGCCGAATTCTGTGCATTAGCCTACCCCAAAGTCTTTGGTGGTCTTACGGCGGATAAAGTAGTCATTTCGAGTAGAACAATGGGAATTTTGTTGCGAGAATTTTGTTTATCATTTCCGAATCAATTTTATTTGTTCACTCACAATTTTTGTTTTTTCTCTCTTAGGAAGAGGACACCAACAAACGTCGTAACCGTCAAGTGCTTGATATAGAAGTAAACTTCCGACCAGCTGAAGGTGGACGAGAAGTTATTGGACGTCGTGGAGGACGAGGTGGTGGTGCTTCTCGTGGTGGCGGTGGTGGTGGTGGACCACGTGAAGGTGGCGAAAGACGACGTAATCAAGATGGTGAACGTTCAGGTGGTGGTGGTGGTCGTGGTGGGGGATCAGGTCGAGGAATTGGTTCTGGAAGAGGTGGTAATCGAGGCCGTGACCGTAATCGCTTTCAACCTGCCCCCAAATTTGATGATTTTAACGATTTTCCATCGTTAACTTCGTAAATCATCGATGCCAAGCAGATGAATATAAGCTCCTCAATCATTCAATCAATCAAATAATGCAAATCCAAAAAAAAAAAAAAAATTTATTGATGATTGAAGACGCAACCATCCGAAAACCATCACCACCCAAATAAAACAACAACAACAACATTTTTGCTCTATTTTTTTCCACTACTGTATTTTGAAACATTATAATGTGTGTTTAAAGATATATGGGGGGAGAATTCGTTACTCTAACTCAACAAAAAAAAACAACAACAACAATGGAATCTCAAACCATTGGAATCTAAATTTAGTCCATGTTTTTCTTCAGCTCCAGTTATTACTATTATCTTCTTCTCTGCTATATACTGCAAATTTTGTCTTCGTTTTTTTTCTCATTCGTCTTTATTCTTTGGTAATTGAAATAACAAAAAAAAACAACAACAACAACAAAAATCAATCAGCAACTTGAAAATTCATCATCTTTTTATTATGCAAAAAAAAAAAAAATTCTTGTTGCTCATCACAATACACAAACATCAACAACAACAACCATAATTATGTAATACAAACATTGGTTTTTTTGTTCATTTTTTTTCTTTTCTTTTTTTTTGTCTTTATCTTCATCGTTTTTTTTCTATTTTGTGTACCTTATATGGTGTTTTTGAACAAAAAACGAATTAAAAAAACGAGAAATAGATTCTTTATTGAGTGTTTTGAATACACTAACACCACATATACACAATGAAAATTTTCATTTAATTATAGGAAAAAAAACAGAAAAACGGACGACTAAAATTACTATCTCTCGCAACCTCCCCCCCACAAAAAAAAAACAAACAGCAACATGAATGAATGTCTATTCTATATCTCTCTCTTACACTTTTTTTTCTCTCGTATATAAAAATAATGAACGATTGAATTTTGATTATTATTATATGATTATTATAAATATAAAATTTGAAATTGAAACAACGCACTTTTTCATTTTAGTATTTTTTTTTATTATTCTTTAGAAAACATGAAATATATATGATTGGACAGTTTTTGGAACATTTTTTTTTTGTTTTTTTTATCAATAGAATCAAGTTATACGTTTTAATGGTAAAAGTTTTCTTGGTGCTGTATCAGCACTCTGTGTGAATGGATATTGATGATGATTATGATGTTGATGTTGATGATGATGATTATGATGGCCATTCATTATTGATGATGATGAATGAGAATTATAATGATTTGGATAATGATTCATAATGATTCCATGATTTGAATTCGGATTCAATTGATGTATATTATCATTATTATTGTTTGATAACATTGTCATTCTTGTTTGGAAACGTTCGTTAATTCTGTTGGACACTGAAGTTAGATAATTCAATTTGGTATCTAGACCATGAATAATGTTACCATTATTATTACCACTATTGATAATTAAATGTGGATTCATATTATTGTTGTTCATCGTTGTTATTATTAGCTCATTATCTTGTTGTTGATCGTCCAATTCGGGTACACCTGTATATAGACATATTAGTTTTGATCAATATTCATTGTCCAACGTTCGACATTAAACTCACTTAATTTTAATTTGTGCAATGTATTTAACAATTGTTGTCGTCGTTTCGGCATTAGATAATTCGTAACGATATCATCGCTTTGTGAATTTTCTAATTTTCGTAACAATTTATCTTCATTATTATATCCACCATTCATGTCCGTACTATTGGAATGGCCATCGACTATATCGGAATCGAATATCAGATTAGGTGAATCAGGTCGATATAACCGTGATGGAGTTATTTCTCGACGATTATCCGGACTTGATTGTTTACTTGTAGGTGTTGTTATCGTTGGTGGTTGCATTGACTGTTGTTGCTGCTGTGATGCTGGTGGTAAACGTATACGACCAAATGATACATTCGGTAGAATCCATTGTTGGATATTCTCATCCCATATGGCATCCTCTTTGATTTTCATTAAATTTGAATAATTACATTCACTTTTCAGCAATGGCTGAACTTTGTCCAATATCTGCGTTAATAATTTCATCTGTTCCTGCAATCTACGAATCGTTTCCAGATAATCTGTACGTTCAGATTCAAATTCGGATTGTAAATCTTCTACTTCTTGTTCCAATTGTTGTATACGACGTTTAGCTTTTTTCATCAACATTGATTTTGCTCGCAATTCTTCAGTGATATCACCATAAGCTTTGAGCAACACTTTATCGTCATCATTAAGTTGAGCTAATGCTTCAGATATGGCATTCATTTTTGCTTCGGCAATTTTTTTCTTTCGTGCACGTTTCTCTTTCAATTCAGCATCGTTAGCTTTTTCACCACCAACCATTTGATTTTCAATTGCTTGTAATTTTTTCATTGCACGTAATACAGATTCTTTTTGTTCATTCAATTCATCCGTATTATTATTGGTTGTTGATTTATCATGTTCATATCGAGATTTTAATTTATCGATATCTTGTTTAAGTTTTTCTTTATTCTTCACTTCTTCTTCATATTTATTTAGCAGATCTTTCATTTTATTATCATATGCTTGACGAATTTCTTCGATAACAATATCATTCTGTGGCTGTGTTTGCAACTGTTGACTGTTATTATCTGTTAGTTAATAGAATGAAATGAAAGTAAAATTAATAAATTCTTGACAAGAATATACAAACCTGACAATCCGGCAGGTGATGATGATGATGATAATGATGATGTTTGTTGTTCAAGCATTTTTTTCAACCATAATATCTCTTCCTGATATTCACGTAATTTGGCATCTTTTGGATCTTCATTTATTCGTGGTTTATTTTGAATATTTTTTGCACGATTTGCATAACGCAATGTGCTTAATGTTTCGTCATAATTATTATCCGCTGGTGATATACATGCAACCATCAATGTTTTAGTATTACCACCAAGACTATCTTGTAGTAATCGTGTTAATTTTGAATCTCTAAACGGTATATGTTTAGCTTTGCCATCGACTAATGCCGATATTACATTGCCCAATGCTGATAATGATAGATTGATTTTTGTTGCTTCTTTCAACCGATCACCAGCTGCACCGGTTTTTGATTGTCTTTCACTACCAGCTAAATCGACTAGATTTAATTTACCAAATTTAACATCACTAGATTCAAGATCAATGGTTTGCATTCGTTCAATGTAAATTGTAAATATTGAATGACTACGGCTAGAATCGGCATTCATTAATGTAGCACCAACTGAACGATTTTTCCAACCAGTTTCCATAATCATTTCACATGCACGTACATCATTCACTATATGCATAGAAAGATTACCAACATATACGCCTGTTTCCGGATGTTCTTTTAGTTCCAATTTCTTTTTGATATCCGTTCCCAATAAATCTCTAATTTCTTCATTATAGATCTCTAAATAGGAAGCTTGTACCAGAAATTTAGAATTTTCAGCCGTTGATATTGCCTCAAATATATGTTCGAATGATCTACATACACACACAAACATAATAATAATAATAATAATAATATTTAAATTAGTATCAAGCCAATTGGAATTTTTTGTCCCAGAAACAGACAAACCTTGGTATAATCCCACGGTGAGCAGAATCGGAAGTGCCCTGCATTGTAAATGATTTACCACAGCCAGTTTGGCCATATGCAAATACTGTTCCATTGTAACCCTCAGTGACGCTCTATGACAACCAAAAAAAAAAAAAATATTAAAAAAATTTAGTCAGGTTTAATTCCGATAGTAAAATCAGGTCAAAGTTCAATTAGATTGATTGATTGATTGATTGGATACAAAATTGATCGATCATCTAATAAAATTGATTCGATTCGTTTATTTTTTTTTTTTTTTGTTCACTAATACAAAACAAAAATATATGTCAACCAACCTCAACAATAGGAAAGACAATTTCATTATAGATTTGTTCAGTAGTAGAATCAGTGTAATAGGCTCCATCGAATGTAAATGTTTTTGGTGGTGCCGATCGATCATCCGGATTGATCAATGAACATTGGCCACACGATGAATCGATGTTGACAATCACCTATAAATATAAATGATGATGATGATGATGGTTGGTTAGTGACAAATAATAACAATTATTTTTATTATTGAAACTGATGATCGAATTTATATTTCCAAGAATTTATATACCGTCACACAGGAGACATAAACAAAGAAGAAACTATTGCAATCTTAAAGACTTTATTATTATTTATTTTTTTTCATCATGAAAATTGCACTCTTCAATTAATAGATTGCAATTTGCAGCTGTTTTTGTTGTTGTTGTTGTTGTGACATAATTAACACACACACACACAAACAAAATGAATTTCATTTGCTTATACCCCATGGTAAGAGCATTTTAATTGAAATAGATAAAAACAAAAGAAAAAGAATCGAATGATCGAATCGATCCAGAAAAAAAAACTCAAAGTTCTTTTTGTCTTTTTCTTAGATTCTGTCATTGCGTGACCAAAGTGATGGCAGAATTTTTTTTTGTGTATGGTTGTTCGAAATGAAAAAAAAAGTTTCCAATTCGAAATAATTCAAGTTTTTAAGTATTAATGATCATATTACTATCAAGAATCATCATCATTGACGTATTCTGTAATTTTTGCTCGAGTAAAAACTAAAAAAAAAAATCACTGTATAATTGAGAAAATGGGAAAAGACAACAACAATCTTGAAAAGTTTTGAAAAAAAAAAATTTGTTTTGACCTCTTTTCTTGATGATTCTGAAAAATAAAATGCTTAGAAATCTAGATCATGGCCATGTGTCCACACACTTTTACGATTCTAGGACATGAACTTGAATTTTTTTTTACAAAAAAATTTTAAATTGAACGCATTACTACTAATAAATTCATTTTCTTACCTGACATTTTAATTCTTTTTCACGTTGATTTAATGGACGACATCTTGTTATAACTTTGACGGTTTCTGAAGTCATTTGTTTGTTTGTTTGTTTGATTGTTCAGAAATCAGAAAAGAATTTTAATAAAATGTGACCAAAACACACAACCACTTGGTATTTGAAATTTGGGATTTGTGGCCTAAAAAAATATTCGAATGATTTTTTTTTACAAAATTGTAGAGATATTTCACCAATGAAATGAAATTTGAAAACAAAAAATAATTACAGGCCAATTTCACAATTGAAAAAAAAGAATCAACCAGATGAATTCTTGTAACAAGAATATGGACGGAAATTTATGGACAATGTTGAGTGTAATAATGCGGAAATTTGAAACAACCGGTTCAGGCAATGAGAATGTGACAGTGAAAAAAAAGTTACAAAAATGAAATTAGGTGAATGAAAATTTTTATTGATCACATGCATGGACAATGTACAATTTTGTAATTGTAATTCTATATAGAACAGATCACAAACATTCTAAACCAAATTCGAATTTAAATTTTTAAATTCTTTCATATCACATAATTCACATTCTGTTTCAATTTAATTTATTCACAAGTTTCAGAATTCTCATAAATGGTGATAAACGTCGAACGAACCAACCGAAAAATATATAAATAAAAACTAAAGAATATTATTAATGTAGTACAAGTAAGTTTAGGAAAAGAGAATCATCCAATTCGTTTGTTGAATCAATATCTAAATACCGACTTATATGTGGTGTATGTGTGTATACAAGAAAGAAAACCATATCGCCGGCCGTAATGAACAATTTGCCAAAATTATATCCAAGAAAGAAAGAAAGAAATTTCATGAAATTTCCAAATGAAAAAAAATACGACATATGTGCGTGTTGTTACCATGACAAAAAGAAAAAAAATACCAGTGGCAACGAAAAAAAAAGAAAAAGATTACTGCGATTATTATTCATGCTCTGTCTTGGTTGTTTTTTTTATACCGGTTTATTCCAATTCTATAGTTTCAGAATATTTTCTTATACATTTTTTTTGTTGTTGTTTGCCGTGAAATTTCGGTCCATATCTTACAGTGTGTGATCCATGTATAGTTATGTGTATTTGTATGTTCTTGAAAAATTATTGTTATCTAACTTTAAAGAATTTCAAATTCATTCAAGCGGAAATTGTTTACCCATTTACGTCAACAATCTTGTGTGCATGTCTTTTATCTTGTACCAATATTTATTAATGAATGAATGAATGAATGAGAGAAAAAAATTATTTAAAAAACATTTTAATCGATCCAATCGAAAGAATATATTCAGCCAATTGATTGATATTATTCTGAAGTGAGAATTTTTTTTTATTCCATACAACACGCTAAATTTGCCGTGCAAGAAATTAGAGGGCGCCGTGCACACTGGCCATGCCGTAAACATGCAATTCGTAAACAATTGAATCGTAATCGTATGTGTTATAAAGCAAATGATGATGTGTTATGTTTTGTTATAGCTGATAATCAACAACAAGATGGGCAAGAAAAATAAAAAAAATCGTAAGTTATTGAATTTGATGGAAATAATCCTAATGATTGTTTGTAATAATAATAATAGTGAGCAATGGACTCAGTAAATCCGAATTGATGGTAACCGTTGTTGCCGAAATTATTGCTGAACTAATCAAAGCTGATCGAGAAGGTTATTCTGTTGATTTAAATCGTCTGAAATGTATGTTTTCACAAAAATATGGTCTTGGTTCGCAGCCACGTTTAGTCGATATAATTGCTGCCGTTCCACATGAACATCGTCAGACATTATTACCAAAATTACGTGCTAAACCTGTGCGTACAGCATCAGGAATTGCAGTCGTTGCTGTTATGTGCAAACCTCATCGATGCCCACATATAAACATGACTGGAAATATTTGTGTTTATTGTCCAGGTGGTCCAGATTCTGATTTTGAATATTCAACCCAAAGTTACACCGGTTATGAACCAACATCAATGAGAGCGATTCGTGCTCGTTACGATCCATATCAACAGACTCGTAGTCGAGTTGATCAACTTCGACAACTAGGACATTCTGTGGATAAAGTGGAATTCATTGTAATGGGAGGTACATTCATGTCGTTGCCAGCTGATTATCGTGACTATTTCATACGAAATCTTCACGATGCTTTATCAGGACATCAGAGTAAATCAGTAGATGAAGCAGTACGATATTCTGAAGAATCAAAAACCAAATGCATTGGAATCACAATTGAAACTCGACCGGATTATTGTTTAAAACGACATCTTTCTGACATGCTGTCTTATGGTTGTACTCGATTAGAAATTGGTGTACAATCAGTGTATGAAGATGTAGCTCGTGATACTAATCGTGGTCATACAGTCAAAGCTGTACAAGAATCTTTCTGTTTAGCCAAAGATTGTGGCTACAAAGTGGTCGCTCATATGATGCCGAATTTACCCAATGTGCCTTTGGATCGTGATTTAGCTCAATTCGAAGAATTTTTTGAGAATCCCGATTTCCGTGCTGATGGCTTGAAAATCTATCCAACATTGGTCATTCGTGGAACCGGCCTCTACGAACTATGGAAAACCGGTCGATATCGTTCATATCCACCATCAGTTCTAGTCGATCTGTTGGCACAGATTTTGGCCATGGTACCACCATGGACACGAGTTTATCGTGTTCAACGAGACATTCCTATGCCATTGGTCACATCTGGTGTTGAACATGGCAACATTAGAGAATTAGCGTTAGCTCGAATGCGTGAACTAGGTACGAAATGTAAAGATGTTCGAACTAGAGAAGTTGGAATCCAGGAAATTCATCACAAAGTTCGTCCTGAGCAAATAGAACTTATAAGACGCGATTACTATGGTAATGGCGGATGGGAGACTTTTCTTTCTTACGAAGACGTCGAACAAGATATTTTAGTTGGTTTACTTCGTCTTCGTAAATGTTCAATGCAAACATTTCGACCAGAATTGAAAATAACGCAGCCAGAAAACAAAAATCGATTTGGATTGCCACGAGGATGTTCAATCGTTCGTGAATTACATGTATACGGAAGCGTTGTACCCGTTTCATCTAAAGATTTGAAAAAATTTCAACATCAAGGTTTCGGTATGTTATTGATGGAAGAAGCGGAAAAAATTGCTCAATTTGAACATAATTCATGCAAGATAGCCGTTATTTCAGGTCAGTTTTGATGAATTTTTTTCATTGATAAATAATGAAATAATTTTATACCTTCCTAACAGGTGTTGGAACTCGTCATTATTATCGAAAATTGGGCTATCAATTAGATGGCCCATATATGTCCAAGTGTTTATAAATAAATACAGTTTAATAAACAATTTATTTGATGTGGAGATTGATGGTAGGTGGTAACCAAGGCATCCAATACTCATCGTAATGATAAAAAACCTTATGATACCGTTTGGTTTCCTGGCAGCATCAATTAATCTCTTTTATAGACATAACGTGGTTGTATTATTAGTGTTTTGTTTGTTTCATCAATTGACAAGATTTTTTTTTGTTAAAGCGTAAACTACGATTTATTTTTTTTCGCAATTCTACACATAATCCAAATGTTTGGCTGTTTAAAATTCAAATGTTTATCAGGGCAAAACATGATACATGGCCCTTTGAAATTTGTTGATTGTTATCAACGTTTTCATCATATTCATACAGCTTTCATTCTTTTTGGTACTATGCGTGGTAATAACATTACGTGAATGGTCAATAGATTCGATTGATTGTTCATTACAGCAACAACAACCAGAATCGTCCACTATTAATCCAGATATATTTTCCACTTATTACTATAATAATTATTGTAAATTACATGGTAAATTTATTTCATTTGGTTGCAATAAATCATCATCATCATCATCGTTTACGGAACTTGGTTATACTTGGTTGAATCGTTCATCGAATGAAGAGGAGAATCATCAATCACGATCGATAGATAATTATGAATTACCATCATATCAATGGTTCAGTTTTCTATTGTTTATATTTGCCATTCTGTTGCAATTACCATATCAGATTTGGAAATGTTTTGCTTATAATTCATTTATGTTGACCTTGAAAAGAACCACCACCAACACCACCACCATAGAAGAAGAAGATGGTGTAGAACAAAGTATGGATTCTCAAATTCAAATGGTAATGTCTCATTCAACAAATGGTTGTTGTACATTGTTGATAATTGTCGTATGGTTGGTAAAATTGATGAATATAGCTTTACTTTCTTCGTTGGTTTTAGTATTGCATTTGCTAACAAAAGGCACTTTTATTATGTTGCCCATCATCATTATTGACCATCAATGGATATCAACAGAATGTCATCATTATGGTTTTTATCCATTTCCTAAATCTACATTATGTATGTATTGGTATTACGATCAAAAACATTCAAGTAAACAAATGATATTAATCGATTGTTTGATGCCAATAAATTCATTATTGGAACATGTAATGTTATTCCTGTGGATATGGCTAGCTATAATGGCTATTATATCCATATGGCATATAATTCATCAATTTATATTGACCATTTGTCCTTGTTGGCGTCGATATGTATTGATTCAACAAACAAATCATCAATGGAATGAACAAACATATCGTTTGGGTTCGAAATCCTATACCAATTACATAGTGATAACATCGATTTGGATACAAAATACTACTCAGTCAATCATTCAACCAAGCTTAAAGCCATCAGTGTTTCCATTATTACCAATCCAATCAAATCGTAGATCGATGATTGTCGATGAATCTTCCACTAATGTATAACGAAAAAGTTTCAACAACAATGGTCAAAATGTGTAATTTTAAGATCATTATAATTTATTGTAATTTGTAATAATAATTCTATAATATATGTAACAATCAACAATCAGAAACAAAAAAAAAATCCTAAACAATAATTTGTGACCAATCAATAAAGCTGTAATCATGTGTTTGTGTGTTTGTGTAAGATTTCCAAAGGGTGTAGAAAAATGTGTGTGAATAATAATAATAAATGAAGGTAAATGGAAAAGAAAAAAAAATTGCGAAATTCTATGGTTGAAAATAACAAACAAATATGAATTTTAAAGGCTAAGAAAGGTGATTGTGAATAGATAAGTTGATAGATAGGCACACATTTGAATTTCCCTCCAAAAAAAGGAAAAACAAAAAAAAAACATTCGAATCAAAATGCTAAGGCATATGAATGAGAAAAACAATTAATTGAGATTGAGTAGACTTGTGAATTTTTTTTGGTAATCAATGAATGATGAATGAATTCTGTATGAATCTGACCATGGCCAATACGCAAGGCAATATAATCGAGATGATCGGTGAGAATCGATTGGTAAGAGCATCATTACATCCATCGCCATCACATTGGCATACCAATGTGCTTGTTGGCGGATTTTTGGTCCAATAACATTCTTGTGGTGCACGTATAAAACCACAAGATCGAATAATACGAGTTTCCTGTTCAATTGTTTGTACTTGTTTTCGGCAGAATGTATAGTTAAGTTTATTATTTTCGTCAATACATTCACGATACATTTTACTATAACACTCATGCAGATTATCAACATCCTTAGGTACATCTTCACAGAATTTATCTGTCATTGAATTACATTGCCAACATTGTATAGCATCGACAGTGTTGTAAGGTAGATATGTTATAATTGTAGCCAAAACGATCATTACGATGGCCATAAGGAACCAATGATAATTTCGAATTGATGTCATGTTTGACCCAATATAGAATTCACGGAATATGAAACTAAAAGGGGCTAAATAGATGATGGGCTATGATGATATGGATCGATTCTTTTGTCTTTTCTTCAAGAGATGATATTGACACCTTGTTTGAAAGTCACCAAAAAATTAAAGCCAAAATAGTGTTAGAGGGACAAACTAATGCAACACACACACACACACATATAGAACACCAAACAAAATAGGACTTTGGTAATGATGTGAGCAGAGCCAAATTGATGCTAAAATGAGAACATTTTTTTCTTGTAGCACGAATCGTAATGACTGAAGATTGGCTTCGAATAAAAAAACAAGTGAAGAGCAACAGCAGCGGCAATGATCAATGTGTGGATTTAAGTGTCCGATGAAATTACATACACACACACACACAAACAGACACACAGTGAAAAAAAGTCCGTATTTTCGTCGTCGTCGTCGTCGTAATATCTCTGTAGTCAAAGAAAAAAAAACATTGAAGCAACCATCGACAGATAATACAGTTAATAATCGTTGAAAAATATGAGAGCCATCCACATGAACGATATAGACGATTATTTTTGATGATTGTGAAACGTTGGCTTTTTCACATTTTATTTGCTTTTCGTCAATTCGTTTCAAATGTATTTACATTCATTTCATATTCAATGAAGAACGTTGATCAATGCCATTTTATAAAAATTCAATCTGCTATTTTATTATGTTTGTTGAGCCACATAAATTTTCGATCAAACTTTTCTTCGTAATAGCGGACCTGTATATATAATATAGTGAATATATATAGGAGATTATTAGCCAAAATGCAAATCTAATCATCATCTATAATCAGAGTATCAAAATTTTCATTATAGAAGTATTCGTATTCGTATCATGTCAGAATGAATGAATGAATGACTAAATGTGGAGGATTAATCATAAAATTAATCGATAAATCTAATTAATCTAATTGATGATATACGATTACCTTTTTTTTTGATCCACGAATGAAATGATGAAACAATCGAATTTTATAAGAAAGTTGATTTTTTAAAATTCATTGATGATTGATATCGGATAACCGAATAATAATATAATAATTAGATATAAAAACGTTAAATGATACGATAAGGGTAAATATCAGTTTCATTGATCGATTGAAATTGAAATCAATTAAATTCAATTGATGATTGATTTGTAATAAGCTATATTTGAGGAGATAGCTGCTTCAATGTCCTCAAATACAGAGTTTATGTGTGTTGTCTATTTAGCAATTACAAAACGGTCATATATTTTCAGAAAAAAAAAATTAGAACAACCACAGCATTGATAGACGTCATCATCATCATCATCATCATCGTCGTCGTTATATTATAATGGACAAATGGACCACTACCACCACCAACAATAACCGAGATGGTAAAGACGCCCAACAATCAACGGCTTGACTTGACGACCATTATATTATTTATTATTATTATTTGACTGAGAATTGTACAGATTTAGATCAGGTGTATTAATAATATGTGTTTGGGTGTGTGTACGGAACAAATCGTTTTTTTCTTTTTTGGGGATCTAAATGGATTCATTTTAATCAACGACCTGCGCGTGTCAAACAAAATTGGCTTCATGATCATCTCTGCAATAAGAACGAATATTTTGAACAAATGAATTTGAAGTTTACACATTTGTATACTGATAATGACGATGATCAATGTCGATATCAACAACAATAACAACAACAACAACAACAACAACAACAACAAATAAATTGATGATGAATTGTTGATTAGCTGTTGAAAAGGCAAAAAATTAATCTTCACATCATTGCCAATAATGTGTGGCCTTTTTTTTCATTTATTCGAATTCAACATGAATAGACGACAAACGCCATCTAATGATAAATAATGAAATTAAAATTAAATAAAAAATTTTCCAATTGTCATTCAGTCATCGCTTGGTCTTTGTAAAATTGTAATTAGATTTGATGACTGTTGTTGTTGTTGTTGTTATTGGATCATAGAGGCATCTGTCATTTATTCATCCATTCATTCATTATCGTTGTTGTTGTTCATTCATGGTTAGTTATGTTCATCATCATCATCATCCAAAAAAAAAAAAATGTTGTTAGATTCTCTTAACAAACACACACACAGTCGGAATCAGAATAAGTTCCATTTCAACTATTAACTCAATTGTCTATCTCTTTCGCTATTTTTAATGACTTGTCATCACACACACACACTGGTATATTGTAATTATGGCTCCATATACTTTATATATTCGTTGTGGACAAGAAAAAAGAAAATTCCATACAAGCACGATTCGGTCATTCACAACAAATTGAGAATTGATCGTTATAGTCAAAAAAAAAAAAAAAAAATAAAATAAAATATATGCATTATATACCAAGGGAGAGTAATATACATTCCAAACAACAACATTATTTTATTTTATTTTATTGTTTTGTTTTGCTTTGTATCAACAAACAACAACATGACCGACGACATTGCCATTATTATAGCCGAAATTGACGGATCAATAATAATAATAATAAGATTGTTTAAGCGTGTCACACACACACATACACACACACACAATCACATCGATAATGACATCAACATCATTGGGTATGGGGCGTGATTGTTTGCTTTTGTTGTTGTTGTTGTTGTAGTTGTTCAATAATAAGGGCCACACACACACATACACACACAAATACACACAAAAGCACGTCACATTTGTCAATCAAAGTTTGGTTCTGACACCCTATTTTTGATACCTATTCATAATAGTCGATAATGTACGCGCGTGTCTCCATTTACTTAATTGTTTACAAATCATCATCATCATCATCAGAATCAGAATTAGAATTATTATTATTTCAAATCATACAGAGGCATAAGATTAAATTGATGTTCATTATTATGAATTTACGTGCAACGAATGAATTCTGTCGAAATGAATGAATGAATGAATGAATGAATAAAAATCGATAATAAAAAAAAACAACATTCGATCTACGGCTGCTTTTACTGATGTGAATTTTTTTTTTTTTTAGTTTGAAATAAAAATGTTGTGGCCCTTAAAAATAATTATTACCATTGATAATGGCCATTGTATAGAGAGAGAGAGAGAGAGTTCTAACTGATTAATTCAATCAACAAAGGAAAAAACAACTTTTCGTTACAAGATAATTGAATCGACGAAATTTTCGGATATACGGACATACTCTAAAGGTGTTTGTGTGTGTGTGTGTGTGTGTGTGTGTGTGTATGTGGTATATGATAAATCGAATTGAATCGCAACTGATTTGATCTGATCCAATAGATAGATAGATACAAAAGTTGGTTTTTTTTTGTTTGATGGCTTTTTTTTCACTATCTATCTAATAGAAAAAAAAGTTGAAGTTCATTTACATGACAATCAGGCAGTCATTTTTTTTTTTTTTTTGCTGGAACAATTTTGGTTTTTCGTTTTCGAGAAGCTCAATGGTCGTCATATATAAAATGGATGGATAATGGATAATGGTTTGACACACACACACACACACAAACACACATACATTGCTTGTCTTTAAAAGAAAAAAAGAATGGTTGACTGGTCTCAGGTGCTTGACATTTGTATAGCACACACACACACACACATACATATACAGTAAATCCCAAGGATTAGTTCAGGAATATGGAGCCTTATGTGTATGTGTGTGTGTGTGTGTATGTTCACAGGAAATGAAATCACTTTTTTCTTTTTTCTTTTTGTTTCGCAAACGATATCAAAGAATTGAATTCAAAGTAAATTGTCGAGTAGCATCACAATCATTTTATACTATGGTTGTTGTTGTTGTTGTTGCTAGTGCAACAATTTTTGCCATTTTATACGATTTGTGTGCATTTGATGCCAGAATCTAAAAAAAAATGGCCAAAAAAATACGAAACGAAAACGAATGACAAATAATCATGTTAAGGCCAAAATGTATGGTCTTTTTTATATTCTATTTATCCATTCATTCATTAATCTAATAGGATAGCATGACCATCACGATTGAATTCAATTTCGTATTTTTGATGGTCCACATTGTCATTGTTGTATGTACGAGGTTTTTGGGGATTCATCATTTTCCAATCACAATTGTTGTTGTTTTTGTTATGTGTGTGTGTGGTGATGGTGGTGGTGGTGGTGGTGGTGGTGGTGAAAAGGAATTGTTATTCAAATTTGACCATTTGTCATTTGTATACAGATTTCATGGGCAAAACATATATACAACCATTAAAATGACATCAATTAACAGGATTGTATATATAATAACATGTACATGGTGTTTTTCAACTATACAAAATGACAGGTGTCATGGATGATACTATATGAATGGTATATTGTCACATCTGTGCTGATAACACCATATAAAATCTGATCCAAATATTGATGATGATACCGTGTAATAAATACGACCACACACACACACACACATGTTATATCCATTGGTTAAATCGAATTTGGATGATGATGACTTTTAAAATTTCAAATTTAATTGCTGACATCGATGGAATAATAATAATATGGCTATAATCCAAAAAATGTTGTGAATGTACAAAGAATCAGAAAATTTTCCATTATCCATCGAATAGGGTTAAAAATTTCTTACATTTGATATGGCCTTTGTTTGCTGGACATGCTGTATGGATGCGCAAGTACAATATAAATGGTAAATAGGTAGGAGGAGGCAAAATAAAATAGTGATGTTGAATTACACACATAAACAGTGTTTTTGATGCTTCCTTCTTGGTTTGGTTTTGGGTATATTTTTTTTTTTTTTTTTTTTTGACAACATGAAATGTGAACAATGAGTATACATACGCACAAACACTTGAATATGGCGCGCATATTGGAACAAAATGATTGCTGCTGCTTTGACGACGACGACGACAACGGTAGACAAGCCTGGTGGGTTGGCACAAAGATTCTTTGGCCACCATTCAATGATCACAAACAATGATTGGTCAGAAAAAAAAAGATTGTAAAAGCATAGAAAAAAAGCAATTGTCAATGGTAAGAGCAATCAACCACGCGAATCTTGATTCTTTATTATGGATGGTTGGTCCCATACACATATATATATAATGTATATCTGGATAAACACTGTTGATGGTGGGAGGTTCTTTGTCATTCGACAAAGACCAAAAAAAAAAAATACAACAACGACATATACTGATTTTTTTTCGATTCTCTGAAGTTTCATTTTTTTTCGGGTACCAACAAAAAAAAAATTCTGGTCCGAATCATTCGAATAGCAAACAAGCATCCTTGTTGTTGTTGTTGTTGTTGTTGTTTGACATTATTGTGACCGTTATCAATAATTATGGCCGATTGTCATGTTGAAGATGAAGATCAAATTGACCATAATGATGATCATGATCAAGATTTTATGGATAAAATGGTATCAACGACAACAACAACATCCGGATGGAAACAACGAAAAGATGGACATCGATAACATCATGGACGAAGGTAAGATCATATTCATTTTTATTCATTCGAATTTGAATTCTTTTTTTTTTGTGAATGAATGAATGAGAAAAACTCTGACTGGAATGATGAATGAATGTTCAGATGTTTGTGTGAATCAATTATCCAAATTGTTTGGCTCCATTACAATTCTTGTTGTTGGTTCTGAATTTTTTCTCTCTCTCTCTGTCCATTTCATTTCATTTCATTATTGTCAAAAAATATGATGATGGCTCATTTTGTGTTTCATTCATTCATTCTCAGTTTTTCTATGTTTCCAAACAACAACAAGAACAAATCGGCTTATTTAGTCCGAGAATATCGTCCAATCGGATTAAATCCATAGGATACTGTATATATTGCATTTTATTCACAAAATTGATTTTGGTCGTCAGTCAGTCGGTCGGTCGGTCGGTGTGCATGCCAGTTGGCCTTATGACCCTTTTGCAATATCAATGGCATGGATTTTTTTTTTTTTTTTATTTGGAACCATTGTATTTCTGGCAAATGAGATTTTCTTTGATGATGATGATTTTATTTCTTTTGCAGCAAAAATCATGTGACAATCATGATCATGATGATGACATTGACACGCGTTCGTCTTTAAATGTCATGAATGATATGATTATTTAGAATTATAATATTGCACCAAATTTCAAATTTTCATCATCATCATCATCATCATCATGATGAGAAAAATGTAGAATAGAATTCTATAATTGTTTTTTACAACAACAACAACCAAAAAAAAAAACTTAAATGAAAGTCAGTCAATTTTGTTGTTCCCATCAAAATTTCCATTGGCTTTTTTTTAGTGATCCATTGAGAGCCATTTTACAATTAGCGCAAAATGTAATTACTTAGCTCGATGTAGAATTAGTTTTGTTTTGTTTTTTGTTTTTTTGTTTTGTATTCCAGAAAACTTAATGAAAAGTTTTTTTTTCTGGTCCAGGCTTAAAAACCTTTTTTTTGATTTTATCCTATTTTTTTTCAATAATATCGACAATGAAATTTGTTTTTGTATGTTTGGTCCAAAATTTTGTCCGATAGGTCAACAAACCGATTCTTGTTTTGATGATGGTGATGATCAAGAAATGATTGAAAATGACAATGATGATGATGATGATGATTTTCAAATTAATCGAAGCAATAGCAGCAACAGCAGCAGCGGCAGCGGCGTCGGTAGTATCAACAACGATCTTAATAATGATGCTACGACAAGTATCTGTGGTACAATTTCACCATTAATAACCGCATTTGATTCAAGTAATAATTCATCACCGATTCCAATTTCAACATCAGTATCGATGATTGGTGGATCATCAAGAAACGATCCATTGATGAGTGCAACCGATTTAAATGTTCGTTATCATCATAATCTTCATCATCATTTTATGATGATGAATAAATGTTCGAAAGAATTGAACAAAAAAATGACTATGATTCCGGTTACATCGACAATTGATTCAAATTTGAATTCAACAACTTCTTCGGTAACAACTACTGGTGGTGGTGGTGGTGGTGGTGGTAATGGTAATGGTAGCAATCCCATCATGAATTTTGATTTCGCACTACCACCAATCACCGCTACAGATATGATGTCCGGTAATTTAGCAACATCAACAACATCGGCTACAGATCTTTTTTTCTCTTATCAACAACAATTATTGGCGGCTAGAAATGCCGCTGCTGTTGCTGCATTTAATGGAAATTCGACAAATTTGAATCCATTTACGAATACATTTTTGACAAATGGTAATGGTAATCAACATCAACAGCAATTAGGATCACAATTTTCTACCACTAGTCCATTATTCAAATCATCAAACAATCAAGCATCAGCAGCTGCTTCATTGGTGACAAGTTATATGCAAAATAGCCTATTACATTCTATGGCGGCCGCTGGTCAATTGCATCCATTGAATCTAACATTTGCAACACCGACCATAACGCCGTCATCAACAACTGTTAACCGTCATAATTCAATACAACAGAATTTGATAGAAGAAACAAACACACAGACATCGACACAACAACAACAACAACAAGTTCCTGTGAATACAAATAATACTCATCGTTCAAATCAAGGTGAAATATCAAAACAATCACAACAGAATCATCATCATCATCATCATCACCACCAACAGCCTACATCATCAAAATCGGATGATACGACAAAATCACCGGAACCAATATCTGCTGGTAAATGTTCTAATAACGGTAGTAATAATAATAATGTCAATGGTAATGATGGTGGTGGTGGTGGTGTTGGTGGTAAACAACCGAAACCAACAATGAATCCATCGAATCTTTTATGTGTTGTTTGTGGTGATTTAAGCAGTGGTAAACATTATGGTATATTAGCTTGTAATGGTTGTTCCGGTTTCTTTAAACGTAGTGTTCGACGTAAACTTATTTATCGGTAGGTTTTCAATTTATTTTTTTTCACACACACAATGTTTCATTGCTAACAACAACTATGTCATGTTAGATGTCAAGCTGGTACTGGAAATTGTATTATTGATAAACAACATCGAAATCAATGTCAAGCTTGTCGATTAAAGAAATGTATTTCTATGGGTATGAATAAAGATGGTAAGTTTGAACATTTTATCAGTCATTTGTTCAACCTTAATATTTACTGTTGCTGCCTATTGTGTTGTGTATAGCCGTACAAAATGAAAGACAACCAAGAAATACGGCCACAATACGTCCTGAAGTTCTGCTTTCGGATTCTAATTCCGAACGATTATTACGTGAAGGTGTTGCTGCTACTGTAGCTGCAGTATTTGGTTTAAGCAATTGTGCTGGTACCATAGGAGGAGGTGGTGTTAAACATCGTGATCATGGCCATGGCCATTGGCGATTTAATGATAAACGAACATCAGGTTTACGTGGATCAAATAAATTACAACAATCACATAATCATCATCAAAATGGTCATGATAATCATCATAGTAATAGTAAATGTTCAGCTGATCATCATAAAGAGAATCGAAATATGGAAATAAGAAATAGTGATTCGAACAAAGAATCGATAATCGATTCAACATTTCGATCAAATCTTGGTTCATATTTAATGACCACATCCGATCCTAGTCAATATTTGAGTATTTCCGATCTAAGTATACCATCATCCTCATCATCATCATCATCATCATCGTTGATTCTATTAAATCCAGATTCTTTTTATGAAATATCAGCCGGATTATTATTTACCGGTGTAAAATGGATAAAAAATTTACCATCATTTGCTAGTCTAGGATTTCGAGATCAGATTGTTCTGTTGGAAGAATCATGGACAGAAATATTCTTATTGAATGCTATACAATGGAGTTTACCATTGGATAAATGTTCAATATTTTCATCACAAAACATACCAAATGGTAATGATTATGTACCGGAAATTCGTGTACTTAACGATATGTTTCAAAGATTTCGTATTATGGCCATTACACCGACAGAATTTGCCTGTCTAAAAGCGCTTGCTTTATTCAAACCAGGTTAGTTTTTTTTGATTGTTTTCTATTACAATAATTGATATATATTCAATGTTTTTTCCCCATGCCAAAAAAAAACCTAAAATCGTATCATCATCGTTACATTTAATCAACCGATCATAAATGAATAAATGATAGAAGCACGAGGCTTAAAAGATGTAACAAAAATTGAACAGATGCAGGATCAATTACAATCAATGCTATTACAGCAAATGATGAAGAATCAAAATCAGGACACCAGTACCACCACCACCACCACCAGTACCAACACCACCAATCCGATTAGGTAAGTTGAATTAAATTCTGATCGGATCATGATCATGATCATGATCAGATGATGATGATGAACATTATTATGACTCTAATCGATTGTGTTCCATTTTCATTATATATGTATGAACGAAAGATTTGGTAAATTACTTTTGCTCTTATTATCATTGAAAATCATTCCAACTGAAAAGATAGCATCTATTTATTTCAAAAAAGCGATTGGAAGTAAGTATCAAATAATAATGATGATGATGATGATGATCAAATCCTAAAAGCCAACATTTTATTATCAACAAAATTAATTGACAGATACAACTATTGAAAAATTATTATGCGAAATGTTTAAATGTTAATGCTGAATCCGAATGTGTTTGGTGATTGTTTGAAGGTAAAAAAACCTATAAAACAAAGAAAAAAATACCAGATCGTTTACCATAACTATTTCCACCAGATGGCACCATGTCGCCTGTATTTTTTAAAAATCGATGGATCGAAAAAATAAATAAACAAACAAACATTCGAATATAAATATCGACAAACTATTACAATGTAGCAACAAAATGATATTTTGTTTGGATTTTTTTATTTTATTTTACGTCATTTCAAGATCAATTTATTTGGTTTTATTTTATTCAGGATTGGCGGAATGAAAAGGATGGATGGATGTGGTGGGTACACACACATTATTGTTGCCCATAAACAATATAATATGTAGTAGTGACGATTGCAAACGAAAACAAAACAAAAAAAAATAATAATAAAAATAAAAATTTCGTAATTGTGTAACAGTTTGTGTGTGTGTGTATGTATGATTGTTTGAAAAATAAATTGAAAAAAAATCAAATTTTTCAGATTTTAAGTTTACAAAAATATCTCCTTTTCCTGAGGATGGCTCAACATTTTAAAGATGATAGGATATTTTGATTTTTTCTCCTGAAACTAGTCCGGTACTACTAAGGGAGAGTAAAAAGAATTTTTGACCGTAGTATTGTTGTCAGCCATGTTCGATAAAGTTGGTGAAGATAATGATGAAAAATTATGATGATTAGGTAATATTTCATTAGACAAATTCTGTTCATTTGAAATGTGATTAACGGCAAAACCACCACCACCACCATCACCAAGTAATTCACTTGTTGTACGATTAAAATTTGGGCTATGTGATTTAACCACCATTATCAAGTTAGATGGTCGTTGACCACCACTTGTATTATTATTGAATTGTTGTGCAACAGGAGCAGCAGCATTAGTCGTTAATGAAGATGCGGCATCACTATTGAAAGCTCGATTAAGGGGCCAAAAGTTAAGGAATTTTGTAGAATAACGTCGGAACCTGGAAGTTTGAAAAAGCATTGAACATGAATATCTATGAACATAAACAAGAAATCATATCTAGCTTATTACCGTTTATTCATTAACAATAATATGATTGGATTAAGCACCGAATTAAACATGGCCAACCAATAGATGGCCAAAAATATATGCTGTATACCACGTGCTGTTGTTAATTCGGGCCATTGATATGTAGTGAGAAAATATACATGATAAGGTAACCAACAAACAGCAAACACAATGACAACTAAACGAATGGAAAAAAAACAACGTTAAACAATGCTGCAATGCTATGATGATTTAGCTTCTTACTTACCACAAATTAACATTCGTACAACTTTTTGTTTCGAACGTACTAGACTAGCTTGTGCTTGTGATGTTTCGCCAATCTGTTTACTTCCCCAAAGTACACGAGCCATCAATGTATAAGCAATGGCCATTGTCATCAATGGTAATAGATAAGTTAATACCAAAAATAATAGATTGTAACTTGTAAATAAAAAGAAAAAATTTATTATATAATAAACAGCATAAATTCAATATAAAAGACAAAACAAAACAAAAAAAAATTTAACTTACAAAAAATCCAATTTTGATTTTCCTGGATATCCATCTGGCCAAACCATTAAACATACGGTACGTTGCATCGATGTATCATGTAATGTACGTGAAAATATTAATGCTGGTATAGCAAAGATGGCGCTAGCTATCCATATGATCAAAATGTTTATTAATGCACGATTTTTGGTCATTCTTTTTTCAAGTGGATATACAATTGCATTGTATCTATTATATAATAAAAACGAAAAGAAAAGAAAAATATTCAAATTCATCAATCAATCTATCAATAACAATATAATCAATTATTGATTGTGTACAACATCAAATTGATTTAATCTACATCGAAAAAGTAGATAGTGATTAGCGATGTGGAATATTATTTTATTAGCCCAAATGTACAAAAAAAAATTATCCCGATATTAATCTTTTTCAAATGTTTTTCATTATACTGTTCGATTTGGTATCATCAATCAAAAATAGAAAATATTGTGCTTTGTTTGGAATGGAAAAACAAACCGTGGTGGGTCCCCTCCCCAATGATTGGAACCAAAATTTTTTTCTCTATACATACATGTGTTTACCACCAAGTCAATTTAGACAAATTTATTCTCTAGATTTTTTTTTTTAGATTCTGAATCATCGATTTGATTCCAATCATCAACCCAATGCACACACACACACACACACACACACAAATTCCCTCATCATAATCATCATGGTTTCACGAATGTTTTCACAAGAGATTCATTCTGAGAATTCACATACGAAAATCAAATAAATGTGATACACAAAATAAATGAAAGTGATGATGATGATGGTGTTTGTTACAAACGCTTTTAATACTGAAAATGCCTATAGATTTACTATCCTTGAATAATCAATAATAATCACTCAATCTGTATATACACTCATATGATTTGGCCATGTAAACATTTGTTTTAACCATTTTTTTTTTTTAGTAATTCTCTCTTCTATAATTTGCCATAAGAATTTGTATGTGATTTTAATGCTCATCCACCGTGTATTTGATATCATGATATATGATATAATGGATTGTCGAATCTTTTCTTTTCTTGTTGCCTAATATTTTCCAATAAGCTACAATATTGAATTTATTTTGGTTATTCTTTTTTTTTCTTTCCAATTTCGGAATGTTTGGAATTTGAAGAAAAATAAAAATCTAATTATCACAAGCAAATATATTATTGGCCAATGAATCGAATTGAATAAATTAAATGATCAAATTAATTAATTTCCGATTCAATAATTAGTGATATCACACACACACACATTAATGAGTACATCAACTTTTCAACACTGTGTGTGTGTGTGTGTGTGTGCCGATAACAACGTTCGACATAAGACATGTGCGTGTTTGGGTATCAATTTTCCACGAAAAATTTTTGTGGATTCATTTTTTTTTTTTTTTTTTTTTTGGTTTTCACGATCAGAATATTTCACAGAAATTATTGTTTTGATGTATGGCCATTGTTGTATATATATAGAATTAATAATATAAACAAAACAAAACAAAAAAAAAATTCGTCCGTGGTTTTTTATGACGCAAAGCAAAACAAAAGTATATGAAAAACGACAAAATTGCATCTAATTAAACTAAAATAAAACAAAAAACACAAAATGATATGTAAATAGCTTTCTATATATATATATATATATGATAATCTGGCCATCATTCATGTGTGGGTGCACGTCAGTCGATAGAATTGACATTAGGTATTTGATAATAGAGAATTTAGAGAATAGAGAGTGAGAGAGCCTATGGATGTTACACTTTTTTTTGTCCTATGCGGAATCGATCAGTGATTTTATTTTCCATGTTTTCATTATTATTATTCGAGTTTGTTGTTGTTATCATATTTTTTTTTTATTTTTCACATATGTACACTATCCTCAAGCCAAAATTACGGTCACGTTTTATCGTTCAATGACGATGATGATGATGATGATGATGATGATTGGTAGCACGCACACAGCAAAATGTTTGTTTTCATAGTTTATGGTTTTGTCCAATATCCGTGGTTATTGTTGATGTTTTATATTGAATTTATGTATTGGACATATCAACAACTCCCATACAAACTGGCCATACAATTCAGCAAGACAGACAGGCAAAAAAAAATTTCTAATCTTTTTTTTACGCTTTCATTTTATGAAATAAATTTTTTATCATCAGTAAAACATTATTATTTTATTTTGCTGTTTTTTTTCATTATTTCTTGCCTTAATATTCAAAAGGTTTCAAATGTGATGTGACGACAATGATGGCAAAGATTCTTGCCATAAATTCTTTGAATAATTTAGCTTGTTTGTGTATGTGTGTGTATGATTATTTCTAAGGCCGACCAAACCGGCCGAATGAAAAGATATGATGGTATGTGTGTGTGTGTGTAGGTATGACCGAGAATATATTCTGTTTATAAATTAAAATAATAATGAAAAAAAACACCTGACTTATTCCGTCAAATTCCGTGTATTATGAATTTTTTAGAATTTCTTGCAAAAAAAAAAAATCTTTCTCACTTACCTTTCTTTACTGGTAAACATGATGGTAAATACCGATATTGCAATAGTTAGATTTGTAATGAAATTATTCACTACACAATATCGATGACCAAATGGCCAATGGCCAGTGATCATAAAAACAAAATTAAATGTTGCATTAAACAATAAGGTGACCAAATCGGAAACAGTTAGATTGAGTAAAAAACAATTAGTAACCGTATGTAATGATTTATGGCCACCAATTGTAGCCAATACTAATAGATTAGCTAAAAGGCCAACCGTTATCATTGTGCCGAATATTAATGACCAAATGATTTGAACATCATGTGAAAAATATTGTTCTCCATGATTATTTTCATCATGATTATTTGTTGATGATGTCGTTGATTTTTTGGCTAATTTTTTAATAGTTTCATTTACCACCATCATAACAGAATCGGTTGACGATGATGATGATGATAATGATGGTGATGATGATGATGATGATGATAATGATGATGATGATGATGATCGATTCGTTAAATGATGACCAAATGATGATGATGATGATTGATTATGATGGTAATTATTTTCTTTATGATGATCACTTTCCATAATCACAGTTGTATCATGTATATCTGACCACATTGATGATGATGATGAATGATGATCTGCTGTACAAATGGTCATTATCGTAATTGTAGCAGCAGCAGTCATCATTATTGATTTGATGGAAAAAATATTTGAAATATTTGCTATGAACATATCGGACCGCAAGCACACAATAGTGTTCTATTCAGCTTTGTTTTCTGTTTTATTTATGGGGGGAAGTGGGCAAAGAGAAAAAAAATGAAATAAAATTTTAATCCAACTTCCCTCATTCCAATATTCACATTCATTTTTGTTTCATTTCATTTTATTTTTTTTTTTTTCGGATTGACTCCGAAAAATTTAATAGTTGATTTCCCAGCTGTGTCAAATATATCTATTTGTTTGTGTTCATTCATTCATTCATTCATTCACTGAAAAAAATGGACCCTATGAAATGAAATGAAAATTTTTTTCGGGCTGTCGTTGTTAATGTTGAACAACTAGCATATGACAAGATATGATGATGATGATGGGTTTATCTGATTATGTTAACCTAAAAATATTTTCATTTTTCATGTTCACGTTAATATGGTATATATAGAGATCAAACATCGTGAAACTTGGTGAAATGTCACGATATCTATGACTGTGTGTGTGTGGGTGTGTGGTAATAACATTTTTTTTTATTCAAAAATCGGAAATCCAAAAAAAAAAAAAAAAAGTTTATCAGAATAAAAAAAAAAAAAAAAAAATTTTGAAACATCTGGTATACCACCAGTCATAAACAGTAATAAAAATCTTTGAATGTGAAATTCATTCATTCATTCATTTTTTCATTCATTTTTTCATCATATGTGCCAAAATTAATGAGCATCATCATCATCATATATGATAATTATTCCTTAATAGCTCACCACTTCCGATGATGATCATACAAAAAAAAAAAAAAAAAAAAATCCGAATTTTTCATTTTCCCTTTTAAGGCATTTTTACAATATGCTACCACTACTGTTCGTGTGTGTGTATGTGTGTGTGTGTTTGCTGTTAGTTAATCTTGTCTATACGATTATGACATAATAAAAGTTTATTATTATTTTTATCAAAATGAAAATCGTTTTAATATCGATTTTTGAAAGAATGTGAATCATATTTTTTTTCCCCATTTGTCCATCAAAAACTATTAAATCAATATACAGATATATTGTTTATTTATAAATTGAATGGGGGGTGAAGGGAAAAAATGTCAACCGATGTTTGTGTGTGTGGACAAACGAATGTGTCTTCTACAATAAATAAAAACAAACAAACAAACAAAACACATATTGGTTGTCATATTTTTAGTAATAATTGGAAATTCTTTGATTCTTTCAGTTTTTTTCTAATATTTTCCCTTTTTCTACATCATAAAATAGTCACATTTAGTAATAGAAGAAGACGAGCAAGACGAAGAAGAAGAAGAGATGGGAACAAAAACTTAGTTGCTTGACCATATTTATTTTTATTTTTTTTATTTTTTCGTTTGTTTGTCGCATAATAACAAACACATACAAACATCATCATCATCTTTAAGTTTTTCTTGCTTTGTTGACTCTGTTTATATATAAATAAACAAAGATGCAATTAATCAGCCAAGCCCGAAGGACTATCTCTCAAGATCAGACAAAAAAACCTATTCTGGTATATATGGTGTTTGTCAGTTTGATAAAGAATATTTTTCACGCTGTTTTTTTTTTTTTTTGCTTTTGCTGAACTGTTTTTGTATTTTGGTTTTGTTTTTTGGTTTTTTGATGTGATTGCAAAATGTTGATGATGATGATGATGATAAAGATGTTTGGAAATGGTCGGTGGCCTTTAAATTGTCTTAGATTGACAAAACAAAACAGACAAAAAAAGAATATCATCATCTGATTGTTCATTAGTTGATAAATTTTTTTTTTTTTTGTTTTGTTTTTATATAACAAACTTTGACCAATTAGATTTTTATCATTCATTCTGGCATTCTGGCACCACATACCGGTATATATTTTGTTGTTGTTGTTTTTGTTGTTGCAAGGATTAGTTTGTTTGTTATTCTTTTGTTTTTTTTTTTTTTTTTTTTTGTTGGAATCAATGTATGTAGTATTTGTGTTTCGGCATTTGTTTTATAAATATGTTGTTGATTTGTTTCTCTGTCATTAAGTTGGAATTATAAATCAGCCGCATGTTGTGATGATGGTGATGATGATCATATAGAAACATTTATTATGACATGAATAGAGAATATAGAATTTAGTCAAAATCGATACAAGTAAAATAGAGAATCTCTGCTGCTTTAATAATTATTATTATTAAATTGATGTGGGGATTTCTTCACAAATTTATATCGTCGTCATTGTCGTTGCCATTTCAAATTAGTTCAAATGAACTTTTCTTTGTTCACTTTTTTCTCTCGTATATAATTGAAAATTTTTATTTTTAGTAAAAAAAAGGTAGCTAGAGGAACTACAATGTGTGTGTGTACGGTTTTTAGTACGGTGAAAGATGCTGCTTTATAGATATATATATAATATAGAGAAAAACTAATCATTTAAAGTAATTAGCTTTTACCTGACAAATTTCATAACTAACAAAAAAAAATAAAATAAAAATAAACTGTATGTATGTATGTTGACCATTGCAGCATTTAACTGATGACTGTTCTCATTTTTCAACAACAACAACAACTATTACAACAAAAACCGAACCAAAAAATCAATTATGATTGGACCTTGTTTTGTCTGTCTTTTTTGTTTCATCCACTGCATCCAGTACAGGTTTTTTTCAATCAATATTTTCATTTTATATTACATACATATAACATTTATACGCGTCATGTATCATCAATTTGATGATAAATAAATATATTTGCTGTTGCCATTTTGATATTAATGTGTGTGTGTGTGTATTTGTACAGTACACCTAAAATTCAATTGGCTACAATTTAATTCTTCCCATTTGATTCTCTTTCTTTTATCCCCTTTTCGATTCACTATTCATCAAATTATACTCTTTCAAAATTATTGCTCATCATCATCAACAACAATTCTGTTTGTCAGTTTTTGTTTTGTTCGATCAATCTTTCAGATGGTGGCCGTTTCATTTGAGTTATGTGATCGATATTATGTGTGTCGATTTTATGGAAGTTTTCATCTTTTTTTTTTTTTTTTTTTTTTAGTCAGCCTGTTTTGACAGATATTCTTATGACATTATTGTTCCACATTCAGTTATTAATGATTTATTCATATACATGTATGCTGGTATACTGGTTATCATTTGGAATTTTTTTTTTTTTTTTGGTTTGACCATCACACGGCACTAGCAAACACATCAAAATGCAATAGATTTCACACACAGACACACACACAACAACAACAACAACACATTTTTATATATGATTTAAAAAAAAATTAAATCAAAAAATTTAAAATAAAAAGTTATTTATTCCTCATTTACCCAGTGGGTAAAAAAATAATTTCCATTTTCTTATTTTCTCAAGCACAAAAAAACACATTAAAAATAAAGATGAGAATTTTCACATCTGATTGTGAAGTGAACAAAAAAAAAAATCCAATTTTAAATGAAAAAAAAAATTTTTTAATTCACTTTTCAATGAATACAAACTGATCAACGACACACAAATACAATTCAATATCATGCATCATTTCTTTACCCGGTATATAATGCAATGAATGAAAATGAAAAAAAAGAGTGAAAGAGGAATTTTGTTTGTTTTTTTAAATTTTATCAGCGAAAATTTTCAAATTGACTGCTGACTGTTAGAAGTTGTTACATCACAATAATGATGATGATCATGATGATTACCAATGATCATCAATATCCTCAAGCATTTTTTCAATGATAGTCATGTGTATGTTGTGTTTGTTACTAAATTGCTTGATGCTTAAATTATAATCTGAATTTTTTTTTTTTTGATCACACACACACACACAAACACAGCAAGTATCGATCATTCATTCATTCATTTATTGTTTTGATATCTTTTTGATATTCATTCAGAGAATGTAATTTATTTTTTTTTAAAAGCAAAAAAAAGGATAGAAAAAAAAGATTTCATTTCCTTCAATTTAGAAGCAACACAACTATTCTTTTTTTTCATCATTATCATCATCATCAAGTAGTTTGGAATTTGGCGTTTTTGTTTTCATTTTTAATGGCAACAACAACAAAAACAAAAACACAACATGAATTCTATGAATGTGTTTGTGGCGTGGTTGTTTTTTTTTCATATATTGGAGAAAAAAAAAGCTAATCAAAAGGAATGGCCATGTTTTTCACATTGACACACAAACACATACACAAAGACACTTATGTAATAATATTACGTGCGTTTGAAAACGAATTGGGTTGGTATACAATAACAAAAAAAAAAAAATGGAAAATTGAAAAGCTGGGTCATGATTGTCATCATCATCATCATCATCTTTATATTCTTTCAATCGCCATTTTGTTACAATAATAAAAACAACAACAAACATTGTCAAGTGTTTGTCTATCATAGACTGTCTCATGCATAGTTTTGACCATCAACTTGACGCAAAAATGACGTTATTCACGGGAGTTCCGTGATAGGTTTTTCTCGTTAATTTAAATTCTGAAAGAAAAAGAGAAGAGAGAGAGATACACTATGGACAGCTACTGTGTCTGCTTTGTTGTTGTTGTTGATGATGATGATGATGATAATGATAATAATGATATCACATAACATTACTAATTTTCTACAAATAGTCACGGTACATAATTATATCAGAAACAAAAATTGAAACAAATAAAAAAAATCAAATTGAAGAATTTTGATGTTGCTGTTGTTGTTGTTGACAAACCACAACAACATTTTTGAAGAAAAAAAAAAAATGCCATTGACACACAGACATACCGTCGTGCTTTAATTTGTTGTTGACGCATAATTTGTTGCTATAGTTGTTTGGGTTTTCACAATTTTTTTTCTCTTCTTCGTTGCTGTTGATTGAATAATTTCAATGAAGATTATATTTTGTTTCAAAAAAAAAAATTGATCATCACGTATCAATTATAAATAAATAATGAACATATAATATGATGATGATGATTATTATTAAAATTTAAAAATGAATGTTGAATTTGTTTTTATAATATGCAAATTACAAAATGAAAATATGTGCGATTATCATGAATGATGATGAATTTGTGATGATGACTTTTTTCCGATTGACCATTTGCCTTTGAATACCATTTTGTGCGTTTGGTATGGATGCAGCAAAATAATACACACACACACACGTCACATTTGGCCAGCGCCTGTTGTTATTTGCCAGTTATTGTCATCCATTATCATGTCCAAACTGAAACTAATCTTTGGTTTGTGTGTGTGTAGATACTTTTGTCGAATGTGGCCGAGAAACAGAAAAAAAAATTCTTGGAATGAGATTGTTGTTTTCACAAACAGCGCAAGCGTATTGTCTTGCGTATTTTTGTCAATTTGTAATTCAATGATTTGATGATTGAAGAAAAAAGAATCCTCTCACTCTTTTTTACCATTCTAAAGTAAAAAATGATTAAACCACAGAGACCTGTTAAACACATTCTATATCCATAAAATACACAAATACTCGATTGATTGGTACCAAATCGATTCCAATTTGGATATGTCATATTGTCGCCAATTTATATAATCAAGTTGTTGTTTAACTTGACGATTTTCTTCCGACGCACACGTAGATATTTTTTTTTGGTTAAAATCAATGAATAACTAATGTTATTTTGTTTTCAAAAAGACCCTGATAAAAGATCCGATCGGATGTTGTTTGTATTCTATTTGTTTTTGTTTGTGTGTGTGTGTGTGGTGTGTGTAATCGGAGAAAAAAATTCAGATTCTCCCTCGTATTGTTTGAGAGGGGTGGGGGTAGGGAGATTACAGCCAAAAAAAAAATTGACATTTAAATAAACAATGAGCCCGGTGATTCTATGATGATGATTGGTTTTTTAAAATAAATAATAATATGAAATTGAATTGACTACCATTATCATAGGATCGATCTGATATCAATCGATAAGAAAATGATTATTGTACATGTCATATATAGCAAATGTTATTATTTATTATTATTAACAATAAAAATAGCCACCATTAGAATTGACTTACCAACTGTTGTTGTTGTTGTTGTTGTTGTTCGGTGTTCATTTGTCGGTGGCGGCGACTTTCAGCCAACCAAAAAAAAAAAAAAAATAATAATAAAAACGTCAATAAAATTATTATTGGTGAAATGGTCTTCATTTCGAATCTTCCAAATGAATAGATAATGTCATTTTATCCAATACCATCCATTCTATTCTATGTCAATGCAAATTGATGAAATCAAAAACAAATAAAAACACACAGGAAAAATATTAAGATTGTCAAATGCCAATGTTTTTGTTTTTCTTACCATTTTCTTTCTGGTGATTCGGAAATGGAAATTTGTTTTGCTTTTTTTTTGATCCAATTTTCTACCATTCTGATCACCATGATGATCTCATTCACCAAAAACAAAATTTTTCCGTTTTCTATTTTCATACGTTGTATATATATATATGGGTACCACATAATAATAATAATTGATGGATGATTCCGTTCATTATATATTTTTTTTATTTTCGTTGTAGTTTTTTTTTATCCTCTTGTCCTTTATCTTGTTGTTGTTGTTGTTGGTGTTACTGATTTTCTCGTCATACGCTTGATGGTTTTTTATTTGCGCTATAATTCGATCACATTTTTTTTTTGTGAACAACTAAAAAAAAAAAATAGAATAATTAATTATCATGTTTTAAAGTAGGTAGTAATTAAAATGACTTACAGTCCTGAGATTAATTAAATATTTTTCGTATATATAAAAAAAACCCAGAAAAACTTTACTTTTCATTTATATATGATGGCGGTCCACATACTCATTATCATAGACGTAATATATTGGTAAAATATCGTTAGTTTGTTTGTTAGATCATCTTCTTTTGTTCACACATTTAATACTTTTTTTTATTTTCATTAATAACACTTTTCGGTACAATTTCACAATTAATTGTCGTTTGAATTTAGTATACGATCAATAAAATCAATAAATCATCAATTTTTTATGGACTTGATTATAGTCATCATCATCATATTTATTATTATGTAAGTTGAATCATTCGAATTCAAGGCATTCGAATTTCTCCTATATCGATCCAATTCGTTCATCGATGTTGACGACGATGACAACAACAAAATTCGAATATATATAAAAACTTTCTTTTTTCATTTTCTCTATCTCTCCATACTGTCATTGACAGCTTGTTTCCGTTGTATCGTTTTTTGTTTTGTTTTCATGAATAAAATATAATTCACCAGCCCCCACCCCTCCCCTCAAATTGATTGCATAACATTAACATGTTTGATTCGTAAAACTATTGCTCTCGTTCTTTCTCTTATTGCTATCATCATCAACATTCAAAAAGAAAAAGTGAAAAAATGCCGTCAACAATGGAAAACCAGTGAAAAAATGAAACTGAAACAAATTCTTATTCGTTTCGGCCAGAAATTCTCTCTTTTTTTTTTTGTATTGTACACAGAACATCGATGACAAGAATCGTTTTTTTTTCATTTTCAAGAATCATATCATATATGTAAAATGATAAATGGCTATGGAAGAGAATTAGTGAAAAAATTTGAAATTCATTTTGTTTTCTTCAAGAATCATGTGCATGATGTTTATTTTTCATTGTTGGCCATTTGAAACCATTCTCATTGTTATTATATATCATGTATATGTGACAATTCTTTAATATATTTTGAAAAGTAAATGAAAATCATTCTCGGTGTATTTTCTATGTAATTCATACCTTTACTAAACCATATATACACACACACACACACGTACATGAATATAAAGATTCAACGAATCGGCCTCATTTTATCATCACATGTGTATTTGATATATTTTTTATTTATTTACATCATCACAAAAGCATAAAATTTCAATCATCACAAGACTGACTGACTAACTTAATGACTGAATAGTGGTGATGAATTGTGTTCATATATCTATTCTCTCTGGTGAGACAATAATAAGAATGAAACAAAAAAAAAAAAAAAAAAAAATAAAATAAATAGCCACCCTTCTGGTTCGTTGGTCTAGAAATTGTTTTCATCCTACTACAGTGTGTGTGTGTGTGTGTTTCTAAATGCATCACATTTTATATAGTGAAGAATGAAAAAAGAAATGGAATATGATCATCATTGTTAAAAACAGTAAATGTGCATCCAAGTGCAACAAATAAATGAACCAACAGAACAGAACAAAACAAAACAAAACAAAATAGCTATCGACATAATGATATATGAATGAATGATGATTACCTAGCAAGGATTCCATTTCAATTTTAAAATTTTCTCTTGTATATTGTAACCAAATCATCATCATCATCATCATCATTATCATCATCGTAAGTGAAGATAACGAATGGTCTGAAACGGTTATAATACGGTTTTTAACATTATTTGCGTCATCATCATCATCATCGTCATCATGTGTACACATTTTTTACCTGAAAATAAAACAAAAAAAAAAAGTAATTCGACTACTTTTAAAAAAAAAAAAGAAGAGAAAAAAAGTACTTTGTTAATCTCTTGAGATGTCAACACATAAACACATTGTATTGTGTATGATGAATGAATTCATAAAAGAAAACAAAATAAAAAATAAATTATTTTGTATTTCATCAACAACAATGAAAATTAACTTTTGTATTTTGTATACAAAGAATCAAACAAACAACATCGATCCACGTATCCATTAATAGATCAATTGTTGTTGTGTGTGAATGTGTGTGTGAACAATTGTTTGATCATCATCATCCATCTTCTAATGATGATAATTGAGACAATAATCGTTGATGAATGGTTGTTGTGGCGTTTGGTCGCGAGTAACCCCCTCAGGCTTTCAGCCAGAATAAACAAAACAAATTTATTTTGTCAAATCAATAACATCATCATCATCATCATTATTATTATTATTATTAGGAAAGGATGGAACTGTTGAATTGATTGTTGTGGTGGTTGTTGTTACCTAAATTGAAATCTCATGTTCCGTTTTCTCGATAAACAACATTTTTTTTTTTTTTTTTTTTTTGACAAATCAAATTGATCTCACTAGAAAATAGATAGCTACAACTATTTACTAGAAAAAAAAATTTCCAAATGATAAATCTGTAGTTGACGTGATAACATTATATGATCATATGATCGGAAGATGAAATCCATTGCACAATTGAACATGAATGACAAGATTAATTGACCCGAATCTATCTATAGCCCGTCTCAGATACGTCATATCCACATTCAATTTCCTTTCTTTCGCCTCTTGAATCGAATGCTTTCTAAAAATCTAATTCTTTTGAATCGATCAAACAAAAAAAAAAAAGATTGATTAAGTGTACAAGCCCGGTGATCGATTGACATTGGTCATTTCCTATTTTAATTATCTTGTCGACATTGATCTTCATCATCATCATCATCAACAAGTATTTGAATGATTCTTTCAATATGATGATTGATCGATTTTTTCAATTCTCATATTTATTTTAGTTTTTTGTTACGAATCTATTACAATTCTACCATGTATATAATAGCTTCGTCCGGTTATTCGGTCCAATACTTTCGAACATTAGCCCGGCCAATAACAGAATAACAGAAAACCATTTACAATGGAAAACCAGTTGACTCAAGTGCAACCATCTATCGTTAACAAATGTAATTAAAATTTAGTTTTTTAAAAATACCTGCAATTTATGATGATGTCGATTTGGGCGCCATATTCTCTGATTACTGGATAGTATTTTTTTTTCCAAAAAAAAAAAAATAAATGCATGATTTTTAATGATAATTTTTTTTTATTACTGGAATGTCCTGTTTTTTTTACAACTGCAATGATCATCATTCAGTAATAATGATGATGATGATAAACTGAATAACTGTGCATCATCATCAAATACACAACAGCAGCATCAGCTACCGTTCAATGTCATCACAGATTATATATAAAACGATAAAACGAAGGATTAATAACGACAATGTAAACACAAGGGCGTTTTATGTGCGTGTTTCTTCCACCATATACACACAGAAAAAATCTCCTTCAATGATTCTTAAAGATTGACCATCATGATCATCACTACTATTAAAATAACGATTTATCCATTTCCTTATATCCCAACTTTCTCTCTCTCTTCTCTCTCTCTCTCTTTCTGTCTCATAAGCTCTCAAAATAATATCAATCAGTCCATTATATAATCGGGATTATTATTAAATGTTCCATTTCCATTTTATTTATCTATCACTGGATAAGGATGTAATGGATTTTTTTTTTGTTGTTGTTGTTGTTGTTGTGTTCATTCAATATCATCTGTCATTATTGTTACGTATAGGGCCGAAAAAAAACGTGCCTCAAAATGAAGGTGAAAATCAATTAACAAACTAATAATAAACAAACTGTTGTTGTTATTGCCTTTAGGCATCTTCGTCTTTTTCTTCTTCTTCTTCTTGTTGTTGTTGTTGTTGTTGTTGTTGTTTTCCATTTAGATATCTTGATCATATTGTTGTTGATTCAAATTTGAAGGTAAACAATTCTATGAATGTGGTATATATAATAATGTTTGATGATTGTTGATTGATAACATTGAATATAAAAAAAAAATCGTCGATTGATCGATCGATGATTGCCTGATGCTCTATTTCCATTATTTATGTGTGGACATTTATATTCGTAACAATTGATTGAATTTATTTTAACACACATTATCTATACGATGAATCGATAATAATGATTTTTTTTCGATTTGGATTCATAAACAATGGCCATAGCCATAGATAAATATAAAAATATTCAAGGCTAACCATTTAGCCTGAAGTTATATATTCAATTGATTTGATTTTTCTCGATTCCAATATCATCATTGACATAGTTCCGCCGTTACACTAATTTCATGGCGTGCATAAGATGAAAAATTTTTCAGCTACAACTACATTACCATCTGTGGAATATATTCAAACAAAAAAAAAAATGTAGATGGTGGACGATGATGATGTCTATATACTGGATCACCATGATTGGAAAATGGCCATTCATCTTTTATTTTTTTTCTCTTTGAACATTGATCGATTTGTTCTATGTGACGAACGAACGTGCCAATGACGATTTTTTTTCTTTTTTTGATTGAATCCTGGCAATCTAACTTTCTCTAATAATAAGATGGTTATAGATAGTATCAATGATGCAATTATTTATTTTTGTTGTTGTTGTTGTTGTTGTTGTTGAACGAATCATTGATCGATTTAATGCATCAATAATGAACGCATACATTTCAATTACAAGAACATTTTGTAAAGAGAAATAAAAAGCGTTCACATTGTTTCAATGTTCAGTAACAACAACAACAACAACAAAAAACACATCCTGATCCATTTACATTCATTTGATCGATTCAATCATTCATTCGTTCATTCATTCATTCATCATACATCTAGTCATTTGTAATCTTGTTTGAATCGATTCATCATTCGTTGCCATTTTGAATGGTAAAAACCAGTGTTAAATCAATGTAACTAACTAGACAACTTTGGTTGAATTGTCATAACAAAAATAGCGACCATCTAACCAGTTTTCTTCTTGTTCATCCATTTCAACCATCAATCAGTTAAGAGAATCATCAAAAAAAAAATAACAAAAACAATATCACAAACTAAAAAGGCAATCAGATTACATCCAAAAAAAATCATCGTAACATACGACTTAATTGAATGGTCACAATTACAACCATCATCATCATCAATGATTTATCGATTGTATAATTAAGAATTTGATTCATTTTCAAACAGACCACGATGCAGTCGTCATCAACTACATCGACAATCATCATACCAAATGGTGATTACATTGAACAACCATCAAAAAATGATTTAAATAATAATCATATAAATGATGATTCGAATTTTATCATTAAAAATGTACAAATTGCTATCGATCCAATTATCATGAATGGTGATCGTGGTGATGATGGTGAAGATCAGGAACAGATTGATAAAAATATTGAACAATTTTGTTCGATTCCCGGTGAACCAAAAGATTCACAAGCCGAATTGGATTATTCGATCGCTAATATTGTCAATAGCCAACAACATGACAAGAATGGAAATATGGATAAATTAATGAAAGAACAACCTTCTTGTCCGGGCAAACTTGATTATGTACCTGGCCCGAAAATTATTGCTAAAAATCGGTGGCAAAAAATTTGGCATCTTGCTTGCCGTTTAAAATGGAACAACATATTCTATTTAACCACATTGCATGTGACATGTGTGTTTGCATGTTATCATGCAGCCATATATCCGGTCAAAGTTTTGACAGTAGCTTCAGCTATCACACTTGGATATTTTTCCGGTATGGGTATGTCGGTCGGTGCACATAGATATTGGGCTCATCGTTCATTCAAAGCCAAACCAATATTACGGTTAGGATTAATGTTATTACAAACTATGACAATGAACGGTACAATATTCTCGTATGCTCGTGACCATCGTAATCATCATAAATATTCTGACACTGAAGCAGATCCAAAAAATCCAGCTCGTGGATTATTTCATGCTCATGTTGGCTGGTGGTTATGGAAAAAATCACCCGTAGTAATAGCTATGGGCAAAAAATTCGATGTTTCTGACCTTTGGAATGATCCACTTATCCGTTTTCAACATAAATATTATGTACCATTGTTTACTGTGCTCAACATCATATTACCGACCATTGTGCCATGGCTATTGTGGAACGAAAATCCTTTGACTGCATTCTATGTGATTGTAATAATTCGTACAACAGTCGTTTTACATTTATTGTTTTGCGTTAATTCAGTGGCTCATCATTATGGTTATCGTCCATACGATTTTCGTATTCGTCCAGCAGATAATCGTATTATTAATTATTTATCGATGGGTGAAGGAAACCATAATTATCATCATGTTTTTCCTTATGATTATCGTTCAAATGAAAAAGAATATTGGGAATATTTTGATCCAATCAGTCATTTTATACATATTACACAGATGCTTGGTTTAACATATGATTGTAAAAAAGCATCACCACGTGTAGTAATGGGTATTGTACGTCGTAAAGGAATTCCAGCACATTTTGATCATCCACGATCATTAACATTTCGAATAGTTAATGCTATGTTTGATTGGGTTGCCGGTTCAATTGTAACCTTATGGTTTCTATATCCATTTATTATATACAAATACATGACCAATAGAGAAATATTCATTTTTCGTTGGGAAACATGATGATTATTCATTATTTTTTTATTTAAATAATACAACTATTCTTATTGATTCAATCAATCATCAATCACAGAATTATGTTGTTCCATTAATTTAACCTATTTTTTTTCTTATTCCAATGATAATCAAATATGAATAAATGATATTTCTGAGTTTTATCTGAATTCAAAATAAACAGAAAAAAATTTATTTTTGAAATTGCATAGATGACATCAGTAAAATATAAATGGAATCAATGAAAAAAAAAGATGAAAATGAATATGATTGATGAATGAAGAAACAATTACAATTGGATTGAAAAAAATGGAAAAGAATGAATTGATTGGTTATGAGGTCTAAAATAGACAAATTATTATATTATCAACAAATGTCATTTGTTTAGATAGGTTTGATTTTGAAATGTAGACCAATGAGTGAAAAAACCAAACATTTAAGATCCTGGACCAGATAGTAAAAACAACGGAGACCTTCAGGATCACGACTCTCTTGTACGTCAGCTAATGAACCAATCTTGCTGGTGGTGAAACTAATATGTTCATCACCGTTGACAATTTCCAATTCTTGTCGTCCAACACGATCTGGCATTGGCCAAACAGCATCATCTTCACTCATTATTTCAGAATCTTCGATTATACGGCGAAGTTCTTCCATAACGGCACGAGAAACATAAGCTTCTTTACGAATCATCGTATCATTTTTGTAATTAGAATTGTTTGCATAACGAAGTTTACCATCGGGACGAAATTCAAATTCTAAAAATTCATGACCGAATTTACCTTTGTGGCCAACGTAATATCGAAGATAAAAGTTTTTCGTTTGAGAATTTCCAGATGACATGATTGACAAAAGAAAAGAATCAATAAACCAAAAATAATCCCAACAACCACACAACTAAAAGAACAATGAGCAGAATGTGGTACGGACTAGTGTTTATGAACAGGACAAGAGAATGCACGCGTTTTGCCCAAGCGAGCCGTGATCATTTCCTTTTTGTTTTTGTTGTGTGTGTGTGTGTGTCTGTTTTTGTGTTTTTTCATTTTATTTCACGAATTTAATCCATTTCTTAGCCATCTCATCTGATAATCATGGTCCAAAGATTGACCTATCGACGACGATTGTCGTACAATACACAATCTAATCGTAGAAAAATGTAAGTAGATTTTAAAACCTAATAAATACATCAATTAACATTTATTCGTTTGATATATATAGTTCGAAGACTCCTGGTGGTAAATTGGTATATTTATATACAAAGAAAGCCGGATCCGTAGCAAAATGTGGTGATTGTAAATGTAAATTACGTGGTCTAGCATATGCTCGTCCCAGAGAATTGACAAGATTATCACGACGACGAAAAACAGTTACACGTGTTTATGGTGGAACCAAATGTGCACAATGCGTTCGATCACGTATTGTACGTGCATTCCTGATTGAAGAGGAAAAGATTGTAGCCAAAGTATTGCGTGCACAACAAAAATCTACAAAACCAGCAGCGGCTACTTCGGCTAAAAAATAATTATGTAATTTGACATAAGAAATGATTGATTTTTTAAATAAAATGCAACGAAACAAACTTTGAATCAAAATTATTTTTTTTATTATTGCTAACCCACCAAAGACCGCGATCATCATTGGTGGATGTCGAATTTATTTCATGACCTTACAACACAAAGAATTTCGGTCTAAACAATAGGCTAGAGCAAGAACAAAAAAATTAAGTATCTGATAGATATTGCTTTCATTTTCATATATTTGTTATTGTTTTCTAAAAAAAAATCTATAACAAATCACTGTGTTTGCATATCTGGTGCAGGTTTCTGAGCCATTCCTGAAGTCAGTTTCTTCAATTCACCTATAGCTCGACCTGGATTCAAATGTTTCGGACAGGTTCGTGTACAATTCATAATTGTATGACATCGGAACAAAGAAAATGGATCCTTTAGACGTTCAAGGCGTTCTTCGGTAGCCTGATCACGAGAATCGATCACCCATCGATAGGCTTGCATCAAAGCTGCCGGACCAAGATATCGGTCGGGATTCCACCAATAACTTGGACAAGAAGTCGAACAACAAGCACATAGAATACATTCATAAAGGCCGTCCAATTTTTCACGATCTTTAATTGATTGCAGATTCTGTCGATCGCCAACTGGAACATTATCTTTACGTTGCAAATATGGTTGTATGGAACGATATTGCTCATAGAATAGGGTTAAATCCTAGAAAATGTCAACGATTCTATTTAGAAAATAGATGCCATAAAATTATTACAAACATACATACCGGTACCAGATCTTTGACGACAAACATATGCGGCAATGGTAGTACTTTGGTTACTTTATCCACATCACTAATCTTGGCTATACAAGCCAAAGTATTTGTACCATCAATGTTCATAGCACAAGAACCGCATATTCCTTCACGACATGATCGTCGAAATGTGAGCGTAGGATCATCTTCATTTTTAATCTTGATCAATGCATCTAATACCATTGGACCGCATCTAAATTTTTAGCCAATTTTGATAGATGAAACATCAGTATTAACATGTAACATTAAACTTACTCGTTGAGGTCAATTTTATAATTATGTAAATAAGGCTTCATTCCAGGTTTTTCTGGATCCTTTAGAATTCGAGAAAAATGATAATAATTTATTTTGATAAATGAAAAATCAATACTTACCCAACGATATATTTCGAACGTTTTCATTCGTTTTGGTTTTTCATTAATAGCCGAAGGTGATGGTGATGATAATGTAGCTGAAGATGTTTGTGTTTGTTGTATACGGACCTACGGACATTATAAATGGGGTAAAACTAATGAAATTATTCGAATATAATTTAAATATATAATACTAACCGCATTGGTATTGTACAAGGGCATAAAAAGTCGACAAAGACCATTACTATTACGAAGATTATTCATCATAATTGAAGACATTTTATAACAAATCTAAATTGTGACTATTATTATTAAATAATAAATAAAATAATAATTTATAATTTAATGGAACAATAAATATCAAATTTTTAAATCAAAAGGTCTCTTGCAGCTGTAAGCTATAACCTTCGAGACGATAGCAAATCAACGTTGTCAATAGAAAACAGAATTTATATGAAAAGAAAAACATTTTAGTCATTATAGCCGCTTTTGTGTAAATAGAGTCGAAATTGAGATTGCATGCAGACGTGTACACTTTGTGCATCTGAATCTGTCTGTGCTTGATTTGAAGCATTTCCTTCATACAATTGTATACAATTGTTCATCCATATTCCACATTTAATAAAACCGGTCAAAAGAATCAATAGACAATGACCACTTCAAAGAAAATGTTGACACGTGAAGAGGAGCTTTTGCTCCAGGATTTTTCCCGTAAAATCAGCCGAAAAGCAATGATAATGTTTTATGGCATTGCATTGGTTGTATCAATTGTGCCACTTTGTAAGTATTATTTGTTGTGAATTTAATATCAATGCTTAATAATTTATTATCTCATAGGGTTATATCTTCGAATCTATCAATTGGAATTGGAATCCTATTGGATTTTATTTATCATTGGATCATTAGTCAATACATGGCTTGTAGCATTTGGCTATAATAATGTAAAATTTGTATTGAAACATAAAATTGCTCAGAAACGTGAAGATGCTGTCGCTAAAGAAGTGCTACAATCACTTTCTGGCCAACAACAAAGCATGAACAAAAAGGAAAAAGATGAACGAATATTATGGAAGAAAAATGTGGTAGCCGATTTTGAGGCAACAACTTATTCAATTTTCTACAACAATGCCATCTTCTATACAATGGTCATTCTTGGTTCATTTTATGTTTTCCGTTCGTTTAGTCCGACATTGAATTATTTGCTTTCTGTCGTTGGTTCTGGTGCTGTGGTCGCATTATTGTCTACGGGATCCAAATAAATTTCTGAGAAATTGATTGTATTCTATACATTTTTTTTAAATTTACTTTAAAAAACATGAATAAATTTCAATGATGATTTATCACTCAACGAATTGACAAACAAAAAAAAATTATTTAACTTTGATTGGCACAAATCCAACCAATCTTATGATCATCATTATCATAGGGATCAGGAACTAATACAACTGGTATATGTAAAATGGGCAATTTTGATTCATCATTATGATGGACATGAATTTTCGTATCAAATTGATTTGGATATCGTAACATCATACCTTGTTCGATCCGAATCTGACGTGATTTGAGCCATCTTTTGAACAATAGTCCTAGATTTGGTCGTGATTCATTTTCATCATTATTCTGTGAATCGAATGAACCATTTCGATACCAATCAGTGAATTTATTACGATGATCCTTAAAATGATCGGATGATAGAATCATTGTATGAGGATGTTGAATGGCAGCATATAGTATGTAGTTATCATCACGTGTACGATCTAGTAAAAGACTTAGATCGATACGATCTGGATGTCGTTGACACATACGTCTAAGTTGAAACCATGATTTCATATGCTGTCGACCAATCAACAATATTCGTTCATATCGATACGTTAGACGATTCTGTTCCATCAACGTAACAATCTGATTATCGATATCTTTCACTTTATACACTTTAGCAAATGTTCGTAAACCAGTTTTATCATTAACAATGGATTTAGAACGTCGATAACTGACATTAAGTCCATCGACAATTAAATCATATCGTGGTTTTGAATTATTAACTTCATCATTGTCTATCAGAGTTTTTGTCTCAAAATCCATCAATTGTAAATGATATTCGGTAAGATTATCCATCATGTATTTATCATTTGAATCGAAAATTATAGATTTAAAATGATGTTTTAATTGGTAGAATTCTTCGTTATTTAATCCAGTTAGCTGGTTACCACAGCATGGACAAATACCCTTCTTTGGATCAATTTGAACATCTTGAATGTTTTGATATCCCAGTTTTTGTTTGAGTAATTTATCCACTAATATCACCATGTCATCGGCTAGTAAAGGTGTATGAAGATCACTTAAACATTTTATCATTTCGATAAGATTCTGTCTCGAAAATTTTCGACTTAAACGAGTTTTGGCAATCAATGAAATTAATTTTCCAACAGTAGTAAGATCAATGTCATTAATGAAAGGAGAATTTTCCCGTAAAAATAATAGCAATTCTTCCGATAATTGATGATTAATCAGAGATTGGAATAAAATTTGTATAAGTTCTAAACGTAAACTAAATGCATGTTTTCGAGATGCTAAGAATCGAGGCAATAGTTGACATGCTAATCGACAGTTTTCAGCTGATGATTGTGCAAGTGCTTTGACTATATCGATTACGACTGGTTTGATTTGAACCGAATCTTCAGCAACTGATAAGGCAATTTGTCGGATGAATTCCAATTGTTGATCGGATAAATATTGGGGATATTGACTTAAAAATACACAGAATCGAACCGATGCAATTTTGTTAGATCGTAATGTTTCTGATTCGGCAACAAAATTAGCTATCTTCTGGAATAGATCGGCATCTAGTTGATATTGTTCATCATACATTTGGACTTTGTTTACATCGAAAGCAGAAAGCAATGCAAATTCAAAATTTGTAGGAAAATGTATCTGACGTTCATACAGTTGTTTGCATACATCATGCCAATCGAATGATTTGCTATCAGAAACTGATGATACATAGATTTCATTAATTGCATTACGTAACACTGCTAAACGTCCAAGTTTACGTTCTTCGATTCGTTTTGAAACTGAAGCCGCAAATGTCCGTATAATTGATGAATATATTGTTGTCGTATGGTTTGGCCAAAATATTGATAATGATTGCCATTTTTGGATTAATCGACGACCAACAACTATGTTGAACATTTCGTTAGGATTCATTCAAAAAAAATCAACCATGGTAAAGAAAAACATGTGAAAAATTATTTTAAAAAAATTCAAGCATCAAATCCATTCATAAAATACGTTATTAAAGGAATTTGTTTTATTCAATATATCTGAAAAAAAATCGAAATTGAAATTCTCTCGAAAGAATAATGAAAATAAAGTAATTAAGTAGTGCCATCAAAAATGGATGACAAAATGAAATGATAAACATCAAATGATTTGTTTGTGTTTTTTTAAACAGTTATAGTTATAGTTGACACAATTAATGGATAATAATAAATATATAAGACAAACAAAAACAAAATATGGATATTTGACTTTTCTTACTTTTTAGCAGATTCTTTAACAAAATATAAATGAAAATAATAATCATTGAAGAAATAAAGAGAAGACAAAATAGACACTTGTACATTTTTTTTTGTTGAATCACGCGTGTAAACAGATGATGTCGTTAGCTCGTTTTTTTTTTTTTTTTTTTGATTCTGAAAAAAATAAACGAATCGAGCTGAAACGGAAAGACGCAAACCTTGAAGCAGGCATCACATTTTTTTTTTTAGAATTTCGGAAGATTCAATAGATTGTAGCTGATTTGCATACATTGAAAATACTCGTGCAGATATTTGATGGATAATCGTGGTTTCGTATGATGTCGGTATGGATCATTCTTTTTTCGTTTGCTTTCCGTACAACCACCAGAAATATTATTATTTTCGGAGACATTATTTTGTTTATTATGAAGAAATTTAATGATAGCTTCTTGGGCCATCCGTTGTAACGATGGTACTGATAACCAGCATCGATACATTGCATCACTACGGCGTTTACGTTGAACACAATTGACACCGCCAAACACAAACATTTCTCCATCATTCGGACTTATAGTAGCTGAATGAAAATAGCAAGGCTGTGGTAATGAGCAGCCAACATGTTTTGTCCATTGTAATGTTTCAAGATCTAAACTCCAACAATCGGCGAAAGCTTGTCGTTGATCTGCACCACCAACCATATAGATTAATCGACCAATTTGTCCACAATCATGACTGTAACGAGCAGCTGGATACATTTGTTCTTCGCCACTTTGCCAAGGTTTGGATTCCACCAAGGACCATTGTTTGGCAGCTAAATCGAATACTGGTATCTAGAAAAAAAAGATCATTACAACTATGACTTAAACTTGGGTGTGAACAAAGTAACATACTTTATCCATTGAAAATGATTGGCCTGAAGTTCCACCACCGATTATGAATAATTTTCTTTGATACAAAGCCATTTCATGACGATATCGAGGTTCAATTGATTCAGGTGTGCGGGATAATAGTCGCCATTTTCGAGTTTGTAAATTAAATTCATGTAGATTAAGGGAATAATCGAAACCCGTCGTACCACCACAAACATAGATTAAGTCATTATCTCGATCATAGCAAATGGCTTGACCATATGCGGGTTCTGGGATCTCTGAATCAATCTGATTTGGCTGATCATCAGAAGAAACATCGACACCATCTTCGATGGAGTGGGATTCATTTTCATAAATTACTCGTGACCAATGAAGACGGTCAAGATCACAAATGTACATTTTATTGCTGCTGGACGAACCGAATGGCATTCCGCTACCACCATATATCATTAAATGATTAGGTTCAAGTAACAGAGCACATGGTGAGGCCAATTCAACCGGAGCCGTTCCACTACATCGAAGATAATGCCATGTTTGTGTCAATTTTGAGTATCGCCATAATTCTTTGAAAAGAGGTTTTGTTTTCTTCCATTGTTCATCATCTGGTACTCGTGCACTGGCTAAAACATCAGGATTAAATCCACCAAATAGATAAACATAATGTTTATCCGATACGATTCGATGTCCAGAACGTGCCAATGGACAGAGACCTTTAACGACACCTTTGAAAATGATATTGAGATTCAATAAAAAAACAACAAAATCTTATCAAAGAAGCAACTAACCATTTTTGTTCAACAATTCGAATTTAAATGTTCGATGTGTATATGTAGACAAACTATTAGTGGCTGCAAGAAGATTACTACGCTGATATGACCATGTATAGGACATATTTGGTACAACATAATCAACTTGGCGATAATGATAATAATGATGATCAATTATCTCTTCCATATTCTTATTAGGATTTTTATTAATTGGACGGTAAACATTCGATTGCCATTGGGAAGAAATTATTGATTCTTTTGAATCATGTACGTCAGCACCAATCGTTATTGAATTTTTTCGCATTTGAATTAAATTATGATCATGTGGTTCGGTCGACGATATTGTTGAATCAAGAATGTGTTGCCGTTGTTCATTGTTATTATTATTATTATTATGATGTTGATGTTCGGTCGAAACGATCGGATTATTGTGGTCAATCAAATCTAACATTCCTATATCACCGTTGTCCACCATGATCAATGCATCATGCGGTTGTTGTTGTTGTTGTGGTTGTGCTGATGTTGATCTGCATATATCCATTACAGCCAGTTCATTATGCTCAATGTTAACATTATTAACTTGTTTCGATTGCTCGCCACCGATGGCGCTTTCATCATATTCATCATCATCATCACCGTTTATAAGATGTTCATCATTATTTTGATCATCTTCATCATCATCATCATGAGAATGATGATTTGAATGAAATATTGAATTGAATAAATTGGTTCGAATAAAATTAGGTATCTTCAACAATATAGATGAAGAATTCTTTTTCCCATTATTATTATGATGATTACAATGGGCACCCATACTAGATGAACATGAACTTTGACATGTCGATGTAGATGATGTTGATTCTATTCTCTGTTGTGAAACTGTAAGGTTATTTTCTGTTGAATCCTGTTCACCATGATGATTATGATGGTGACCATCACCATGATGATGGCGTCTATTGCGAAGGAATCGGAAATTAAATCGTTTATGTTTTTGATTGACAATCGAATTTGATCGTGATGCCGCTGCAGCTGCATTAATTCGTCGATTTATACGTTCGATAGCCAATGATTGTGGTTGTCGTTGTTGTTCTTCCACTTTTTCCTCCTCATCATCATCATCATCAACATCCGGAATGAATAATTCACCATCATCGATAGCATCGATATCATCGTCCTCATTTTCTTCATCATCTGTTTGCACATCGTTTTCATCATCCTCTTCGGGAACTAATGCAACTAAATCAGCTTCATCTTCTTCACCAACTTCTTCAATATCTTCAATCAAATCATCATCACCATCTATTACATTATCATTTGCCTCTCCATTTTTATTTGCTTGTTGATGAATATTTCGAAATATGACCTGCTGATATCGTCGTCGTCTACGACGACGGCTTTTATTTGCATCAGCTACTGTCGATGATGATGATGATGATGATGAAGTCGATTCTTGTTCGCCATCATGATCGATTCTTTGTTGTTGTTGTTGTTGTTGCTGCTGATGCTGGTGATGATAACTCCGAATGGACGGAGCTAAAAATATTAATAGACCTATGGTTGCGGCTTTTATTCAAAACGATTTATCAAAAAAAAAATTACAAATTCAATCGGCCCCTTTCAGTGTTTGTTGATGGGTCTCAAATTTCTTCCTGCTCACTTATTATGTATGTTTCTTGATGTTTTTTTTTCGATATCAATGGGATCAATGTATGTGATGCACTTATCAATCATGTACAGCCACACAGCCAATATATTGATGATGATCGTTCGTTCTTTTTTTTTGTCTATATTTATATATATAGACTACCGAATTATCAATCAATCAATCAATCAGAAAAAAAACAAACAAATACACACTATTGATGATATTTAAATTTTTTCTCTTGTCACTCGCCAACAATAACAACAACAGGAAAAAAAATGTTCAATTTTGAAACGAAAATCAAAAAAAAAAAATCAAATCAAGGTTCAGGGAATTTAGGATATAATAAAGAATATTAAAAAAAGTGTAATTGAATTTTACAAAAACTTTACACACACACAGACACACAATATAGATACAAGAATATTTATATTGTTTAAAATGTCAGCTATAACACTTTGTTGTTTCTTCTGTGTATTCAAAAAAAAAAAATTTGTCTAAAGCTAAATCAATTGATTTGATTGTTGATATGTGTGTATTATATGTATGATGTTTGGAATTGTTATTGGACCAAATAGATGATGATTGTAATAAATTGTATAATTTTCATTGTTGTTTGATTCTGTTGATTGCTGCTGCTGCTGATGATGATGTTGATGATTTACCAAAACGTAAAAAGATATCCACCAAAGAACATAAAAAAAATTCGAATATCAATATTCTTTGCCAGAAACGATAAATGATTGTAATGATGATGGAGATGATAATCGAATTTTTTTTTTGTTAACTCTTGATGAAGTTTCGAGAATTCTCTAATCACATAGAAAAAAAAGCCACATTTGATATAAAAGGACCTATCAATTTCAATGTATATGTGTGTATGCTTTTGTGGCTCTCGTTGTTGACGCTATTGTTTTGTTTGATGATTAAATAATGCTTGCTCACTTTCTCTCACTAATATATGTTGATGGTTCGCTTTCGTCGATTTGTGATGTGTGTGTGTGTGTTTGCTCTTACACACGGATGCTTATAGCTAAAATGGCTGTTTCTGAATGTAATATGTTGGCAAGATTGTTTTTTTTATTTGATGATTTCAAATCTTGCATTCAATGATGATGATGATGATGATGATTAGTGCTAATTTTGATGAATGTTAATGTTAATTGATTTATCATAAATAATCTTGAAAAATATGGGTAGACATTTTTCTTTAGACCAACCATTAATGAGAATGTGCTGATGTGTATTGATGAAAACACAAAGCAACGTATACATTGGACAAATGTAAAAATAGATATACGTGAGCAACATCAAGCAAGCAATAGGTTTTAAACAATAATTCGTTGTTATTATGTGTGTGGACATTGGCTATACCTCTACCAATACTACTATTACTACTACTAGTACTACTACTACTACTGCAAAAATAAAACTTACCCATTTTTTACACGTAAACAGGATGGAATTTTTTTTTTTTTTTGTTCTCATTTCTTCTGAATTTACGTTATAGCTGGAAAGACACTATATGGTTATAGTTGTAGTTTTTTGGCAATATGTTCACAAATGGACATTGTGTTTGTGTGATATTAAGGTAACAAACAAAAGTGGTGGTCATAGTAAGTGAGCGGTTGGTTGTGTATATATATATATGCAGTACAGATATTGATGCGAAAATTTTATTCTGGACGAAGGACCAAAAAAAAAAAAAAAAATTAGGCTAAGTTCAATGTCAACCAAGTACATATGTATGTATTATACTGATGACTGTATTATATCCTTTTTATGATTCTGAACCGCTACCTTTCAACGAATCAATTAATTCGTAAGTAATTCAATAGATGGCACCGAGATCAGATTAATTGATTGATTTGACCATTATTATTTATTAAATGTTCGTTAAAATATATTTTTTTTTTTTTTTTTGAAAAATTAGAATTGCTATTCCAAATCAACAACATCGAATTTATTTTATTTGGCCATAGTTTTCGATGTATTTGATGAATCAGTATTGCTTGTAGTCAATGTCGTCGTCGTTGTGGTTGTTGTCATTGTTCGATTTTTTTTATCGGATGTTTTTGTTGTTGCTGTTGTTGCATTGGTTGTTGTTCCACTCATACCTGTGGTAAATGTCGAACTAGGCCTCCCTGTTGAAGTTCTTAATGAATCATAAGTAAAATGATCATGAGGATTACGTTGATTACATCCCCACATGAATATAATCAATGTGGCAAAAAAACCGACAAATAGGATGGCTGCAAGAAACACTGGTAATATTCCATCTGTGTTGTTTGGTGTTACAAAAAAAAAAAAATAGAAAATCCCACATACAACAATTTATCATCACTTACGTAACCGACTCATCGATACATGACTGGAGGATGTAATCATTTCATGTTCTTTTACTGTTGCTGGTTGATGATAATGATGTTTATCTTCGAAACGAAATCCTTCATTGAGCCACAAAATGGCCATAAATTGTAGAAAAATTATTGGCATAATAACACAATACATGATGGAAGCTTTGGTTTTTTTTCTGGACAAACACTACCCGAATATATATATGACAAAATTCGAATTCATATATAAATCATATTCGATCGAATAATTCGCGAATTATTTTCTTCACATATGTATACACGTCATTTGTGTAGGACAAAAATTTTTTTTTATTTATTTAATTAAATCATCAAAACATCAAATAACTTAATATTTTCTTTAAAATTCCTTTATGCATAACAATCAATCAATCAATCGAACAAACAAACAATTCGGTGAATTATAAATCGAAACAAATGGAATTTTTTTCGTTTTTTCAAAAAAAAAAAAAAAAAAAAAATCTCGAGGTCAAAATATTTCATTCATTCATGGTTTTTAATGTGGTTGGTGCCCGGTAAGTGGATAGTTGGTGGGGTGATGGATGTTTTGTGGTTGGTTGTTTGGTTGGTTGGTTGGTTGGTTGCAATGGATATGTTTCATCATTTTGTTGTTTTTGTTGTTGTTTTAGGCTTTGCTGTGTTCAACAAGAAATATTTTGTTGTTTTTGTTGTTGTTTTAGGCTTTGCTGTGTTCAACAAGAAATATTTTTTAAATGTAAATTAAAATGGTGTTTGTAGTGTGTGTGTGTGTGTGTTGTTGTTGTTGATTGACAAACACCAACCCCCAAAACACATTGATTCAAAGTGGGTGTGTATTTTGTATTTATTAATTAAAGCTACCTTGTTGTTGTTTAACATTGGATAATTGTTGTTGTGTTTTCATCATAGATAATGGTCGAATTTGTCTGATTGCTTTGTTTAATTCACTTAATGAAAATCGATGATCAGTTATTGGATCGAAATAAAATCTTTTAAAACCATTGAAACCGCTACGATCAAGTTCATCAAAATTTAAACGTTTAGCAAATGAATTAGTAAAACCGGAACGATCCATTTCATCAAAATCAATACCACGATGATTACGTTTAGCAAAACCTGCGAAACCTGAATGATCAATTTCATCAAAATCAACGGAACGTTTAGCGAATCCAGTGAAACCGGAACGATCAATTTCATCGAAATTACGTCTTTTAGCAAATCCAGCAAATCCGCTATGATCCATTTCATCAAAATCAGCCGAACGACGTTTAGCGAAACCAGCAAATCCGGTGTGATCCATTTCATCGAAATCTACTGCAGAACGTTTAGCAAAACCAGCAAAACCGGAATGATCCATCTCATCGAAATTCATTCCTCGTTTCAAAGGTGAACCAAATGCTGAACCAATCATTGGATCGAATCTGAAGATTGTCGATGAATGAAACAAAAAAAAAATGAAAACAACGAAAAATCAATAACAATCAAATGATAATCAATTGAAATGAAAATATTTACTAACCTTCGTTTGAGATAACCGATCGATAGGCCTGTCATAGAATCGAATGATGATCGACGATTACGTTTATTACTACCACCATTCAACAACGATGGTGATAATGATGTAGGCGAAAAAATTGATTCAATACGTCGACTAACCTCACCCGAACTATAATTATCCAAGAGACTGAAAACAAAACAATGAATATATAGTGATAATGATGATGATGATGATGAACAAAAAACGAAAAACGAAAGAAGAAAAAAAAACCAGGAAAATAAACAAACCTAATGTATTGCTTGGCTGTTAATTTGTTCGGTATGATTGAATTGAATTTGTTGTTTTCTATTATCAAATCAAATTATTTATTATTAGAAGAATGGACAAAGAATAAATATTTGATTGAACAAATATTGGGAAAAACTGTCACTATAGTATACTTACTGGCTTTGATTTGTTCGATAATCCTTGTAAGCTCGCCATCCATTAGTCGATCAAATACATTGATAAATTGTTGGCCATCCATTCGTTGCAATATGGATTGTTGTTGTTGTTGTTTCGGTTGATTGTTTATAGCAAATAATGATTTTTCTACTGCATCATTCGTTGTTTTTGTTGTTGAATCAAGCTATATATCAATTTTTATCAGACAGAAAAGGGGATAGAAAAACAACAAAAAAAAAAAAGAAATCATCAATATCAAAGAGTTTGATCCATTCATTTCAATTTTCAAATAAACTAAAGTAAGCACAGGAATTTCTGTTTTTTTTTCTTTGCCCCAAATACAAATTCCATTTGGATTGTTCGCTTTCCAATTCATCATCATCATCGTGGTATTCCATATTTTTCAATTTTTCATTTTATTTTATACTTTTTCAAAAAAAAAAAAAAATCAAGTGGGATCAATGATAATTGCATAGTTTCATTGCAAAGCTTTATATTTGAATTTGTTGTTGTTGTTGTTGCTGCTGCTGTTCCGGTAATCCCGGGAATCAAATTTTGTTGTTGTTGTTTTCAAATGATGATGATGATGATGAATTCATTTAATTTCATCAAACACACACACATTTATACATTTTATGTATCTCGTCATATTTGGATCAAATATCAAATGTTTATGTCTGGCAAATATAATTATTGTATGTCCCAATGGACAAGAGAGAAAAAAAAACATATTTATTATTTAATTTCAGGAAAAAAAACCGATGCAAATATGAATAACCAAATCCATTTGAATGATGAATGTGTAAACAAGAAAAGAAAAAATTTTTGAATTTGAATTTTTTAAAATTTAATTTTTTTTTTTAAATTCACATCAATAACCTAATTTTATCAAAACTTTCTCATTACAAAACCATAATATCATCATCATCATCAAGATATATTAGCTAAATGGATCATTTCTAATTTGTCCATGAATGAAAAATTGTTACTAATGTCTTTTCTCTCTCTCTCTCTCTCTTCTTTATATGTTGAAAATTTGACTTTGAGTAAACTTTCTGAGTAAACAAACCAAATATATTTGCTGTAATGTGTGTGTGTATGTGTAGTAAACATCAACAAAATCAACAATGTTTTTTTTTTTTTTTGAACAAAGAATGGTAAATCTCAGGTTGACTTGAATGTGTTCTGTGTATCTTGGTCAGTTAGTTTTTTTTTTTTTTTTGTTTTGTTGATAAACACTTTGATGACAGAAACCAGAATAAAACAGAATTCCAAAGAATATTCAGACATTAAGCCATTAAGGGTCATTTTTTTGGTACATGTTTTTTCTTTTCACTACAAATATATCAACCCCAAAGGCAAATAAATGGATGAAAAAAAAAACTTTTATCCATTTCCGTTTTTGTTTTGTTGTTTTTTTTTTGGCTGTTTACATTGTCGCTACTGGTGTAGGTGGTGAAATGAAAAGAAAAGAAAAGTTTTTTTTCAATCAAAAACAACAACAAAAAACTCAATGACCAAAAGTGATGTTGAAAGTTCAAATTTGAAACTAAAAGTTTTTAATGAATTTGTCTGCAAATTCTATGGAATTCCCAAAACGTAAATTGTTGTATAGTGAGAGAATATTACACGATCAATTTGAATTAATCGAGTTATTGCTGCAGCAAAAAGCGAATGTTTAGTAAAATTTCATTGTAGTGAATTTTGGGACCAAAATTAATGACTTGTATCGATGATTATTATTATTTATTATTAGGAAAAAATGGTATACTTTGAATCTTAATTAATGGAACTTCTTTCCGCCAAAGCAAATGGCCATTGTTTGATAAATGAGATGTTAACACTTACAATTTTTTGACTAGGGAATGCAGTTTCCGCTGCTGCTACTGCTGATGCTGTATCATCATCAACAATCGGTGATGATGCCGCAACAGTAACAAAAATGGGCGATTGATCCAATGCCTGTAATATGGAAAATAATAAACATCCAACCATCAATAAACAACGTTTGTTTGGTTGATTGTAATAATGATGATGATAAATTGTTTGTTGTTGTTGTTGTTGATCATAATGACACTGTGTCATGAATGGCCATAATAACAGTGGCTGACATTTAGATGTTGTTGTTGATGATGATGATGATGGCATGGAATATGAAAATCTATTCGATGGTGACATTTTCAACATAATAATAATAATAATCGGTAATTGAGAATTGTCCAAAATTTGATAATGATAATGATGATGATGATGAGAAAACAACACAATTATATGTAAATGATGATGATGATATTCGTATTATATATTCGTTTTATATTCGAAAATATTCAATTCAATAAATAAACAATTCGAGATTTTGTTTTGTTCTCTTTTTTTCGATGAAGAAGAAAAAAAAAGAAGTACAAATCAAATTTAAAAATTGAAAATGTGAAAATTTTGATCGAAAAGAAAAAAAAATCATTCGCGCCGTTTGATGCTTTTTCTTTTTATATACACCAACAAGCTCATCATCATCATCATCATCATATTAACCGATTCGAATTTTTTTGCCATCATTATTGCGGTGGTCATAATGGATTGACGCAGAATCGCAACAATTACGACGACGACGACGACGACCCGATGATGGAAACCATAATTGAGATTGTGCGTTGTTGTTTTCGATTGTTGCATTCAAAATAATTTTTTCATTTCTTTATTTCTATTAGCGACAATTTTTTTTTTTTTTTTGGTTCCACCAAACGAAGAAAAAAAACCGGAAAGCGTTCCAATGTAATACCCGTATATATATCATTATTTCATGTATTCCAATATATATTCATTCATTAAAATGGTAAACCAAATTGAATATAATAATCATAATAATAATATTCCCACACACACACACACACACAAAAAAAAAAAGACCCAAGAATTAGGCGGAGCTAGATCGAGAATCAAGGCGGAGATATTCAAGAAAACTAGATAAAGAAGATAGTGAAAGAAAGAGAGAGAGAGAGAGAGCATTGGGCGCTGGATACCGAAGAAAAAAAAAATCACTATTGACAGATTGCCTCAAACAATATGGCCAAACAAACAAAAAAAAAAAAAAAATCACCGACAATGATAATATTGAGATTCAATTTTTTTGTTTTTGATTTTTATTAGAAAAAGTTTCCGACAATATTTGTATTATTGAAAAATTCATTGAATGAATCATAAATCACCTGAATATCATCATCATCATCATCATCACTTATATTATTATTGCTATATTTACAATGTAAAAACAACCTACAGGTAAAACAATTCAAATGCCAATTACAAACACCTATTATCATTATCATCATCATCATCATCACTTTATTATTATATAATCCAATATTGATTTTATAATCATCAACATTACACCGGAAAAAAACACATGTACATTGGTATTATGGAAAAAAATAACTACAACGGATATTTTTTTTTTTTTACCGTTGTCGTCGATGATGATGATGATATAGTATGATGCAACAAACAAACAAACGAAAAAAACAGGATATCAAAATTGAATTTTGAAATGCGAAAAAAAAATTAGAAAGTAAAAAGTTGAGAAATCTTAATAAAGTAATAGATCTGATGATGATGAAATGAAACGAAAAAATTCATCCAGTAATAAATAAACAAAAGTTGCAATCACATAGCCTCTATGTGTGTGTGTATTACTAATAATTTTTTTTTTTTTTTCGCTACACACATAATTCCATTCTTGTCGTTTTTTTTCTGGTTTTGTTGTTGTTGTTGTTGTTGTTGTTGTTGTTGTTTGATTGATGGATAACATTCATGTATATGATATACAGGAATTATTATTGAATTTATTTATTCTGCCCACTACTATTCTATTTCAGAATACATTTTGGTTAAAAATTGATTTTAATATTAATAATAATAACTTTTAAAATCACCAACAACAACAACAACAACAACAACAATAAGAAACAAAACAAAAAAAAATTATTGAATTAAAATGTGTGTGTGTGTGTGTTGCACTTTGTTAAATTACATTAAATTTTCTTGTACAATTCTTTTGAACAACAAGAATTTCAGTTTTTTTTTTTTTTTTTTTTTTCCACTTTTTAATACAATCCAGAGTTCGATGAATAAATGTTAATTCAATTGTGTGTATGTGTGTGTGCTTTTTAGAAAAATTCATTTCACTTGATCATGTTTTTAGGTAGTCGAGAAAAAAAATGAGAATGAGATGAGTGAAAAAAACACCCAAAATTCTAAACATAGAATACATATTTAGTGGAATGTGTAAAAAAAAGACCTACTTGAGAACATTGGCTTATTTGTTATTGTTGTTTTTTGTTGTTGTTGTTGTTGTTGTTGGTATGTGCAGTTATATATAAATATATAAATGGATTGATGGGGTGGGGGATGTAATGGGCTGGGGTGGAGAGACCTTAATTATGTAGTCACATTTTATTGGTGAAATAAACAAACAAACAAACAAACGAACGAATGAATGAATGAATGAACGAACGAACAGAAAAAATTAGGTTCATCAAAACTTGTTGGATCCGGATTATTTGTGATGAATGTAATATTCGTGATGATGAAAGTGGAAAAAAAAATAACTGAATGAAATTTTTTGCGGATCAAATTTTTTTTGTTTCTGGTGAAAAAAAAATTTGTTAAAAAGACGATTGTTATAATTTTCCATTTGAAAATATTACCTTAAAATCATCATTTTCATTGTTTTTTTTGTTTGTTTGTTTGTTTCTCATTCCATCTAAAATTCCTTGTCAAATATCATGAGAAAAAAATTTTCCTTTCCATCATATATCATGATGATCATCATGCGAATATCAAGAATGAAAAGATTTTTTTTTTTTTTTGGCTCCCACTTCATTATCTATTAAGTAGCAGTGGTGGTGGTGGTGGTGGTGGTGGTGGCGGTGGAAGTACAGGAATTTTTAACCAGCTACTTGTTTTTTTATTCGTAGATCAAAAATTCAAAAATTGAAATCAGAATTATTTCTGAATATCAGAGTGAAAATAAAAATGAAAATTGCCATACCAGACATTTTTTCAATGGAATACTTGAATATTTCAAAATGATTCACATGATATAATCATCTAAAACCCAATAATAATAATAATAATGATAATGATAACCATAGCCCATCAACTAGATTAGCATGTCTTATTCAATAATAACAATAATACATGACATGATATTGTTCATGTTGTTGTTTACTGCCACATCATTATCTTACTTCCGACCATTTTTTCCATTTCATATGGTTTGTTTATTCCATTTTGATTGAGGCCATAAAAAAACAACAACAACAACAATAACAACACTGACAATTATTATTATTGACCAGTATATATTATTGCATTGTAAACACACGTTTCACATTCAATCCAAATGATGAATCAATGATGATGATGATGACCATGAATAAAAAAAAAAAACAAAATAAAAAACAAAATTCTGTATGACGTGAAACAAAACAAAAAAAGACACTTGAAAACGGTGCCAATCACTTTTCAGTGTGTTTTTTTCCCCATTGAATAAGTAATAGTAGTAATAGTAGTGGGTGTGTAAAGATTCAATTTTAAATATATTATATATAAGACGAAACAATCATGATTCAGAAAATGATGATGATGATGAGAAATAATATTGTTGTGCTATCAGTGTTCACACACAAACACACACACACACACATACTTAATATTTAAACATTTTATCCGATTGAAACATTCATTCATTCATTCATCTGCCATTCGTTTCAAGTGTTTATGTGTGTGTGTGTGTAGTGAATTCTTAAATAATATATCACATACACACACACACATACTGGTGAATACAATTGTTTCCGACCATTCCATACATATATATATAAAAAGACCAAAGTAAGATGCTGATGAGATGATATTTATGTGACACACACACACACACACACAAAAATACACATAGGGATAGAAAAAAAATGATCACACGAATCAACGATCTTTTTTGGATCATCATCACCATCATATAGGAATTTATTTTATTTTATAAATTTTTAATTCTTTTCAATAAATAACAAAAAAAAAAAACTTCTAAGCTCGACAAACATATTTTAACACACAGAAATATAGGAAAAAAACCGTTCATTCATTCCGATTCCGATTTCGATTTCGTTTTCGTTTTTTTATATTTTCGCGATTTTTTTTTATTATTTTATTATTATCACGATGATGATGATGATGATCATAAATACAATGTGCAAATGGATTTTCTTTTTCTTTTTCTTGGATCTTTTTTTCTTTGTTCTCAAATCAATTCGCATTGAAATGTATGGATGGATGGATGGATGATCGTCAAATAGAGACGGACAGAGAAATTGTTCAATTGAGAAGATGAGAAATTCATGAGAAGAAGAAGAAGAAAAAAAATCATTGAATTTTTCTATTTCAATGATAAGTAACATGGTCCAAAGCAAAAAAAAAAAAGAACAAAAAAAAAATAAATAAATCAGATTGAAGTGTGGAAAAACATTCGATTCTCGTTTTTTAAAAAAATGGAATAAACTGGGGGATTATCACATGGAAAAAAACCGGAAAATTCTTCTACAGAATATTCGACAATGGCAGCGAATATAAGGTGGAAGCATTCCAGAATAGATAGATTTGATGATTTACAAACGAACGATTTTTTTTGTTTATGAAATGAAATTGATACCAGAAAAAATTTTTTCTTCAAAAAAAACGAATCTCATCATCATTATTATCATCAATATCGGCTTGAATTGTTAATTATAAAGAATAAATTGAAATAAAATCTTTCTCTCTCTCTCGCTCTCTCGTTCTGTTTCTATCTCTCCTATAGGAAAGATGAAGAAAATCATCACATGATATAAACTACAGCATCATTCCACATATTAAGAATATATGGCCCAAATTTGTTTACCATTGTTGACTATGAAACCAATAAATGGATGGCATTGATAGTCATTTACCCCAGCGAAAAACAAAAACAAAAAAAAAATCCCAATTTAAGTACAAGAGACAAACAATGAATCTCTGAACAAGGTTTTGTTGACGCAATTTATTTCCACAATAAGATAGAAAGAGAGAAGGATGTGGAAACACAAAATCAAATTGATTGGAAACAACGAAAATGAAAATCAAATATACAAACTTTTTTCGTTTTCTGTTCTTGATCATGATCCAAATGCAACCGGATGGTTGACACAAGAATTGAAGCAAATTCTATCTATCCATCTATCTATTGTTAAGGATTATCTTCATTAGTGAGAAAGAAAAACAAAAGAAGAAGAAGAAGAATCTTCTTTTGTTTAGATTGACAATTTTTTTTCTTCTTTTTTTTTTTTTTTTTTTTCATTATTTTTTCTTCAATTATAATGATGATTATAATAATCTGTAATGATAATAATAAGTGTCAATTTCTCGATTCACAAAAACAAAATCAAAAACATCGTACATGGCCAAGGTCAATATAAGAGACCAAGAATATTGACCATCATCATCATCATTATAAATATGAAGTTTAATTAATTGAATAATAATTCTTCTTTGAAAAACCATAAATTGGATGATGGAATTTTTCTTCTTGTTTTTTTTTCTGGAGAACCAGATTCTACTACGATTCATTTGATCATTTTGGATCGACCGACCAAAAAAAAAAAAAATTCCATGGTATTTTATTCAGGTATAACGCAAATGATCCGTAATGAAACACACACACACACACAATTTGGTTCTTGTTTTTTTTCATTCTATTCTTGAATCAGATTATAAACGGGAAAAAAATTTCATTTTTTTCCCCATCGATTCATTGTTTGTTTGTCATTAAAAAAAGAGCAAATTTTTTTGTGTGTGTGTGTGTGTGTGTGTCATTTCGTTTTCTTTTGTGTTCACATCATTTATTCAAGTTATTTGGTGCTTCAATGAATGAATGTGTGTGTGTGTGTGTGTGTAAATATTGGATGATTTTTTTCCTGATTTGTTGTTCCATCAGACAAGAAAACAAAAAACAAAACAAAAACCAATGTCAATGAGTATTGAATTTATATATTGGTAAATTCGATACAATTATTTTATCAATATTTTCTCATTATAAACAGATTTCCTATAAGAGAAAAAATGAAAAAAAAGGTCTTGATGATAATGATAATGATGATGATGATCATCATCATCATCTTTGTCACAAACAAACACAGTAACAACAACAACAACAACAAGGACAACAATATTGATGACGATCATTTTTTTCAGGATTGTAAACACACACACACATACACACATACACAGATATACGATATATAAACATTTAATGATCATAATTATACAAAAAAAAATTGGCCTCCATATGCATATGATGCATGACGTAAAGGTGTGAGAACAACAATAACTTATGACAACGACGACAACAACAACCAGGAACAACATGATACAAACATAAACAAACCAAATCAAACAAAATCATATATTAATCAGCCCATATATACAATATACAATATATATAGAGAGATGATGATTATCATATAAAAACATAGTGATACGATAGAAAAATGAAATGAAATCATTCATGGCATTAATTGTTGATTGATTGTAATATCTATATGGTGACATTTATTGCCTTTTGTTTTTATTACCATATATATATTATACATTTAATATATATCAGTGATAAAAGGTCAAGTGTTTTTTTTTTTGTTTCATTCATTCAAACCAAGCGATTAAGATAGATTGTTCCCTTTTTCACATTTAAAATTTTCGGTCAGTGAATTTTTTTCAATAATAAAAATTGATTGATTGAAAAATTTATTCATTTTTCGATTTGTATACAAACAAAAGTGAATTATGAAACACATATATGTCATATATGCATGTAATGTGATTGGGTTATGAAAAATTTTGTGAATAGGCCAACACACACACACACATATGCCATTGACATATTGTGCCATTGATCATCAGTTTTTTTTTTGGTGACAACTGTTTCTCAATATCCGTTTTTGTTGAGAAATTTTCAATTTTTGAAAAAAAATGACAAAATTTAATAACAATGCCCGACAGGAAACAAAAAAATTAGGTTCATTGTCAATAATCAAATATCAGCGGTATTCTTTACGGATATGGAATAGGAAATGGAATACAATTTTGGGTCATGATATGGAAAACAAAAAACCAATGATACATGTGTGTAGGACTCATTTTGGTGGATTTAGAAATCAAAATTCGAATGACACATACACACACACACACACACACACACAAAATTAATAATTATCATTACCACGAATTAATTAATTTCCATAAAACATTTGCATAAATTGTCAACAACATTCATCATTCATTTTTTTACGACTTATGATTTTTTTTTTTTTTTTCAAAACTTTCTTTCTCTCTCTCTCTTTCTCTGTTTTTGTTCTCGTTCTCTACATGAAAACAATACAATACAATAGTAGCCCTGAGGCGGCCAACATATATAAATACATTGTATTTTCACAATCAAATTGGTGGATTTAGTCCGAATTTTCAATTTTCAATTGTCATCTGAATTTATAAAAAGTTTCTTTGTGTAAAAATAGTGAATGTAAATATAAGAAGCTGATTGATAATAATGTATTCATTCAAAACAAATTCCATATTAATATTGATTATTACCATCATGATCATTGGCTTTAATCATCATCATCATGTACAAGCATCCAAACGTAAAGGTGACATTATCATCTTAGGTTTTGGTGGTGGTGGTGGCCACAGTGACGGTTATGGTGGATATGGTGGTGGTGGCGGCGGCGGCCATGGTTTTCCAAGTATCATTCGAACCGGTGGTAAAAAAAGAGGCGATTTCATACTACTAGGTCGACGTAAACGACGTTCGATTCAATCAAATAACAACTGATGATGCCTGTAGACCGAAATAGTTCGAAAGTATAATTGTAAAAAAAATCGTATCATATCCATCGAATTTTGTCAAAATTTTTTTTTGTTTTTGTTTGATACCTCATATATTACGCCCACACACTTAAGATGGAAAAATTCAAAATAGATTTCATTTCATATATACACACACATTGATCAAAATATTTATTTCATTCCATTATTTTATATTTCCAATCATAATATGAATTGAAAAAAATATTAAATAAAATACATTGAATTGAACAAAAATTATCATTATAGTAAATAAAATTAATATCGTCGTCTATGATCATCACGAATACGATGACCATTTTCTCGGCTACGAGATCTTGATTCTCGATGATGATGACGACGACGATGATGATGATGATCATTATGATCATATCGATCTTTATGATCACCACCACTATGATTTGATGATGAATGATTTTTCGAATTTCTTTGATGATGATGATTATTTATGTCAGAATGGCGGGATTTTTTATTATTTCTTTTTTCATCTTCCTCATCATCAGATTCTGAATTTGATGACGATGATGATGATGATGAAGAGGTTGATTTACGATGAGATTTTTTTGACTTTTTCTTTTTCGAAGATTTATCTTTTTTATGCTTTTTACTTTTCTTGTCCGTTTTATGTTTGGATGAAGATTTATTTAACGATTGTAATTTTTTAAGCAATAATTTCTTTTGTTTTGATGATAATGATTCTAAAAATGCATGTTCAGGATTCTGTACAGCAGCATTTGATACCATTTGATGATGAACATTATTTTTCATCGATTCAGGTCCATAATTTCCGTACAAAGATTTCTTCAAAGCTAAACCTTGATCTTCTTTCATTGATGCGATCAATTCAATTTGCTCTATTTTCACAGGTGGTTTATCACCAGTTTCTGCTCCCGATGTGGATGTTTTGTTTGTTGTAGATGGATTACTGGCTGGTAATGATGTTGTATTGAAAAGTGGACATTCACGATCGGTATTTACATGGCCCCATTTATGACATTTCAAGCATCGAACATTCCTAACTTGAATACCGAATGGCTGATCACGAATGTCCATATTGTTTTTGGCAAAACTTTCTCGTGGTGCATTCCGTTGCCACTCAAATTTGTACTCTGGTTCAGCTTCATTCTCGATTTCTTTCGTATTCTCCTTTCGAACGCCTGGCGGTGCTTCATACATAAAATTCAATGATAATTTATCTTTGGAATCCGAACCAGCTACTAAAAGTCGATTATTGTAAAGATCTTGTTCTTTTTCATATTGCAAACGCATTTCTTCTTCTTTCTTTTTGGCATCAATTGATCGTTGTTCGGCCATCCATACACGTTTAATATTCTCTTTTGATGCAGGATGAAATGGCTTTTTGCTCATAAAATTATTATATCCTTTACCCATGATGATAGCTGTATTGTTTTCGATAGGTACCTGTTTAAATTAAATGTTAAAAATATTGAAATATTCAAAACTACAAAAATGCTTACCAAAAAAAAAAAAAAAAATACGTCAAGAAATGAAAAATCAAAACAAATCAACACGAAAATCTACTCGTTCAAATGAACACCGTAATAAAAAACAATTCATAGACGACGAACTATTCAAAATTCAAAACATTCTTGTTTTAATATGTTGATGATCGATTCCTTAAAAACACACACAAGAAATAATTTTAAATACAAGAAAAATTTATTTAATTCAATTTTTACAATTGTTGATGATAAAAATGAAAAAAAATTGACATGCAATGATCGTCTAAAAATCGTAATATCGGTGAAACAAAGTGACACGTGCTTTATGAATTATGCCAAATTAATTTCAATTCAGAAAATTCATGAATATACAAACAGCTGTTTCGTATTTTTTTTTTTTACTTTGAAGATTCTTTTGTTTTTAAAAAATGATGTCCACGATATTTAGCCGTAATTTTTGCAGCCTAATTAGGCATTCGTTATCAGTTCAAACGATACGGCCATTAACATTATCACATCTTCGTAATGGTCAGAAGAATATTGCTTGGTATCATTACATTCCTAAATCATCTGGTCATTTTCAAACGTTACGAAATTCTTTGCGAAAATTTTCAAATACCCCAGAATTAGATGCTATTCAATTACGGCGAAATCGTATCATTGGATTCTGGCTACTATCATGCGCCGGTTTGACATTCGTAACGATATGTATCGGTGGCATTACTCGATTGACAGAATCCGGATTATCTATGGTCGATTGGCATCCATTCAAAGAACTACCACCATTCAATAATGATCAATGGGAACAAGAATTTGAAAAATATAAACAATATCCAGAATTCAAAGTCAAAAACAAAGAAATTACATTGGATCAATTTAAACGAATCTGGTACATGGAATATGCTCATCGAATGTTAGGTCGTACAATTGGTGCTCTATATTTCATACCTGCTGCATTGTTTTGGTCACGGAATTGGTTAAATAAATCCACAAAAATTCGTGTAGGAATATTTGGTTCACTGTTAGCCGCTCAAGGATTACTCGGATGGTATATGGTCAAAAGTGGTCTAGAAGAGAAAGAAGTTTATACACATGAACCTCGTGTTAGCCAGTATCGTTTGGCCGCTCATCTGGGTACCGCTATGGTATTCTATACACTTATTTTCTACAATGGTCTTGTTAATATTTGGCCTGATAGTTTGATTAAAGGCACGCCAGCCGTTACCAAACAATTGATACGTTTCAAACGATTAGCTGCCGGATCTAAATTGTTCATATTTGCCACAGCATTATCCGGTGCTTTTGTTGCCGGTTTAGATGCTGGATTAGTATATAATTCATGGCCAAAAATGGCTGATCGTTGGATACCTACGGATATGTTACGACAACAGCCATTATGGAGAAATTTTTTTGAAAATCCAACTTGTGTTCAATTCGTACATCGACATCTTGGTGAAATAACCGCTTTGTTTGTTATGGGTTTATGGGCATCATCATTAAAATTGAAGCTACCATCAAAAGCACGAATAGCAACGAATTTATTGGCCTTAGCGATATTAACACAGGTGACATTGGGCATCACAGCATTATTACAATATGTACCAATTGAAATTGCTTCAGCACATCAAGCGAATGCAATGGTTACATTATCAATAGCATTATGGTTATCAAAAGAACTACGGTGGATTAAAAAATTGCCAAAATAATAATAATAACATATATATGTCATTGATTTGAATTGTTATTCCTATCAGGAGTTTTTTTTTGTCAATGAATAAATATTAATTCATCAATCTTTTATTTTATTTTTATGTTGAAAAAAACTTAACCGAAATTTCAAGGTTTTATTTGAATTAAAATTTTTTTTTTGCTACAAAAACCAGTTGATCATCAAATTTGTTTCTGTTTTGTTGCTGTTTTTTAATCGAATGGTGAACATGTAAATGAACACAATGATGATTAAAATTATATTGGTCATTATTTTATATCAGATTCTTGTTTGTGAATCGGTGACAATTAATAATAATCATAATAATAATAATAATGGTGATGATGAAAATGGTGATCTAACCGATATTGTACAACAATGGAATAATAGATTCGATATGACCAATTTTGGACAACAATTAATGACATGGAATAATCGTTTACAAAAATTATTGTCCACACAAACAAATGTTAGTCATGATTGTCGATATGCATTGAATGAATATTTCAAAAATCCATTTCGACATAATTGGACTATGAAAAGTTGAGTATCAAATTTTGATTTTTATTGATTAATCGCTTGAAATGATGAATTTTATTTTTCAGTGTGGGATTCGAATGGTCATTTTCCATCGGGTATTCTGGTGGGTACCTTTTTTGAACCTGGAAATTTTGATGAATGTCTCAAGATCAAATCAGTAGATAATAATGGCATTGAAGGCAAGTATTGTATAATGGAAATTAAATTACCACCAGTGTTGGATCCAAAGAATCCACCATTACCTTCGAATATGGACAATAATGGAATGAAAAATTGGTATGAATCAATTCGATTCATTTATGATTGGCAATCATTATCCGGTATCAACAATGGAATTTGTCTACCGTCCAGTTGTAGTGATGTGGAAACCAACGAAATTGTTACTAAAGGTAATGTTATCTTTTCTTCTATTTAATTTCATGACCATTTTTTTTAAATATGATCATCAGTCTTAATACCTGTGGAATCGAGTCTTCGTGCTCGGATACGATTTTGTCAAGAACGTAAAACACAGACCATCAATGTGCCGATAAGAATGGGCGAGAAAATTATTTGGTAAAAGATGATTCATCATTTTCATTTGTTTGTAATCAGCCATTTTTTCGCACATAGGACCATCTTTTTCGGTCATTTATTCCTAGTTGCAATTGGTACAATAATGGAATTATTTATCAAAGGAATAGAATCTAATGAAGGCATGTTGGGTATATTGATATGTTTTTCGCTAATCGAAAATACACGAACATTATTTCGAATTAGTCGATCAAAGCATCATGAATCGACTGGAGAAAAAACTCAATTTAAATTCATTCATGGATTACGAGTTTTATCCATTTATTGGGTTGTATTGGCCCATGTTTTATTATTCCATCCATTCACTCAATACGATGATCTGGTACCACCGGTTCATTCACTCAACACACGATTCTCGATCATACAGAATGTATTTGCACATTTTGTAGTCAATGCTGGTTTAGCTGTCGAAACATTTTTCTTCATCAGTGGTACACTTACCGTTTATACTATATTGACCACTACTGCTGAACGATCAAATCAATCGATCAATATTTTCACCTATATATGGCTTCGTTGGATTCGGTATGATGATCATATTCTCATAGGTCTAGATCATATAATGGAATCACATTTTTATTTTTCATCAAAGTTTCACACCACCATTATTGGGCGCAACATGTCTTTTACTTTTATGGCCACGTATTGGTCAAGGTCCATTATTCCATTCGGATTATATTGGATTCATTACTGAACCTTGCTATCAGAATTGGTATCTAAGTTTTGGTTATATAAGCAATCTATTTCCATCGGAAAAAGTGGTAAATATAAAAACATGGTCAGATTTTATCGAATTTTCATTTTTTTTTTTTTCACTATAGTGTAATGTAATGCATTGGTATTTGAGTGCTGATTTTCAATTACACATTCTTCTTTACGTTGTCATTTATTTTTTTACGATAAGACGATCATTATTAAGTTTTGTATATTCATACATTATGATTGGTCTTGGATTTTTCATACCAATAATAATTGTTTTACTTGGCTGGGGTTCAGCACCTAATCCATCGATTTTTTTACATCCAAATTATCGGTAAATCAAAAATCCATTTCATTGATAAACATGAACAATAATTTTTGTTTCTATAAAACAGATTTCCAATTGAAAAAGTTGAACTTTTTATTTTTGCCACATGGAATCATTTCATACCATATTTTGTAGGAGCATTATTTGGTCTTTGGTTAGTTCAACGAAAACATCAAAACAATCAGATGTCCAAAGTATGCATTATGTAATAACAGAATGAAAAAAAACAGAATAATTTATGTTTGTCAAATTTTAAAAAGTGGAAACGTTACCTAATCTGGATCATATTGGGACCATTATTCATGATGCAACCATTTGGTTCATATTCATTTATCGATTCGGATAAACCTGTTGATCAGCCATTAATATCGGCCATTATGTTTGGTTTGGTTAGATCTATTTGGTCATTAGGAATTCTATGGCTATGTTGGCAATGTGTACAACAACAAGGTGGAATCATACAACGTTTTCTAGAATCGGAAATCATGCAACCATTTAGTCGACTTTCATTTAGTATTTATTTGGTTCACATTATACCGATTTGGCATTATATGTACACCATACGGCAACCAGTCGAATTGAGTTTATTCAATTTGGTATGATTTTTTCATTATTATTATCATTGAAATCCGATAAACACTAATGATGATGATTTCCATCCCCATTGATAGCTATTCATTGGTATTGGTTCAGGATTTATTTCCACATTATTAGCTTTTTTTCTTTATTGTACATTTGAACGTCCTTATGTTCGATTGGTAAAAATTTTATTATTCAATTCTAATCGATCTACTACTAATAATTATGAACAATCAGCTACTACTTCCAATAATAATAACAACAACAACAACAACAATACTGTCATCGATATTATTGAAATGAAAAATATCGAAGAATCGAGAAAACAAACAAAAATGTAATCACACTACGATTGATTGCACTTGCATATACTATACTATGGTTGTTATGCATCAACAAACACACATATAAACAAAGACACTCACCTGACGATGACATCAATGAACTAATCAAAACAAAACAAAACAACAACAAAACAAAAAAAAAAAATCAACAAAATAGAAAAAAAAACTCGTCACAATTGTTGTTCAATTTTTTCTTTGTTTACCAAGAGAACAGAAAAAAAATATATAAAGAAATTTGAAGGCGATCATCTGAAGATCATCATCATCATCATATCGAGAGTATGAGAGAAAAGAAAAGAAAACAGATTCACATTGTGAAATTTTGTTGTATTTTTGCCCTTATTGCGTACATATTGACATTGGAAATAATAATGATGAAAAAATTGTAATTGAAAATTTCGTTAAATTTTTTTTTTTTTGCTTAACTAGGAAAAAAATAATAATAATTTGATCATTTCATTTGTGTGTGTGTGTGTGATTGTGTCAATCAATCAATATATTGATAAATAAATAAATTTTGATCAACTAATAATAGCTTGATGGCCAAATCGTCTATTATATATATATATAGTATGATATGTTTACGCAGATGATAAATGTTAATGTTTGGAATATTGCAATATATATACAATAATACAATATATATAATAATTATTTTTAATAATTAATAATAATAATAATATAATAGACATTGAACGAATCCATAATGACCATGATGATGATAATGATAATGATCAAAAAAAGTTTGAGGATATATTTAAGAAATGAATATTGTTGTTGTTGTTGTTGTATATATATCAAATACAATATTCATTTTCAAGTGACAATGTCAATGATAAGAAATTTTTCATTACATTTGTTGAATGAAATATAAATATCTGGATTAAATACATAAAATGATACGTTTGTTGTTATATATGATGATGGATACATGATCATTGAAGGTTTCTTTTTTTTCTGAACACTTTAAATTAAAACCCTTTTCGTGTTTCAATGACAATGAAATTAAATTAAATTTTTTTCTTTCTTGTTTCAAATGACGTCATTAACAACTAATTTTTTGATTTTTTTTTATCGTTAATCAATTAAATGAAAGATTTTTCTTTTTTTTTTTTTTTTTGTCGAATTATTTGCATTGATTTCTTTTTACACACACACATCCGTGAATGTGTCAAGAATCACGTCTATATATCACGTATATATAAAAACAAAATGAAAACCAAAAAAAAAAAAAAAATTATGTAAATATCAAAGTGTCATCGTTATCATCATCATCATCATCATCATCATCAAGCGGCTATTAATTTCCATCAAGTTCGAATGAAACAAACAAACAAAAAAACAATTTTTAATTGATTCTGGAAATCCCTGAAAAAAAAAATAACAAAACAAAACAAAACAAAACACAATCAAATTAAACACGATGTGAAACATGACAGTGTAAAAAAATAATTTTCCACTACCCATTAAATTCAACAAAAAAAAATTGATTGAGAAACCGAAATCTGATGAACCAATGAATTATTGAATGATGAAATTATCTCTGTCACGAACAACAGCCACCAACTACAGTAATCGATTTGAAATCGATTTGAAATGATAAATATAAAATGAGTAAAAAAAAAGTAAAGACAAAATTTGAATAGTTCAGGAACAATAAAAAAAAACATCATTTATATTTCATTTGAATAATTATGAATCATCAAAAAAAAAAAAAAATAAAAACTCGAATCGATTTACAACAGGAAAAAAAATTGATTTGACAAAAATTTTCTTGATTAATAAACAAAAAAACACATTTCATTTGATTTGATTAATTTATTGGCATTAATACTAAGAAGATGATGATGATGATCGTGATAGTGAATTGTCCAAAAATTTATTATTATTATTATTCATACATAATGGCTAAGTCCTTTACGTTTATAGCATCCTTTACGTAGCCGTTTCATACGGAAATAGGCAATTTTTGTATTAAGATTATTGCCAATAATAAATTTAACAATAAATGATTGAAAAAATGCTAATACATTATGGGCAAAATATCCATATGTACGTGTTTCAACGCCAACAGTTTTCAATGCTGAATGAACAAATTGATCAGGTGATGGTATCATAAATGAAATGGTTGGATTACGTATCATATTTGTTGATACATAATATGGTAATACAGATTGTACGACAATACCACGATCAGAATATTCGGAATGTAATGCACGTGAAAAATAATCCATATAAATTTTTGATGCCGAATAAATGGCAAGAAATGGTGTTGGAAATAGTGCTGAATATGATGCAACATTAATTATAATACCGGAACGTCGTGCTTCCATTATTGGTAATATAATATGTGTCATACGTGTCACAGATAATATATTACAATTCAATATATTCGTAATGAATTGATCAGAATTCGGTATTTTTGTAAAATATTCTGGATATTTATATGCCATACCAACATTATTGATAAGAACATGTACATGGCCATTTAGGGCATGAATTTCATCACTAATATGTTTATAAATTGTATCCAATGTAAAATCTACGGCCATTGTTTTCACTTGTGGACATTTAGGACATTCATTGAGTATATCGGCTTTAACTTTATCCAATTTTTGTTGATTACGACTAAGAAGAAATACACAATAACCTTTTTTAGCCATCGCTTTAGCATAAGCTAAACCAATACCATCGGTTGAACCGGTTATAATGGCCCAACTGTCCGATCCGGGCCGCCATTTTGCACCAAAACCGAGCATATAACAGATAAAAAATGTCCATAATGCTTGAATGAATTTTATGACCATCCATAGGATGAACACTATGGCTATGATTGATAATATTATTATAGGTGTTGGCAGTGTATTTATATCTGGTAATTGAAATCCACTACGATTCCAAGATTCAATAAGAATATTTGTATCATCACTATTAACCATATGATCATCATTATCATCGATGGTCATCATCATGGCTTCATCATCATTAATAATCATCGATGATGGTAATGTTGTAGTACTTAGTTTATTGATCAATTTACTTGAATTTGAAATAGTTGTATTCAATATTGATGATAATAATGGCGATGATATTGTACTTGTTGTCATTGCCATTGATGTATGATGATCATGATCAAGATCACTATTATTATGATCCATGTTAGACAATGATTCCAAGGTGGTTGTTGTCATCATTTTGACAAGATGATCAATAATTTCAATCAATCAATCAATATATAAATAAATTTGTATTGTAATAATACTGTTGTTGTTTTGTTGTAGTTGTTATAAATAATCAAAAAAAAAAAAAAGAAAAACTGTCACAATCTTTGTTTGTTTATATTATATATTCAATCACGGTGATTACTGTCAATGATATATGTGATTGAATAATGAATATAATAAAATCGTTGTCAGTTTGTCAAAAAAAAAGAGTATTGTTTCGATGTTTATTTTTAAAAATCTGTTTATATTTGTGTACAACAAACAATAATCACAATTCAAAAAAAAAAAATGATGAACAAATGATGAACAAACTTATATACGAAACGAAGAAAACATTCGAACACACACACACACACACACACAGAAAGACAAGGACACTAAAAGTTTGTTTTTGGTGACGTGTGAATATATGTTGTTTTTGAAAATGACGACGATGATAAGAGAATAATTGAATGGAATAAAGAATAAACAGAAAGAAGAAAAAGAGAATCCTGTTTTGCTGTTGGTGGTAATGGTAATGGTTGGTTGTTTTATTTGACAAATGATTTGTGTGTGTGTGTGTGTTTTTTTTGTATCCGTTGCAATTTGAATGAATGATAAAAAAATTCAAAATTGTCAAATGAATATTATTTATATGCGAGAAAGAATTTCTTATTGTCGGAATTATTACGAAATGAATGGAGAATTTCAATTAATAATCAATAACAATATTTGATGACCAACAAACGATTCTTTTGAAAACGTATCAGTGACAATATATTCACAAGGAAAAAAAAAGATTTCCAAGTAATCCAGTAATATGTTGATTATTTATTTATATATATATATAGTGTGTGGTATTTAATTATTTGAAAATTTTTTCAATTTATTCTTCTCCTTATACACTGTGTTGTTGCAAACATTTTCATGATAATTTGTAATTGTGATCAAAAATTTTGTCGTTGTCAGGCAATAAAATTGATTTCCAAAAAAAATTTTAATAGTTCAAGTTTATTCTCGGTAGTTTTTTTTCTTCTTTTTTTTTGACCAATTCTATGAATTTCTGGTTAATATGAGATATGATGATAAATGGCGGGGAAACACGTAAAACGTCAATAAAACATACGAAATTTTTTTTTTGAAGAATTTTTTTTTAAATTAAGCAATTAAAATTGAGCACCAGAAAAAAAAATAATTTATAATAATAATAATCAATCGATGAAACAGAATGTAAAGAAATCTGATTGATCATATGTTTGATTGACTATAGTGCACTGATCAACAGGTTGATGAAAGATATATTGAAGATTTGTTTTTCGAAACATTACTATTACACGAAACATTCGAATTTATGGGAATTTTTTTTTTTTTTTTTCAAAAAAAAACTATCATGAATCAGGAAGATTATAATTATAAATTGCAATAATTAAAATTAAAAAAAAATTTCGATTGCACTTGGAAATTGTCCAAAAAAAATATGAAGCGACAATTTTTTTTTTTTTGTTGTTGTTGTTTGCGTCAAGTAAATGTCCATTTGTTTTTATCAATGTTTTTCCTGGTTATTGCGAACATTTAATTGATATTGATGGACAAAAAAACCAAACTGAAGACCATAATTAGATTAATGAACGAATGAAATGAATGACGTTTCAATCGTATCGTGAAAGAAAAACCAATGGATTCTTTTGATTTTCAGGTAATTTTTACATGAGATCAATAAAAACACAATGTAATCACCAGGAGGAGAACAAAAAAAAAACAAATTTTCAATTCATTCAATGAATTGTAGGTTTTTTTCCAATCAAATTTTCAATGGAGAAAAAATAATAATAATCACAAATCACTCATTATCATCATCGATTTAATTACGAAAAAAAAACGAAAGAAGTTATTCAGAAAATCAGTGAAAAAAACGACGATTGTGCAACAATCAAAACACAATTTCACATCACACACGAAAATGTTTTCGAAGAAGAAGAAGAAGAAGAAGGGACAGCAGAAACTCATATGACTGGAATCACTATGGAATAGAAATTGGTCAAACAACAAAAAATAAAGAGAGATAGATGATGGAATTCAAAAAAAAAAAAAAAAAATGTTGAACACACCCGCACGAAACAGAGAAAAAAAATATGAAACGATTTGGTGAGAGAAACAAACAATTCAAGATTTGAATTTTTGTTGTTTGTTGTTGTTTTTTTTCACCTTGAATATATACATCAAATATATACAATGAATATATGAAGCGCCCGAGAACTTTTTTTTTCTCTCTCTTTTTTTCTATTTCGATTTTTTTTCTCTCACTTTCGTTTCGTTTTTCAATTTTCAATTTTAAGATCTGAAAACGATTTCCTAACATACACGTGCCCGAAAAAAAACAAGTTTTTTTTTCTTCAAATAATTTCCGATCATTTTTTTTCTTTGATTAAGCAATCGACAAATGAATCGATCTTTGGATCGTCTCATTCCATAGCAATTGATCATTGGCCTTTGTGTGTGTGTGTGTGTGTGGACACATGAAATACACGAGACACTGACATTATCCTCTTTTTTTTCTTTCGTTTTCTTTTTTTTTTTTGGCCATCAAAAAAAACAAGATCGTTGCAATCCCTATCATCATCGTCATCATCATCATCATCATCGACAAGACGACAACAATCATTGGTTTTTGATGGTCAAATGCAACCATTTTTTTTTTTTTTTTTTTTTTTTTTTTTTTTTTATTCGTTGTCGTTGTCGCTGTTGTTGTTGTTGTTGCCTGATTCATCCGATAATTTTCCATTTTTCAAGGTGCACACTATTTTTTTTTTTTTTTCTTCTTCTTTTTTTTTCTCATGTCTGTGATTTTTTTTTCTACATTAATTTTTTCTTTTTACTTTCTTTTTCTCTTTTTTTTTACCTTTCAATTTTACGAATTTTCTTCAGTATTATGGCCTGTATAATTATAATCATCATCATCATCATCAATGCTAAATAGGTTAGGGACGACAACTGGCTTGTGGTTGTTGTTGTTGTCGTTGTCGTTGTTGTTGTTGTTTTTATTATAAATTGAATATTTATACTTTTGTAATAATCATGATGATGATGATGATGATGATAATCATCTAACGGTTCCAGTAGGATTCTTGGAAAAAATTTAATTTGTTGAAATTCATAATCTTATAATTGGTTATTTTGTATATAATAAATCAATGAAAGATGAAAACAAAACAGGAAAAAAAAACCAATTTTTATCTTTAAAAATTTATTGGTAAATCATCATAATTTCCATTAAATAATAATCATCATGATCATAATATCATCATCATCATCATCAATTGATGAAGGCAAGAAAAACAATTACGTCAATCATTAGTGGTCGACGACGACAATATATAGTATATTGAAGGCCTCTCTCTAAATATAAATCCGGTAGTTTTTTTCCATCTCTATGGATCTATTATCCACACACACACACACACACACACACAATGATTGATTGGATTTAGAAACAATGAAACAGAAAAAAAATCTAAGGACATCAAATAATAATAATAATTTTGATGATGGAAAAAATGGTCATTTTCATTTTGTGGTCAGAAAAAAAAAATCAATCAAATTTTTTAAAAAAAAAAATATTGCTGTCAAACATTAAAAAACGGAAATGGCAATAATTTTTTTTTTAAATTTATTTTTTGCTTCTAAATGACAAAGTTTTGTATGATGATGATGTGTCGAAAAAAAAATTGTCACAAAAAGATTTGGCACAAACAAAAATCAGTTAATCAATGCATGGTATCATCATTGAATCTATCCAAATTACACACACACAAATGCTTATTCAACAATATATTCGATTTGAAAAATTTGAAGAAAAAAAAATTTCGCTCACTCATCATTTGTTGTTTTCGAATTATGATGCAAAAAAAAAAAAAAAACGGACAAAAAAAATTGCTTCAATAATCAGAATCAGAATTAAAAAAAAACAACACAAAATTTGTACCGAAAAAAAAATCTGTAGATATTATGTGACCAATACGAAACTTTGAACTTTGGATTTTTTCTTCTTCTTTTGTTCATTTATATTTATTCGATGCCATAATAATCAAAATTAACAAAAATTATCTTGATATTTTTGTTTGTTTAAAAAGCAGCTGTTTTTCTCTTTTTCTTTTTTTTTCTCAATTTGATATGATTTAAAAACGATTGCATTGGATCAGAATTGAAAACATTCTAAAATTTTCATTCATTCAAACATACACACATGCACAATGCGATTTTATTCTATTTGTACCATATGGGCTACAATTGTCGTAGCAACAGCAACTGATTCTAATTCAGATACAACATTCATATTCAATGGTGATGGATGTGAACAAAATCATCTATTTCAAACACGATATCGACCACAAATTCAACAATTAGCCAGTGATGTACAACGTATCATTGATCATGTAATGAGTGTAAATGAATCTGGCCGAACTTATCGACAATTAGCAGAATTTGTTGATCGTTTTGGTTCACGATTGACTGGAACAAAAAATCTTGAAGATTCTATTGATTATATGATTGATTTATTACGACAAGAAGGTCATGATAATGTTCATGGAGAATCGGTACAAGTTCCACGATGGACACGTGGTAATGAATGGGCTCGTATGATTAAACCAAGAGAGAAAAAATTAAATATTCTCGGTCTTGGCTATAGTGAAGGCACGAATGGTCAAACAATTGAAGCACCAATTGTTGTTGTACGAAATTTTACCGAACTTGAACAAAAATCTCGATTGATACCGGGTAAAATAGTTGTCTATAATTTTCATTATGAATCATATGGTAAACAGGCTATATATCGACATAGTGGTGCAAGTCGTGCAGCTGAATTCGGTGCCGTCGCAGCTATGGTAGGTGGTTTTCATTCATTCGAATTGAATTCAGTTTTTCTAATTCATTCTATTTTTTTTGCATAATTTTCTTAATTAATTATTGCTTATTATACTAAATGAAGATAAGGTCATTGACACCATTTTCGATTGATTCTCCACACACTGGAATGCAAAGTAAGTGTGAAAATGAACAAGAAAATGGGGAAAAACAAAATTAACCAATTTTTTGCTGTTGTTTCACTATTCAAACATATAGCATACGATGTGAATGTAACGAGAATTCCAGCCATCAGCATAACTGCCGAAGATGCAGATCTATTTCAACGTTTCTCAGATCGAAATGGTAAATGAATTATATATGCTTTGCTATTTGATTAATTTTCTTTGCCGTTTTTATTAGAGGAAGTGATTGTTCAAATTTATTCGGAAAATCGTAATGAAAAAGAGCAAGGCATTTCACGTAATACAGTTAGCGATATACGTGGTGAACAATATCCAGATGAAATTGTATTGGTCAGTGGCCATATTGATTCTTGGGATGTTGGTCAAGGTGCTCTAGATGATGGTGCTGGTTCATTCATTTCATGGCGTGCATTATCGGTGATTAAACAACTTGGTCTACGACCTAAACGAACAATGAGATCGATTCTTTGGACTGGTGAAGAATTCGGTTTGATTGGTGTTTTTGATTATGTAAAAAAACATCAAAATGAATTGAAAAATTATGTACTTGCTATGGAATCGGATATTGGAACATTCACACCGAAAGGTATTACATTTTCGGGTAGAAATAGCACATCACAATGTACATTATGGGAAATTTTACAATTAATGCATCCAATCAATGCAACAACATTGACAATATCGACCGAAGGTTCCGATGTACAAGCATTCTATGAAAACGGTGTACCAATCAGTAGTCTTGATACGGCCAATGATAAATATTTCTATTTTCATCATACCCAAGGTGATACAATGACCGTCGAACAATCAGATGATCTGGATAAATGTCAGGCACTTTGGACATCTGTTTCTTATGCATTAGCTATGCTTGATGATCGTTTACCTCGATAATTAAAAAAAAAAAAAAAACATCTACATCTTATTTATCTATAGTGTCATCTATCGTTTTGTTTATGAATGATTTTTTATTATTTTGTTTTTATTAAGAGCATCATTGGGTAACATTGATGAATCGGCCGTCCTATGTTGCCCATATAAATTTTGATTGAATCTTCCTCATGGAAGGGTCAATAAAGCTTTTTCACCATTTTCAGGTTTCTAACCCCACCCACTTCCGCTAGAGCCATACACGTTACTTTTTTTTAAATCTCTTCAAATCGCTCCTGAACAGCCACCACTTGGAATATTTTTGTGAAACTCGGAACAATTATACGTCGCACCACACGGTTCAAGAATCATGTCATATGAATTTGATAACTCCAGCCTCTAGAGGTCAAAGGGCAAAAAATTGTCACTCCTAACAGCGAAGAGGTATACGCAAATTGACATTTTTAAAAAACTATTCCATTTTTTTCTTAATTCTGAAGTTTTGATAAAAATCAAAGTTGTGCAAAGTTGTTTTCCAGCCCAAAAACCATCAAAAAATTGGCCAAGATAGCTGTTCCGTTTCCTGAACAGCCGTGTACATTCTAAATATCATTGCATTTATGAATGATCTACTGCAAAACAGCCGATCGTATACGGCGTTATTTGGGATGTATACGGCTGTTCAGGAAACGGAATAGCTATCTTGGCCGATTTTTTGATGGTTTTTGGGCTGGAAAACAACTTTGCACAACTTTGATTTTTATCAAAACTTCAGAATTAAGAAAAAAATGGAATAGTTTTTTTAAAAAAATGTCAATTTGCGTATACCTCTTCGCTGTTAGGAGTGACAATTTTTTGCCCTTTGACCTCTAGAGGCTGGAGTTATCAAATTCATATGACATGATTCTTGAACCGTGTGGTGCGACGTATAATTGTTCCGAGTTTCACAAAAATATTCCAAGTGGTGGCTGTTCAGGAGCGATTTGAAGAGATTTAAAAAAAAGTAACGTGTATGGCTCTAGCGGAAGTGGGTGGGGTTAGAAACCTGAAAATGGTGAAAAAGCTTTATTGACCCTTCCATGAGGAAGATTCAATCAAAATTTATATGGGCTACATAGGACGGCCGATTCATCAATGTTACCCAATGATACTCTTTGAAAAAATAAAAATAAAATTTTTGAAATTTTGCATTTTGCATTTTGCAATTCAATTCAATTAAATTTTTCATAATCAAGTACGCTGTGTCCAAGTAATACGAGTGCTTAATTGTCCTGGATTATGACCACCAGCCATAGCCAAATTAATTTGACGATGATTATCACCATGATTGACCAATTGATCGATGGTTAATGTGACACCACCCAAGAAAACATTGTTGTTTGAACCATGATGATCCCATACTTCAGTTGTAACACGTGAATCACTGACAAATAAATAATTACTGGAACCGACACATACTTCATTCCATACTGGATAGTTGGTATTTTCTTTCACATGTGTCGAACATGAGATACAGTTTCGTCGATCTTGTATGGGAAGCTTTTGAATGAAGCAATAAGAAAAACGTGAATTATTAATTTCCATATAATTCGAATCAAATAGAATATAAATTAAATTTTAAACTTACCGATATGGGCAATGAATTATTCATTATACAAACAGTAGCATATGCATTGGCTTTTTCATATAATGATGCCGAAATCAATTCGATATCAATATGGCCAACATGTTGTCGATTATGGCCAACACATTCACCATTTTGACAAACCTGGATTTATTCAATTTTTTTTGGTTATCATTATTATCGACAAATTATTATGAATAATACACTGGACACTTACATAATTAGTTTGGCCAATCATACAAGTACGACCTTCATTTATATTGTGGCCATAAATTTGTCCATGAATATTACAATTTAAACGGCAATTATTATTAAGAAATTTTGTACCAGATGGATCAATATCAACATGATGTAATTGGCGACATTGTTCTTGTGCTTGTGAATCGGCATGAACATTATCGAAAAAAGCCACTAAAATGACAATAGTAGCGACGGTCAAAATGTTGTAGAATTTCATTTTCAACGAAAAAAAAATACAAATGATTTTCAGATTTCAAATTATTTTCATTCAAAATTCAAATATGAATCATATATACAGCAATCGACGTAGATTTATATGGATTTATATTTTCTTCCTGAAAATCAATTATTGCAACAACTATCTTGAAAATGGTATCATAAAAAAAAACAATAAAGTGCTTCTGGCATTGATAATCTATAGTCGGTAATCCTTTTTTGGGGATTATTACAAATCATCACAGTAATCGATTATTAATGATGATGATGATGATGCGTACTTTTCATTAAATTATTTTACTGATATATCATCATAATGTAATTAAATGCCGTGAATACGAATATATAGCAACGATGACAACAACAACAACAACAATGATTGAAATCCAAGTATTTACACATTGCTAAATCTATAAAAGACAATTGATCAGTTTTTTTTACCAATTCAATTTGAAAATAATCTAAGGAAAAATCTAGAACCACAAATGTTATCATCAATTATTAGTATCAATGTTGAAATTTAATTCACGATTTCATTGATTTATTGATTAATATGTCCATGGACCATTTATATATATATTGTGATCTAATCTCAATTTATTGGAAATTGATCTGCATATAACAAAAGGGTGTGGTGAGAGAGAGAGAGAGAGTTGAAAGTACAATTTATTTATTGTATTAATTTCGATTTTTTTTTTTTTTTTTTGATAAACATCATTAGAAAAAAAAACACTTCAGATTATCAATTATTAATTGATTAATTAATTGATTGATTGATTGATTGATCACCATTACATCGATTCCTTGTGATAATTGGTCTAAACATACATGCATTAGATGGGGGGGAAAAAATTTCATTTTTATTGAATTTTAAAAAAATTCACAATTTTTTTATTTACACACACACACAAATGGCCTATTAAAATTTGAAATGAAACTAACTAGTGTTGATCGATGTGTTAGTCGATGGTTTTGATTCGATGACAATAATCGCTGTTGAATCATCATTATCATTATTACAAAGATTACTATTCAATGTCGGTGTCGATGTTTTAATATTTGAACATTTTTCCAACGATGAATCAGACGACGATGGTGTAGAATTTCTATAAAGAATATAATGTTGTATTAGAAAGATTAGATCATATACAACCGATGCAAGACCAAGACCAAATTTTGGTAGATTACCCACTAATGTACGCCAATCATCTAAATGGATGAATGTAATAAAATGTATTAATTTGTATTAAAATTGATTCATTTCATTCGATTAATCATCATCATACCATAATTATATGCTATAGTTAACATTTGTAACATTGAAAATGAACCACCTGTTATATCCAACCAAATCATCCATATAGTCCAACCAGCAGTTGATTTTCGACGAAAATTAAAATAAACTTGTGGTAAATATTTCAATGAAGTTACACTTAATTTAACATATGAAAAATAATATATCCATGTTAGCCAATTGATTACGTTGAATCCGACCAAAATGATTAATATGATACCAACGGTCCATACGATTGCCTGATATAATTTTGATACTAAAGCAAAACGTTGATTTCCTTTCTATATGAATAAAGACAAAAATTTATCAAAAACAATCAGAAAAACATTTAAAATCAATACAAACCTCATAAATGAAACATTGTATGAATGTAATGGATGTAGTGAAAGCGGCATGTAATCCATATACAACATCATTCAATTCAACAGGAATTTCACTTCGTGGAACTTTCAGCTCATATTGATCTTGTATAACCGATGAGAAATAAAGGCCACAATTGAATATAGAATAATAGATGAAACCGGTGAAATGTAAAATAGTATAATCGAAACTAAGACCAATGACACTTTTTCGTTTAAAATTTGTTACATTTTGTGGCCAAAATGATAATGACCAAATGAAAAAATATCCCCAACCCCAAAATAGGCTAAGTATGGTCCAGAATTGACCACGACCAACTCGTACACGAGTAAAGGCAAATTTATCACTGGAAAGAAATTTTAAATGATAATCGATCAATCCATAGAAAGTATAAACAAAAAAAACTATACCTTATGCTTGTATCGTTGAATTCAAAAACTATAACATCATGACCAGGACGTACAGCCGTTATATTGATTCGTATTCGATAATTGTCGCTACTTCAATCGTATAGGACTGAGTTCATTATCAAACGTTGAACATGGTGAATGTTCACAAACAAATGAAACATCGACCGGTTTATCGGGTGGATTACTACGGATTTAAAAAAAAGTTGAATCATTAAATTAAAAGAATCAAGTTTGTGAAAAAATTCTTACATTAAATAAACATCAAACGAAGACGTTTCACCAGCTAAAATTTGTACATCAATCGGATCTGATTTAATACTATTATTTTTTGATTGTTGTTTATCACCCGAATTCAGATCATCATCGTTAATTAAAGAATCGGCTAATATGACATTGGTCAATAATGATAACCAAAGAATTTTGGCAAAAAAATTTATCGATAACAACATTATTCACTGGATTCTGATCACAATTTGTTGTTGTTTTTTTATTATTTATTATAAATTTTGATTCATTATTATTTGCAACAAAACCTTTGATATACATTCCATTTTAAAAGTTGTAAAACGAAAAAAAAAATCATCATATGAGATAGATGTAAAACAATCCAATCACATGTTGGGAGAAAAAAAATCGAGGACAGTGTATATCTAGCACTAATTCAAACCAAAAAAAAAAATCGTGCGATAACCCCCCATATCTTAGATAACAACACCTGTTGTCATAAATTCTTTTACATGCTTTTCTCTCATGAATATATATATATAGCTAAATTGATGCAATTAAATTCATAACATTTTTTTTTTTTTTGTTTGTTATCGATTATTGAAGATGACATGGTCATAAAAAAAATTTCGAAATTATCCAATCGTTATTGTTGGATCAACTGATTTCCATGGTGATAAATCATCATCAACAGCAGCAGCAGCAAGACTTATTATTTGATTAGATGTTAATCACACACACACACACATAGACACACACAAAAGTACTTTTATCTCACCTGAAATCTCAATTCACCACAGTAGTATGAGTATAATTAATAATCGGTTATTATTACAATAATTATAACAAATTTAAAGGCAAGAGAAAAAAAATGTACGCAAAAATATCATGATCATTTTATGTTATGATATTATCATTAAACAAGTTGACCATTTCGAAGTCTAGAACTATGAATACATATGAATTTATAGATGAAAAACAATATTATTATGATCGCTAAAATGGATAATGAACCAATTAGATGATAAAGAATTGAATTTGTTTGTAATGGAATATTCGTTGTAATCAATGGACGGCTAATCACTGATTGTATATCATCATGTTCAATCGTATTCGGTGCTAATCGTATACATTTACATGATGTATGATTGACGAATGTTACCGTTTCGGTCATTGTTGTAAAATTTGTTTTCATTGCTTTCAAACGTGGTGCAATACGTTGACCAGCGGACACTTGTTGTCCGAGCATAAAATAATTAACGAAAAATACTTTCTCCACATTTTCCACCGTTTCTGGTCTACATAATTCACCGGGATTTGGACAACAGCCTGTTTGATCCGTACAACGGTGGATTATCTGAATTTTTTTTTTTAATTTTATTTATAATTTGTATATTATATCATCAAATTAGTTAATAGCAAGTTACAAATTCTTAATCAAATTGTTCATCATATACTCACTGTTCCACGTGGATAGAAAATTTTATTTGTCGATGCAGGTGGATAGACAATTAATGGCCGTGGATCACGACAAAGACCAACAGTATTCATAAGATTTATGTGTAGTATAGCACGATCTTGCATTATCAAACGATGTTCGGCAATTTTTGAATGTTGTTGTTGTAATGTTAATTTAGCTGCATTGATCAACAATAGATTACCAGAATAATAATTTAACATGGTGAATATTATCACATTGATTAAAATGAAATGTTTAGAAATTGTTCGAAATGTTAAACATTCAATGTTTTCATGATGATGTTGTTGTTGAAGATCACCATGTACATTTACTGATGATAATTTTGGTCGTCGAATGAACATTTTATTTTTTTTGTTATATTTTTCGAATCCAAAATGTACACATTCATCAGTAAAAACCATACATCAATGATGAACGAAATCATAATCAAAAATTATTTATTCTTCTGGCGAAAAAAATTATGTATATGTTGTTTGTCTTTAATCCTAAAAATTTCAGAATTAGCCATTGAATTAACAACATCTTCATCATCATCATCATTATTATATAGAATAATTTATTCCAATCAAGAAACTTGCCTTTTATTAATAGATTCAAGAATTCACGTATCGAGATATTTCAATGCGAATCAAATTTATCTTCATCCTTGAACGATGATGATGATGATGATGCTTGATGAATTAAATGGATTACCACGAATGAAATAACGAATCGAATTGTAAACGGTAGATTGTTGTTGTTGTTGTTGTTCAATATTTTACACTTATTTCAAAATCAATGTAGATGTAATAAAATAATGGCTGTGTGTGTGTGTTTGCGTCGATGGTTGATTATCAATGATTATCATCATTAGCAACATATATGAAAATGGTGGTGATACAATCCATCCATCCATAGATTATAGAGCATATATTAGTCATGAACAAAATCGATCGATCGATATCGATATGTTTATATTCACATTCATGATGGATTCCAATTTGCAAACAAAAAAAAACAAACAACAGAATTTAAAAGTTTCAAATAAATTCTTTTTTGTTTCAATTTTTTTTCAGAGATGGAATATCTCTATGATTAACATACAAAATAACATCATCATGGATTGGATTTGGTTAGATGCACGGATCATTATATGACGTTCTTGTTTTGTTTATCATGTGTATGTGTTTGTTGTTGGTTTATGTTTTTTTTTTTTTTTTGGAGTGTGGTTTTTTTTTCTTCGCCTTAGAAAAATTTTATTTATCACATATAAGATGATTTTAGATTCGAAAAAAATATCGTCGTAGTGGTATGGATGAAATGAATATATCTCCAAATGTTTCTGTTTTCTAATTTTATTTTTTCTAAAGATGAGGAATGTATTCATCATGTCGTAGTAAAATAATCATGATGATCATGATGATGATGATGAACGATGAACGATGAACGATTTCTTCTCGATTTCCATAGCATCGAATTTTATCAATTTGAATTTGAAATGAATGAATGATTAATTTAATTTAACTGCATATGTCCACATATTTTGTATCTTTATTATTTGAACCGGATTTTTCCGTTTAAAACATATTGGAGTAAATATTGTGTGTGTGTGGGGTGGGGGCGTTTTTCGCATTCATACACATTTCCGTAATATGATGATAATTGACATTGATTTAGATTTTTTTTTTTAAAAGAAAAGATAGTGTCTATTCACGTTTGATTAAATGTTTCTTTTTTTCGTACATCATCATCGATGATTAATCGATAGTCAAAGAGATGTGAGTGAGTGAATGGGAGTGCGGATACAATTGCACGTTCACATTGAAAGCCACTTGAAATTATGACTGTGTTACCTTAGTTTTTTTTTTTTTTTTGGTTTCAAAATTGAAACCAAAATTTTGCTAAGCAACATGAACACAATACATACAAAAGATCCCGATTATTTTGAGTAATCAATCCAAATATTGGAATGTGCATTTACCAACAACAATTTGGATTTTTGATTCATAACCGGTAAATAGTCAAGTGGCCGCAGACATTACCTGTTTGCTCTCATGGACTGTTTTTCAAGAAAGAAAATTAGAAAAAAAAATGAAAAATATTTCCATGGAATATGTTTTTTTTTGGATTGATGGTTTGGATGGATTGATTGATTTCGATTTTGATTGTTTCCTTTTCAAAGTTTTGATATGACATTAGAAAAAAAGGGGATCGATTTTTTTTTTTGCTCTTTACTATCATTGATCGCTATCAGATTTTAAATACAATTTTTTTTTTTCTGTTCTATCCACTTGAGATTCCATATACATTTTAGATTTGGATTTTTTTTTAAAGTACGATCATTGTAAATTTTGGCTATTCAATTTTCATTTTCATTTCATTTTTTGTCTTGTTTGGTTGTTTTAACCACACATTATCTCATTATTTAATTTTGATTGATTTTCATATTTTTTTTTATTCATCCAATTGAAATTTTGATTGGATTGTCAGTCAAAAAAAAAAAACAGCAGAAACAACAAAAAAAAGAAAATTCATCATGCGAAAAAAAGACAATAATAATCATACAATGATTGTGATCAATAAATTACGATTATTTTGGTTTTTTGCCATCTTTTCATCTAGTCAGTTAATTATTCCATGTTTGGCCAGTGATGAATCAAATTTCAAGATTGGTAAGTAAATTCAACATGTCATATATATCATCATTAATTAATTGTTCATTTAATCGATTAGAATCAACTGGCTGGATAATTGCTGATGCATCAAATAATAATTGGCCTAGTAAAAATCTAAAAGAAACCGGTGAATTTTATGTTTACGATAAAATCTCTGAAAATCGTGACACATTAAAACTGAATCAAGAATCATGGCCATTAAATGAAAAAATTTCAAATTATTCCATTTTATTCACAGTAAGTGAACCAATCAATCACACACACACACACACACACACATATGTCATATTGATCTTGTAAATTGTTTTATTTTTATAGTATTGGAAACCAAATAACGATTTACGGTGGCAAGATCATGATAATTCAAAGAAAAAATGTATATTATTATCAAATAATACAGAAAAATTCATTGAAACAAAATGGGAAAGATTATCACATGATCAATGGAAAAATATTGAACTAATTGCATTGGATACAGATGCAAGAATATTTTTCAAAAATATCGATGGTAAATAGCAGTTATATTGAAATTGACAAATTAATGTGAAAATTTTTTTTTTCATTCCATATTTTAATTATAGTTGTGTATAGAGAAAAAATTGATTTATCAAAACATCAAAATCCGACTGATGATTTCAAAGAATTACTTGATGGATTCAATAAAATTTCTGATAATCAGTTTGAATATAATGAAACATACGATCATACTGCAACATTACAATATTTGATTTCCAATTCGGATGATTTTGGCAAGACATGCATCGAAATAAAACAGGAACCAAAGCAAGAATTATTAAAAAAAAACTTCCTGAATATCAGTGTTACATTTGAAAAGGAAATCAATGCCATTGAACTTCCTCTTATTTCTCTTTCAAAATTTTGTTTGGGAAATTATTTTGCATTGAATGCAAACGGTAGAACTATGATCACTATCAATGTTGAACCCGGTGAAACAAAATTTATTGTAACATTTACTAAGGATGGCAATCAAGATGTCAAACCGATTGAACCGAAAAACGCAATCGATAATAATAAATGGATATACAATCACCCATTGTTTGATTATAGCATAATGCTGGGAAAAAAAGCCGATGAAAATACCGAAATCTATGCCTGTGATGTAATGGCAAATTGTTTTAAATATGTCACCAATGATAATCTATTTTATGAGCTAGAATCATTCAGTCAAAATGCATTGAGTAAATCACCAATCATCAAAAGGTATTCTACCAATTCGAAGCTTCAATTTGAAGATAAATCAAAAATATTGTCAATAGAAGAAAAAGTTTTTGAACAAATCAAAAGAAGAATGAAACCTAATGAAAAAGTAAAATTTGATGATAAAACTAAGACAATTTCTGGAGTAAATGATACACTCACAATTCCATACATTGATCTTCGTGCATATCCTTCTGTTTCACTATCAGCTGCAGGATCGGATGAGATTCTTGTTAAAAGTGTTTCAATTCATAACGGTGAAAACACTGTCTCGACAATTGAATTCAACGATGTAAATTTATCGGTGATGAAAAAATTTTTCAATTTTTTCTATGCACGATTATCGGATTTATTTGAAAATTATTGGCTAGAATTCAATTTCCAACCAACTTCTAAATCCAAGAACTTGAAATTAAAATTAGAATCATCAGCAGCAGCATTAGATACAATAGCAGAAGATGAAAACCAAGGTTTATTTTATTGTATTCATTTATTTTGATTAATTAATCTATTTGCAATTTATTAATTGATAAACAATAGATCGTGTTTTGGGATTCTACGATTGGGAAAAAGTACCGTACGAAACGCAAGAAAGAAACTTGTCTTTTCAAATTAAATCATCTTCAATGAATTGTACTGAATCTTTCGATGTTCCAATTCAAGTTATTTTTTATGATGGTAAAATTTTCAAACAAAAAGTCAATTTCAAAAAAGAAAAAAATGCCTGCAATTATAAAGGTGATATGAATAATATACAAATCAATGGACCATTCAACATTTTCTACGATTTTAAAAATCCGACTAATGATAATAAGGAAGCTGAATTTTCAATGGAAATTAGCAAATTGGATAGAAAAGTCAGTATTATTGAAATCAAATTCAATTAATCGCTAAAAAACATTTACCAATCACACAGGAAACAAAACCAACAAGTCCAACATATCATTGGTTTGATGGAAAATTTGATAATTTGAATTATTGTCCCGTAAATTTTGAATTCGATCAAAGGTAATATCGATGATTGATTCAATATTTTTATTATAATGACATATTGTTTTATTTTAAAATCAGTGTCAAGAGATGTATGTTAAAAACTATTTATCGTAATGTACATGTCAATTGTAATTCAACAATGGGATGTTTAAACATTTTGGATCGAAAATTATTGCATATTAATTTATATGGAGATGGAAAAATATTCGATGATTTTGAAGTGAAAACATTATATTTTCCAAGCATAAACAAAAGAGCCGTAAAAATCCGATTGAAATCAAAAGAATTGATGATCAAAATAATTTTTGCATTTCACTCATATATTTTGGCAACGGCAGTCGATTTTTATCAGCCATGACCGGTCAACGGCATTATATTCACCATTATCGTTCAATTCAAAAATTTCAGATGATGATCTTTTTAATTCATATCCAGCTCTTTATCATCGATTTGTGCTAGTCACTTATCAGCACATCCTGAAGAAGTTGATTCCATATTCTTATGGTTTGAACCATCAGATCATTATGATGGCTTGGAATATATTGCCGATATTACAGTTGACTATCCAAAATTGCAGAAGGTACTAAATTCGTTCAATCTTGATGAATTAAAAAAGGAAGATTTTATCCCATATGATGGAAATTACATATCTTTTAATGAAACTGAAAAATCATTTCAAATTGGTTTCTCACCGTTTGATCGTAATGGGACGACCAGTTTTGAAACACGGTTGACAAGTAAATTCATCAATCTAAATCAAATAATAGCGATCGATACATTCCAAATCGATTTTGCTTTCCGTAAATTCATTGGTAATTGGACTGACTATGGTGACGTTTTCATTGAATTCCGACCATCTTCCGAAGATCAGAAATCTTATTCACTCAAGGTAAAATTTAAAAACAAAATGTTTGAAAAAATTTTTAATGTTTTTTTTCATTTTGATAATCTAAATACAGGAATTGAAATCAAGTCAAGTGAATACATTGATTTATAAAAGAATGAATCAAACGATTGATAAATTTCAGATACAATTTGTTTTCAAATTAGACAATCTGAAAAAGACTGATTCGAATTTAGATTTTTCTATCAATGGAATAGCGTTGAATGATCCATGTGTTAACAAAAATATTGATCAAAGTTTTGCCATAAACAACAACATTACGGAGAATGTGTACGACATTTTTCTCCTAAACCATTTCATCGTTGCAAATGTGTCAAGTATGCTTCTGGCAATGATTGTGAACTGATAGATTATTGTATAAAGGATGATGGCAGCAATTATTGTATCAAAAATAATTTAGGACTTTGTGAAAATTCCGCCGATCAATTTAAATGTTCTTGCCCGAATGGACAACGATGGGTTAGATTTATGAAATGGTAAGTATACTAATTATCCTAAACATTGCGACTATAAGACGCGTATTGTACAAAAAAAAATGTTTATAAATAGCCTTATTGGAAAAAATATCTGCGTTTAGGTAGTTGTGTCTTATGATTTTAGTGTACAATTTGTTAATGAAAATTTAATTGATCTGTTCCCAATGAATTTCTTATAACAATTTAGGTGTTTGACACCAGTCGATAAAGAATGTCCCATTAATGAACATTTTGCTTATAATAATAAAAACGAACCAATCTGTATATGTAATGAAAATTTTATTCGTATCAATGGTTCATGTGTTGAATACAATATCTGTGATCCATTACATCGGAAAGAAAAAGGTGAACAACCAGAAATACCATGTGAAAATGGATTGGCCGAATGTCAACCACTTCCGAATGACAAATATCGTTGTGTTTGTCCATCAAATCTTTACAATGTAAAAGGTATAAATTTTTTTAGATCATGAAATTATCATTATGATATATGAATATTTCATCATTTCATAGGCAATTTCGGAAAATATGCACAATGTCGTGATCGATTTTGTGATCTATATATGGAATGTGATCAAAAATGTGTATTCAATTCGACTAGTGGCCAGCACAATTGTGTTTGTTTCAACAGTCAATATAAACTTGATTCGGATAATAAATGCCAAATCCTTGAAAATTTCCGTGAAAAACTTGCCAAATGTTTACCCGAAGATCCACAATCACTGAACACATTAGAAATGCCATACCTTGACCTTGTTGGTAATTGTATGTGTAGATTCGGTTACAACTACAACGCAACAAGTAAAAAATGCGAAGATAATGGTAAGAATTTATTCAATGATTATTGGAACATTTTCAGATTACCATTTGATTTTTTATATAATCACATAGACAATGACAAAATTCATAAAATACTTGGTTGTGAAAGTTTTCGAATAAACGATGATGGTAAATTTGAATGCCAATGTCCAAAAGGTAAAGAATTCGACAATCACTATGGTGAATGTCGATGGAAACCATGTCCATCTGATATGATGATTAAATATGCTCATGATAAAAATGATCCTGGCAATTTTGAATGTATTTCTCCTTGTGATTCAAAATTGGTTCGAAGGTTAGTTTGTTCGATTGTATTAGTTTTTAATTATATTTGATTACATTATTATATAAACATTTATTATCAAAAATAGTTGTTTAGCAGTTGGCGGACAATTCTTCGAATGTCATCCTAATTTGGCAATTGAATCTTTGATAAGAAATAATTGGAATTGGAATATAGATGAACCATTTGTACAAGGAGTTCATCATACAATTGCTAATGTATTCAACTATTGTCGATGCATTTTTGGCTTAACATTAGATTCATCGGAAAGACGTTGTATACCGAAACATGATCTTAATTATTTCACAATCGATATGACTTTCACAAAAATCAATAACAAAGATATTGTAAGTATAAAATTTATCATATTTTCAAATAAGTTCTCATTTTCATTTTCATTATCTAATTTAGACCGAATTGTTTTTCCGTGAAATTTTGAGCATTCTATATGATTATGAAAGATTGACAATAGAAAGTGTAACCTGTACGGAAAACGATGATGAATCATTTGAATGTAAAGCCGTATTATCAACCTCGGATTTTTCAATCACACCGGATGCGATTAAAAAATTATTAGAAATTAATTGTATTAACAAGGCACAATTATTTGCTAAATCATCAAACGATTCATGTGTTTATTTATATAAATCAACAAAAAAAGGACAGAATCAAATCACAATTGAACGAAAAACTGATTCGATAATACATTCAGATCCATATGATGTAAGTTGAAATGTTATTTGAATATTAAATTTAAATTAATTTTCATTTCTAAATTCCATTCTAGTTTTGTCAATCGAATCCATGTTCATTTTTTCCTAATTCATATTGTGAATCCAATCCAAAAGATAGATCTGATTTTAAATGTAAATGTGGTGATGGCTATAAAATTGATGAAAATTTTCCAACACCAGTGATGGATCAATATCATGCATGTAAATGTATGTATCAATTCTTAAAAATGAATTTTTCTTTGTAATTATTGAAAATTAACATAATTTTATTTTGTTCATCTTGATGATGAAAAAAAACAAAATAGTGAAATCATGCAAAGATTTGGGCTATCATTGTGAAGATTCGAAAGCCACCTGTTTAATGTTGAATGGACATAGTATACAGAATATTGAACAAAAATTACAAGCAAAACTTGTATTCGATTCACCGATTATTGTCAATGATGATGATGGTCTGAAATCGCCAAAGCCATTCTGTCTTTGTAACAATGGATATTTACTTAATAAATTGAATTCATCATGCGATGGTAATTTGATTGATTGATTCATTAACATTTAATCATCATTTGATTTTTTATTTCTCTATAGATCATTGTAAAATGAATTGTAATAATGGTGAATGTTATTATACAATGTCACAAAAACGTGAAACATGTATTTGTAATGAAGGATGGATGGGTGAAAAATGTGATGTAAAAAAATCGGACAATGATAACGATAATAACAATAATGATAATGATGATGATGATGGCAAAAATGGTTACAAAATATCAACAATTATATTGGCCATACTGACAGCATTATTGATTGTTGGTGTTATATTTTTATTCATACGTTCACGGTAAGTAATACAAAAAATATGATGATTGATAATGAAAAAAAAAATTTGTTCATATACAAATAATTTATAGACAATCATAATACATTGATTGATACACTATATAGTTTGATACGGCCATCAACATCATCGATATCATCATCATCATCCACATCATCGAGGTTGCAAACGAATCATGGACAAACGGAAAGCCGAAATACCATCATTAATCAACATTATCATTCCCGTACTGATAGATCAAGTGTTCAAATTTTGCATATTTCTAAATCAAATAAATTCGATGATTGATTTTGATTAATATTTTCTAATTTATTTTTTTTACCTATAAATATAATAAATTCAATAATTTATCAATAAAAATTGCCAATATTTTTATCATTATTTCCAAATCATCATATCGTTTGGTTTTTGTGTTCGCACACCCGGTTTATAATCTGTAAAAGCATATACTTACATGATGATTGAAGAATTGTTGACCGATGACAACGTCGAGCGTGTAAATGAAATGCAGTTTTTTTGAAATGCTGAAGATTAATTGCATTTTTGATTTGTGTTTGAATAAAGACGTTAATTTTTGTTGACTGAAAGTAAAGTGTAAAGCTTTATTCGTGCGATCTAAAATCAAAGATTAATTGTTACATTGAAAATTAATAGAGAAAAAAAATTTCACTTTTTTGGAAATTTAAAAAAAACGTCATTTTATATTAAAGTTTAATCATTATTTTTTGTTTTCAAGTTTTTATTAAGAAAAGAAAATTAACATGAAAAAGATTAAAGGATTGATTCCCATTTGTGGAATGTAATGATTATATCAAATTTTCATGATCAAATCAAAAGAATAAAATGTTTAGAATCTGGTTTGAATCTTATGGAACCAATGATAAGAATGAAATTTTATTTGTATTTCTATTGATTGAATTCGTTGGTTCTGGACTGGTGTTATTCATTGTTGTTAGTTCCGTGGTTGTTGTCGTTGTTAGTCTTCTGGTTGTCGTTGTTGGTTCAGAAGTTGTGGTTGTTGGTCTTCTGGTTATCGTTGTTGGTTCAGGAGTTGTAGTTGTCGGTTTCTTGGTGTTCATTGTTTGTCTTCTGGTGGTCGTTGGCGCTTCCGTTGTTGTTGTCGTTGTCGGTTTCTTGGTTGTGGTTGTCGGTTTCTTGGTGGTCGTTGTTGGTCTTCTGGTGGACGCTGGCGCTTCCGTTGTTGTTGTGGTTGTCGGTTTCTTGGTTGTGGTTGTAGGTTTCTTGGTTGTGGTTGTTGGTTTCTTGGTTGTCGTCGGCACTTCCGTTGTTGTTGTGGTTGTCGGTTTCTTGGTTGTGGTTGTCGGTTTCTTGGTGGTCTTTGTTGGTCTTCTGGTGGACGCTGGCGCTTCCGTTGTTGTTGTGGTTGTCGGTTTCTTGGTTGTCGTTGTCGGTTTCTTGGTTGTGGTTGTTGGTTTCTTGGTTGTCGTTGTTGGTTTCTTGGTTGTGGTTGTTGGTTTCTTGGTTGTGGTTGTCGGTTTCTTGGTGGTCTTTGTTGGTCTTCTGGTGGACGCTGGCGCTTCCGTTGTTGTTGTGGTTGTCGGTTTCTTGGTTGTGGTTGTAGGTTTCTTGGTTGTGGTTGTTGGTTTCTTGGTTGTCGTCGGCACTTCCGTTGTTGTTGTGGTTGTCGGTTTCTTGGTTGTGGTTGTCGGTCTTCTGGTTGTAGTTGTCGGTTTCTTGGTGGTCGTTGTTGGTCTTCTGGTTGTCGTTGGCGCTTCCGTTGTTGTTGTCGTTGCCGGTTTCTTGGTTGTGGTTGTCGGTCTTCTGGTTGTGGTTGTCGGTCTTCTGGTTGTCGTTGGCGCATCCGTTGTTGTTGTGGTTGTCGGTTTCTTGGTTGTGGTTGTCGGTTTCTTGGTGGTCGTTGTTGGTTTCTTGGTTGTCGTCGGCACTTCCGTTGTTGTTGTCGTTGTTTGTTTCTTGGTTGTCGTTGTCGTTGTTGGTTCTGTGGTTGTCGTTGTTGTCAAGGATTTGATAATATCAAAAGCTTCGTTCAATAATGGCTTGAACTTTTTGAACATTGTCAACAATTCCAATTCAAAATGGGCGATTTTGAATGGATTATATGCATATTCTAACTCATGTTTGTAATACTTCATGGTTTCCAGTTTTTCTGTGATTTCATCTTTCAAATCTGAATCGGGCAACTTTTCCAATACATCCTCGCCTCTTTCAATAAGCTCTTCAGCTTCGTTCAAAACATCATCTAGATTATCACGTTTGAATCGTGGATTTGCATCAACTGTTTTCAGAATAAAAATTGTCCAAAAAAAATCAGTTGTGAAACTCTTGAATATCTTGAATGAAAACTACCTACCATAAATACTGAACAAACTCAATGTTAGAATCAACAATAATGTTGCGGTTAATTTCATGTTGTCGGCCTGTTTTGTGTGTTTATTTCAGAAATCCAAAAAAAATCAACAACGATTGTAATGACTACAATTTAAAATTTGAATGAATTTATATCTAGGAAGAACAAGTCTAATCAATTTCTTTCGATCAATTGATTTTATTCTTTTGAAATACATGTCGATTTCTATTAATTGATCGATAATCAAGGATGTCTGGCTATTGATGATGAGAACTGTATCAATTGTTTATTGAGATTGTTCAATCAGGAAATTGAGCTTAAATCTTAAAGCAAATTGAATCAATTTTACTCAATAATAATTGAAATGAAGATCCTTGTAATCAACGATTTATAGATACTTGAAACGTATATTACCTTTGAAATTGAGCAAAATTTCTCAAAATTAATCTAATTAATAAGGTCAGATTAATTAAATGGAATTTGCCATACACAAAGGATCAGTACACAAAGGCTCGACCGGCGAAACAATCTATGTCTGCAACTGATATTTCTGAATCTTAATCCGTTTGAAAAAATTGATGTAACGACACACTGTGAAAAGAAAAATAGCATAAAAAAGATTAAAGGATTAATTGATTGCCATTTATTGAATGTAATGATTATGTCAAATTCTCATGATCAAATCAAAAGAATAAAATGTTTAGAAAAGATTGAATCTGGTTCGAATCTTATGGAACCAATCGGATAAGATTGAAATTTCACTTGTTTTTTTTATGGATTGAATTCGTCGGTTCCGGAGTGGTGCTATTCAATGTTGTCGGTTCCGGAGTGGTGCTATTCAATGTTGTCGGTTCCGGGGTGGTGCTATTCAATGTTGTCGGTTCCGGGCTGGTGCTATTAAATGTTGTCGGTTCCGGGCTGGTGCTATTCAATGTTGTCGGTTCCGGGGTGGTGCTATTCAATGTTGTCGGTTCCGGGGTGGTGCTATTCAATGTTGTCGGTTCCGGAGTGGTGCTATTCAATGTTGTAGGTTCCGGAGTGGTGCTATTCAATGTTGTAGGTTCCGGAGTGGTGCTATTCGATGTTGTCGGTTCCGGAGTGGTGTTATTCAATGTTGTTGGTTTCTCAGTTGTCGTTGTAGGTTCCGTAGTTGTGGTTGTTGGTTCTTTGGTTGTCGGTTCGGTAGTTGTGGTTGTTGGTTCCGTAGTTGTTGTGGTTGTTGGTTCCGTAGTTGTCGTTGTTGGTTCTGTGGTTGTGGTTGTTGGTTCCGTAATTGTGGTTGTTGGTTCCGTAATTGTGGTTGTTGGTTCCGTAGTTGTGGTTGTTGGTTCGGTAGTTGTTGTGGTTGTCGGTTTCTTGGTTGTCGTTGTTAGTTCCGTGGTTGTGGTTGTCGGTTCGGTAGTTGTTGTCGTTGTTGGTTCTGTGGTTGTTGTCGTTGTTGGTTCTGTGGTTGTTGTCGTTGTTGGTTCTGTGGTTGTTGGTTCAGTAGTTGTGGTTGTTGGTTCTGTAGTTGTGGTTGTCGGTTCAGTAGTTGTGGTTGTTGGTTCCGTAGTTGTGGTTGTCGGTTCAGTAGTTGTGGTTGTTGGTTCTGTGGTTGTGGTTGTCGGTTCCGTAGTTGTGGTTGTTGGTTTTGTGGTTGTTGGTACCGTGGTTGTCGTTGTTGGTTTCTTAGTTGTCGTTGTTGGTTCCGTAGTTGTGGTTGTTGGTTCTGTAGTTGTGGTTGTTGGTTCCGTAGTTGTGGTTGTTGGTTCTGTGGTTGTTGGTTCTGTAGTTGTGGTTGTCGGTTCAGTAGTTGTGGTTGTTGGTTCCGTAGTTGTCGTTGTTGGTTCTGTGGCTGTGGTTGTTGGTTCCGTAGTTGTGGTTGTCGGTTCAGTAGTTGTGGTTGTTGGTTCAGTAGTTGTGGTTGTTGGTTCCGTAGTTGTGGTTGTCGGTTCAGTAGTTGTGGTTGTTGATTCTGTGGTTGTGGTTGTCGGTTCCGTAGTTGTGGTTGTTGGTTTTGTGGTTGTTGGTACCGTGGTTGTCGTTGTTGGTTTCTTAGTGGTCGTTGTTGGTTCCGTAGTTGTGGTTGTTGGTTCTGTAGTTGTGGTTGTTGGTTCCGTAGTTGTGGTTGTTGGTTCTGTGGTTGTGGTTGTTGGTTCTGTAGTTGTGGTTGTTGGTTCCGTAGTTGTGGTTGTTGGTTCTGTGGTTGTTGGTTCTGTGGTTGTTGGTTCCGTAGTTGTGGTTGTTGGTTCTGTAGTTGTGGTTGTTGGTTCTGTAGTTGTGGTTGTTGGTTCCGTAGTTGTGGTTGTTGGTTCCGTAGTTGTCGTTGTTGGTTCTGTGGTTGTTGGTTCTGTGGTTGTGGTTGTCGGTTCAGTAGTTGTGGTTGTTGGTTCCGTGGTTGTGGTTGTTGGTTCTGTAGTTGTGGTTGTCGGTTCAGTAGTTGTGGTTGTTGGTTCCGTAGTTGTCGTTGTTGGTTCTGTGGTTGTGGTTGTTGGTTCCGTAGTTGTCGTCGTTGGTTCTGTGGTTGTGGTTGTTGGTTCCGTAGTTGTGGTTGTCGGTTCTGTAGTTGTGGTTGTTGGTTCCGTAGTTGTGGTTGTCGGTTCCGTGGTTGTGGTTGTTGGTTCTGTAGTTGTGGTTGTCGGTTCTGTAGTTGTGTTTCCGTGGTTGTCGTTTGTCGGTTCCGTGGTTGTGGTTGTTGGTTTGGTAGTTGTGGTTGTCGGTTCCGTGGTTGTGGTTGTTGGTTCTGTAGTTGTGGTTGTCGGTTCTGTAGTTGTGGTTGTTTGTTCGGTAGTTGTGGTTGTTGGTTCGGTAGTTGTGGTTGTTGTCAAGGATTTGATAATTTCATCAGCTTCGTTCAATAATAATTGGAACTTTTTGAACATTGTCAACAATTCCAATTCCAAATGGGCGATTTTTAATGGATTATGTGCATTTTCTAACTCATGTTTGTAATGCTTCATGGTTGCCAGTTTTTCTGCGATTTCATCTTTCAAATCTGAATCGGGCAACTTTTCCAATACATCTTCGCCTTTTTCAATAAGCTCTTCAGCTTGTTTCAAAACATCATCCCGATTATCACGTTTGAATCGTGGATTAGCATCGACTATTTTCAGAATAAATTGTTTAAAAAAATCAGTTGTGAAACTCTTGGATATCTTGAATGAAAACTACCTACCGTAAATACTGAGCCAATTCAATGTTAGAATCAACAGTAATGTCGCGGTTAATTTCATGTTGCTGGTCTGTTTGGTTCGTTTATTTCAAAAATCCAAAAAAAAAATCCACAACAATTGTAATGACAACAATTTTAAATTTAAAAGAATTTATAGCCAGGAAGAACAAGTCTAATCAATTTCTTTCGATCAATTGATTTTATTCTTTTGAAACACTTGTCGATTTCTATTAATTGGTCGATAATCAAGGATGTCTGGTTATTGATGATGAGAAGTGTATCGATTGTTTATTGAGATTGTTCAATCAGGAAAATGGACTTAAATAAACGTAAAGCAAATTGAATCAATTTTACTCAATAATTGAAATGAAGATCCTTGTTATCAACGATTTATTGATACTTGAAACATATATTACCTTTGAAATTAAGCAAAATTTCTCAAAGATTTCTCAAAATCAATCTAATTAATAAGGTCAGATTAATTAAATGTAATTCGCAATACACAAATGATCAGTGTTGTCATCTAATAATAACAACAAATGAATATTATCTGCGTTGGTACTTTTTTCCTTGTTATATTCAAACATACATTGATCGCAAACCATCTCATGTGGTTAATGAAGTATTCAATGCCATGATAAGATGAATCATATTGGTCAACATAAATATTTAAACATTATGTACTGTCGTTTTTACTGGTCTAAATGGCGGAATGATGTGAAATAGTGGAGTGCCTGTAATTTCAAAAATATTGATCCTCGACCGGCGAAACAATCTATGTCTGCAACTGATATTCTGAATCTTAATCCGTTTGAAAAAGTTGCGATTAATGTAGCGACACATTTTCAACATCAAAATTTTTGCAATCGTTATTTATTTCAACCTTTTGACAAACCTAATATATTAAAGTTAATCGTCATTTTTAAATTTTTATCAAGAAAAGAAAAATAACATTTAAAAGATTAAAGGATTAATTGATTGCCATTTATTGAATGTAATGATTATGTCAAATTCTGATGATCAAATCAAAAGAATAAAATGTTTAGAAAATATTGAATCTGGTTCGAATCTTATGGAACCAATCGGATAAGAATGAAATTTCACTTGTTTTTCTATTGATTGAATTCGTTGGTTCTGAAGTGGTGCTATTCGATGTTGTCGGTTCCGGAGTGGTGCTATTCAATGTTGTCGGTTCCGGAGTGGTGCTATTCAATGTTGTCGGTTCCGGAGTGGTGCTATTCAATGTTGTCGGTTCCGGAGTGGTGCTATTCAATGTTGTCGGTTCCGGGGTGGTGCTATTCAATGTTGTCGGTTCCGGAGTGGTGCTATTCAATGTTGTCGGTTCCGGAGTGGTGCTATTCAATGTTGTCGGTTCCGGAGTGGTGCTATTCAATGTTGTCGGTTCCGGGGTGGTGCTATTCAATGTTGTCGGTTCCGTTGTAGTTGTCAAGGATCTGATAATTTCATCAGCTTCGTTCAACAATGATTGGAACATTTTGAACATTGTCAACAATTCCGATTCAAGATGGGCGATTTTGATTGGATTTTTTGCATTTTCTAACTCATGTTTGTAATTCTTCATGGTTGCCAGTTTTTCTGCGATTTCATTTTTCAAATCTGAATCGGGCAACTTTTCAAATACATCCTCGGCTCTTTTAATAAGCTCTTCAGCTTGTTTCAAAACATCATCCCGATTAGGTTTCTTAGTCGTTGATGGTTCCGGTGTTTTGGTAGTCGGTTCCGGAGTTGGGGTTGATGGTTCCGGTGTTTTGGTAGTCGGTTCCGGAGTTGGGGTTGATGGTTCCGGTGTTTTGGTAGTCGGTTCCGGTGTTTTGGTAGTCGGTTCCGGAGTTTTGGTAGTCGGTTCGGGGGTTTTGGTAGTCGGTTCCGGAGTTGGGGTGGTTGGTTCCGGTGTTTTGGTAGTCGGTTCGGGGGTTTTGGTAGTCGGTTCCGGAGTTGGGGTGGATGGTTCAGGTGTTTTGGTAGTCGGTTCGGGGGTTTTGGTAGTCGGTTCAGGAGTTGGTGTTGTTGGTTCCGGTGTTTTGGTAGTCGGTTCTGGAGTTGGTGTTGTTGGTTCCGGTGTTTTGGTAGTCGGTTCGGGGGTTTTGGTAGTCGGTTCAGGAGTTGGTGTTGTTGGTTCCGGTGTTTTGGTAGTCGGTTCAGGAGTTGGTGTTGTTGGTTCCGGTGTTTTGGTAGTCGGTTCGGGGGTTTTGGTAGTCGGTTCAGGAGTTGTTGTTGTTGGTTCAGGAGTTGGGGTTGTCGGTTCCGTTGTTGTGGTTGTCAAGGATTTGATAATTTCATTAGCTTCGTTCAATAATGATTGGAACTTTTTGAACATTGTCAACAATTCCAATTCAAAATGGGCGATTTTGATTGGATTTTTTGCATTTTCTAACTCATGTTTGTAATGCTTCATGGTTGCCAGTTTTCTGCGATTTCATCTTTCAAATCTGAATCGGGCAACTTTTCCAATACATCCTGGGCACTTTTAATAAGCTCTTCAGTTTGTTTCAAAACATCATCCCGATTATCACGTTTGAATCGTGGATTTGCATCAACTATTTTCAGAATAAAATGTCAAAAAAAATCAGTTGTAAAACTTGCACATGATAAATAACTGGAATTGAAACTACCTACCGAAAATACCTGCCCAACTCAATGTTAGAATCAACAGTAATGTAGCGGTTAATTTCATGTTGTTGGCCTGTTTTGTGTATTTATTTCAAAAATCCAAAAATATCCACAACGATTGTAATGACAACAATTTAAAATTTGAAAGGAATTTTCATCCCAATTTATAACCATGAAAAACAAGTCTAATCAATTTATTTCGATCAATTGATTTTATTCTTTTGAAACACTTGTAGATTTCTATTAATTGGTCGATAATCAAGGATGTCTGGCTATTGACGATGAGAAGTGTATCGATTGTTTATTGAGATTGTTCAATCAGGAAATTGGACTTAAATAAACGCAAAGCAAATTGAATCAATTTTACTCAATAATTGAAATGAAGATCCTTGTCATCAACGATTAATTGATACTTGAAACATATTTTACCTTTGAAATTAAGTACAACAAAATTAGATCGATTTTTTAAAATCAATCGAATTAATAAGGTCAGATTAATTTAATTGAATTCGCAATACACAAGTGAACAGTATTATCATCTGATAATGACAACAAATACATAATATCCGCATTGGTACTTTTTTCTTTGTTATGTCAAGCATTCAATGATCGCAAAATCTCATGAATTTTTTCATTGATTGAAATGAAATCAACATTCGTATTTATTGTTTGGTTAAATCAATTCTAATTCATCATGACGCTTGAATATCTTATTGTTTTATGGAATTATGACTAAAGACTGTATTTATTATAATTTTAATATGATTAATATGAAAATGTGCAAATCATTACTAAGGACTAATTCCAAAAAGTTGTTCGGTTTATTGTTGTTGGTTTTAGGGTGGTGTAACGAAGCGAGTTGTAGGTTCTGTGGTTGTAGTTGTTGGTCTCCAGGTTGACGTTGTTGGTTCTGTGGTTGTGGTTGTCGATTCCGTAGTTGTGGTTGTTGGTTCCGTAGTTGTTGTGGTTGTTGGTTCGGTGGTTGTGGTTGTTGGTTCTGTGGTTGTGGTTGTCGGTTCCGTAGTTGTGGTTGTCGGTTCCGTGGTTGTGGTTGTCGGTTCCGTGGTTGTGGTTGTCGGTTCCGTGGTTGTGGTTGTTGGTTCCGTGGTTGTGGTTGTTGGTTCTGTGGTTGTGGTTGTCGGTTCCGTGGTTGTGGTTGTCGGTTCCGTAGTTGTGGTTGTCGGTTCCGTGGTTGTGGTTGTTGGTTCCGTGGTTGTGGTTGTTGGTTCCGTGGTTGTGGTTGTCGGTTCCGTGGTTGTGGTTGTTGGTTCCGTGGTTGTGGTTGTTGGTTCGGTAGTTGTGGTTGTTGGTTCCGTGGTTGTAGTTGTCGGTTCAGTAGTTGTGGTTGTCGGTTCCGTGGTTGTGGTTGTTGGTTCGGTAGTTGTGGTTGTTGGTTCCGTGGTTGTCGTTGTGGTTGTTGGCTCCGTGGTTGTCGTTGTCGGTTCTGTAGTTGTCGTTGTGGTTGGTTCCGTGGTTGTCGTTGTGGTTGTTGGCTCCGTGGTTGTCGTTGTCGGTTCTGTAGTTGTCGTTGTGGTTGGTTCCGTGGTTGTCGTTGTGGTTGTAGTTGTAGTTGTTGGTTCCGTAGTTGTAGTTGTCGGTTCGGTAGTTGTGGTTGTTGGTTCCGTGGTTGTGGTTGTTGGTTCGGTAGTTGTGGTTGTTGGTTCCGTAGTTGTCGTTGTCGGGTTTGGGGTTGTATTTTCTCTAGTCAAATCTTCGGCTTCTTCTAACCATGGTTTGAATTCGATAATAATACGTTCGATTTCCCATTCTAAACGTTCAACCTGATGTTGATTATGATTGTGTCTTCGTAATTGTTCTTCTAAATAAATCAATTCTCGTACATAATGTTCAATTTTGTTTTGCAAATGTCCATGAGGCAGCTTTTCTATAACATGTTCACCACGTTGGATATATTGATTGGTTTTATCGATCAGATGATCATCAAAATCATTTTCGACATAAATACTTTTACAGTCGACAACATCTTTGTAAGAGGGGCGAAAAAATAAAAAGATTAGTCCTTTTCTTTGTTTTAAACAACATTTTTAGTTACTTTGATAAAATACGATCGAAACAATAAATGATAATGCAAACAACGACCAAGCAATAAACGTATTGAATTTCATCTTCATCATTGATTTTTGTCGTTTTTTTTTTAATTTAAAACTCCAAAAAAAACGATTGATTGAAAACAATTTATATAGTCATCATCAAATTTATTATGTGACCTAATAAAACTACCATATATAGTGTATTGCAAGATTAATCCTGAGTGGTTTCTTCTTCTCATTGATTGTCATACTCAAAAACGAAAATCCGGATTAATCCAAAAATAACATAGATAGTGATTCAGGATTTTAACAATTAAATGGGATTTTTGTTTAGATTCAATGACAACAATTTTGTTACTGTTTTATAAATTTTCATTTATTAATTTCAATTCGAATCTTTTGTATGAGATTGATTGGTTATTTATTTAGTTTTTCGATTCATTTATTTGATTTTCGTTTCTTACTATTGCTTACACCAGAAGCTGATAATGATAATTGTCGATTAGAAATACTTCGTCTTGATTTTTTGTTCAATGTTTTTCGTTTCTTTGATGATGATTTTATCACTGATGATGATGATGATGATGATGATGGTGATCGTCGACGATTTGGATTCGCCTGAATATTCTGTATACGAATTGAACCTGAACGGCTTTTTCCCATCACCTTATTACTACTATAAATTGATTCTATTTGAATTGAATTTTGTTCTCTATAACAATAATAATAAAAAGCAAATAGACAAATTGCTGTGATAATTGCAGCCAACATGATGTTTGCTATAGTTTTTTTTCGAAAGACACCAGGGTAAATTAAATTAAATTGGAATGAAATTACTCAAACGAAAAAGAAAAAAAAACTCACATTTCGAAACAGTTGACGGTACCACTGTTGTTGAATGTGTTGTTGTAATAGATGACATAGTATTAGTTTGTGTTTCGGTTACAACTGACGATGATGATGTTTGACTGTTTGATTCTGTTGTCACAATCGTTGTAATTATTGTTGGTGATCCAATACAATTGAAAAATGATTGATATGAATGATTTTGAAATGGATATGATTCTTCTGGACTATCATAAACATCTTCATTAAATGAATAGATTGATTCCTTTGTAAATAGATAGAAACGACCATTAGCAACAAAACCTTTCATTACAGACCATTCGACAGGTTTACTACAACTTTTCCATATTGAAGTTATTGGTATACGAATTTGTTTAGTATCCTTATCATCAAAACAAATTGAACGAAATTCACCTAGTCTAATACGAGTTTTATCCTGTATTGCAGAATCCGATGTATTGTATGAAGCTATCTGTAATGATGGATTATCATCACTTTTATTTCTTATCGTATAAAAATGTCCTGGTCTTGTACTGGATATGGTCACTTCTTTAAAACGATTAGCCAAACGCCAGCCAACAATTATTCGTGAATGAGTAAGATCATAGCATAGACCAAATGATGGATATAAAAGTTTCGATGTAAGAAAACAAAACCAATCAGTATAACTATCAATCAATGTTATAGAATTGTAAACATAATGTTGAATATCTTGCCATTCTTTACTATTATAAAGTTTTGGATAAATATTCAATAATGGTGATGATTTTTTATGTAAATATAATGTATTTATAGCCACATTCATTGAATCACGTTTGATTGCATAAACATTATAATCTTTGGTCACCAATAACATATGAATACGTGTCATTCCAATGGTTAAAATATTTAAATCATCACTGCCATCATAGCCAGCCAATGTTTTCATACAAATCTCCTGTTTTCATTTAAAAACAAAAAAAAATGATAAATTTTTTAAGCATAGTTGAAAAAAAACAACTTACATCCGTATCCTGTGCCAATACGTTGATCAAAAGCTGATCGATGACCAATGTTATTATTAGCATAATCATTTTGATTTCAGAATATGAAATCATAATCTAAAAATAACACGAGATGAAATTCAAACTCGTTTTTTTTATGGCCAGAATTTGCAATGCAGATTTTCATTTTGTTTTTTTTTTTAAATATATGTCCACACAATAACAACACAAGAATAGATCATTATTTCATTAAAATTTTTTTAAATATTAATTTGATTATTTTCAAATCAATGTGTTTTCGATATAAAATGATGAATGAATAATGTTTTCATTTAGTTTTTGACCATACTTTTGACTTTTGACATTTGACATTTTATTGTCGATTTGCTGACACTGCTATTATTCTTGTAACTTGGTTCAGATAAAAATGGTGCTGTTGAATTGGTGCTTAATTTTGAAAGCATTTTTTGTTTCGGAATTATCGATGATTTTGAATTAATCATTGATTTTGTTGAATCTTTACAAACAAAAATGGATCTTGATCGATTACTTGAACTTTTTGGTTGTTTAGATTTAATAGTAGTAATAGAAGCAGCGTTATTTTTATCAATTCCTTTTATGTTGCTTTTTTTAATTTTTTTCTTATTTGTTGTTGATACATCTGATGCAAGAAATTCTTCAGCAATAGATCCATTTTCAGCTATTTTTGATTGATAAAAACGACTTCGTGTTCGTATTTGATTTGATTCATCAATTTTTCGTTTAATAAATATTATGCAACATAAAACTAATATTAAAATGATTAGTAGAAATACAACCACTGCTATGATCCAATACAGTACTATTTTCAGGAAAATAAAATAGAATTAGAATCAATCAATTAATTAATTTGATTATCATCAGTCATATTATATTATCAATACTTACAATCATGTGACATTGGATCAGGAAAAATTGTACCCTGGCAAAGAAAAAATGATTCAAATGTTTGAATTTTCACTATATACGATTGTGGTAATCTTTTATCAGATTTAGATTTAAGTAAAATTTCATCAAATGAATAGACATACGAATCTTTGCCAAATAGATAGAATTTACCATAAACATTAAGTCCTTTGAGTATGAGCCAATTGACCGGTGTTTTACATGTTTTTTCATCGATATGAATTTTTTGTTTACTATCATCATCATAACAAAGTGAATGAAAACCATTGATTAACACATGATCAGTAGTTTTTTCTAATGATTTATCATCATTACATTTATAAGTTGCCAACTGTAACACATATTTATTATTAGATTTTTCATAAAAACGACGAATTATGTGAAAATGACATGGTTCAAGTGTCGATATGAATATATCATCATAAAACATGGTTCTAAATTTCCAACCGAATATTACACGTTTAGTTTTTATACCATAATAAATTGGAACGATACTAGTTTGTAAACCTGTCTGTATATTTAAACAAAGCCAATCATCTTTCGAATCAATAATTGTAAATATATTCGTTGCAATTGATTTGATGTAAAAGAATCGTAAATCATTGAATAATACGGGATATTTGTATGCAATATTTATTGGTGAATTTTTCAAATACAAATGATTTTTGTTCAATAATGTTGAATTCATCGGTAATTGATAGACAAAATGATCTTTTGTAATCATTATAAAATCGGTACGAGTAACACCAATGGACCACATATTCAATTGGCTATGATTAAAACGTAAACCTTCACATATAGGCTAATTTATTTGAAAAAAAACAATCATTGAATTTTGAATTGAATGAATCATGTGTGTGTGTGTGTGTGAAATACATACATCTTTTGATTGGACAAACCAATCATTTCTATTTAGAATCAATGATAAAATTGAAAAAATTTCAATAATCATTAAATATTTCATAGTGAACATCGGTTTCAATAATATTGAACTAAAAAAAAACAAGAAAAAAAATGTTCATTAAACTTTATTTATTGATTGATTCTACTTATATGATTTCAATTGGAATTTTTTTTTTAAATTAATAATTAAAAATTGGAATTGTATATTTAATTTAATATTTTTTCATCCATTGACAATGTGTTCGAATGTTTTCCATTTTTTTTTCGTCAATAATTTTGGTCAAAAATAACCGAATGCTGATGATATTGTTGATGACATCAATTTTACAAGTATCCATGGATAGTTGAGGCTGTTGATTCTGTAGTTGTCGTTGTTGGGTTTGGAGTTGTATTCTCTCTAGTCAAATCTTCGGCTTCTTCTAACCATGGCTTGAATTCAACAATAACATATTCGATTTCCCATTTAATACGTTCAACACGATGTTGAATAAGATGGTGTCTTTGTAATTGTTCTACCAAATAAATCAATTCTCGTACATAATGTTCGATTTTGTCTCGCAAACGTTCATGAGGTAGCATCTTTATAACATGTTCACCACGTTTTATATATCGATTTGCTTCATCAATCAGTCTCTTAGTTGGACTTTGGGTAGTCGGTTCCGTAGTTGTGGTTGTTGGTTCCGTAGTTGTTGTGGTTGTCTGTTCCGTAGTTGTGGTTGTTGGTTCGGTAGTTGTTGTGGTTGTCTGTTCCGTAGTTGTGGTTGTTGGTTCGGTAGTTGTTGTGGTTGTCGGTTCCGTAGTTGTGGTTGTTGGTTCTGTAGTTGTTGTGGTTGTTGGTTCGGTAGTTGTTGTGGTTGTCGGCTCCGTGGTTGTGGTTGTCGGCTCCGTAGTTGTGGTTGTCGGCTCCGTAGTTGTGGTTGTTGGTTCCGTGGTTGTTGTGGTTGTTGGTTCCGTGGTTGTAGTTGTCGGCTCCGTGGTTGTGGTTGTTGGTTCCGTGGTTGTTGTGGTTGTTGGTTCCGTGGTTGTAGTTGTCGGCTCCGTGGTTGTGGTTGTTGGTTCCGTGGTTGTTGTGGTTGTTGGTTCCGTAGTTGTGGTTGTTGGTTCCGTAGTTGTTGTGGTTGTCTGTTCCGTAGTTGTGGTTGTTGGTTCGGTAGTTGTTGTGGTTGTCGGTTCCGTAGTTGTGGTTGTTGGTTCGGTAGTTGTTGTGGTTGTCGGTTCCGTAGTTGTGGTTGTTGGTTCCGTAGTTGTTGTGGTTGTCTGTTCCGTAGTTGTGGTTGTCGGTTCCGTAGTTGTGGTTGTTGGTTCTGTAGTTGTTGTGGTTGTTGGTTCGGTAGTTGTTGTGGTTGTCGGCTCCGTGGTTGTGGTTGTCGGCTCCGTAGTTGTGGTTGTTGGTTCCGTGGTTGTTGTGGTTGTTGGTTCCGTGGTTGTAGTTGTCGGCTCCGTGGTTGTGGTTGTTGGTTCCGTGGTTGTTGTGGTTGTTGGTTCCGTGGTTGTTGTGGTTGTTGGCTCCGTGGTTGTAGTTGTTGGTTCGGTAGTTGTGGTTGTTGGTTCGGTAGTTGTGGTTGTTGGTTTCGTAGTTGTGGTTGTCGGCTCCGTAGTTGTGGTTGTTGGTTCGGTAGTTGTGGTTGTCGGCTCCGTGGTTGTGGTTGTTGGTTCGGTAGTTGTGGTTGTCGGCTCCGTGGTTGTCGTTGGTTCGGTAGTTGTGGTTGTTGGTTCCGTGGTTGTGGTTGACAAGTATCTGATAATTTCATCAGCTATGTTCAAAAATGACTTAAACTTTTTGGACATTGTAGACAATTCCAATTCTAAATCGGCGATTTCAACTGGATCATTTGCTTGTTCTAACTTATTTTTGTAATCCTTCATTATTGCCAGTTTTTCTGTGATTTCATCTTTCAAATCTGAATCGGGCAATTTTTTCAATACATCCTCGGCTTTTATAATAAGCTCTTCAGCTTCTTTCAAAACATCATCTCGATTTTCACGTTTGAATCGTGGATTTGAATCAACTGTTTTCAGAATAAATTTTTCAAAAAAAAAATCAGTCGTAAAACTCTTGAATATCTTGAATGAAAACTACCTACCGAAAATACTTGCCCAACTCAATGTTAGAATCAACAATAATGTTGCGGTTAATTTCATGTTGCTGGTCTGTTTGGTGCGTTTATTTTAAAATCCAAAAATCCACAACAATTGTAATGACAACAATTTTAAATTTGAAAGAAATTTTAATCACAATTTATAGCTAAGTAAACCAAGTCTAATCAATTTCTTTCGATCAATTGATTATATTCTTTTGAAATACTTGTCTATTTCTATTAATCGATCGATAATCAAGGATGTATGGCTATTGATAATGAGAAGTGTATCATCAATTGTTTATTGTGATTATTCAATCAGAAAAATAGAGTTAAATAAATCGTTAAATCAAATCTATCTTATTGTTTTAAGGAATATGATGACTCTATAGACTGTATTTATTGAAATTTTAATATGAAAATGGGAAAATCAATATCGAGAACAAATTTCAAAAAGTTGTTTGATTTATTTTGTTGTCGGTTTGATAGTTGTCGTTGTCGGATTAGGGGTTGTATTTTCTTTGGTCAAATCTTCGGCTTCTTCTAACAATGGCTTGAATTTTCTCATAATATGTCCAATTTCCACTGAAATATGTATAACACGATGTTCATCATGACTGTGTCTTTGTAATTGTTCTTCTAAATGAATCAATTTTTGTACATAATGTTCGATTTCGTGTCGCAAATGTCCATGAGGTAGTTTCACCATAACATGTTCACCACGTTGGATATATCGTTTCGTATCATCGATCAATTTCTTAATTGGATTTTGGGTGGTCGGTTCTGTTGTTATGGTTGTTGGTTTAGGAGTTGATGTTGTCGGTCCAGCTGTTTGAGTTGTCGGTTTCCTAGTCGGGGTTGACAATGTTGACAATTCTAGATCGGCGATTTCGAGTAGATTATTTGCATTTTTTGTTGTCGATTTGGTATTTGTCGTTGTAGGGTTTGGGGTTGTATTTTCTTTGGTCAAATCTTCGGCTTCCTTTAACCATGGCTTGAATTCTCTAATATTACGTTCAATTTCCCGTGCAAGATGTATAACGTGTTCTTGATTATGATGGTGTGTTACTAATTGTTTTTCTAAATAACACAATTTTCGTACATAATGCTCGATTTCGTGTCGCAAATGTCCATGAGGTAGTTTTTCTAAAACATGTTCACCACGTTTGATATAATGATTCATTTCAATGATCAGTTGTTTTAATGGATTTAAGGTAGTCGGTTTTGTTGTTGTGGTTGTTAGTTTCGTAGTTTTTGTTGCTGGTTTAGGAGTTGATGTTGTCGGTTCCGGTGTTTGGGTTGTCGGTTCAGGAGTTGTGGTTGTCGGTTCCGTTATTGTGATAATTTCATTAGCTTCGTCCAATAATGATTGGAAATGTTCGAACATTGTCAACAATTCCAATTCAAAATGGGTGATTTTGATTGGATTTTTTGCATTTTCTAATTCATGTTTGTAATGCTTCATGGTTGCCAGTTTTTCTGCGATTTCATTTTTCAAATCTGAATCGGGCAGCTTTTCCAATACATCCTTGGCTCTTTTAATAAGCTCTTCAGTTTGTTTCAAAACATCATCCCGATTATCACGTTTGAATCGTGGATTTGAATCAACTATTTGCAAAATAAATTGTCAAAAAATCAGTCGTGAAACTCGCACATGATGAATGACTTGAATGAAAACTACCTACCGAAAATACTTGCCCAACTCAATGTTAGAATCAACAATAATGTTGCGGTGAATTTCATGTTGTTTTGTGTGTTTATTTCAAAAATCAAAAGAATTAATAGCTAAGAAGAACAAATCTAATCAATTTCTTTCGATCGATTGATTTTATATTCTTTTGAAATACTTGTCGATTTCTATTAATCAATTGATAATCAAGGATGTCTTGTTATTGATGTTTTTATTGCGATTATTCAATCAGGAAAATGGAATTAAATAAACGCAAATCAATATTACTCAATAAATGAAATGAAAATCATCATCATCAATGATTTATAGATACTTGAAACATATATGTTACCTTTGGAATTAAGCCCAACCAAATCAGAGTGATTTCTCAAAATCAATAAGGTCAGATTAATTAAATGGAATTGACAATACACAATTGGACAGTGTTGTCATCTGATAATAACAACAAATACATCATTATCAGCGTTGTTACTTTTTTTTGCAATGCCAATATGTTTGAGTAATATCGATTCACGAGTTGGGGTAATCGATCCAGGAGGTGAAGCTGTTGATTTTGATAATTAGCTTGAATTTGATAATAATAGTACGTTCGATTTCTCATTCAATATTGTTCATTATTGATTGGGTTTCCGTAATTGTTCTTTCTAAATGAATCAACATTCGCTAACATGATGTGCGATTTTTTTTTTGAGTGAAATTTTCAATGATCATTGAATATTTCATAGTAAACATCGGGTTTTCGATTATACTAGAATGGAAAAAACAAGAAAAAAAATGTTCAATAAACTTGTTTTTATTGATTGAATCTACTTATTTGATTTCAATTGGAATTTTTGTTCTTCAAATTAATAATTAAAAATTAGAATTATATATATTTCAATTCAATATTTTTCCATTCATTGACATTGTGTTCGAATGTTTTACATTTATTTTTGGTATTTTTTTTGTCAATAATTTTGGCCAAAAACTACCAAATGTTGATGATCTTGTTGTGGGCATCAATTTTGGCAAAGAACCACCAAATGTTGATGATCTTGTTGTTGGCACTAATTTTGGCAAAAGACCACCAAATGTTGATGATCTTGTTGTTGGCACTAATTTTGGTAAAGAACCATCAAATGTTGATGGTCTTGTTGGTTGCATTAATTTTACACGTATCCATGGATAGAATTTTCGTTTTTTTCGAGAAAATTCCGAATCTAATGGATAAGTAGCAGCAGTATTACTAGTTGTTGTTGATGTATTAATACTAGTAGTAGTCGTATCTGTATGTTTATTCAGTATTGATGATTCATTTTTACTTTGTTCAACATCCGATGTATCAATAGATTTGCTTCGTTTATGATGTTTTTTGGATCCAATGCTGAACGTATTGTTTTTGAATGATGACGACGAAAAATTGAATAATTTTCAATTCGAATATATAAAAGACAGCATAATATCAAGAACAATGTAAGCAAAATAGCCAAAATTATCATTAAAATTTTACTATGTTTTCCTAATATTTCAATGTAAATACCAAAAAAAAAATGTAAGGATTTTTGTTTTGTTTTTTTTTTTGTCGATCCTTTACTCACCTGTCAAACTATCCGGTATCGATCCAGGACATACGAAAAATGATGAATATTTTCGTTGAATAACTGATACAGTTATGTTTTTTGTATAAAAATCTTCATTGAAAATATGTACATTATTCATATCGAATAAATAAAAACGACCATCAGCCACAAAACCTTTCATTATTGGCCATTTTACTGGATAATTTTTACAGTTTTCATCATATTCATTTTGGATACTGATTTCTTTTTCTTGTCCATCAGTAAAACAAATTGTTCGAAATTGATTAACTATTTTAATGGAATCAGTTATAAATTTTTGACATTTATAAGTGGCAATTTCCAATCCATTTGTTATCAATGAATAACTCAATGCATAGTAACTACAAGATTTATTCGTTGATATAAGTACTTCACGTTTATTACCAGTGAATATAAAACCTGGTTTAACAACATGGTTATTTAGATCATAAGAAATGCCCTTTTCATCTGTTATATGAAACCATGTGGTCAAACAAAGCCAATCAGTTTCATTATCAATCACGATGAATGCATTGAATATATTTTTCGTATTTTTCCAATCTATTCGATTCAAAAAGAACCGGATATTTTGTCGACATTGGTATTGGTTCAGCATTTAAATATAATTGATCAATACTTGAATCAAGTGAATCTATGGATAATTCATATACAAAATAATTTTCCGTTATAAGTAATAGATTTTTTCTGGTTAAACCAACGGCCAAAATATTGGATTTATTATCATGTTGTTGGCCCTTTAAACTATGAGCTAATGAATGGCATAGTTGATTTGATTCAGTTTTATTGTTAATCATATATATTGAATCAATAGATAGAATTGTCCAAAAATACCACCACCACCACCATAAGCAACGGAAATTTAAATTTTGGATCATCATTTTCAAAATTTTAACACACTAAAACACACAATAATAACACATACACATTTATACAACAAAAACTTGGACTTTTAAAAGAACACCAAATAATTGATTAAATCAAACGACAGAATGAATTTGGAATTTTTAATTTTAATTCAATAAAAATTTGAATCATGTACCATGTCATTTGATGAAGATTGTTGTGCCAATGACGTGAACGACGTTGATTGTTGTTTCATCACAGTAGGTTTAGTCGATGATGATGATGGTGATGATAAAGCGGATTTTTTTCGTTCATTTACCAAACTTATTATTGGTGCAACAGTAGAAGATTTGGACATAATTTCAGTCAATACTTTTGGTCTATTTTGAACAGTTGATGATTGAAAAAAATTACTACGTATTGATTTATCATAAATCGATGATTGGATTTTCGATAATTTTTTTTGCTTTGATGGTGGTGGTGTTTTACTGAAATTCAGAAATAACAATAGAATAAGTGACATTAACAATATTAATATTGATACGAAAATAAGCCAAACATATCTTGATGGTATCATTTTAGAAATTGAATTCAAATGATCAGGACACCAGAAAAAAGTTCCATATGATTTCTTTGATAATGGATATGGTTTATAATTATCAAAAATGGCAATCTCATTGAAAATATAAACAGAATCATTTGAGAATAGATAGAATTTAGAATCGATAATAAAACCTTTTAATATTGGTAAATCGATTGGCTGCATATTTTTCGAAAAACAATCATCATTCATAACAATGATTGTTGTATGGATTGAAAATTTTTCAAACCAACATAGATTTTTATAAGGAAATAAATGTTTGATTCCAGAATTCTTTGTTACAGATTCACCATTCAATTGTAATTTAGTCATCTGTAGATAATTTGTATCCGGTTTTTTACGAATTGAATATAAAGATTTTGGTTCTTTTGTTGATATTAATATCTCATTCGATGAACCAGTATAATCCCAGCCAGAATGTATATTGCCAGTATTAAAATTGTAATTAATACCTGATCCTGAACCATCATCATTACTTTTATCATGAATGAAACAAAACCATGAACCATCATTATCGACAATAATAACTGCATCATGATATGAATTGATATTTTTTTGAAATAAATCATTATTCCATAATTTTGGATATTTATTCGACATAGCTATCGGTTTGGCTTGTATATAAAGCATATCAATAGTACTATTCATTTGTTGTAAATTAACCTCATATACATAATAATCAGTGGTCAATAGTATAAGTTTTGTTTGTGTTATACCAACAGTCATTATATGAAATTGTTGATTTGTATTATTCACTGTTTTACAAATATCTGATGATGATTCATAACTATCCACTAAATTGATTGCCATCAATGTTTGTAGTGTCCACGTTAACCAACAAATCATTATGAGAAGAAAAAATTGTTCAAATTTCATCGTTCAAATGAATTTAAAAATTCAAAAAATTCATATAGTCATCATGTGATTATTTTATATGAAAAAAAAAGTCAAAGTATTTTATTTATTAAATTTTTAAATTTAAATTTAACAAAAAAAAATTCTCTGCATATTCTGTATTGTTCCATTGAACATAGCAGCATATTTTTTTTATTTAAAAAATAAAATTGTGACAATTGACTCTGACTAGAATTTTCATTCATTCATTCATTCATTGTTGTTGTTGTTGTTGTTTACAAATCAATGGCATTAATCGATTCCATAATAATTATACCAAAAATGACAAACATGATACGACATGATAAGATATAAATTCTTTTTCGTCGATTTCCAATTTCCAATGTTGATTTCGTTGCCATTGATATATGATGACCATTGGTTTTTACCAATCCTTCCGAATCATCATTATTATTATTATTATCAAGATTCAACAATTCAGGCAAAAGGCTTGTTAATGCAATATAAAGAAAACCACCAGATGTAAGCGGTAAAATCCATAATGTTAAACTAAGTGAACCGGAATTTGTTTGCGATTGTTGTTCACAATATAGTACACATATGCTACCAATTATGGTGAATATCGATATGGATAATTGTGCACGAAATGCTCGCCAACAAGTGAAACCAGAACGTATGAGTATAACAAAATCGACAATTTCATGTGGCATTTCATGTAAAGCAATCGCTATGGTTGTCATAATGCCCATTTTGTAGCTAACCAAAAATGATGCAGCCACTGACATTCCATGGGTAAAATTATCGAATCCATTGGCCAATAGATTTAGATAACCGGTAGCGTTTGGAGTATTATTGTTTAATGGTTGCAATGATGATTCTATGATAAATTAATGATTATTATTTGAACTTTTTCAATAGTAAATTTTTAATCTTACCATTTTGAGCATCTTTTGAACATTTTTGGTGACGATTTCGTAAATTTTTCGACTGACAATTTCCATTCTGTTGTTTGTGATTGGTGGTTATTTTATTGCTGTGAATTTTTTCATTAATCATCTTTTCATTATTGATATTTTTTGAAAATTTATTGCTTTTATCACTATCCATAATCATAATCAATCCGATAAATGTTTCGGTGGTTGCAAAAACAATAACACCTATCAATATCCATACACCAAGAAAATGTTGTGTATGTTGTGGTGTATAACCAGCCATAATTAATTGTCCACATGCTTCAGGTAGGATATGTAGAAAAACATCAGCAATCAAAGCACCGACTGCGAATGCTAAAATTAATTTTAAAAATTCACTTTGTTCAGGATCAAATTCATGTTGATTACGTAGATTAAATGATGAACGTTTTTGTAAAAAACGTAAAAATATCAACAACATTAACATTGATGAAAATGATATTACACAACAGGATGTAATGGTGACCAAATATAATTGAAACATTGTCGTATCATCAGTAATTTTTTCATTAACATTATGATTATTCGATATGATTGTATCATTAGATTTTAATATGGAATCTAAAGCAGCCGATGATGATGATGATGATGATGATGACCACCTGTTGGACACATCGTACCATAATGATTGATTCGATTGATGAATATTGTTGACCATTATTATTATTTTCTGATTAATTTGGTGGGATCACTATAAAAGGATGAAAATCTTATTATTATCACTTTTGGTTTATGATCACAATTTCATTGATAGAGATTGAAAAAAAAATTCGAATATCGATTCTCTATGATACTTAAAACTCGACGATATCGAATGACGAATATAATTGGATATGTAGAAATCAATCAAATTATTATGATGATGATGAGTATTATTTTTATTTCAACTGGTGGTTGTGTATCAACAACAACCGTTTTTCATTTGTTCATTAATTTTTTTTTCGGGATGACCATTTGAATATATTTGAACACTATGCACAGCATCTATTATAATGTTATCAATCAAAGAGAAGAAAATAAAATAAAAAAAATGTCATACATTTTATCAATTCAAAAAAAAAATGCAGAAAAATGAAATTTACATTCGGATCATTAACTCATCATCAATCAATCAATCAATCAATGATTATTCGTGTATATTGTTGTTGATGAACAAGATTAAAGACGAAAAATATATAAAACAAAAAAAAGATAAAACCAAATGTATATTGATTATCGATTGGTTTTTGGCTATCGATTATTGGAAAAAAACTGCCAATACAGACACATACACACTTTTACATTTCTCTCTTTTTTTTCTTCTATCATATCGTATTATTTGTCCAACACTCAAACATATATATATTCAAGGAAAGATTGACAAGTTTCTTTTCAACATATGTTCATCATCATGTATGTGAACCTAAAAATAATCAATTTCATTGAATCGAGATTTCTGTTTTAATTAATCTTTTTTAAAAAAAAGAGAATAGAGACGAAAAGCAAAATTTCATTCATTCATTCATTCATCATAGATAAGAGAGATAAATATTAAAAGAGAGAGAGAGAATGAAAACAAATCCATGTTATACACAAAATCGAATGTGTATTATTTTATATCAATCAATGAACATGCATGCATCAAATATCAAATATGTAAAAAAGCTGACTATTTTGAAAATGTTGAACAATTCAACTTACCATCATCATTTATATATCAATTATGTAGCGTAAGTCATATTTTTTGGTTTTAGGATAAAGAAAAAAAAATTTATCACTATATTGTAATTTGTTCAAGAAACATCGATATATATATATATGGACCATCATCATCATCAATTGATTTATTATTCTCTTCCATTAATATTTGAACGATTATTATTATGACCTTAATGAATAAACATCAACAGCAGCAGCAGCAGCAGGAAATGTCAAATCAATATTGGCTTCGATAAATTATTGTTGATCATTTATTATTATTATTGAATATATAAAACGATCAGCATCAAATTGTTCACTATATATAGTGATCACCACTGTTGCTTTTCTGAGTTAGAAATAATAATAAGAAGAATTAAAACATAGTTTGATTTGATTTGATTTGATGTTTATCATCATCATTGTGTCAAAATTACGAACAACAACAACAACAACAAAAAAATAGCTTTTTTTTCTTTTTGTTCGAGCTTGTATACAGTGGAATAGTTGTACACACTATAACATAATATGGTTTTTCTTTGACGTTGTAATTTTTAAGATATGAAATTCAACAAACAAAAAAACCTAACCCTTCATGATGTTAGATTTTCTTATATTTTTATAAATGATGAATGAATGATGATTATGATGATAATTTACATGGATGGATTTATATATATTTTTTTTCCCCATAAACACATCACGTAACGTTCTATATGGATATGATGTTTCGAATTTGAGTTTGTTTGTTTGTTGATGCGGCCCAATTTTTTTTAAAATCCATGGATTTTTATCATGTGTGTGTGTGTTTTGTTCAATTATTAAATTAATAACACATGTCATCAAATCATTCATCAATTGGCCTGTCATTTATTGATTGATTTTTTTTAAACAAAAAACAACAACAACGAAAATCAATTTTAAATTGATCAACTTTGTGAATTAAAAAAAAAGAGGTAGAGATATATTGATGTTTGTATAAAAATCTAGGATGCTAGCAGTAGCAAAAGCTAAAAAAAAAATAGCTCACACACACACAAATATCCGTCGTCTAACCAGATATAGTAGTAGTAGTAGCATATATAGATGCAAATAACGGGATTGTCCGAAAAGAAACAAAAACAAACAAACAAACACAATACGCCCGTATACAAGTAAATGCTGCAGCATTTGTAAAAATTCTGGATGAAAAAAAAAATTATTATTCTACCATCGAAACGCATCTTTTTATCATCATCAACAACAACAACAATATCAATATATCAAAAATACACATACATGTAATGTAAGTTTTAATTCGGTCACCAGAATTCATTTTTTTTTCTGGTTTCAAGAGTCGGCGTATCATTCTCATTGCAGCTGAAAACAGCTTATTATATTTATCAAGATTTATCCAACATTCGTGTTATTTTTGTTGGTTTTTTTTTGAAAAATTTTTTTTTCGTTTTAGTTTCAATCATTAGTGTAGGAAAAAAAATCCTTCATCTCATCGTTTTCGTTTTTCAATTATCACGTATATGAACCAACAAATGGTAAGATATATATATTCCATTGGATTCTTAATGATTTTTTTTCTTCTCCTGAAGAATAGGTTACAATTAAATCATGATAAATATTGCCACAAGTTTTCAAGAATGAAAATGATATATATTAGATGTATAGAAATATCTAATCAGTTTACATTTTGTCTATCTATGTGTGTGTGTATGTGTATAACGAAGATGACGCCTTTGATTTTGATAGTCTGCTTTTGTTTGTTTGTTTGTTTTTTTTTTTTTTTGAACTGATACAATGATCTGATTTCTGATAATTTTTTCCCCCATTATATTAATATATTTGAATTTCTAACTTTAATTGTAAATCTTTTTTTCTCAGTGATTTAGAAAAGAAAATTCTGAAATGATCATCGGATTATTTTCACTATCGTCGTTATTATTATTAAAATCATCATGTCTTTGCCAACAAAAAAAATTTCTACTATCACCAATGATGATTTTCCTTTATCGCTATATAATATGGAATAGAAGTTTCTTTTATTAATAAAATTTCATTTCAATTGGAATTTTTAATACTTATCATTGATGAAAATCAACTTCAACGACTGTTTCACAGTTTATGGATTAAATCAAGCCAAATCTTATGCGATAAACAATTGTCAATCATTGCAATCGTGAGTATGTTGTCATCTATAAAAGTGAGTTTATCATTATAATTATTCTGTCAGCAGAAACATTCCAGTTCTTCTTCTCTTTTTAAAGGTACCAGCTATTTTTTTCAACAAACAATTTCATATCATGAATCTTTTAAAAATTTCCTCAATCAAGTCAATCCTGCTGAACTGCTGAATATCCATCACCATTGTGCATTTGTGGCCAAATCCAAACTTCAATTCATTTAATCGTCGATTTTCCGCTTCGCAAAAAATTTTTATTTTGACTTTTTTTCACAGAAAATAATATTGATTTTACATTTCAGAGATCATCATCAATGATCTGATTTCTGATAATTTTTTCCCCCATTATATTAATATATTTGAATTTCTAACTTTAATTGTAAATCTTTTTTTTTCTCAGTGATTTAGAAAAGAAAATTCTGAAATGATCATCGGATTATTTTCACTATCGTCGTTATTATTATTAAAATCATCATGTCTTTGCCAACAAAAAAAATTTCTACTATCACCAATGATGATGATCATAAGATCGATGATAATATTGATCAACAGCAACAATTAATAGAAATTGTAAACAAGAATGAAAACGAAAAGGAATCTGTGATAGAAACCGTAAACACTTCCATTGATAAAACTTTATTGCCGGATAATGATGAATCGTTGTGTACGGACACTGTGGCTTCCAACAATCCAACAACAGCATTTAATATAATTGATGATTTGGAAACTTCATTAGTCAACAATTTTACGGTGGCTAAAACGGCCTCAACTTCTGAAATTTCATCCACTAATAATAATAACAACAACAATAATAATAATCTTGTCGATTCCAATGATTCGAATTCTATTTCAACACAGGTAAAAATGAAAAAAAAATCAATGAATCATGATTCAAATTAATTAAATTTTCGTTTTGAAAAAAGGAATCGAATATTGAATCATCTGATCCTAATGAAGATCATTTAAAACCAGAATTGTCGACAAGTACCACTGGACTGGATCCTATTGCCACTGAGTCAACAATTTCAACAACACAAACTAATTCTGTCAGCAATCTAAGTTCACAAGAATATCATCTTAAATGGATTAAATGGAAAGTAGGAAACAGTGGTTCTAATGGAAGTAACAATAATAATAATAATAATAATGGAAATGGAAATGGAAATGGAAATAATAGTCAACCACAACAGCAACCCCAAAAAGTGCCAATTGTAACACAAAATTCCAATGGTTCATGTCCATTATTGGCCATAATCAATGTATTGTTATTGAGAAAAAATATAACATTTCCACCAATCATCGAAATTGTTACAGCATCGCAATTAATGGATTATCTTTGTGATTGTATACTAACCTATGTTCCTAAGGTATTTTTTTTTTTTATCATCCATGAATTTTCAATATTCAAATTTTTCTGTTTTCATCTATTTATTTTTGTTTTTTTTTCCAAAGAATCTACCTGAACAAGACAAATTAAATTATGAACAAAATCTTCAAGATGCAATGTCTATTATGCCAAGATTACAAACTGGTTTGGATGTAAACGTTAAATTTACCGGGTAATTTTTGAATCCATTTTTAATCCATTCCGTTGATAATGTGTGTGTGTGTATGTGTATTTTCTCGATGAATTTTAGGATAATGGATTTTGAATATACACCTGAATGTATAATATTTGATTTGTTACGCATTCCATTATATCATGGTTGGCTAGTCGATCCTCAACAGCGTGAAATAAGTCGTGTAATCAATAATCAATCCTATAATCAATTAGTTGATCGAATAATCGGTTCAAAAACAACCAATTCAAATGATAATGAAAGTGAGTAATGTATAAATAATTCATATGAATTTCTTATAAATTTTCAATTTTAAAATTAGTGTTTTTAGCCGAAGAATTTCTTAATCAAACAGCATCGCAATTGACCAATTATGGCCTTTCTCAGTTAATACGACACATAAAAGATGATGAAATATCAATTTTATTTCGCAATAATCATTTTATTACTATGTATAGACATAAGGTTTGAATTTTTTTTTGGCTTTCTATTGATAAATCTCATTTTAATAGCAATGTATATATTAGGGTAAACTTTATCAATTGGTAACCGATCAAGGATTTTTGACTGAACCAAATGTTGTTTGGGAATCATTGAATAATATTGAAGGTGATGATTATTTTGTTGATGCTGATTTTCAGTTAGTGCCACCTAAACCATTGACAATACCCATGCCTTTGTCATCTTCATCAACAATGACAACTCAGCTGCCAAATTTAAACATACAGCAACAGATTGATCAGGAGTAAGTTCAAAAAAAATTATCATTTCTCATAGATTTATATTCATTTGTCTAATCCATAGCTATCTGATTGCATTGAGCTTGGAACAAGAACAAAATTTCGAGGATCAACAACAACAACAACGAAACGTAAAATCACGAAATTTTGCAGACAATAATAATTTGAATAAAACACCAATTATTGACGATAATCAAAAAACATTGTTGAGCGATGAAGAATTGGCTAGGAAATTACAAGCAGAAGAAGACCAGTACTATGAACAACAACAATTACGTCAACAGCCCAAAAAATTGCCAACGACCCACGAAAACAAAACCTATGCATCTGTTGTTTCATCATCACAACAACAACAACAACAGCATACAATGAAGACTACGAAAGATTCGAAAAGTGGTAATTGTCTACCTAATCATTATCAAATTTCTAGCAGTAGCGACATAGCTACTTGTAATACGAATGCCATAACCACTTCATCATGCCATCATCCACAGTCATCAACAACAAAATCGTCATCTACAATACCATTATCCGGACATTATCAACAACAACATCCACGAACTTCAACATCATCTTCGTCAACTTCCAGTCATCATCACCAACATAAACAACAACAACAACAGCATACAAATCCATCACATCATCAACGTTCAACATCAACGGAGCAGAGTGCGTCCACACCGGTCACACCTACAACAACCACAAGTAGAACCATACCGGATGATCGTCATAGTGTATCATCAAGGCGTTCACAGAATAAAAATGTATGATTTTTAAATGAATTTAGTATAAAAATTATGAAAAATTTATTTATTTTATCTTTATTTTTTTTAGTGCACGATATCATAGTCACCAATCATCGTTTACATGAGCCATTATAAGTTTGTTTGTTCGCCCAATGAGTGCCTCCTGAGTCGTGGTTTTATTTATTTTTTTCTTGTTGCTCATGTTATCATCATCATGTTCCATGTATAGCTTCTTCTTCAATCTTTGATCATATTCTGTGAGATTCATTTTTATTATGCTGGAATTTTCATTGAAAACCATGGAACATTTTATAAAGCAGTCAAACGCGTGTGGAAATCAAAAGCGAAAATGTGATTTTTTTTTGTTTCTTCCTTCATTGTCTTCAACATTGATCCAATTTTCCTGGTAAACTTTCATCTATTCATACATTTTTTTTTTTGATTCTAAGATTTTTTTCTTTCTTCAGAATCTATGTTTTTTAATAATATACAAATGTCAAAATCTTATGTAGACACTTACACACATACACAAACACACACACACACACACAAAATTGTTACAACAAATCATGAGAATATTTTCAACGGACAGATGGAAAATGGTTGGCCATTAGATGGCCTGTTTTGGTTGGCATATTTCGTTACTTTAATAATTTTTTTTTCTTCATCTTCATCTTAATTCATTTTTTTCACATTTATAACGTGTATCTTTAAAAGATTGATTCGTTGAATTATTTTTTGTTTGTTTGTTTGTTTGCTTGTTTGTTTGTCATCAACAACTTTTTGTCGTATTGTTTTTTTTCACTTTATTTATCTTGTGAATTATAAAAATTAGATGTATGTTGGTGAATGATGAATTCCAATTATTATCATTATAAAATTGGAATTGTTATCTCTAAAACAAATGTCATCATTTTATTATGATTAAAAATATCGAATCAATTTGAAATTTTATTTTTTTTTCATTCGACCACTTTAAGTCATTATAGTTGTTTTGTTTGAGTGTAAATAGCTGATAGTCGATGAATGTATCAACAATTTTTATTATAATAATGGACTCTGAAAAGAAACTTGAAAAGGATGTGAATGAATACAATTTGGTGAAAAAAAAATGTCATAAATACATTTGAAAGTCATCGAAAATGGGATTTTTTCGCCAACTTGTATCATGATTACATGATGACCGAACCAAACGATCTTCATCGATTTCGGAGCCAATTTTTGATCTTAGACCACAATAACTATGAACAAAGATAATCTTGAATCGATAAAAGTCTTTGTTCCAAAAGTTAGCGCAAAAATCCACGATTAAAATAGAAAAAAATGAAAAAAATATCACGAAAAATAGCGAAAAGTTGAGTGAGGACAACCGTCTTCGACGACCGTTGAATTTTAATGTTCGATTTTCCAACGATCAAATTCAAATTTGTATGGGAATAGAAGGGGAAAAGAAGCGCGCAGCATTTGCATTGAAAATAAGTTAGCTACACTACCACTGCTTGACTATGCGCAGTTTCTCATTATTTGGACTTTAGAATTTTAGGCGGCAAAATGAATGCATTGTTTTGCCATAGATTTAGCATGAAAAATGAATAAAAATCAACTTATATGATAGATATTATCATATCAGCTACATAATTGGTGAAAAAATTATAATGTAATTTCAATGGAACGTAAAATTGACCTTTATCATGTTGATGATTAGTGATTTGAGCCAAAGAATTTTCACCACTGTTTGATAAATTGGTGTCAATTTGTCAGGATTGATTGATTGATGGACTGTTATTTCATTCAAAGTCGAGCTATTTATTTATTTATTCAATAAAACCCTATACCCTCAAAGATGGTGGAAGAAAATAAATTATAAATTTTAAAATCATATTTAAAGAATTATAGCCAAATACATAAATTCTCTTCATGTAGATTTACACCACATTGATTTTCAATTAAAGTTCGTTCAGCAACAAATAAACAAATCAAATGAATAGAACTTTGAACACAAATTACCACAAAAACAAGACGACTTATAACGATAGCCAATTTTATGCAGGTAAACATTGAATTTTCCATGTCCCGATAAAAACTGAGTGAACACAAAATGTAGATCAATAAGAATTATTTTACGATCATATACAGATGGAAGAATTTTTTTAGTAACTTTGCCATCTTCACTCATTATCCATCTTATTCTATATTTTTCAATAGATATTAAGCCAAAGAAATTGGACGAAGATTGTGAGAAATATAAGAAAAATCTTTTACATATTGGTCAGCCAATTCATTGCCAATAATACAAGAATGAAATGGCACCCAGTAAAAACAAATATATATCAAATACTTGATAATCTTGCTGGATTATTAAAATAGACGAGAATAACACATAATTTTCAAATATAAAAAATATCGTGCCTTATTATTATTTAAAATTCGCTTTTATAATAATTTTAGATTCATAATTTGTTTTGATTTAACACTGGATGTATAGAATTGTTGTTGTTGTTGTTGTTGTAAATGATTATAATTGATGCATCATTTTAGCTGTGATTTATTCGAATCATATTTTGTACATTGTTTTTTCAGGAAAATATTTATTTAAAATTGTGATAAATATATTTAATTTTCCAATTATTATATAGTGTGAAAAAATGAACGCATTAATCGTACCAGCAGCCATTAGTGGATTCTGGTTCATTATCGGTTTCATTGTACCGTTATTCATTCCACGTGGTCCAAACAAAGGGTATGACTATCGATAATCATTATCAATTATCATTGACTAATTTAATTTTTAAATAAATTAAAATTCATTCAATATGCTGATTTACATGATGAAAAACAAAAATGGGCGTTTTCACAATTTTTCATCGATTTTGGATGGCTATAAAAAAAATCTTATGTTTACCGTTTTCAGTATAACTATCACATGCTTGATGATAACTGCCGTCTGTTGCTGGGTTCTGTAAGTATCATTTTCGAACCAACCAAAAAAAAAAAAAAAAAAAAATTCACTTAAAAATTCTCTTCAAATTAAACATTCATTTGCTCGACACTAAAAATTCATTCCATTTTTCATTCATTCATGTCACGCATAAAATCTGATCATTTTATGTAGTCAAGTCAAGACAAAAAAAATCCGATGCTTATTTCAATGGCTGCCCATTTTTTTTTCTTCGGAATATAAATTATCAAGTCTTTGTGACGAAAATTGCCGAAAAAAAAACTTATTCATTCCAATTTTTCATTCAAAAAAAAAAAAAAAAAAAAAAATGGGTTCGACCATTTCATTTCATTTTGCATGAGCATAGTATTTGTCACACTCTATAAATCTCGGCTATAGCTATATATCGGATTTGTTTTTTTTATTATTTCATTTCATTTTAATTAAATTATTGAATCAGCAAAAGGGTTGGTAGGGAGAAAATGACCCAGTTTTCTTTTTATTTAAGTTGATATTATCCCAGGGATTTAAATCATCCAAGAATGAATTCATTCAGATTTATCCACTCAAATTCAATTTTCATTTTAAATTTCGATTTTTAGATTGATTCGTTTATAACGAAAAAAAATTTTTTCACCCGTTGAATGAAATTCATGGTGAAGTTTACAACAATTAGTATCGATTTTTTTTGCATATATTCCCACCAATGACTAGTTTGACATTTCCCCCTCCTCCCCCAAAAAAAAAAAATTTTTCATTTTCATTCGACTAAAACGAAAAAACAAAAATTCTTTTTTTTTTTTTTGCTTCTCTTTTTTATTCATTTGTTTTTTCCTTTTTACAGATGGATAACGACCTATATCGCTCAACTGAATCCATTATTTGGTCCACAGGTTAAAAGTACTACATTAACTTTGATGCGTGAATGGGGATTCTGATCATCATCATTATTATCATCAAAAATCAGTCATATATCATCAAATAGAAATATGAATATGTTGAAGAAGAAGAAAAGAAAATTTCATTATCATCACCCTCATTTCATTGTTACCGCTCAACCATTCATTTATTCTGTTTCCAATCATCATCATCACCACCACCATTTACTTTAATCTAATCAAGAGAATTTTCGTTTTCGTTTTTTTTTTACATTAGAATCGAATAAATTTTGATAAATTCATTCATTGTAATGATTTTTTTATTATTATTATTATTCCAGAAAATCTTTTTTTTTGTTTTTTTTTATTATTCACACGATATTCAGTCGAGAATAAAATTTATTCTGCTTTTAGTTTTTTTTAGCGACAAACAAATTGGTGATTCTGTTGAATTTTGCTTTCTTTTTCAATTCTGAATTTTCCATATTTTCCAAGTTTCGAAAAAAATTATAATTTATTCGGACACGGTCCAATAAGAATCGGTGTATTCCAACAGTTCTTGTGTTCCAAATTGACACTTTTTTTTGGTTTATCATTTCGTCATATTCCATCTATACAGAATTTTTTTTCCAAAAAAAAAAAATTAGAAAATTGTTGAAAAAACATGGTGTTTTTCTCCTCCCATTCACTGACTATTCTTCCCAGCAACACCCACACACACAAGAATATTTTAATATTCACCTGAATTCTTTAGATATCGGCCTAAAGGCTAGCTTTGTTTGCTTCCCGGTTAATTTATTTTCTCTTCTTTTTTCCATTTTGATTCCATTCTGGCCAGCTAAATTTCAAAGGCATATAATAATAGGTTCAACACATTTAAATATTATATATACCTCGATTCTAAATGATTCTGTAATTATCAAAAAAAGGTAATGATTACATTTCGATTGTCTATGATGATGATGACGATTTATTTTTTCTATTAAAATACAACAACAAAACATAGGTTCTCAATGTAATGAAAGTTCTTTTTCCACTTTTTTATAAAAAGAAGTCCTGTAATATTCCATGTCAACCCAGAATCAGAATATCTCCATGACATTCACACAAACATTTATAAACAAGAGAAAATTATTTAAATGAAAGAATTCATTAATTAAAAGTTTTTTTTCGGTTAATTAATAATATAAAACCAAATTCCTTTATAGAATAGAGAATATAGCCAGGTTAAGGTTAAAATTATGACTCTAATAGCCATAATTTTGTCGTTGTCGTTGTTGTTGATGATGATGATGATGATGACCACATTGTGGACATGTCAATTTAATAATAATTCCAACGTAGACACGTTTTTCTTCAAAATTAGAAATAGATCGATTCGATTAATTCCAGTATATACGTGAATGTGCATGATGACCACCACCACCACAATGATCAATCTCTATAAATTCATTGGGTATAATTGTATTCTGTGACCACTGTGTATATAATGTGTAGGTAATCATCTTTCTTCATTATTATATATACGATGAATCATCAAGTTTTTTTTCTCGTTTTGCTAATCAATTCTCAATTCAAATTAGAGAAAGATAGAAATTATCGAATGAAGAAAAAAAAAATCCAATTATATCCGGTCTTGTGATAAAATGGTTTCGTTGTTTTCTCTCTCTCTCTCTCTCTCTCTCTTTTTTAGACCTAGGAAAATCTAGTCCTGTTCCTGTAGTCTGCAGGTATTATATCGATATCCGATATGATAATGATAATAATGATGATGAGGATGAAGCAATCCAGAAACTCATCCGTAGCAGCACTTGAATTTTTGTTTGTCTGTTTGCATTAATATATTTGATTATATATGACCGCAAATATGAAAATTGAATATAAAAAAAACTCATTATTCAAAAAAAAAAAAAAAAAATAAAATAAAAAAAACCTCGCCATCGTTTCCACAGAATATGAAACTATTTCAGTTGTTGTTGTTGTTGTTGTTGAACAAAAGAAAAATCCAAATAAATAGTGATCAATAATAATTTCCAACGATCCATTTCGATGTGTGTGTGTCTGTGTGTAAAGGTTATGTGCAATATAGAATAAATAATAAAAGTGTTCCAATTGGAACAATCAGAACAAACACACATACACACACAATATGGAATTGTCAGTGATGATGATGATAATAGGTTTCGTTTTTGTTTTGTTTTGTTTTGTTTATATAAATCTCAATCTCAATTTCTATTTTATTTTTCTCCATTTGAATTTATATTTCAATTTAATTTCACCATTTCTTCATTGTACGTTGTGCTCGTTTATTTGAGGATTTAACATCCACATATAACCATTGGTTTCTCGTTTAAATAATTTTTCCTGGATGAGAATGAGAATAAATACGTCTTCATAATAAAAACGATGATGATTAGGAAAATGAGTTGGTGAACAAAAAAAAAAATTCATCATTTTCAATTTTCAAATCATACAACGTATATCATAATCATGATGGAGAAAAAATTTCATTTTTTTATTTTAAATATCATTTTCGGTCGTTCACATCCATGTCGATCCATCCATCATTGTTGTAGGTTAATTCGACCGAAAACAAACAAAAACAGTTACGGTCAAATCGTTTGCATATACACACACACACACATAAATTTCTGGTCATGTCATTCTGGAATTTATATTCGATCCATTGATACAAAACCGATTAAAAGACAACATGCAAAAATGTACAACGTCGGCAAATCATAAGAGCAAAAAAAAAAAAAAACACGAATCGAACCAAGGAACCAAAGTGATGAACTTACCAAAAAAAAAAAAAAAATAAAAACTAAAATTCGAATCAAAAATCGATAATATCGAACTATTTTTTTCCCGTCTTGTTTATATATTTGTTCGATTTTTCTTCTTTCCTTCCTGTGTGTTTAGTGTGAGTGGCATGTTTTATAAATGTGGCTCAATTGAAAAAGTTGATTTTTTTTTTTGAAAAAAAATTACTGTCCCCTTCATTTTTTCTTAGTGGGGAAACAATTGTTAAATAATGTTTACATTACATATGAATGAATGAATGAATACACGAATTTCTGCAATTGAAATTTGTTTTCTTACTAAATAATAATAATGATGATGATGATGATGATAATGTTGATGACTATGATGGCCTAATGATAAAAATTAAACAAAATATATATAATCGACCAATATATACAGCATGTAGTGCATAAAAAAAAAGTTTAATCGAATTTCATGTTCTTTCTCTTATCATCACCATCATCATCATCATCATCAACATGGCCAGGTTTTTATTATTGCTGTCCATTTTTATACAAATAAAAAAATTTTGAAAAATTGAAATTTACGATGATTACGATAACAACGACAACGACAACGAGAAAGAACCAGCAGCTTTTTTTTTCTCTCTCTTATTCAAACGGTGAACACAGAAAACACTCTTTTGTGGATATTTTAGATTTTTTTTTTTGAATTGAATTTAATATATTTAAGTTATCATCATATCATAACTGAAAGAATGGAGAAGAAGAAAAAATCGTGACTATAGTTGATGATGATAACAAGAAAACAAAAAAGATCTTAGTCAATTGACCAAAATGTGTTGGAACCGAACTGAATCATCGAATCTTTCATCCATAAACACAAGACAAGATTTGACCCCTTCGATTTAAAATATATTAGTACTGGCTTTAGTGTGTTAATAGTAGTGGCATAAAAAAAATGAAACCATAACTTTAATTTTTTACCTGTGAACTACTACCCCATGGAACCTGTTTTTTAACATTTTTTGATGCTACTACTACTCATATTCATTCATTACATACCACTATTGAATTCGATGGAAAAAAATGAATTCATTTCAATATAAAATTGTATTACCATGGGTTATCCATGAAAGTTGTGACGATGAATTAATTTTGGATGGCGGGTGTCAATTTGATAGTGTATGTTCTATAGAATGAAAATAGAGAGCAAAAGAGAGAAAAAGATTTGATCCATAGATTGTTGATGATGAGCGGACTGGCCAACTTTCGATGAAGACGACGACGACGACGACGAAAGCGTTTATGTTTTGACTCGACTCATTTATTATATGAAAAAAATTCAATGAAATCTTTGATATTTCGTGCACAAAACACACGACGCCCAGACTCTTGATTCTTTTAGTTCTTGGTTTGATAGATATCCATTCAAATCTATACTGGGTTCTTTGGCATCCAGATTAGTAAGAATAATAATATTTCATTCTGATCTTTGCATCTATGTGTTTGTGTGTATAAAAAAAAATTGTGTAACTTGATATACAGAAAGATTTTTTTTTTCTTTCACATCGTGGTCATTGCCCAAGGCTCAATCTTCATCCATTTTATTTTTTGGAAAATATTTGTCATCGGTGATTTATTCATTGCCAAATTCATGAAATTCAACAACATGAACAAAAAACGTCATTTTTTTCAAGATCTTTGATTTGATCTTCATCATCATCTATGTGTGTGTGTGTTCGAATGTTACAATTATTTGTCAAACATAATCTCATCCATGGTTTATTTACACACACACACACGATATTTAGATGATAAGAACGTTCATTGACATTTTTTTCATCATGATGATTGTGATTGATAATTTTGAACGTTGTAGCCGTTCTATTTTTTTTTGTTTGTTTGATTGACCAAAATTATTTGTTTACCTATGAAGATCGAGTGTGTATTTTTGTGTTTATGATGTGATAACATGACCATAGTAACCAATGAATGAATAAAAAAAATTGATGGCTGTATATGATCATCATCACCATTGCCATCGCCTTTTTTATCCACTCCAGAAATGGAATTGCAGCTTCCTATTATTGTTGCTTTTGTTAACGGAATTTGATTTGAAAAAAATTATAACAATGTGTGTGTGTCAGTGATATAAAATTTTTTTTTTTTTTTGTATCAACAGATCATCCTTTTCAAATCTCATTGCAATAAATGTGTCTGTATCATGAAATCATCCTTATCAATGAAAATAATGTCATTATATAAGGATAATGTTTATAATTATCATCGCGATGATGGCCATGATCATCGAATTATAATTCCATCATTATCATCATCATTAGATAATAATCATAAAAATTCATCAATAACCACAGACGAAATGAATTGCAGACATCAATCTACGATATGGTCTCAATATTTGACCTTATTAATCGATTCATTTATGAATCGACATCCACTATCATATAAACGGACTAAACATTGTCATCGATCAATGATAGTGGATAATTTTTGTAGACAATCATTACATTTATCCATAATTTTTGCTACGATAATCATTTGTTTGTTATCAACGTTTGTTCGAGTGTCGTACATTACCGATGCTGCAAGAACCAGTGAAGAATGTCGATTTCCTGAACATTGGTGGGGTAGTTGGTTCCAGAAAGGTGTCTCTGGAACGATAACAATAACAATGAATAACATTTCACATAAAGGTTTTTGTCGAAAAAATCATGGTGATAAATATATTATCGAAAATAAGTAAGTTGACAATTTTATTTTTCAATAGATAATATAATAGATATTTTCATTAATTAATTGAAATTTTTTTTTCATTCAAAAAATTTCTTAGAACTGATCGATGTGTTCGATGTTTGGTTATTAGCGAAAGACATGCCAATATTTTACAATATAAAGAAAGTATGTTAATAGAATAAAAATATTCGTTGATCGTTCAATTTTTTTTCCAAAATATTAATTCGACAATTTTCCCCATTATTATCATCTATTCTTCCTCATCTCTCTTTCTTTCTCTATTCAATAGCGAGTTATTGTTATCCATTATCGGAATATTCAAATGAAATTTGTTTCGAAATTAACGGTGATGCTCCATTGTATTCATTGTTCCGAGGTTTGTCATTGTATTATAATCAAATTTTATTGAATCAAATTGTATGTCAATGTAACGACAACAAATCCATTATCATTGCTGTTTTTTCGCCATCTTCATCAAAATCAATGACGATGCTGACAGCAACATGATGATGATTTGTTTCATTATCTACGCAAATACCACATTACTTATTGCTATTGTGTGTGTGTTTTGAATGATTGGCCTGTTTTTTAAAACTTCATTTAAAAAAAAAAATTTGTTCCGTTATAGTTGTCATTCGATTGTTCGATTAGTCTATCGTACAAACAGACCTAATCGACCGATCAATCAATCAATCAATCGATTCAATCAATTCGTTTGTTGTTAGACAATTATAATATCATTGCATCTAACTAAAACTTTGTCTAATTCGTTATCTATTTTGTTTTTTTTTTATTATTATCTACGGTTATTAACAGTAAATACATCTCCCATCAAGTGTCCTTTCAGTGGTCCATTCACGTTTTCCTATTCGAAAGGTATTATGAATGAATGTCGAGATCCACCATCAACAATTGATGAATGTACTGATGACCGACATTTGTTGTTCAAATTTCGAGCTTGTATCGACGTTAAAGGCTCTGAAAGTAAAGGTATGACATGATAAAATTTTAATCATTGTCATTGTATTCATCATCATCTTTGAATCGAATGTTTCAATCAACGAATAAATCTTTTTTTTTATCATATCAATAAATAGTGGAAGAACTTGAATGTTTGGCCGATTGGAAAGAAGGATCATATCGATATCTGGTAGGAAAACTATATCATCAACTTGCCACAACCGATGAAGATCGTTTTCGATGTTTCGTATTTGAACGTAACAATTCTGATTATGTTGAAAGCTACAATATTGGCCAATCTGGTGATGCTAGCTGTGAAGGCCTATTCTCACCACGTGATGGTTCCCGTACATTTAAATTGCGTAAATCTAATTCCATTCAATCTAGTTGTGAATTTCCTCCTTGGATTACTGAAGTGAAACTTTGGACTACTTTGGATAATCGTCATGTCCACGATTTTACTGCCTTAAATCAATTTACTGTCGTTGACATGAAACAAACGGTGTTTCAGCTAGCCAAATGCATTCGAGCTGATGATGTTTCATTTCAATATCGCTTTAATACTAGCCGATTTATCATACATACAACAGTGCAATGGTATGTAGATTTTTCTCTTTTTTTTCATGCTAGATATTCATCTAATTTGTTACTTTCCAACAGTTCAAGTGGTTATGCATGTATGAATGCCTATCAACGAGAAGATCGTATTACCGAATTACAAATTGGAAACATTGTTTCTGATATAAATGAAGCTTGTTCGCCAAATAATTTTAATCTTCGTCCAACGAATTTCATTACATTGACAAGTATGTTATCAAGACATTTTCTTGGCATAGCGAATAATGATTGTTTTATTTTTTTTCCATAATTCAGCCATGGATCAGGAAACTCGTCCTTGTGAACTAAGTGGAATCTTTTCAATTCGTACACGAATGCCATACAGTTATAATCAAAAAGTTATGGCCAATTATAGCCGACTAGTATCGTTACTAGATTCACGATTCATGTGCCAAGAAAAGGCTTTAAAATTACGTTCAAATTGTGAAGAACCGGAATTGTTTCAATTTATCTGTACTACAGATAATCGAGTTAAAAGTAAGCTAATCAATTGCTACTTTACAAATTTTATCTAACCATTTTCTAAAATCTTAGATTTTTATTGCCGCGGTGGTTGGAAAGAGAATAATACCCAATACTTTCTTGTATCATTGATTGATAAATTCAATTATGAATATTGTATATCTTACAATATCGATAATCAAGAAATTCGTTTAATTCGTAATAGTCATTTTTGCTATCGCAATGATCAAATCTTCCAAAACTATGACAATACACAAAATCCTTCAAGATCATTCCGTCCATCGGTGGTCATCGGTGATCAATATCCAACCAACAAATATGCCTCAACCAAATATGATGATAGCATTTCTTTCACTCTGATCAATGAAGGTTCCTGTCAGCGTTCGAGTTCGGTTTCAATCATCAAACATAGCTGTCAAAAACAATTTATTTTATCATGGTTATTCATTACCATTGTGGTCAGCTTTCGTTTAAAATTATGATAACGATGCTCAAACAATCAATCATTCAATCTGTCTTTGTCTTTCCAATTCAATTCAAATTTTTCATCGAATCATTGATTCAATGGAATGCTTGGCCAAATTCATGCTGGACCAAATAATTGTTTTTTTTTTATTTCATCGTATCAATTCCTGTGGTTGTGATATTTTACTAAGACAAATGTATTTGTATATCTGGTTGCTGCCTATTTTTTTTTGTCTATGGATATGCCATAAATTCATTCATAGCCGATATATATAAATATGAAATCTCATCAATTGTAGCGAGCAAAAAAAACAAAAATCAATATGAGATTTTTTTTACCTTTTTTTTCTATTAGAAACATTTTTGTAAATATTATTTTTGCAATTTTATCTTTTGTAGATAATCAGCCTAAATTTTTATAGAATTTATCTTTATCACACACATACACATATTTACGTAAATCGCCTCTGCCGGCAATTCACTAGTCCAATTTTTGTATTTTTTTATGTATCCATATAGTAAACATTGCGAATGTGTGTGTGTGTGTGTGTGTGTGTGATGGTATTTATATCAAGATCAAGATCAATCGATTTAAATAATGTGTGATTCGAATGCTTTTAAAAGTATTCTCTGTATATCATCATCAGATCATCATGTATGTTTTGTAAATTTTTTTCAATAACATCAGGCCATACATCAAACTACATAGGCCTTGTTTTTCATGATAAATAAACAAAAAAAAAAAATAAATAAATCATTTTTTAAAAGGATAAAGATCTTTATTGAAAAAGAATTTTTAAAATAGAATTATACAAAAGTGTCTTGTATGTCTTCTTCCTATGCCGAATGATGTATGGTTTCATATATTCAAATCATCACAACTACCAAAACAGAATTTTTCATCGGTTAACATTCGTTTTCTTATATGTAAACGTAACTCAAAATTATCTATGTGTACAAGTCTTCGTCAACGTTATCGGCTTCGTTGTTTGAAGATGGATTCTGGCTTCCTGGAAATCTGTTGCAATAAAAAAAATTTGTTAATAAGAGAATCGTAAAAAAGATGAATGGTTTTACCTGAAATTTGAACCAAAACCTCGACTTTGTTGCAATGTTTGTGAGAACATTTCGTATTTTCGGATATCTGCATCACTGACAGATCGTCGTGCCATTTTCATAGCATCTTCAAAATGATCTCGACGAATTTCGGGCACTGGATCTTGTTCTTCCACATCCTAAAAAGCGAATAAATCATGAGAATAATTATAATGACTAGTTATGAATGTACTCTTTTCATACCATTGCCGATGGTTCTTGATCTTTCTTTTCCTTGGCCCGTTTAATTTCTGCTTCGATTGCTTCACGAATAGCAAGTTTACAGGCACGTTGACATATTTCAGTAAGATCTGCACCACTGAATCCGTGTGTTATCTTAGCAATGTAACTTAAATCTACTTCTTTTGAAATGGGTGATTTTCGAAGATTTGCCTTTAAAATTGATTCTCGTGATTTTTCATCAGGTAATGGAATATAGATTAGCTGATCTAGACGACCAGGACGCAAAATGGCTGGATCAATAATATCAGGACGATTTGTTGCGCCAATGATGAACACATTCTTTTTGCTACCCATACCATCCATTTCGGTTAGAATTTGATTGATGACACGATCGGCAGCACCACCGGCATCGCCCACGCTACCACCACGAGCTTTGGCAATCGAATCAAGTTCATCAAAAAACAACACACAAGGCGCAGCAGCACGTGCCTAATAAAAAATATTGTAATGTTTGGATTTTTTTCTAATTTTCAAAAATACCTTGTCAAAGACATCCCGAACATTAGCTTCTGATTCACCAAACCACATGGTCAACAATTCAGGACCTTTAATCGATATGAAATTTGCTTGACATTCGTTGGCAATGGCTTTGGCCAACAATGTTTTACCACAACCAGGTGGACCATAGAAAAGAACACCTCGTGATGGTGTCATACCAAACTTGAGAAATTTATCTGGATGTTCCACCGGATATTGAATCATTTCTTGTAATTCTTTTTTGACATTCTGTAAGCCACCGATATCATCCCAGGTCACGGTAGGAACTTCAACAATCGTTTCTCTCAAAGCACTCGGACTGCTTTTACCCAATGCATAACGGAAATTGTCCATTGTCACAGCCAAAGAATTCAACACTTCAGCGTCTATTTGATCCTCTTCTAAATCAATCAGATCCATCTTTTCACGAATTTGTTGTAAAGCGGCTTCAGTACAAAGTTGAGCTAAATCAGCTCCAACAAATCCATGGGTTTCTTGAGCCATCTTTTCAAGATTAACATCTTCAGCAAGTTTCATATTTTTTGTGTGGATACGGAGAATCTCCATACGACCAGTTGTATCTGGAATACCAATATCGACTTCACGATCAAATCGACCGAAACGTCTGAGTGCTGGATCGATACTATTCGGTCGATTGGTGGCGGCCATCACAATGACATGAGCACGTTGTTTCAAACCATCCATTAATGTCAATAATTGTGATACAATACGTCGTTCAACTTCACCATGAGTTTTTTCACGTTTTGGGGCGATAGCATCCAATTCATCAATAAAGATGATGGCTGGTGCATTTTTTTCGGCTTCTTCAAATGCACGTCGTAAATTGCTTTCAGATTCACCAGCCAATTTGCTCATAATCTCCGGTCCATTTATTAGAAAGAAGAAAGCACCGGTTTCGTTTGCAACGGCACGAGCGATCAACGTTTTACCGGTACCGGGTGGTCCATAAAGAAGAATACCACGTGGAGGCTTGACACCGATAGCTTTAAACAATGTTGGATGACGCAAGGGCAATTCAACCATTTCTTTGATCAATGCCAATTGTTTGCGGCAACCACCGATATCATCATAACCAATCGAATTGAGACTTTCTTCCTCTTCTTCACGCTTGACCGGTTCTCCTTCGCAAAATATGACCGTATCAGGTGAAACAATACAATATGGAGATGGATCAGTTTCCAGAACTTTAAATTCAACAGCTTTCATTGCAGCACGAACAATAAACAGATCGCCTTTGTGAATTGGTCGATAGGCTTCGAGAAAGTATGGTTTCAAAAACACTTCGAATATACTGCCGGTAACACCTTCAACAGTATCATCGATGGGCAATATGTGGACACGTTTACCATATTTAACATCAGGACAATGTTGAATAGAAACCAAATCACCAAAACGTACACGAAGATTATTTCGGACACATCTATTCATTCGAATATGTTCATTTGGGCAGGTATCATCCGATAGAACAATGCAAACAGTGTTACGTCGTTTTTTACCCTTCAACAAGACTGTATCACCACGAAAAAGATTTAATTCTTCCATTTTAGCCTTAGATAAGAAAATTAAAATAGAATATATAGAATATATCAAACCAAGATTGGAAGGGGGAGGCAAACTTACCGGCGACAAAGCAATAACCGAATTGTCATCATTGGTAGCTTCTTCCACAAAAAGACGATTTGGTTTTTGTTTGCGTTTCAAAATGGCCGTAGCCAAATCATCTCTACCGAAGACAACAACAACAACAAAAAAGAAAAATGATGTAAGAATGATGAAAAACAAGAAAAAAAACAGACATACCCTTGTTTAGGTTCAGACATGTTTCAATATTTATATGTTTTTATTGAAATTCACAAACAATTTTATCAATAAATATCAATTTTAAAATTTCAAAAAATTCAAAGTTGATCGGATTTGAGATGTCCGTATATTTTTCAACAAAAAAAAAAAAAAAAAAAAGAAATATATTCAGAATATAACAAAACGCGCACGAATTTTATCGACTGACAGAACGAACAATGTGAAACAAAAAATACAGTAAAACACAAAAAGAAAGAAAGAGCAAGAGAGAGTTCGAATCGAAATTGTCGAGTCACTGTGTGTCTGCAGTTTATATTGAGTTTATATATGCTGACGTACGCGCTCATAAATGACGGCGCTGGTGTGTATTTAACACAAAATATAACATAACATGGAACATTAATAATTGAATGAATGATGAATCAGAAAGAATTTACAACAAAAATGAATGAACGCATGCGTTTAAACAAAAAAAATCATGGAATATTCTTGAATTTTTAAAATATTAAAAAAATTTAATTGAAAATTGTATTGTAAATTTTTTTTTTTTAAAAATTCATTTAATTTAATGATAATAAAATGCAATGAAAATTCGGTTTTTTTTCTCGCTCTCCCTGTACACATGGAACATAAATTTAATTTTTGTTTTGTTTTGTTTATAATGATTGGATACATGGAAATAAAAATGAAATGGTTTTTTGAGACCTTTTTCTTACTAAAAAAAAGAAAGAAAGGAATAATTAAAAATCAACTCAATCAATATTCTGCTATTGTGGTGTGGATGATCCGGAACAAACACACACACACACAAACAAATGTTACATGTTGGTATCAAGAATAAATCGTATTTGGAGAAAAAAAAATGATATTACAACAATCCACTTGATTCATCATGAGTGAATGAAAAGAAAAATCCAAGAATAGTTAGAAAGACGACAGTGTTGCCCAACAATACAAGAACACAAGCACCGGGTACTATCTATTGATGGAAATTTTTCATGAAAAAAAGGCAAAATTTTTTTTTTTAGAATAAAGATTTCAAACAAAACCATATTGACTAACCGTAGGATTTTCAGGAGGTGCTCGTGCCAATACAATTGGTAAACCATATGCTGAGATGACAATAATGGCCGTAAAAAATAGGGCCACATCTTTGGCAGCTGTAGAATAGGTGCTATTATTTTCCATATAACGATTCGCAACCAATACAGGTAATGGTGATAATATGTAGAATATAACGACAAAGAATGGCCACCAAACACTAAAAAAGAGAATCAGAATTAGATTATGGCAAAAGATGAAAATAAATAATCACTTACGCTCCAAATGTTGGTGATGCACAGCTAAGAATGACCAATGTCATTCCAACCGAACCAAGAAAAGCCAAAACGACAAGTCTATTTGCATGAAATGAAGAACATTGTTAATTGAAATAATCCTGAATTCTATACACAGAAAAAAAATTCTTACTCTAATCATTTAATGGGTGGACCATTGAATCGTCATATGGTGAGAGAAAAAAGGGAAAATTACAAGGGAAAATATTCAAACAAACAAAATCCAATGACAATACCTTTAAGTCCAGCCATATTGTATTTGAAATTAAATTAAAAATTTTATCCAATAAAAATGTAGAGCATTAACGAGAAAACGAAATTCAATTTTATTAAGCTTTTGGTTAATAAATATTCGGTCAAAACACAATAATTGAATACACACACACACAGCTGTTGATGACAGATATGTTTTGTGTATTTCCATAAAAGACGTTTCACTTATATAAATGACATGTGACTTTTGGATTTTAGCAAAAAAAAAAATTTTTACGAATAAATACATGGATCCATTGATTGTTATCGGTGGTGGTATTGCCGGTGTTACTTGTGCTAAAACATTTTCAATAGATCGACCAAATCATCGTGTAATTCTTGTTTCAGCATCGGCTGTAGTGAAAACGATTGCAAATCTTAAAACATTAGGACGATCCATCGATATGTTCGACGTAATTGAACAGAATGCTAATTCATTGAAATCATCCAATTTACAAGTGTTGATGAACAAAAAAGTCATTCGATTAGATTCCAATGGACATAGAATTCAATTGGATGATGGACAATGGTTGAAATATAGTAAACTATGTATCTGTACTGGAGCTAAACCTCGAACGATTAAAGTCGATGATCAAGATGCTCGACAATTCATCAGATATATCCGTGATACACAGACAGCAAAATATTTTACAAAACTTTTAGCTGGATCTCGTCGTATCATTGTAGCGGGTAATGGTGGTATTGCCACTGAAGTTGTCTATGCTGTTGAAAATGTTGAAATTATTTGGGCCATTCGTGAAACAACAATTGGTGCCGTATTTTTCGATGCAGGTGCTGCGAAATTTTTCACCGAATTTTTAAACGACCATGGAACCACCACCAAACAAGAAACAACCGGTAAACCAATAAAACGTGCCCGTTTTGGTCAAATTGATATCGACGACAATTTATTCAAAAATGAATTTGGTATTTCACTAGGACCGGATTGGTCACAAGGATTAAATTTAAAAGGACGTGAATCACGAAAAAAGGTGATGATTGAAACTAAAGTTGAAATAGTTAATGTTTATCGTACAATCGAATCGATACCAGATATTATTTCGAATAAAATGGATCTCGATAAAAATGGACCCTGGAATATTTATGTTGAACTTACGAATGGAAAAATATTTGGCTGTGATATGATAATCGTTGCAATCGGAGTCACGCCAAATAGTGATGTTTTTGTTGATGATAAAAATTATTTAAGTTTACAATTAGCCACCGATAAAGGCATTCTAATTGATCGAGAAATGCGTACAAATCTAAATGATATATATGCAGCCGGTGATGTTTGTACGGTAAATTGGCCACAATCATCTCATTGGTTTCAGATGCGTTTATGGACTCAAGCACGTCAAATGGGTTTCTATGCTGCCAAATGTATTCAATGGCATATGAATCTGATAAATAGTGATAATCCAAATCTTTACTTTAATTTCGATGTATTTGCACATGTGACACAATTTTTTGGATTCCGGACCATATTACTTGGACTGTATGATGGACAAAAAATGAATACCGATGATTATAAAATTTTATGTCGAGTAATACCACGAGAAGTATATATCAAAGTCATACTTAAAAATGGACAAATGAAAGGTGCCATTTTAATTGGTGATAATAATCTTGAAGAGACTTTTGAATTTTTAATCTATAATCAAATTGATTTAACACGTTTCGGTGATCACCTGCTTGATGATCATTTAGATGTTGAAGATTTTTTTGATTAAAATTATGATTTGAAAAAAAAAATTTTTTAATCCACAAATCTGACCTTTTTTCCAACTGTAGATGGCGTTGATTGTTTTGTGAAAACATATGAGATTTACAATTTCATGGAATCGATAATCAAATCAAAAAAAATATTACAACAATTCTTGATTCAATATTGAAAACAATCAAAACACATGTGACAATGATAATACCATGTCGTAAACATGTAAGCTATTTGCTTACTAGATTTATTGAAAATCATCATCATTCTTCATCAACAAAATTAATCAATGCGAATAACCGAATCATTTGGTATTCGATCTGTGATCATTTTTCATCATCATCATCATTCATCAACAAATGATTCAAAATCTCGTATTACAACAATCAATTCGAAACGACAAAATGAACTATCCAAGGAAGTTAAAATGACGGAAAAAATAAAACAGACCACTAAAGATGGTATGAACATTACGGTCGTTGTATTGGGTGTCGGTATATTTGGTTTTGTCATCTATTCAATATTCAAGGAATTTTTCTCATCCAAATCACCAACATCAATATTTGCTTGTGCATTGAAAAAATGTAAAAATGATCCAAGAATAACGGAATTGCTTGGCGAACCAATCAAAGGTCATGGAGAGATGACAGTTCGTCGCCGTGCTCGTCATGTTACATCAGTAGAATATGAAAAAAATGGTCGAACATTTATACGTGTAAGATTTTATCTAAAAGGTAGCCGAAATACTGCAACTGTTGAATGTGAAACGTTAAAAGATTCGCCACGATCACATTTTCGTTATTTATTTGTACAAACAGATTCATATCCACCCGAAATGATAGTCATTGAAGATAATCGATTGTTGGATGATCATCAATTATAATTGATTTTTTTAATTTTGCATGAATCAAATAAAAAAATATAATAAATTAGTTTATGATTTATGAATTATTATCAAATGAGCTATAACAAATTTAACGAATACAAATCATTTTATACATGAATAAAATGTTCAATTACATTTTATCAATAAAGTAATCATATTAGATCAAAATTAAAGGGCCCATGTCCATTAGAATTTGATTTTCTAATTGGTTTTTCGGGTAGATCCTCAAAATGTGTATGATGACGATGATGATGATGATGATGATTTTGATGTTGTTTTTTATCATCCATTAATTCCTGGATAATTTTGGCAAATTTATTTTTTAGTAAATTTAAATCTTGATCATGACGATCTTTCAATGAATGAATATGTTGTCGATATTTGTTTGTTTTCACCCTATACTGAACCGTTTCCTCTTCTTTATTAAGTAATTGAATTCGAAGTAAATCAAGTTCGGATTCAAATTGATCACGAATATCTTTCATTTCTTTTTCATATTTTAATCGTAAATTGGTCATTATTTTGGCTTTTTCTTCGGGCAGCATTACGTTGTTTTCATTGAATTCTTTCAGATCTAGTAACGCCGGTAATGGTTTCTTTTTGTTATTTGTAACCAAAGACGGGGATGATTTTGAATGTACCGGGATGTCCATCATATGTCCATTGTTGTTGTCCATTTCGATTAGATCACTTCGGCTTGATGTACTTGAAATACTTGAATTACGCATTCGAGATTCAATGATGGCCTTCTCCAATTGTCGTTTAGCATCATCCATACGATCAATCTGTGTTTGTATATGTTGTTCACGATTAATTGAGAACGATTTCAGTGAACGATATAAATCAATCAATTTCTCAAATCGAACATCAAATTTCGGTGATGAAGATTCGATCAGATTATTTTCTTCGTCGTCATTGTTTTCAAAAAAATTGACAATTTTATCAATATCTTCTTGTAGTTTATGTTCCCATTCACTTTTTAGTTTTCGCATAGAATCATCGAATTCTTTCAACATATTCGATTCGGTACGTTCTTTGGCACTTTGAATTTCTTGTTGTAACTTTGATTTGAAATCGGTTTCTAATTTTTTTAGTTTTTCCTGAAAATAATTAGCTTCTTGTTTATATTTAAGTAGAATATTACAATTTTCAATCAGTTCATCATCTTTTGCTTGTATTGTTTTGGTTAATTTTTCAATTCTAGTTTCATAATCAGTACGAATATTATTCATTTCTTTATGATGTCTGATTTTAAGCGTCTCAAACCATTTCATCTGTTCATCACTATTAAGATTTCGATTGTCGCCTTTTTGTAATTCATTCAGTTGATATTCAAGTGAACTAACTTTTGATTCAAACATTGACGCTAGCCGTCGTTCACTTTCACGTCCATCACGTTCTTCTTTTAATTGTTTTTCAAGTTTTTGAATTTTTACACATTGTGAATTGATTAAGCCAGCATTTTCTTCATTTAGTTGATAAAGTTTATGATATTTAGCCTGTAATAATCGATAATTTGTATTTATCTGTGCAAATTCTTGTTTTAACATGCAAAGATCTTTAATATGTACATCATTTAGTGAAAGATCCTGATTATTGTGAAGTAAAAATTTGGGTGATTGTTGTAAAATATTTTCTTCATCATCATCATGATTATTGTTGAAATTATGATCAGTCGAAAGGGATAAATTATCACTGTGGCTACCGCCATCATCGTTATCAAGACTTTCAACATCTTGAATTGTACATTCTTCTTCTTCGACAATATCTTTGAAATTATTTCTATAATTGTATCTATTTAATAGACCATTAACCATTGTTTGTTGATTTCGGTTAATCAGTGGTGTCGATGTATTTACATGAACATTCGATTCATTATTGAGTATTGATGATGATGGTTTTTTATCAAAACTATTTTGTTTGTAATTTAGTTTACTAATGAAAAATGTATTATTATCATCATAATCGCTCGTTTGTCGTATATCGGTTATATCATCGAAAGCAGTGGATAATATACCTTCAATCTGTAAACGGTTAGAAGGCATTTAAATTAATTATTATATTCAATTACAATTATCATTTAGACATGCCTCTTTTTGTTGGTTGAAAAATTCATCCGGATCCAAATGGTCAACATTATCATTTTTTGTCACAAGATTATCAAGGATGGCATCGATATTAAATGATGATGATGATGATGGTAGTCTTTCATGAAGATATTGGTCCATAATGTTGAAAATTTTGATTTTGACATTTGTTATTTTGTTATTTATTATGAATTACATTACATTGAAAAAAAAAATGAGAACCACACACTGCCGCTACAATTTTTTAATGGTGGCCATGGTGAAAAACAATAAACAGTGACAATGAAATAGCACAAGGTTCGTTTTTTTTTACGCGCTCATTTATAAATGAACCCACACAGACACACACACACACATATTGCAATAACAACAAGTGATTGAGAATGCTCGCTGTATTCAATTCTATTGTAACTTTCAATGGTCCACACCAACAACACTTTCAATGTTTGCTACTACTTCATTGTATCGATTGAAATGGTTTCACAAATAAGAGGGATGGTGGGGGTATTATTTTACCCATTAATGATCTTGGCCTATAATTTTAAACATTTAAAAAAAAAATCTGGTCATCATATGTTATCCAGATGTTAAAACAAACATATAGAGATTATATTACATTTTATTGGTTTGGATGAAATCGAATTCTCTGGTTTTATTCATTTTTTAAAAATGGATATATTATTTTGATTTAATGCTGAAAGCATATTCTATTCTGTGTGATTTACCCATGATCTTTTTCTCAACATCTTTTTCTCTTATTCGCATCATTCATGTATATCACTGCGCTCATGGTAAACACAGTTTTGCCCTCTATCGTCTGTTATTAGCAAAATTATCATGTTCGGTTATAATACGGGTACATCATCATCATCATATTGAAGATTTGTTTTTGTGTACTTTCGATTCAAACAATTTTTAAATTTTTTCCTGTTCACATCGAAAATCTTTTCAAAAAATAAAATAAATCATCATGTCATCACTTGTTCGAGGTAAAATCATCATCATTTATTTAAATCTATTAGAATTATCTCACCTGTGTTTATTTTTTTTTTATAAAGGTGTTTTCATTGTTGGAGCCAAGCGGACACCTTTCGGTACATTTGGTGGTAAAATCAAAGATGTTGGCTCAGTTGATTTAGCAAAAATCTCAGCACAAGCAGCCATTGCACAATCGAAAATCGATCCGAAATCAATTGAATCCGTTAATGTTGGTAATATTATTCAAGGATCACAAACAAATGGTCCATACATTTCTCGACATGTTGCTCTGGGTGTTGGTTGCGGTATCGAAGTTCCTTGTTTGACCGTCAATCGTCTTTGTGGTTCTGGATTTCAGGCCGTAGTTAACTGTGCACAAGATATCGTGATGAGAGATGCCGAAATTTCATTGGCAGTCGGCACAGAAAGTATGAGCCAGGCTCCATTTGTCGTAAGTTGAAAAAAACAAATGTGACATTGGATCACTTGTTGACTTTACCACGTTATTAGTTACGAGAATCTAGATTCGGCGTCAAATTCAGTCAAGCTCCAGTAATTGAATGTGCTCTGTGGTCATCATTGACTGATTCATATGTTAAAATGCCTATGGCTATCACAGCAGAAAATCTTGCCGCTAAATATAATATTACCCGTGAAGATTGTGATAAATTTTCATTGACCACACAACAACGTTGGGCTGAAGCTTATAAAGCCGGTAAATTCAATGATGAAATTGTTGGTGTCCCCATCAAAGTAAAAGGCAAAGATGCATTGTTCGATATGGATGAACATCCACGACCTGATGCCACCATGGAACAATTAGCTAAATTGAAACCTGTATTTAAAAAAGATGGTGTGGTCACTGCAGGCAATGCTTCTGGTGTTAATGATGGTGCCGGTGCATTGGTTTTAGCCAGTGAAGATGCCGTCAAAAAACATTCATTAGCACCAATGGCTCGTGTTGTCGGTTATGCAAGTGTTGGTGTTGATCCAACAATCATGGGAATAGGTCCAGCACCGTCCATCCGAAAAGTGTTACAAAACAATAATCTAACATTGGAACAGATTGATGTCATCGAAGTGAATGAAGCTTTTGCTGCACAATTTTTGGCCGTAGCTAAAGATTTGGGATTGGATCTGAACAAAACAAATGTTAATGGTGGTGCCGTTGCTATTGGTCATCGTAAGTTTTTTTTTTTTTTGATTCATAATTTCGTTTGTGCGTTTAAAAAAAATATTCCCACACATTTTATAGCATTGGCTGCATCTGGTGCCCGTATTTTGGCCAATCTTATTTACGAATTAAAACGACGTAATGGTAAATATGCTATCGGATCGGCTTGTATTGGTGGTGGTCAAGGTATTGCCGTTCTCATCGAAAACATTAATTGAACATTTTATCAATGGAAAAAATGAATAAATATAAGATGCTTTTTTGTGTTTTATCATTATTTTTCTGTTTTTTAAAATTCATAAATAATATATAATAATCGTGTTGAAACAATTAAAATTGGCACAAAACTTTCCAAACAAAAATCAATCAATTTCAATCAATCATTCACTCAATAATATAATAATAATAATAATAAAATTTACAATAATCAATCAATAATGTGAATTCATTTTTTTTGTTGTTGCATTTTTTTTTTTTTTGGTCATGTTTTGTGTGCGAGTTTTGTTTTTTTTTTTTTTCATTGGTACCATGGTTGTTTTCGTACCCATACCATTCGAACACCACTATCGGTACGAATTTTAATCGATGCTGCTTCACAGGCACGAACCGTTTCTTTTACTGATTGCATTAGATTCTGTGCATTTCCAACCAACATTTCTGTTGCTTCTTGATCTTCTTGTGATCCTAGTGTGAAAATACAGATTTATTTTATTTTCATTTAGATTTATCATTTAATAAGAATAGTAACGGTAAAAAGAGAAGAGAAAACCAACCTTGAGCTCCGAGCAATGTAGCTTTTACTGTTGACAATATTCTTAATTGTGTACCTATGGTAGGTATTCTTTCACAAACTTGAAGAATATTCTATTCGAAATAAAAAATAAAATCATATTCATATCTTACAAGGGAAACAATTCTCATAATATAAATTACCGTTCTCATTCGTTTATCAGTACAAAGCTTAGCCTGATCTTTGGCTAATCGTGTAACTTCTTCGGACATTTCGGCAATTTGTTTGGCACAAGCAATCAAATCTTTTTTAGTACCCTGTCCACCACACAATGTACTCAATCGAGCCATATGGATGGCCATCTTTTTAGCTGCTGCAATAATCTCATTTTCTTTGCTTGACCATTGTCGTACCTCCTGATGAAGATCATGTGCAGCCATCTGAAAAGAACCGTTTTGTTTTAGTTTGAATAAGTATTGAAATACAATGATTTACCATAATCGGCTGATTAGGTTGTAAAGTAGGGAACCTATCATCATATTCATCATCCGTTTCGATAACTGGAGGCGGTCGAGGTGGTGCAATATTGTTCACCTGTGGTGGTGGTGGTCTTGGTGGAGCATGTGGATCTGGTTGAAATAAAAAAAATAGATTAGATCATACGAATCGAAAAGATTTTAAAAAGAATGATGATTAGCAAGAGGAAACAGAAATTTGAAATAATAAAATAAATAAGTATCATTGTGTCATAATCTTGAAGCAGATGCATAGATTTGGTAACAATCTACCTGAACGAGAACCAGGAACATAATTTGTATAATGATGATGCTGATGATGATCAATTATCTGTGGTGATGGTTGATGAACTGGTGTTGGATGTATTTGAGGCGGTGGTGCCGTTTGTACCGGAACCATTCGAGGTACTACAGGCTGCCTCGTTTCATCCGGTATAAAACCATCCAATGAAGAGAAAATATCTTTAAATTCATCATCGGAAATTGGTTTTGTCGATTTTATTGTATCGTCAAATTTGTTAAATTGTTCATCTATTTGCCATTATGTGAGTGTGTGGGTGTGTGTGTGTAGGTGTGTGAATGTTAGCAATCGACAAACAGACAGACAGAAAAAGAAACATGGAAAGAATGAAAAAAATACAGAATGAAAAGAAAAAAGAATTTAAATATAGAAAAAGTTAGCAAAAAAGATTAGAGAAAGTATTTTTAAAAAAAAACATAGAAATCTTCTATCGTTGGAATACGTAAAAAACGAAACGAATACATTACCATCAATTGATAATTGACTCATCTGATCCGAAGTCATGTCTGGTGTTAATGAATGTTTCACATCGGATACACAGTTGATCAACTAATAGGGGAGAAAAAATTTGAACCAGAGGAATAAATTTTGAATAAAAGTCATCTTACATGTTTGTTGGATTCTCTCCATCTACTGGCAGTAGGTGTATCATGAATATTCAAGGCAACATTTTTGGCATCCTGTACCATAGTGGTAATGGCTAGAAAATGATTTTTGGATTTCATATAAATAAATGGATATTTGAAAAATTATTAAATGACTACTTACATCGTTGTAAATTATCAGCCGAACGATTTACATTCGATATAAAGTTTGGATCTTCTGAATTATCGGCTTCTTGTTTAGCGACGCCAAGAACACGATTGGCCAAACGTGCAATGTTCGATGTATTTTCTACCATACCTTGTGGCTGTCGATTAGCGATTGAATTTTCACATAATGTTATATATTTTAATATTGCATCCTCTAAATCAGATGAAATAGACAAAAAAAAAAAAAAATGATGATTCCAAAATGAATGGCAAACATATTAACGTACCTGAGGCATTGACAAAACTAACACTGTCAACCGCTTCATCCACCATATTTCTAAGTCGTTCTAAATTTTCCTGATATTGTGATTTAAGATTTTCAAAATGTTCATCCGCTGATTTATTATCCGGATGTGTGAAACGAATTCGACCAGCACTGATCAATTGTGGTGTAAGACTTTCAATTTGATTCGAATAATTCATCAGACCTTCAGCTAGTCGTTTATTTTTGGCCAAACCAGCACCAACATTTCGTGCAGTGTTTGCAACTCGTTGCGAAAATTGACTTAGATTATTAGCCTTTTCCTGGAAATTATTTTCTCGATTCGGTGTTCCTTCAGCCATATGAACAGCATCAGTGAATTGTTTCAATGGTGTTACAATATCGATAAAATCATCAACCACACGTGTAATCAATGCTTGTTCAATCATTTTGTTCAATTCACGAAGTTTTAGCTTAAGTTTGCGTGCTAATTCTTGAGCTTGTGGTGTATGGCCAAGTCCACGTCGACAAAGATCTTCCAATTGTTTTTGAAGCATTTCTACCTGATTACAAAGATTATAAAGATCTTCACGTTGAGCCGGATTACAACTTTGACCAATTTTGCGACCATCTTGCACTAAAGCTTTGATTGCCTGTGATCCGATGCCTTTATCATCGAAACTCAAATTGGAAAGCCATTTAGAGGCCTGATCAACGCGACCAGATACCGTGTGTGCTGGACCTTGAATTCCGCTTCGTTCTAAATTTTGTATGGCTCTATTGACAAGATTGCTTAGATTTTTCAACTGATTATTAATACTATGGCCAAGTGATTGCGCTTGAGGAGTGGCAATTTTACCCTCATCTCTAAGTTCACATAACGCATTAGTCATTGATTCAATATCGTTGGCAGATTTTCGAATTGGATCCTTATCCTCCGGCAATACCAGATCGGAAATTCGTCGTGCATTCTCTATAATTGATCGTACAGATTTCTCACCCACACCACCAGTCATCGCGGTCGGATCTTCTAGCCAATCATGTGCGGGAGCTAATTTGCTCAAAATAGCATTGTAAGCTTTCTTCAAACGAGTAAGATCATCAGCCTCCCACTCATCTTCATCATAAGTGGTAAGCTGTAAAACTCGTATAATTTCATTGATTTCATCTGTCATTCGATGTACGAGATAATTACGATTTTCTGCCGCTTCATGTTCGGTTTTTCCTTGCGCAACTAATTGCACATAAATTTTCATTGCACAAATCAATACCGGCGCCAACGTTTTGATTGATTCTAATGAACGGCTAAGCATTTCACGATGTACTTGATGTGTTAATTCTTTTTCACGATAATCAACATCACGTGATACTTTAGTTAAACATGGACTTAGATCTTTAACAAATTGTACAAGATCTTCCATCGAATCAATTACTTCGGCAACGGCTAAATAATCAAGAACTTTTTTACATTCTCGAATAATTTTACGAACTTCGGATTCATCGAAACATGTCAGAAGCAATGAAGTTCCCTGTAGAATACCTCTTGAACCTTCGATCAATTTTTTTCTAGCTGGTTGTGAATATGGATCAATTTTTAACATTGCAGATGCTTCTTCCAATAAATGTGATGCACGTTCAACACGTTGTAATGATGCAGGCATATCTTGTCGTAGTATCTGATCATTGCTTGAATTGATTGTATCTCGTCCTACCTAAATCGATTAATACAAACAGACAAGCCAACGCATGTTTTATATGAATAATAAAATGAATGATTATGTAAATTAATTGAATCTATACCTTAACCAGATTTGCCACTGCTTTGCTAACACCTTGAACTGGTCGTTCCAGATCTGGCATTGCATTTCCATCTTCAGCTTCTTCATGTAGTATGACTAAACGTGAAACCTTTGAAAAAAAAATATAGAAAATATATAAATTCAGTGTTAAATTAGCCGTGATCAGATTCTTTTTTTTCAACAACAATAACAAACATTTTCAGTTTGTTTTGTTTGAACAAAATTTATGAATTTTTTTTTTTTTTTAAAAAATTCATTCATGTCATTTTAAACAAAATTTATTCTGATTTGAATGTTTTTTAGGTGAATTTTTAGGTTTATGGCTGCCAAAATTCTAAAACATCATCCATCTTTTTTTTACTATGAAAGAATGACTTTCTTTTTGTGTATATGAGTGAATTCTTGTGTTGTGTGTGTGAGAGAGAGAGAGAATAAAAATAGAATCATGCTTGTGGTGTGGAATTTTTTTTCGTGTCAAACACAAACAAAATTGTGCATATCAAAAGATTTGAATTAAATAGAAAAAAAAATAATGTTCACACACATACTACAATAATATAAATAGGAAGATTTGTGTAAAATTTTTTTTTATTTTTCAAAAAAAAACGAAGCTCCTCATGAATACATACCTGTTGTGCTACTGGTTCCAAAATACCAGCAATTGTTTTGGTATGAAATGTTGGCATTGTTGATTGGATGTAGGAATTTTTGAAACAAAAAAAAAAAACAAAATTAATGATGACAATTGTTGATGCCGAACTTTGTTGTTGTTGTTGTTGTTGATTAGTGATGAATTTATTTCAAAAAAAAAAAAAATTCACACATTAAACATCATCATCATTGATCGTTGAAGTTATCGGATTCAAATTCAAATTTGAAATTTTTTTTCTGGATGATGGAAAAATTAAAAGTATTATTATTGATGAATGAATAGCAGACACATGTAAAACATTCGAATCTATTTTGTTGATCACTGCTCAATGTCTTGATTGCTACTCAAACACACATTATGATGAGGATTATTCATCACTAATAATAATAATAATAAATACCCAAAACAAACACACAAACTAAACTAAACCAAAAAAAAAAAAACTTTATTCCTTCAACCCAAGAGAGACACCACGATGATGATCATTCGGTGTTTTTTGGAGAAATGAACAATTCACACATAAACACACACAGGCACACATATACACATTAACTTACTAACTTCTGACTGACTTGACTGATACTTTCACTCTCTCTTTCTCTCCGTGCTAGCTATTTTTTTTTTTTTTTTTGCCCAATTCTTTTGATGCAATACACATTCACACTAGTTGGATTGTGTGGTCGCTATATGAGTCGTCGTTGTTGCTCATCATCATCATCATCATCAAATGGTGATGATAAACTGGTGAATGCAATTTTTCAAACATCTTTGAATAATAATAAATGGATTATATTCTATAGTTAGTATAGTAATATACGTCGTCTATGCCATCGATGTCGCCGGCCCGTATGTCGTTGCCGTTGCCGTTGTCGTTGTCAATGGCGTCATCAAGCGTAAATATATAAAGTGGATATATAGAAATTATCGAATCTTTGAATATCACATACATCTGTCGTCTGTAAAAACTTTGTCGAACAGACACGCCTGTGATCATCATCATCATCATCATCATTTTTTTTTGTAAATTGGCAATATTTATTTTTTTGTTTCATTACAATTTAAATCAATCTATTTTAGTCAATTTAATAAGCAATTCATCAATTGTTCATTGTTAAAGGTCAATGTTGTCATTGTCATATATAAAAATAATTGTATTTCCGTTTCCGGTTGGTTTTGGTGAAAAAACCAACAACAACAACAACAAATTAATTCGGATTATTACAAAATTCAATGTGGAAATGTTTACAAACATCAGAACATTGAAAACATTAGAGAATCAAATACCGAATGTGCGTGTGTGTGTGTGTGTGTGTGTGTTTTCGGGCTATTTAATTCACGTCTATGTTAGTCAACATATCTTCTGGCAACAGGCCATCGGTATGAAAAAAAAAAAAAAATAAATTTCCATCAATCTCTCTCTCTCTCTCTCTAGTTTTTTTTATTCTCATCATCAAGATCATCTTTTACCCAAAAATAAGCTAAATGGAAAAACATACACTTATGGTAGTGAACAAAATTTTCCCAACTTGGAAATTATTGTACAACACACAGTAGTAATACCAGAATTTGGTTCGAAAAACAACAACAACAACAACAACGATGATGATGATGAAAAACAAAAACATTGCAGCTTTAATGGTAGTTATTAAAAATAGTGATATGAACAGCATTCACATTCGAATTTCAAAACATTTTAGTGTTATTTGATTCTGTCTATGCGTGTGTGTGTGTATTCTTTTTTTTCTGTTGACTAAAAATATCTTTACACATATATATATTCACCATATGCAAAGTTACCTCGAATCAACCATTTTGGATGATCATCACGATTTCTCCATACAAGCTTGTGTCTGTGTGTGTGTGTGTGTTTTCTGGTTAAACGTAGGCGTCATACAAACACATCAACAAATGAATCAAATTGAATGAATGAATGAATGAAAATTGTCATTATCTTTTGGTTCCGGTGCCAAAAAAAAAGACACTATAGTCAAGTGAAAAAAAAAAATAATCCAATGTCCTTGTTGTTTTCTATGTTTTATTAATATGAAAAAAATTTTCAAAAAAAAAAAAAAAAATAAAGATTGGGTGATAAAAAAAAATCATGAAAATGATAAAACGAACGTCTGTTCAACGAAGATATCGAAAAATTGATCTGAGGTAAAAATACAATTAATCATAAGTAATGGAAAAAAGTTTTTGTGTGTGTGTGTGTGTAATTAGAAAAGACAATTCACAGTAAAAAAAACAATTGCAGAAGGTAAAAAAAAAGATAAACATTCATTATGATAATATATATGTTAATCATAATTAACAGCAATGGTTGTCTTATTAATCTGATCTTTGTTAACCATTAAACTTTGTAAACTTCGTGATCGTTCTATATTTGATATATGACCATTACAAGTGGTGTTTAGATTGTTATAGATTTGATCATCATTTATATATGAAACCGATGGTGATGATAATGGAGTGGATGTTTGATAAGTTCGTTGCAATTGATGATGGCCATATAGACCATTTAATAATGAAGGTTTCATCGGTGGTGATGTAATAGAAAATGGCCTACAATGATGATGTCGCTTTCTAAATAATGATGACATTCGTTGCCATCCATTAGACATCCATCCAGTAACGCCATCATTTTCCACAATGATTCGTTTATTATTCTAAACATTAAAGGAAAAAAAAAGACAACAATATTATTTTTAGGATTATAGTGGGTTTATTATTGCTTGCCTTTTCATTTTCATCTTCATATTTAAATTTCATCCATTTGGCCAACATACAATATGGTAGTATGATTATGAATAGAATGAAAAACATTACTGTGAATATAAACAGGATATAGTAGGCAGTTTTATCGATGCACATTTTATCAATAGCAATGGCAGTGGATGAGATTGTTGACTGTTCCGTTAATGATGGTCGTCGTAACATTTCAGGTTCTGGTACATCTTCCGGTGATAGATACACACGTAATAGCTCATGAACTTCTTCCTCATCTTGATTCGTTTGTTGTTGTTGTTGTAATTCTTGTTTGAAGATTTTTTGTTTCAAACGTTTGTTTGGTTGTTCAACAGTCACATTTGAAATCGATCTTCGTTTACGTCCCCATGATGGAAAATCCATATAAGAATTTGAAACTGCACCACCTTTAACTGAACTAGATCCTCCTCCTCCACCACCTCGATTTCTTTCCTTACAAATGACCGGTTCACATGGTCCTTTACATGTACGAACAGTGGCCTGGAATACAAGGAAATTCGAATCCGGTATTTTAAAGGCATAAAATTCCGCTTCTAAAGCTCCATCCGGTGTTTTATGTAATTCTGGAAATACGTACAGATCAACTGGACAACTATCGAAAACAATCAAAATCAAAATTAGTTTTTAGAGAATAAAAAAAACACATACCCTCTTGAATCAATAAGTAAAACTTGTCGCCCGGTATATGGATCTTTGGCAATGACATTAGTAGCAAAAATATCATTATAATAACCATTGAAACGATCTATAAATAGGAATTGTTAATTGATCAATTAATATTAAAATATTGAAAACTAGACTCACATTGATTACGAGCTTCCAATCGGAATGTTAATAAATCTCCAACAACGATAGTATTGGTTGGTGTTCCTCGATAAAGTATTCGTAAAACAATGTTTGATGTTAATACATTTTGTGCTGGTAAATGTTCAATTTGCATCGGATGTCGTCCATCAGTTTTTGTATCCAGATAATTTGATGTGACTACAGCTTCTCCCGGTCCGGAAATATAACAGGTTAAATTGTATTTTTTATCACGGCTTGTTTGAACATAATCATTAAATTGTACAACAACAATATTGGTCATTGCATCTGGATTGATTTGTTGTGTACCGCAACGTGGAAAGCCATTTGGTTTGCTTATTTTCAATACACTGGTTGTGCCACCATTACCGTCGAAAAAACATGAATCATAAAATCCATATGTATAGATACGGCCATAGAAACCATCAGGTGTTTTTAGTTTCAGTTCCATACCATCAGGTGAACAAGTTTGTAACACTTCGAAACAATCCATACCATTACTAACGGCTGTATTAGGCTGATGACTTTCATCTCGTTCATAATAATCAAATTGTGTATTATGTTCAAAATGATTTGTATCTTCCAATTTAAATTTTTTCGTATCCACGCTGCTCAATTCACAATTGTCCGGAAAAAATGGCCGAAAATTAAATGATTTACAAATGAAATCTTTTGTTTCTACACAATAACGTTCACATTCTTCAAGACGTTCTGCACGGGCTACCTTATAAATGTGTTTACTTTTTAGACGAGAACTTAAACCCATTTTTCGAAATGATACCATTGTTATTTCGGTATTAGTACAACCAGGACTAGTGATACTATTCTGGCCGGACATTGATCCTTTTGTTGAGCCAGGTAACAAATGTCCATAGCGATCATAAGAAATCTGTTGTTGCTGTTGTGCTGGAAACATATAATGCTCGCGATTAGGGCTTGAAGGAATGGATGCTGTCGAAGTAATCTGATGTTGATGTATTCCTGCAAACGGTGCTTGAATGTATGGACTACGACCAGTATAAGGCATGTAAGAGGTATAATTAGTGTAAGTGTTTCCAATAGGATGACCACCAGATATGATGCCATTATTTTGAATTCGAGGCATCGAATATCCACCTCCTTTTGTTCGAAATGTTTGTCCTGGATAATGCATGGATATACGTTGTTTAAACTCATTGGGAGCCATGATAATTGATTGATTGGAACCACCAGCTCTATTAATAGTTGGATGATTATTTTTTAAGTTCGAAGCTGATTGTTGGTGCGATCGTGATGATGGCGTTGGTGAAGTTCTCAAACCAGTGCCATTTGGATGCGATAGTCGCTGCTGTTGAATTGTATAGATCTGAGTATCGGGATTACTCGGTACTGGATAGATTTGAGATTGAATTGATTGCACATCATGTGAAATGTCATCCGCTGGTTGTCTTCGTTGTTCTACATGATATGTATAGGTTGGTGATGGATATGCGATCTGATTCCGATACATATCTGTCGAAGATTGAACATCATATCCTGGTTGTGATGATTGAATACCACTGCCATAAGTTGACAAAACTCGATAGCTTGATGCACCATTTGATTGAATTGGCATTTGAGATCTGTAACCTATCTGATTTAATGTGGGAGTTCTATAATGACTACTATGAGATTGCTGATAAACGTAAGTAGACGGAGGATATATCCCATTATAAATAGATGGTTGAATGACATTACCGATGTTATGATGATTTGGCATCGGTTGATTAGGCAATGATCGAGGATCAAATTGAATTGCATTATCGTTGTTATTATGTTTTGGATTGTATGTGGTAAATTCTGATTCTTGTTGCTGAGGAACATTGAATATTGATGGGTTACCATCCGGTTTTGGAGTACCGGGATAAATTTGATTATTTTGATCACCATTCGATGATGTTCGACTATCCACAAATGTTCGTGAATCTGGCTGAGCCTGAGTATGATGATGAATTTCATAATTGGGATCTAATTGAAATTTATTAATTAGATTTATTTGTATTGTTGTAGATGGCTCACCATAATTGATTGTTGAAAATCTTTGATTCGATTTCATTCGATCGAATCCTGGTTTCGAAGGTTGTGACATTGGATAAATTTCATTCACACGATCATATCCATCAATTTCTGGTTGCTGTTTTTGTTCAATATGGAACGTATACGCAGGAGTCGGATGTATCTGACTATTTGGTTGCTGTGGCGATGTTGATGACGATGATGATGATGATGATGATGATGGCCGAACATTATTGGTATTATAGGCGAATCCACCACGATGATGATTACGATCTCGAGCACGATCAACAGGTAGAATGAAATTTTTATAATTACCTGGTTGTGAATAGCTTGTTTCGATTGAATCCTGAACACCATTAGATCCGTTATGTGATTGATTGTGTGGTTCATCATCTATGCAACAGAGGAAAAAAAACACAAAATGAATATATGAAAAAAATGAATTTCAAAATCAAACATGCAGCAAATAACAAAAAAAGAGATGAAAGTATGATAAAAACCATAATAATACACGATGCAATTCATTCATTAAATAAATCATCATTCTGTTGAACAACTAATCAATGACTAATGCACTTACTCCACATGAATTGATAATAATCGAATAATTCATCATCAATGAGTGCATCATTATCAGCAGGTGAGATAGGTCCAACTACTGACCGAGTACTAAAACGACAGATTTGTGTACATGTGAATATTCGATTGAACGACAATTGTGGCCAAATTTTTTCAAACAATCCGTTAGACAATCATAAAAATTTCTTGTATACGTTTCCATTTGATGTCGTCCACGTAATCTTTTATGTCGATAACATTCGAGTGTTTTGTTATCTAATTCTTTATCTGATGAACAATTTATACAATATATATGGATCGAATAGATTCATCGTGATACATTGAAAGAAAAGATTTCATTATACAATTTTATTAATTACCTTTATCATCGGTTGAACAGAGTACACGATAAAGATTTCCATTAGAAGTAATGAAATTCATTTCGGTTTCAGTTGAATTACCGACCAGATTTGTTGGATCTTCATCATAAAGAATACATTGTTCGCTTGGTTCATCGAACATGAATGAACGGCAAACAAAACCATATTTATCTAAACTTTCCAAACAAGAAGTTGAACAATTATTCATCGATGATGTGACTATTGAATGTTTTTCATATTTTGAATCCAATTGTTTTTGATTTTCGCTGATCAATATGTTCCATTTACACATTTCATTATCTGCACATTTGATTCGATTAAATAAATTGTTTGATGATTAAAAGCTATTATTAGATAGATATATTGACACTTACTTTTCAGACACATATTCTCCAAATATTCATATTGAACATCTGATTTAAATTCCGATGGTGCAACATGTCGATTCGATGGGCTAAGATGACATTTATTCGTCATGGACATGAAACTAGCCGATCTACAAGTGAAATCTCGTTCAATCAGACATTTATTTTCACATTCATTTTTATTCTGTACGGTAAATTCTTTTCCATGTTTATCATCAATTAATTTGTATGAAGGTATTTTCTCAAATACAAACGGTCGATTAGGACAATTTTTATTTATGTGTTGAGCTAGAAATTGTTTTAATTTTGAAAATATTTCATATTCAACAACAACAACAACAGAAGAAAAAAAAATATTTACCCGAAAGACAAATTTTGTCAAATTGCCAAACAGAACCATGATTATCGGAAATATCATCCCAATTGATTGTTCCATTTGCCTTATTGTACAATACACAGCTAGATTGATCATATTGAGCCAGAAATCTGCCTTTTATTTCACCAACATTTTTTGGTGTTCGTTTCTATTGATTTAATCGACAAAAAATACGGTAAATCTCAAATCTCAAACAACAACAACAACAACAAAAATCAACACATACACGAACATTCGATTGTCTATCATCTGTACGTTTGCCTGGAAGAAAATCAAAACGGCTACAAGTGCCAATCTTGTTTACACGATCTTCCAGACAATGATGGAAACATTCTTCTAAAACTTTTAATGGCGGTACGTTTTTACGTGTAATCTATATAAATATTGATTTTTTTAATGATAAATATAAATTTCAATCATAGATCATTGCAAATATGATAATCTTACAATTTCATATTGAGAATCATTCGAAAATAATTCGCCCGTTACTGGGGACTGAAATGAATTCACTGAAACCTTTTCAAACACTATTTTACCTTCACCATTATTACAGATTTGGGCTTTTAATTATTTTTTTTTTTTTAATAATCGATGTTGATGATGGAAAGACACAAACAAGAAAGAAAGAAATAGAAACAAAAAAAAACCAATCAAATTGATGTATTAATGGCACAGAAAATTTTATCAATCATATACCTTCGGTCAGAATTCGTAATGCAGCTAAAAATGAAACTAATGGAACCATTATTGTCGTTGTTTTTATTCTATAATTCACTGATAATGATGATAATGATGATGATGATGTTAATTTTGAATCATTTAAAAACATTTTATTATCAACCAAAAATGATCGATTAATGTTGCCGATGATGATGTTGGAATCTTCAATGGATCATTCATAATGATGGAATATATCAACTGTTAGACAACGAAATAAATTCATCAACAAAAAAAAACAAACGAACAAATCAGCGATGATGATGATGGATGATGATGGATAAGTAATGGCAGTGAAAAAAAAATCAAACAAACAAACAACAACAACAACAACAAGCGAAGGTGATATTCAAATTATAATTTATGGAAAGAATTATAGAATGTCCCAAAACTGCAAATATGTAATTGTGAATCAAAAATTATTTATGAAAGTGATGACCATCATTCACATTCACCATAATCTACTAAATGAATCAGTTAGTCGTTGTTGTTGTTGTTGTTGTTTGAATCCTCCTCCCTTGTTTGAATTTATTTATTTTTCTCTGGTAAATTCTGGTAGCCATTTTTGGACATTTTTTTTCTGAAAAAAATTCTCTTTTTTTTATATTTTATCTCAATTAGCATAAATTGGTGGCCATGTTTTTGTTGTTGTTGTATTATAATGAATGGATTGGTCATCCATGCATATATCTTTTGTTCGTTTAATGTATATCGAGATCATCTGTGAGACGTTTTTTTTCAAATAGAAATTGAATTGAATGAATACAAAATAACCTAAATGGTTTTTTTTTGGAATAAACACAATGATGATGATAAACTAACAACAACAACAACAACAACAACAAATCTGTCGAATAACCTTAACCAAATGAAAATAACGGCATACAAATATATTTTTGTCATTTATGATGCTACTATAGTATTATCATCATAATATATGCGGCTTTTGTTGTAATCAGTTCCGGTTTTATTATTCATTCATTCATTCATTCATTGTCCAGACACATCCTTGGATGCGCCCAAAATGTTTTTTATTTCCATATGACATTTCAACATTTTATTTATGTGTATGTATAATGTGAATAATGAGCAAATGATCAGCCAACCGATCAGTATTGGCCAGCCAAAGTTAGCCATTAGATCGAATAAATGAATAACCGAATTTGACAACAGTTTTTGGCTGACACTGATTTTTTTGTTTTGTTTTGATGGTTCTATGTTTTCAAATCTGATTATAAATACATGGCCATGCATCCGATATATTCATCATCATCATCATCATCATGGACATTAAAGATCTATTATCCCCCTTTGAGCACACAATGACATTCGTTTTTTTATTTGTTTGCGTGTGTTGGTAGTAAAAGGTGATAAAACAAATGTTTTTCGATTTAAAAAAGGAGGTTACTAATAATATAATAATGACAAATAATTCAAACAGACAAGAAAATGATAATCGAACCGAAAAAAAATTTGGTCATTTTTATAACAACAACAAAAAACATCAAATCATTCGAATAATGATGAATTGATACCGGAAATAAATCAAACACACACATACACACACATGATGGGTTTTCAATATACACCACATACGCTTTTGACATTGAACGCGAAAAAAAAACAAATTGAGGAAATGAAAAAAAAAAATTCTGTAACTAAAAAATGAAAAAAATAACCAATTCACTACGCTTTATCTCACCTATATCTACATCACGCACATACATCAATAGACAAGGTCAAATTAGATTTAAAATTTTTTTAATTATTCAAATCATCATCATCATCATCATTAATTCATAATTTATTGTTCTGATGATGATGATGATGATTGTTCGATTGTTTCAAGTAAATTTTTTGGATACAATTCATTCAACAATAAATCAATGATCAAATATAATAATTGTTTGTTCAATAAACGATATTGTAATGATGAAAATAAAATAAATACAATTTCTTCATGTTTTTCATAATCAACAAATAATTCTAATAATGATTTTGGTAATAAATTTTTCAATAATTTCATTACCAATTTAGATCGTTGATTTTTCGTCATATTCATTGGAAAATTAATTTTTCCATTTTCTTGTTGTTGTTGTTGCTGTTGTCCATTATTTCTATTATCAGATTCATCATGTTTTAATGATTGTTCAAGATAATCAATCATTGTCATCATATTGATCGTTGTGAATGTTTGTTTTAATTTTTTTCGCAAATGATAATGACAAAAACCTTGTAATGTTTGGCGAAATATTGGCCGAACAAGTATGAATAGATATTTTAATCTATTTGATAATGAATAAAAACGTATCAATATTGCCAGAATATAATCATATAGAAATTTGAATGAAATTTGTTGATTTCTATTACCAGTTTGATTATGATTTCCATCATCATTATCGGTCAATATGATTTCTGGCCACCATTGAACAATGAAACTTTTTCGTCTTTTATTATTTATTTGATTGTTGTTGCTGCTGCTGCTGTTTGTTGTTTGAATTTTTTATTTGTTGTTTTTTTGGACTTTTGTTGTTGTTGGCCACTTGTTGTTGTTGTTGTTGTTGCTGTTGTTATTGGATCCTTTTCACATGAAGTAATAAAATTCTTTAAAAATGAATATAAATGTTGTCCCTTTTCTTTCGAAAATTTTGATGGTACATTACGAATCATTTTGGTTATATTGAAATTTCCTTCAAATGTATCATTGGGTGAATTTAGAAAATTATAAAACAAACGGCTACGTTTCATCGATGCATTTGATAATAGTTGTTGTAGAAATTTTTCAAATTTTTCTCTATGTGTTTCCAACAATTGTCTGGTTATACGAACAAATGTTCGACGCGATGGTAAACTAATAGCATCAATCTCTTCACCATGAAATTCTTTCAATTTCGATTCTAATGTATAGAATTCATTGAATTGTCTTTCATTGATCATCAATGTACAAGATTCATCAACATCATCTGGTGAATGAAGTTTTTGTACATGAATTTCAAAATAATAATTTTCACGATTTGTTATATCATCGATACGGGCAGAAATATGCGGTATGGTTACACGCCAATTAGTTAAATCTTCATTAAATGATGCTGTATCATCATCATTGTCTATCACATCAATTTGTTCATAATTATTGCCACGATGATGTTGTATGTTTTGATTAATATCAATCGAAATCGTTGGTTGCATTATTGAATCAACATTAAGTTTTTCATTTCCCAATGATTCCTTATATTCGTTATTATTGTTAAGATGTCCACAAATCAATTCTAAATAAGATTCTGTTTGAAAAAATTGTTGTGCATAATTCTCTAAAACATTATTGACAAATTCATTGGCTTCATACAATGATTTACAATTACGAAATTGATCCACATTTTCATATGTATCTTCAATTACTGTACGAAATCCATTTTGAATTGTTTCATCATCAAAATCAATAAAATCACGACTTTCACGAATAAAATATAGATCATAAATTGATTTAAGATTTGAATGTAATTTTTTCAATTGATCTGAACGTAGTTCCGGATTGATGATTAAATTTAAAAATGAATCCATATGCATTGAAAATTGTAGATAATTGAGAAAATTTTCTTCACGTGCAAATTTTGTGAATAAAAATAGCAAATGTTCATCATGAAAAATCTGTTTCAATTGAACACCGAAACGATTTTTAGCATTACTTCTTTATCATCATTAGAATTATCGATTTGAATTTCATAATCACAAACATTTTGGAAACGATTTAGGAAATAAATTTTAGAGTTGACTGTACAAACATTGGCAATATCATTATTGACATCAATATCATGATGATGATCAAATTTATTTCTATCATCATCCAATAAATAGATGAGAATAATGTTGATTTTATCCGGATCACTCAATATATCAACTATTGGATTTATAATGCAACATGCAATAAATTCATTCAAAAATGATTTTGATATATCACATTGGATATATTTTGGTGGTAAAGTTGTATGCATAATTATATTGGCTATTGATTTGAAATATTTGAGCTCATTTTCACCATTCATTACGGCCGGATGAACAAGTGAACCATATTGTTTGAGAACACATTCTTCAAGAAAATGAGCCGAACGTGCATTTCGTTTTCCATGGATATACATTTCCAAATGCTGTATTAAATGTCCAGGTAATTTGTCCATTATGAATTTATCAATATTAATTTGATTTTTCATCCGTATTATCAATGCAGCGGTGACCAAACGAATTAATTGCTTAAATTTAATCAAAATCGAACGTGGATTGTACGATATATTCATCAACCATGGTGATGTATATTTTTCCAATAAAAATTCAAATAAATTTTCCAGTTTTGTATTCAAATTTTCATCGATCAACAAATGTTTCCATGGCTGTTCATATATAAACAATTCATGGTCATGTTGATTACAATTTTGTTCCTGACATTCAGAACATATTTTCATTTCATCATTGGCTATACTTTTGACAAAATGTTTTTCATCAAGCCAATTTTCACAAAGATTATCAGCACAAGGTCGTTGCCAAATATTGATTATTTCATTGTCAGTATTAGTTAATAATTTTATCAAAACAAACGCAACAATAATGACTAGAATATAGATGGCCAATGACCAGATACCAAGCAATGTTTGACTTAAATTTATCATCAATAATAGAATGAATAAATGGATCAAAATGAAATCCGAGATGATCATGATTATGTTATGTAGATGGAGAACGAAAACATTAAACAATAATTGAATATGAAAACATTTTTTTATTTACAATTGAAATGCTGAAAATTTCGATGATAATAATAATAATAAACAAGTTATAATATATAACTGTTGTTTAGAAGATCCATAGCTAAATTGTCATTTTTAACAATTAACAGTTAATTGATATGTATAGAATTTCGATTACATTCTTGATGAATGGCTCTTAATTCTGAGTTTGGTGTGCATTGATTTTTCAACTGGTATTTTGTGTCAATTTTATTCGATTTGCATAGATATATATTGTTAATTTTTCTAGTTTGTATCATTTATCTATCAATTCTATGAATTTTAAAAATGAGCGGCAAAATCAGCATCATATATCCGCCACCAGAAATTCGAAGTAAGTATCGGGTTCAGGTTTAATTTGGTTAAATTAAATTAATAATTAATAATTATTTCGTTTTGCTTCCAAAGATATTGTAGATAAAACTGCCAGCTTTGTCGCTCGTAATGGACCAGAATTTGAGACTCGTATCCAACAAAATGAACCTAATAATAGAAAATTCAATTTTCTCAAGCCAGGTGATCCGTACAATGCATATTATCAGTTTAAAGTGAAAGAATTTCGTGAAACCGCTTCAAATAATGCCAGTGAAAATCAGGATATTGAACAACAGGAGTCAAAACAACAAGAAGATACTGATACGACATCATTAACAACTGAATCGGTTACGAATTGTAATCAAAATGGTCAATCGATTACAAAAGCTTCATCAGTTCCCGTTAGCGGATCTGTAACACTGAAAACAACTGATTCTAAAAAATTAGAAAACATAATGATTCAACCGATCATACCGCGTGGTCCACCACCATCGTTTGAATTTTCTGATGATGCACCATCTATTTCTGCTTATGAGCTTGATATTGTAAAATTAACCGCTCAATTTGTTGCAATTCATGGTCGTTCATTTCTTAATACCTTGATGAACAAAGAAAGTCGAAATTATCAGTTTGATTTTCTACGCCCACAACACGGGCTATTTACTTATTTTACTCAATTGATTGAACAGTATAGTAAAGTGTTGATGCCGTCGAAACAATTTCTAAATTCATTGGAAAAAGAATTCGAAGATCCAAAATTAATTATAGAAAAGGTTCGATATCGAACCGAATGGACAAAGATAATCGAAGCAGAGAAACGTAAAGAAGAAGAAGAAGCAGAAAAGGAACGTATTCAATATGCACAGATTGATTGGCATGATTTTGTCATTGTAGAAACAGTAGATTATCAACCAAATGAATCGGGTAATTTTCCACCGCCTACAACACCGGAACAAGTCGGTACTCGATTACTAATGCAACAAAGAATTGAAGCAAACGGTACTGAAACAGTAGAAATGGATGTCGATTCTGATGAAGAAAAGAATGATGGTAAAGAAGATAAAAATAATGAACCATTACCACCGTTACCACCATCTTTGGATAATGTTCTCATACGTAAAGATTATAATCCAAAAACAAACAAAACACAACCGACACAAGCTGTTTCAACGAAGAAATTGCCCGACAATTATGTCATTTCACCAATTACTGGTGAAAAAATTCCGGCTGATAAATTACAAGAACATATGCGCTATAGTTTGTTGGATCCAAGATGGGTTGCTGAACGGGATCGTACCATACAGGAAAAAATTCAACAAGAAGAGGTTTATGCTGCTGGATCTGCCATTGAAAGTTCTTTAAAACATTTGGCCGAACGTCGTACGGATATTTTTGGTTCAGGTGATGAGGAAACATTAATTGGTCGTAAGATCGGTGAAGAAGAGCAACGAAAACAAGAAAAGGTTACGTGGGATGGTCATATGAATAGTATGGAAGCAACATCACGTGCAGCTCGTGCAAATATTTCCATTGAAGAACAAATTCAACATATTCATAAAGTCAAAGGATTATTACCGGACGATGATAAAGATAAAATTGGGCCAAGTATGCCCACCACATCGGCATCGACCAATCCGAACATGGTGGTAAATACCGTTCCGAATATGCCACCACCACAACCGATTCGTCATCCTGCTACAGCTGGCTCACTTTTAATGACTCCAACTTCGACAACATCGATGATGCAACCAACACGTAGCGATTATGGATTGATTTCAGGCACTATACCTGGAACATTACCAATGTATTCAACACATACGATGCCACCACCGATTGCTTCACATTTGGCGCCACAAATGTCAGCTGCAGGTATAATTCCACCACCAAATATTCCAGTACAACCACCACCACCACCACCAATCCCAAGTTTAGCAGAATCAATTGAACCAGTATACAAAAAACAACGGACAGAAGATAATTTAATTCCGGAACAAGAATTTTTAAAAACATGTTCATCTTCAAACTTAACAATCAAAGTGCATGTACCACAATCATCGGAAAAAACAGAATGGAAATTGAATGGTCAAGTTATTAACTTGACATTGCCATATACTGATTCGCTTTCGGTGGTCAAAGCGAAAATACACGAATTGACCAATTTACCGCCTGGAAAACAAAAACTTCAAGCTGAAGGAATTTTTTTAAAAGATCAAAATTCATTGGCATTTTATAATCTACCTAATGGGGCATCAATTTTATTGGCATTGAAAGAACGTGGTGGACGTAAAAAATAAACCTGATGATTTTTGTATTTTATTTTATACATTCATTTATTCAATATTTCTTTTCATAATCAAACAAATAAATCTAATAAACAATTGATGATCGAGAGATAATTTTATTTCTGATTATCGATCATTCATTCATTCTAATGTGAAATTTCATCTTCCCATCCTTCAGGAAGTGGATTGGTAGCAGGATTGTGGAACAATGAATGGTTACCATCACCCCATGGAAATCGACGAGTACGGATACGAAGATGTTCATATGGAATAAATTCTGGACGATGATAATGATGATAATGTTCCATTTCGGTTAAATAGGTGTTGACTGCTGCCAAAACTATAGCGGGACACGAAACGAAAAAGAAAACCTTTTTCCAGAAATCTGGATTCGGTTTATGGGTATGTTCGGCGTGTGTGGCCAAGTTTCGTACATGATTACGGATAATCATTTGATTAGCACGAAGAATTCGGGAAAACATTTTCAATTTGGATCAAATTTTTTTTTTCGCTTTTGTTTTAAAATGATAGCAAAAAAAAAAAAAAAAATAAACTCAAACACAACAAATGAAACAAATATAAAACAACCAGGCTGACTTTCATTGACTTTTATATCTTTTTGCTCATTTATAGCATTATTCATATAGAACGTAAACGTAGTTGTATATTCTGTTTGATTTTATTAGTGAATTTTTCGTCAATTGATTTAAAAAAAAAAAAATTGCCATCACATTCTAGTACCATTCAGGTTCTTTGAAATTATTTTCATATATGAAAAGAAATTCTTGGTGGGATTCTAAAATTTAAATTCTTTATTACAAACAAATAACCAAAAAAAAAAAAATTTTGGCAAAAAAAAGAAAAATTTTTTATTGCACATGACCGCCATGATTCGAATAAAATGATCATACTATTAGCTGCTAAAAATTGATTTGAATCATCATATTATATATATATTGGCAACAAATTCCACAATATATTATTCTATTCTATATAAATATACGACCATTATCTCTTTCCACTATTTGGAATAATAGACGTCATTTTTTTCAATGCATTGAATTGTGGATAGAGAGAGAGAGAGACCCTATAGGAAACGACAGTGTTTAATGTTTCAAATAGAAATGCATTTTTTTGTTGTTTTGTTTTGGTATTCAATATGAACACAAATTATTGAAATTGGATTTTTTTTTATCATGTTATAACATTCAGATAAATTATTATCAACATTAATATTTTGAATGTCTTGCATTTTTTTTTTTTTTAATTTTTATATTTGTTTTTTGGATATTTTGAGTTTAATCAAACAAACAAAAAAAAATTGATTGATTTAGATATTCCAAGAAATAGTGGCCGAATACAATTTCTTATCAATAGTTGATTATTGATAGTTGTGTGTTATCGATTATATTGAAATAATTTTTTTTAGGTTAGCTTAATATATGTATATAATATCATGCCATTTTTCTGTTATAATTATATTTTTATATCATCAATAAATAGAATTGAATATGGATGAAACTTTACCGAAATTTCATGTTCAAATTACCGAAGATAGACTACACGATGGTGCTCGTGAATTGATCTCGAAAATTCGTCCAGAATGGCCATTGAACAAATTATTATTCAAAATTTTCACTGATGGCATTACAAATCGTTTAATTGGTGTTTATGTTGATCCACGAAACAAACATCATGATGATATGATTCTGATTCGAATATATGGCCAAAATACTGATCTATTTATTGATCGAAATGTTGAATGTCGTAATATGAGGATCATGTATAAACATGGTCTATCGGCACCAATTTATGGCACATTTTTAAATGGAATTTGTTATGGATATTCACCAGGGAAGGTACTTGATGAAAATCTTGTTCGTGATCCAAATATTAGCCGATTGATTGCCGAAAAAATGGCACAAATGCATACGTTAAAACCATTGAAAACAACAGCAATAAACAATATTCAACAATCACCTATACAAGCTTGTCTTTTTCGGGATTTGAGAAAATTTATCGCAATTGTTGACAGTGCCTTGCCATTGAAACTTCATCCAACCACCAGTAGAAGGTGAGATCCAAACGATTTCATAGTATTTTCTCTTTATTTTAATTATTTCTATCAAACAGATTAAAAAACTATTGTGATATAGAAAATTTGAAAACCGAACTTGAATACTTGCAACAAATATTAACTCCTTTACATTCGCCCATTGTTTTTTGTCACAATGATCTATTGTTGAAGAATATCATATTCAATGAATCGACCAACAACGTTACATTTATTGATTTTGAATATTCCGATTACAATTATCAAGCCTTCGATATTGCCAATCATTTTTGTGAATTTTGTGGTGTAAATTCCTTTGATTATAATCTATATCCGAATCAAGAATTTCAATTTCGTTGGCTTAAAATTTATCTAAGAAAATTGTATTCACTTACTAATGGTAATGTGGATGATAATCAATTAGATGATTCTATACTTGAACGAAATGTTGAAACATTATTCAATGCAGTGAACAAATTTACATTGGCATCATGTCTTTATTGGGGCATATGGGCATTAGTTCAAATGTCAAATTCTTCCATCGATTTTGATTATAAATCATTCGCCTTTCAACGTTTAGATGAATATTATAGACGAAAAAAACATCTATCATTTGTTTGATGAATACAATCGCCTTTAAAATACTGTTTTTTTTTTTTTTTATTACTTTACTTTTATCATCTTTCCATTTATCAAGACCATTTGGTCGATATTCCATTTTGTTAACATATCTCGAAAGTTGTAATTGATTAATTATTTCAATAAAAAAAAATTATTATTTTTATTCAAAATAAAAATAAAAATAAAATTGCCCTGTTTTTTTTCATTGCGATACAATCGATACTTGAACCATTGAAACCGAATTCTGTGTGTTTACATTTGAAAATGTTTTTCATCGGATTAACTGGTAATATTGGGACGGGTAAATCTACTGTTTCCAAATATCTTTCTAAACAAAATATTCCTGTGATTGATTCAGACCAAATAGCACGAGATGTTGTTAAACCATATACGAAATGTTGGCATGCAATCCGTGAACATTTTGGTGAAGAAGCAATCAACGTAACTGATGGCCAAATTAATCGTAATTATTTGGCTCAAATAATTTTCAATAATCCTGATGAACGTCGAATATTGAATAAAATAACCCATCCAGAAATTCAAAAACAAACATTCATCAAAACACTTTACTATTGGTTAACATTTCATACGTTTGTTGTATTCGACATTCCATTACTGTTTGAGGCAAAAATATATCAACCATTGATGAATTATATTATTGTGGTTAAATGTGATGAATCCGAACAAATTCGTCGAATCAAAGCTCGTAATGGTTATAATGATGAAGAGGCATCATCACGTATTGGATCACAAATGTCGTTGAATGAAAAATGCAAATTGGCCAATTTTGTAATCGATAACAATGGAACCATTGAACAAACTTTACATCAAGTTGAAGAAATATTTCACCAAATGAAACGGCCACGAACATTTTATATTCTTCGCTTGTTGCTCATTACCTTATATGGATTAACTTTATTTTCTTTGATAAAATTATCGAAATTCATATATTCCAAGCTCTGATCGAATCCAATTATTAATCAATAAATGAATACAGATACGGTAACACCTACTCGAAACTATTATTCGGCCATTGAAAATTAATTATATTTTTTTGGAAATTCAAAATTCTAGAACTATTTTATGATGGTTTTTTAGTTGTCAAATAAATTGATAAATTATAATAAATGATAAAATTGATTCAATCAGACATTAAAAATTCATTTTTTTTTTTTGTTTTATTTTAATCCATATCAACGAATGGCACCATCCAGTTTTTTGGATAAATTTCTTGTGCCATTCATTACCATTAAATTGGTCTGGTCAATCGATCTTCGAGTTGACGATATTTTACAGCTAATGCACTATAGATATCATTTGCATCTAAAGAAGGTTTTGCAGCTATCTTAAATGTTGCACGTAATTTTTCCACCATTTCATCAAAAGACTTGATACTTTTTTCTTGAGAATATTTGGCCAATAATGCCGATCCCAATGCTCCTGAATTTGGCATCGAATCAGTAAATACGGTAGCATTAAAAACATCGGCCAAAACTTTAATGATTGATGGATTCGTAGATGCACCACCTGTTGCTAGAATTCTAGTGCTTTTGTCTGTTTTGAAACCTAAATTTTCAGTATGTATTTTTAATCTCAAGAATTGTCCCTCAACACAAGCACGAATTTCTATTTCTGGTGCAAAATTTAACACTTCATTGCCGTAGTAATTAAAACGAAAATCGCCAATTATCGTAGGCGATATTTCTTGAAAATCAAAATAGAATCCAATATTGCCGAAATTACCTCGTGGCACAGAATCTAATAATTCATTGAATTTAGACCAATTGCTGTCAGCGCAATCATCTCGAATTCTTCTTCTAGTTCGAGAACCATTCTTAGAAACGATCATTCCCATATAAAGATTGTGATCGATAGGATTGCAGAGAATATGTCCCTCAATTGATGGTTTTGGCGATGAAAGGGTGAAGAAAATAGTATCGCTTGTACCCAATGATACAGCTATGTCATTTGAACCTAAGCACATTCCGGCTAATGAGGCAGAATTATCACCGGTAAATGCTGTTATGTAGCAATCTGGATCAAATCCATAACGTTGTACAAAATAATCACTAATTGTTCCAATTAACTGTGTGGTTGGCACAACTTCGTGGCCAAGTTTTTTCATTAAATCATTTTCTTGATTCAAACTGACTGCACGAATACAATCAAGAGACCATTGTTTTCGATTAATGTCGAGCAAATTCATTCCTGATCCATCACTCAAATCAATTGGGGCATATCGACCGATGAATAGTGATGCCAAAAATGAACTGACTAACGAAATTCGTTCAGTTTGGCTATAAGCATCGTATCTGTGTTTGATAATTTTGGAAATTTGATTACCCGTAAATCGTTCATATGCACGTGAGCCGGTCAATTGAGCTAGACGATGAGCGCTACCGATTGATTTTTCCAATTCTTTACATTCAACTGATGTACTTGAATCTATCCATATAGGTGAATCTTTGATGGTGAAACATTGATTTAGTTGCTCATGCAAAAATCGAGTTGGATCTAAATTCATTAATATTCGTTCAGAGCCATGTTTCCAATAGACACTTCCGTGTTGCTGGCCACAGCCTGAAATGCCAATAACTTGTCCAAAATCAATAAGACCATTAAGACGAAGTCGATCTAATATTAAATCGATGGCTTTAATCCACATTAAAACAGGTGCTGTAGCTGTATGAGCTTTTGCATCCGAATATATTCCACCATTTGTACGAAATTCTGGAAGATCATTGTCAAAATGTACAAATGCTTCATAAACAATGATCAATTCCTCATTAATGGCTATTGATTTAAGCTAACAAAAAAGAAAATTTTTAAAAAAGTTTAAGATAGAAGAATAAAAAAGAATATATAACAACAAGAACCTGTTGAGTGCTCAGATCAAAGCCAAGCCATAATTTTTGATTCGATTGTTTTATTGATTCCATACAGTTGAGATAAATCAACGAGTGGTGTTGGTGAAAATTGTTAATTAGAAACTCATCTTGATAAACAAGAAAAATGTATGATCAGAAAATGTAAAGACCATATTAAGTGTGAAAAATCAATAAAAAAAATTTATTATGCGAATAAAACGAGAAAAGATTTGTTGACAAAAAAAAATTTCTGGTGATAATGAGAATGTGACTATTTTCGAGATACGATATGTAGAACAACAATTGATTGTAATGAGTTGATATGGTTTTTTTTTGTTGAAAGAAGAAATAAAAACAGGTTTCTCTTTTCTACATTTACATTTAGTCATCATGTATGATTATGATTTATCGTTGTATTTTGCAATAATAATGTTCACTTTCAACTTCTATAGTGTAAACAAAGAAACTGAATCAATATAATCGAATTTCCGATTTTTAAAAGTAGATTGTTATGACTGCAAAATTAATATTCAAATTACAAAATCAATTAATCAAGACAATAGATTTTATATGAAATAAAAATCAGAATTCAGAAATCATAATTCTTAGTTCTGTTGACCGAAGTGAATGAAAATGGCAAATCAATTTTCAATTTTTTCCGGTCTATTATTGAAATGTCTTCAAATGGTGATTATGGTGAAAGCATTTCAAAAACAAGAAACTATGGATAATCAAATGCCGTTGGATCAAATGATGATGATACCATATAAAACTGTATATGGTATATCAGAAAAATGTATCAAAACATCTGATGATCATCAATTGATTAAGAAAAATTATCAATCCTGTCAGATAGATGCATGGAAAAAATGGCATATCACTTTACATCAATTTGTAAGTTAAATATATGATTATTTGATCATTCAATGAATGACTTATGATTCAAATCCTTTAAATTTTTCCGAAAAACAGTACACCGAATCTGTAAATTTTTGTTGTTTCGTATATGAGGCATTGCAATGTGAAATGAGAATCCTATCTAAATGTGACATTGATTATTCGGATCACAATGAAAAAGAAACTCGACGATTGTTTGATAAATCATGCCAATCAATTATGAAAAATAATGCTTGCAACTTGAGTGATGATTCTGATTATCACATATATATTTATTATGGTCTAATCGTAATCGGGTCAATCGGTACTATCACGAGTGTGGCATATGGTGGCAAGAAAATTTATCGTTGGTTGACCACGAGTCGGGAAACGAGGTTGGAGATGAAAGCAGCTAAGTTATATAAGAAGGATAAATTCAATGAACGTTATGAAAGAGAATATATTCGAGCCGTTTATGAAGAACAAGTGGACGATCTTGACGATGAATTATTCCAAAATAAATTCAAACAAATAGCTGATGGAAAGTCGACATCCGTTCTCAAACAAGATAAAAAATCTGCCAATTTCAAAAACAAATCGACTCGGTCGTTTGCGAAATCAGAAAAAAAATTAAAGAAAAAAATATGGTCCGATATTAACAAAGAATTGAAAAAAGACAATTCAGATTTCTGGGATGATTTTAATAAAAAATCAGAGAAATATTACAAAGAGTTATTAGATGTGAAAACGAAGAAGGGCTGGAAATTTTGGTCATGGTCAAAAAAGGAAACTAAGGATGTGGAAAAAAACAAGAAAAGAGATGAATTCATCAAATCTAAAGCTCGTTTGCAATATGAAGAGATCAAAAAAGATAATCAACTAAGATTGGACAAGAAATTAGAAGCAACACAAAACAAAATAAAAGATTCGAAATTAGATTTGACCGATGATGGAATTCAAATGATAGAAAGAGAATTAGGGAAAAAGATAAGGCCACAAAAAATAGTTGCAGATAAAGACGTCGATCCACTTCTGGCAAAAACGATCAACATTCTAAATCAGGAACAGGTTGACGTTCATCATGAAATGTTGCGAACAAAAAACTTTGCCGAATTCAAAGAAATGAATCAACTGGAAACATGGTCGACGAAATTGAAAGATACCCGAACAAGGATACGAGACAGCCGTAAAATGGAGGATATGCTTGAAACATTAGAACCAACAGATGTGAATAAAATCCAAGCCATCAATGATACAGATTTGAAAACCAAAAAACAAAAATCTCAAGAACTAGATTCAAATTTGAAACCCACAAAACAAAAACCTCAAGAACTAGATTCAAATTTGAAATCCGGCAAACCAAAGCCTCAAGAAGTAGATTCAAATTTGAAATCCACAAAACAAAAACCTCAAGAAGTAGATTCGAATTTGAAAACCGACAAACAAAAGCCTCAAGTAGATTCAAATTTAAATCAAGATAAAAATCAAACTGCTTCTAAAACTGGAAAAGAAATGACTAAAAATTCTGATTCAGAAATTTCGAACAAAGCGACAACAGAAAAACCTGCAATAATTACCAAAACCGATTCCAAAAAAACACAAGAACCGAAAAAAGAAAAAAATGCTACATCGACGTCAGAAACAAAGAACAATATGACACCAGTCAAAGATGCCTCTAAAAAAGAAGAATCGTGTCAAAACTACAAGATGAGCAAGAAAGACAAAAAATGTTACTCTATGAAGAAATAAAAAATGCTGAAGCGTCAAAGAAAAAATTGAATATAAAGGAAAAAAATCGGCTTCTTGATAAGATTTTTTCAATATTCAAACAATCCGAAGATGATATTTTTTCAGAAGTAAAAATAATTAAAGACAAAAGTAGAGAATATTGGTTCGAGAATAGAAAACGCAAGTATAAATTTTGTAGAACTGCTCTGAGAATGGCGCCTAATACAGACTCCTATTATAATGAATCAAATCCAGAAAATATGACAGAAATTGGATGTTATCAAAAAATTTCAAGAATTAATAATATTAGAAGAAAAGTTAGACCCGAGTTCATATAACTATGAAGTTGGCCTGATATTTTTAAACGAACATGATTTCATAAAATTATTTTATCCCTCCTCCAATGTACTAAAATCACAAGCCAATTTGGACCCAAAAGGCAAAAATTCAAAATTTGGTTATAAAGTGATCCTATCTATGCAATAAAGCCTGAACATAGAGAACAGTTAATAAGAAAATTGATGAGACAAGTAGAAATTGAGGAAAAATTTTTGGAAATGGCAGAACATAGAGAAAGATATCCAGGAATGAATGTAGAAAATTATAGCAAAAGTGATGCTATAAGTAAATTTTTAACTATCTTTAAGCAAGAAATTAAAAATGATAAAATGAATTCTACTGAATTTGACAAAGACATTTTAAAAAACATACCCAAAGACAAGTATTTATTACGATTTGCACTACCAAAAAATTTTAAAGATGTAACAAAAATAACAGCTAATGTTGTACAAACAAAGACTATGAATATAGACGGAAATACGGCAAAGCCTCAACAACATCCATCATCATCATCATCACAATCCAATATGCAATCGACAACAAATCAAGCAGGAAAGTCATTAAAACAAACAATTAAAGAAGTAGCAACACAATTGCCTCCTGATCCATTAACAGATATATTACATCAATCTTAGAAATAAAAAATTCACCAAATAAAATTCTCAGTTTTTCCATTGAATTCATTCACAGGCCAGTGGTGTAATATTTTTTTTATTACGAAAATTAATTAAATCAATGTATAATTGAATAAAAAAACAATGACCATTTTTATCCAATATAAACATACAAATACTGATAAAACTTGTGTTTTGTTTTTCATCAAATGAAAAAAAAAAAGAATGAATGAAACAGTTCGTTTTTTATGGCCATTTGTTTGTTTACAAATATTCATTGTAAATATTATGGCTCAAAATCCGGATGATATATCAATGGTGATTCAAATGATGATACCATATAAAACTGTGTACGGTTTTCCAAAAAAATGTTCTAAAATTACTGAATATCAAACAATTACTGAAGCAGATCTTCGTGAAAATTATCGAACATGTCAAATGGAAGCATTGAAAAGATGGCGTATTACTTTCTATTCATATGTAAGTGGAACAAAAAAAAATTCTGTAAATCCTTAAATGATATATATTGATACACTGTATATTTGTAATTTTGACATACAATATATATGTAGTATACTGAAACTTCAAATTTTTGCTGTTTTGTATATGATGTTTTACATTGTGAAAATAGAGCCCTATATGAATGTGATTCTGATTATGCGGATAATAATGAAAAAGAAACACGTCGTTTATTTGATAAATCATGTGAATCGATTATGATGAATAATGGTTGCAATATGGATGGTGATGGAAATAATCATAAAATTCTTGTATATGTTACTACCGGTGTGGTTGTAATTGTTGCCATTGTATCATTAACATATTTTGGTTGGAAAATGTATAGTCAATATTATGGCAAAAGTCAGGAATTGAAATTAGAATTGAATGCAAAAAAAGCATTTAAGAAAGAAAAATTTGATAGATTATATGAAATTGAATCCATACATAAGGTTTATGATAATGAACTGGATAATATGGACAATGAATGGTTACAAAAAATGACCGACCTAATGATGGAGAAAGAAAAATTGAAAAAAAATAAAGGATGGTTTAGTGCAATATTTGGAACGAAAAAAGAAAAAATTAAACAAAAAAATATTGAAAAGAAAAATTTAATGGTCAATTTTAAAAACAATTTCAGAAAAAAATTCAAAGATCCTGAAAAACAAGCAGAAAAAATGATGAAGAAAAAAATCTGGTCAATAATCAATGAAGATTCGGAAAACAATCCAAATTTTTGGAATGATTTTCATATAGAAAACTATTATCCAGAATCATCAAATGTAACAAATACCGGTTGGAAATTTTCTTTACGATCAAAAAAGAAAGTAAAGGATGTAGAAAAAAACCAGAAAAGAGATGAATTGATTAGAGCTGAAGTTCGTCTACAATATGAAGATATCCGCAAAGATAATCGACGTAGATTGAATGAAGATCAATTATATTATCAAAAATTAGAGAAAATGGCAAAAAAAAAGAAAAAAAACAAACCAAAAAAATTTGGTGGATATGATTTGACCGATGATGAAATGTCAGTGATAGAAAGAAAATTAGATAGAATGATAAGTCCGAGAAAAAAAATTGAAGATAAAGAAACTGATCAACTTTTGGCCAAAATGATCAGCATTCTAAATCAGGAACAGGTTGATGTTCATCATGAAATGTTGCGAACAAAAAATTTTGCCGAATTTAAGGAAATAAATCAACTGGAAACATGGTCAACAAAATTGAAAGATTCACGAACAAGAATACGAAATAGCCGTCAAGTGGAGGCTATACTTGAAGCATTACCACCGCCACCACGACCACCAAATGTGATTAAAATGCCGGCATTGGTTGATAAAAATTTGGAAACAAAAATGACAAAAAAAGAAAATTGGATTCATAGGATTTTGCCGAAAAAATTCAAAAAACAAAAGCAGCAGCAGCCTTCAGAAGTAGATTTGAATCAAGAAACTGCTGCTAAAATTGCAAAACGCAAGTCATCAATCGATATGAATCAATCTGAACAACAACAAACATTAACTACCACCACTAAAAAAATATATTCAATTCAAGAACAACGTCAAAACATGGAAACATCGATAGAGGAAGCGTATGAAAAATATTTTAAATTTCCATGGGTAATCAATCATGATAAATTGGAACAAGAAAGAAAATTATGGCAACAAAAAAAAGCTGATTATGAATCTAAAATATCAGAATTAGAACAAATACAGCCGAAAGGTTTTTTAAAAAATTTATTCAGTACAGACAAATCAAAAAATGATAAACAACAACAATTAGACAAGAATCAACTTAAACAGATACCTAAACAGTTGAAAAAATTGAAAGAAGAATTTAAAACGGAAGAATTAAAATGGAATCAAAGAGAAAAATATTTAATAAAAGTGATGAATAGTACGGAAAAAGAAATGGATCGTATGGTGGATAAAATGAAAAAATCCATTGTTGCAAGTAAAGAGGAATTTCAGAAGAAAAAAGAAATGAAAAACATTTTTGATGTTTCAAAAACTTCGAAGACAAAAATTGAAAAATTAAAAGGTGCAATATCATTATTGACTGAGGAGGAGAAAAATTTGCTACAACAAGAAATCTTTATAAAACCAAAAGAACAAGGTAAACAGATATCCAATTATCGAAGACATGTTTATGAAGAAATGTTAGAATTTGAAAAATTAATTGCAAAAGATGAAAATAAAATCATACAAGCAATACGATGGCGTGATCAATATATAAAGCCATTATTAAGTGAACTACGAGATGAGCAAAAAAATATTTTATCCACTACTACTACTACTACTACTACCAATATTCTTGATGATTCTGGAACAAAAATGAAACCAATTCTAACTGATAATGAAAGAAAATTTTTATACAATAAAATCTATGTAAAACCACGAAAACAAGGCCAAAAAATATCAAAATATCGATCATATATTTTGAATGAAATTGAAAACTATGAACAAAAACCAATTAGTGAAAATGATCGTAAATATTTACGAAAAACAATGGTCAATATTTTGATGCAAGAAATGCCCGAAAAAAAGGTAAAAGAAAAACGATTATTTTCAAAAATTTTTTCCAATTCTAACCATGATGCATCTGGAATGATGATCGATGAGCTAATAACAAGAGATGAAAAAGAATATTTATATTATGAAATTTTTGTCAAACCACGATTACAAGATAGACCGGTGGACACTTCATTATGGTTTCATTATGAATTATTTAAAAGTCATACGACAGGAAAATTTTATGATCAATCACAATATCGTTATCATATTGATAGAGAAAGTGTTAGCAAATATTTGAAACAAAAATTACAACAATCAATCAATGATGATGATGGCGGTGGTGGTGGTAAAGCATTTTCAATAATGAATATTAATAATAATAATAAAAAAATTTTTCAATAACGTAAAATCAATGGATATCAATGAAAATGTTGGCAAAACCATCACCACTTCTACCATACAATCATCAACAAATTCATCATCACAAATACAACAAACAAAATCAACAATGGATCGTATAGGTGAATCGATGAAAAATGTGCTTCTATCGCCAATAACATTAGGACAACAAATGCCTGCAGATCAAATTGGCAATTTAATTCAATAAAAAATTTTTTTATAGAAACAAAATATAAATTTTACAAACATAATAAAAACAATGATGATTTTTTTCCATTTTTCAATATGCAATTTGATTATCGAATTAATAGAATTCATAGTGGGGGTGGGTAGTAGTGATTCAGAATATATAAAAATAAACAAAACATTCGAATTGAAATGAATCGATCTAAATGTGGTTGTTCGATCATCAATGATTATTGAATGCTTTTTTCAATAATCTTGAACATTGTTCTGATCATTTTCATACTTAATGACCACCATCATATTATTATCTATACTATTGCTGGCAATGACAATGATGATGACGATGATGATGATGATAATGATAATCGAATATTTGTACCATATAAACCGACATATGGTTTTCCGAATCAATGCAATAAAATTGATTCCAATGAACAAATTGAACAATTACGAGAAAATTATCGACAATGTCAACTACAAACAATGGATGAATGGGCATTGAATTTAGAAAAATATGTAAGTAACAAACAAACAAACAAACAGAAAATTTGTCAATCATTGAAAATAAATATTCTCTTTTTTGAACAAAACAAAACAAAAAAAGTATACTGAAACGGAAAATTTTTGCTGCTTCGTAAAAAAAGTATTATTATGTGAACAGCCAATATTATCGGAATGTGATCAATCATATTCAGAATTGAATATGGAAAAAACATTATTATTATTCGATGCATCGTGTACACAATTTGATTGTGAAAAAATGTCCACCACCGATTGGATCGGTATCGCTACTGCCATCATAGCGTTATTAGCAGCCATTGTTGGTGTAATTGGTGTATGTGTGAAAAAATTCAAACAAAAAAATAAAGATCCATTATTGGTGGCTAAAAAGATACAAAAAAGAAAAATATGATCAATTGTATGAAGAAATGAAAAATGATTATCATCACAATAAACAGAAACAAAAATTATTCGAACAACAACAACAACAACAACAACAACAAGAACAAATTGATAATGTTGAACAAGAACAAATTGATAATGTTGATGATAATAATGAACAAGCGGTGGCTATACAATCAAAATTTGGCAAAATGGTGGATAAAATTAAAAAAAAATTCAACAAAATTATCGAAAAAGGTAAAGATTTATATAATATAAGAAAAATTAAAAAGAATGCTAGAAAAGTGATTCACGAACAAAAAGTGGATGATAATTTTTGGTTAGAATTTCAAAAAGATCCAGAAAAATATGGACTAAATTTTGACGATTTAGTAACAACATCATCGACAACGGCCATAAAAAATGATGGTGAAGAAGATGAACAGATAACAATGAAAAAGAAAAATTTTTTAAAAATAATAGCGAAAAAATTTAGCGAAAAATTCAAACGTAATAAACTGGGGACCGAAAATCAATTAGAAGAACAACCTGCACCAATCATCAATGATGATGATAATGGTATTAATATTGTAGATGAAAATTTTGATCACAGCTTCCGATGATACATCTCAAGAATCAGATTCTATTAAAAATGTAGATGAAAAACGTGGTTGGTTCGGTTGGATGTGGGGTGGCAATAAACAAACTGAAAATAAACCCGAACCAGTAATAGAACTTGAACCAGAATCAGAAATAATATTATCTGGTGGTAGTATTAATAATAATGCAATAGTAGAATCAAATATTGATCAAACAACAACAACAACAACAACAACAACAGCGACAACGGCGACAAACGAAGATGAAAAAATCATTAAAAATTTAATTACTGCCGCAACAACAACAACCGAAACAACTTCCGGTGGTTATTTATCAAATTGGTTATGGTGAATATCTAAATATCATATCATCGTCAAAAAAAAACTCATCGTGTGTGTGTATGTGTGTAACTACACTAAATTAAATAATAATAATAATAATAATAATAATAATCATCAACATCATTATGATGAAAATAATTCAGATTGTCGTGTTGTTGTTGTTGTTGTTGTTGATTTTTTTTTCTTTAGAATTACCGTGGTGAAACAAAAAAAATTCTTGAAATTCGTTCATCATCATCATCGTGATGATGATGATGATGATGTTTAGAAAAAATGACACTAGAAGGCAGTATGATCAGTGATTGAATTATTATTTTTTTTTTTCAACAGACTGATAATTCAAATTATTACAACTTTACAAAATTTTTTTTTTTAATTCTCTTGCTAATTTCTATACAATAATAATAATGATGATGATGATGATGATGATGAGATAGATGGAATCAAGAAAGAATTTGTTTTGTTTTCTGTTTTCTGTTTGTTTTGTTTGTGATTCTGTTTTTTATTCTTTTGAACTATATTAATAATAATAATAATAATAATTACAACAAATGGTCAAATTGTGTTTGTGTGCGTTTGTGTGCGTGGGTGTGTAAGCCAAAATGATATTGATGACTACCTTGATTATCAATTAATCAATTTTTTTTTTTGATTGAAAAGAAAGGAGGTAAATGGATGGTCAAAATGTTTAGTGGTCAGATATGATGATGATGATGATGACGGTGGTGGTGGTGGTGGTGGTGTATTTGAGTATCATTTTTTGTGTTGTCGTTGTTTTTCTGCCCCTTTTCCCTCATTCATTCATTTTTTTTCAATTTGAAAACAATACAGAACCCAAAACAAAAAAAAAAATTCAAATGATGATGATGCTAAATATATCATGGATGAGAGAAAAAAAAAATGAAAACATCTAGGCCATTTAAAATTGATCAAAGATTTGTTGTTTCAGTGTGTATTGTTGTTGTTGTTGTTGTTGTTGTTGATAATATTTACAAACTAAAAAGAATTGGATTGTGTCGGCATGTTATATAATTGAAATTATTATTGATGATTAATCAATCAAATTGATTGATTAATTGATTGAATTTAGCTTGTTTTACTTGATTCCGATAGGCCAGGCGATGAAGCTGTTTTATAATTTTCATCAATTTCATCATCACTATCAATGGCCATTGTACTATGATTGTATAGGCCTTGTGCCATCAAATGTAATGCTAATGGTCCACGACTAGGGCTAGATTTTTTTATTTTAGCCCGTTTATTTTGGAACCAAATTTTTATTTGTGATTCATTTAATTTTAATTCACGTGCCAAATCTTGACGTCGTTTTTCCGTTAAATATCTTAAATGGTCGAGAGAAAAAGAGAAAAATGAAAATTAGCATCACAAATCATAAAGTCAAATCAATTAATTAATTAATTACTTGTTATCAATAAATTCTTGTTTTAATCTTGCCAATTGTTCTGCAGTGAATGCTGTTCTGGGCCTTTTTTCATCAACTTTTTTCTCTTTTTTCTTTAGTTTTCGAGATCTTGGACCTAGATTTTGAGTGAATGAAAAAAAAATAAATAAAAACAAAAATTTAGAATGAATAAAAAAAAGTATTTATCACGTTTAATGACTTTCTCTCTCTCTCTCTCTCTCTCCGATCATTCAATGTTCGTTAACACAGTGTCAAATGTGTAAATGTCAACTAAATTGCTAGTGTGTGTGTTTGTGTATGTAGATTAATAGAATGAATGAATGAATATAAATTCTTCAAAAATCAAATGAATGACAATGATGAACGAGCTAATCTCTTGTTGATGATGATGATGATGTGTGTATAAACTGTGGAAAAAAAAGACCACCACCGATGTTGTGTTGGTATACATTTATATACATCAAACTAGACACACACCAAAAAAAAAAAAAAAAATTCACATTTCATTTATCACTTTACAATTCAAAATTGGCGAGAAAAATAAAATGTCATCAACAACAACAACATCACACTCTTTTGGAACAAACAAACAAACAAAAAAAAAAAGAGAGAAACAAATGCTGTCCGTTTCAATCATCATCATCATCATTATCATTATAAATGAACAACCAAAAAAAAAAAAAAAAAACAAAACCCAAATACACACACCACTTACCCACACTCACACACACTGTGTGTGACAAGTTCAATTCTTTCTTTTTTTTTTTGGTTGTTCATTCTTCCTAATTACTTTTTAATGAGCTAGAAAAGCAATGAAAACAAAAAAAAAGACAGAGATGTGAAAGAAAGAAAAAAATTCAAACGACATTATCATCATCATCATCGTCATCAATGATGATGATGATGATCATACATGAGAATGATCTTTGACAATGACAAAATCTTTCTATGGGTTTTTTTTTGTGTGTGTATGTGTGTGGCATTTTATTGTCATCATCAAAAAACTTATATGTCCTGTCGGCATAATAATAATAATGTGATGAAGAGAATAGAATTTGATTGACTCAAAATCATGATGATGATGATGATGATGAACATTTAAACCATACACGTCATTATCACATTCTTTTTTTTTTTTGGTTAATCATAATTTTAGGTTGACAGTTTATGTTTTGTCAATTGTCATCATCATGATGATGATGATGATTTCTGAAAAGAAAATATTTACATTTTACTGAAAAAATTAATCATTTTTTATTATGTTTGTTTGTTTTGATCAAAATGATTCAATATTGTGTTTTTTTTCATGAAATTTGATTTGATTTTTAAATTTCATGGTCAGATTTTTAGAATGAAAAACGACAATCCATATGATTTTTTCCATTCTTGTCCAGAATATATGCTGATGATGATGATGTATGTGATATGTTATTCACACATACACACACAAATTGAATTCATATGATTCGTTTGAATTCAATTAGATCGTTTTCTGGTGCGTGAGCATGTCAAACATCCATATATAATAAAATAAAATATTTCATGTGCCTGTGTGTGTGTGTGTATGGTACATGGTTGTTGGAACACCATGAACATGACATGAAAATTTACCATGTCCGTCCGTAATATATATCCACACCAAATAACACTATTCGAACACACACACAAAAAATTTTTTTTATCGCACCAAAACCAGATACCAGAACGAAATAGAGAGACTAATAATGATCAACATAGAGAGAGAGAGAGAGAAAGAATTTCAAGTGAATGAATGAATGAATAAATGTGTGAGACAATCTATCTAGCCACGCACACACACACACACACAGGGGTTTTTAAATATCAATTTGTCCTGAAACATAGCATATGTGTTCATATATAGTCTATGTGTGTTTTTTGTATTCTGAAACTATATATATATATATACCGTTCACCATAAAATTATATCCACCCGGTAGCAATCATCAATTGTATGATGATGATGATGATGACGGTACAGGATGGGGTTTGGTCGATTATAACATTTTTTTTTGTTTTGTTTTTCTTGAAATAATTTGGGTTTTGGAACAAAATAATAATAATAATAAATAAATAAATTACTCGATTATTGTTCCTTATTATGGAATGTTCCTAATGGAACCTTAAAGTGAATTTGCTGTCAACATAATATAATAAATATAATATTATTAAAATATTAATAATAAACTCTTGGAAAAACATGTAATAATAATAATCTAATAAAATAAATAGAATGAAAAAAGGCTTATTGTCGTCATTAACACTGAACAGTGAACACTTATATAATGTTTGTAGCAGTAGTAATAAAATAAAAAGTAGTGTTATTGTTATTATTAGTTGAAGTGAATAATATCTCTTATCAACAATTTTCATTCATTTGTTTCTACTTCTAGTTTGTTTGTTGTTGTTGTTCAGAGATGTGCTATGCTATACTAATACAACAAATAAAACCGGAGAGAATTCTATTCTATTCAACGACGATAATTGGTTAATTAAATTTCCGGTCGTTAAGCTTTGTTATTTACTTAGTTAGTTAGTTCGTTCGTTTTTTTGTTTTCCTTTCAATATAATATCTCTATATATATGATGATGATGATGATGTGCTTGTACCATTATACAATCTTGATTCTTTACATTTTCTTGTTGTACATTATGATTTTTTTTTTTTTTTTTGAAAAACTGAAAAAAGTTAGATAAAACCTGAACAAACAAACACCACTAGACTAATAAATAGTAGTAGTACAGTTTATATAGTCTTTAATTGATAAATTATGGATCTACTGATATGACTGTCTGTTTGTTGTTATTAATTTGTTGTTGATTACAGTGAGACCTTGTTGTTGTTGTTGTTGTTTTTTATGTGATGGGTAATGTTTGTTGGTTCTTTTTTTTCTCACTTTATATATATGTGTGTGTGTTAAATACCCGCGACAAATATCAACAAACACATAAATGATGGTTGTAAGGTCATAAAACCAGAAAATAATTGCCGTATTTTGGAACATTATCTGTTTTGTTGTTGTTGTTGTTGTTGTTGTTCACCCTAATAATTTAGATCCTTGAATGGTTTTTTTTTTTTTGAGAGAAAAAAAACGAGAAAAACGGATTCAATGATTAGATCAAATGGCACACGCGTGCGTTCCAGAAATAAAACTATATTCCCAAAGTCCTGTGTGTGTGTGTGTGTGTTTAAATTGTAGATAATGTTCGTGATGTGCTCTATTATGGCAACCAATAACAACAACAACAACAACGACAACAACAACAAAAAAGCCATTAGAATCAATGAGCAAACACAAGAAGAAAATAAAATAAAAATCAAATCGGGTAATAAACATTGATTTGACAGTTTTGTAGCCGTTGTTGTTGTTGTTGTTGTTGTTGTTGAATTTTTTATTTGGTGACAAATAAAATTTTCGTGAATCTAATAAGATGTACAAAATCTTTCGTTTATTCGTTTTCTCACACACACACACACACACACATTAACTTTGTCAAAATTGTTCATTATTATTGATGAATCAATATCAATTACCATTTAAGTGATTGAAATTATTGAAAAATTTCATTTCATTATTGCCATTGCCATCAATATTGTTGCTGTTGCTGCTGCTGTTGTTGTTTGTTTGTTTTGTTCGTGATTGATGATCATCACCTTTGATTCCTTTTTTATTGTTGTTTTTGACGGATGTTTGTAAACCAAGTTTTTTCAGCACTGAATTTTTTTTTTATATATATACATAAATGAATGATCAATTTATCATTAAATCAAAGAATGAATTAAATTGAATCCGTTTGATATTTGTGAATGAAAGAATCAGAGCAAACAAACAAACGAGAGAGAGAGAATGTGATGGCAAAACGAAACAAAATCAAGCTTAATTTAATTGAGTTTTAAGTCTTTCAAAAGAATCATGAACGCCAAACATTTATTCAAAGAATTCTAATGAATAAAATAGTAAAGCAAAAGTTCAAGAATTTAGAAAAATAAATGAATGATGAATCAAGATGGGCAAAATCATGAAAAGAGAGTATATTCACATTCATCATTTAAATATATTTCAAGATTTTATAATTTTTGCCCATCATTTGTCATTTTTTTTTCATTCCATGCGTTTGTTTTATCCAATTCGATTGTTTACTTGTGTATAATAATAATAATAAATATATTCGATGATAGAATCAACAATTAATCATTTTTGGTGCAGCAGCAGCAGCAGCAGCAGCAGTAGCAGTAGCAGCAGCAGCAAAAAAAATGAAATTCAATGAATACAGAATGCTCACAGAATCCTGATCATATGAATTCAAACGAATTTATCATGAACAATGAAAATGATAAATAAGAAAAAAAAATGAAACAGACAGAAACACATTTCGACAACTTTATATAAATGAGAAAAAAAAATTTCATCATTTCTCTGTTGCCATTGCTGTCGTCATAATTAATCAAATTAACTAATTAATTTTTCATTAGTCAACATTTTCATTTCAGTTCATTAAGTAACATTTTTCTCCAGTATCTGTCATCATCATCATCATTATTTTTCGTGAATGACATTTCTCTCTCTCTCTCTTAATGAACTTATTGTGAATATAAATAAATGAATGAAAATTTAATGTAATACCTCCTTGTACAACAAAAAACGATAATCAATTGTATCATTATCAATCGAATCAAATGATATGATTGATCGATAGTTTTACACTATCTGATCACATTATTGTCAATGAATTGATTTAAAATTCATTCAAAATCATTTCATATTATCAATTCATAAAAGATGATTTAATGATCGGCAAAAAAAAAAAAAAATACCGGAGAATCGATATTTCTTTGCGATAATCTTCTACTTCTAACCAAAAAAAAAAAAATTCGGCTGTTCACCTCGTCGAATAATAATTTCCATGTGTCACCCTTAACGATAATGGCTGATCATGATGATGATGATCACCATCATGATCAACGGTGGCCAATATTGAAAACAAGATGAGTTTGTGGCCTGTCAAGGTGTGTGGCCAAATCAAAATATCTTCTTTTTTTTATCTGTTGTGGTTGTTGTTGTTGTTGTTGTCGGTGTTGTTGTGATCGTTGAAAAT